AAAAATAAATTTTAATTCGATATAAATTCATGTAGAAAAATGTTTACCATGCATTTTGCAACCGAAAGCAAAAAAAAAAAAACATTGTTATAAACATAACCCAAGGAACAATTGTTAGCGCAAATCACCCATTACCAGGCCCAAGTTTACGGTCGAATTTGGGGTAGCATTCGTGTGTAGTTTCAGTCAATTTTACCGTCGCAATGGAAAGAAAAAAAGAAAAGAAAGCACAATTCAATTAGACTGATATGAAAAAATTGACTTGATTCATAATCATCATTATGCTATTGTATATGCAATAGACTCCACTTACCGAGTACAATTTATACCAAGAGGTACTCGTACTTTGGTACTCGTTTATAAACGTTTAAGTCATATATTAATACGACGTAATTTCTTCTTGCTTCATTTCAAAGACTGTTCAAATGGTACGTTAATGATCATTCAATGAACAAAAAAGTGACCGTCGTTCTGTGCACGCTATACTTTTTTTAATGAATTGTAGATCATTAGGCTAGCGATGTGAGTGCTATTGCTAAGAAATGAAACCAAATAATAAAACATGTTTCACTTTAAATTATTTTTGAATGTGTGTGATTTTATTATCAACCGATACGGTTATTGACGGGACTCATTTGAATTGATAAAAAAGTTTATAAATAGCATTTTAATTGATAACATTTGTCAATTATAAATCTGACTTCCTATTTAATGTCGTTTGGGCGCAGCTGACTCTCTCCCTCAATCATAAAAACTTGAAGAGCTTTGTACAGCAGTAACACTCCCAACTTCTTACGATCTCGCATTGACCAAGATTTAACAATTCCATAATAATCGCCTCTTTTGATATTGGTAAGATTTTCCACGCCCACACAGTCGATGATTGCTGCTTCACGTGTATATGCCTCAACTGGTGTTATGTTATGAAATACCTATTGAGAAAATACAAAAATATATTATTAAATTACGATTACGAAAAAACGATTTTTTTTTTTAATTTTATTCGTCAATTACCGGTAAACAAATGACACCCTTATTTGATTTCCATATGTCGATAATTCGTGCAAGTTTCAAGGACTCTGGCATTTTTTCCACATCCAAACTATTATCTGTAAGAGAGATTTTGCGACGGCAATAATAATAAGCTTGTGACTCTTTCTACCTTAATATATTAGTTAAATACCACGATAAATTTTAATAGCATCGTACAAATGGTGAAACGGTCTACTGCTTTTCCCTTTACCAACATAAAAAATGGCTTTTAAGAAACGACACCACAACTCTGACATAGGAATAACCTAAAAGTCAAATATTGTTTTACATATGAACGGTTGAGTATTAAAGTGAGCTCAAATCCCGATGAAAATAAAGGAGCAACATGACATTTTTTGTATGGAGTTGTTATTGTAATTACAATAACAAATCTATGTAAAAAAAATGTCATGATGCTATTTTATTCTCATCGGGATTTGAGCTCACTTTACTCTCCACCCATTCATATATGAATGATTAAGTGATTGCATTTTTTTTTAAATTTTATACCTGAGAATCGGCAAGAATATTTTCGGCTATTCGGGGATCGATCAACAAATAATTAAAGCTTTTTTTTAAATTTCCTTCGCGCATATTTTTCGTTTGGCTCGATTGAAAGCTACTTATCATTTGACGTTCCAATAGCGAATAGTCGATGTTTATGAAATCCAGTGAGTCGATTTCATTTTTCATCGTTTTTTGTAATTCAATTGAAAAATCTAACAAACAAAGGAAACATTTAACATTTTCATTAAATTGACTTGCGTTAAGCATATAAATTTGACTGCACTTACTACATATTGATCCTTGTTTTGAATGCTGTGTTGATTCCTGAGGACGTCGTGAACGATGGTATCGCACCAGTCTTCTCAAGTATAAGCGCTTTGTGTTTTTGGTAATTGGACCTGGATTCGATAATGTTGTTACATTTAATTTCCAATAAATCGATATTAAAAATAAAATACCTGGTACATCTCCAAATGCTTTCAACTCCTTTCGTAAATCATCTGTATCATAATCGGTGGGCAGATCTGTAACTGTACCACTTTCCGAAGATGTATTCAAGTTGATAACGTCTTGATCTGTAATTTTTTCTCTAATGGCTGCGGCCATAGGATTTGCTAGCAATTTGTTTTCGTAGAACAAAATATTTTGTTCAGGATCAAAATGTTCGTACAACTCTTGTGTCTGAAAAACTACATCAGATCTCTTCTTTAAATCAATATTTGTCAAACTCTTTTCTACGGTGGCCAATTCATGTTCGTCAATCGCTGTAATAAAGCTGTCTTCGATTTCAGTACATTGTTGGTAACCGGTTGACTTGACTGGTATAACTGTTTCTAAACTTTTTTGAGATGATTGAACCGATTCCACTTCAGCCATGTTATCAGATAGGAATGCCTCAAATTCATCTTCATTTACGGGTAAAAAAGATGTTCTTTTACGAGATTCATTTACTTTGTTTCGCCACAAGTGAATTAGTGAATTTTTTCGACTTCTTTTCACTACCATTGACAAGTGTTTTTCAATATTGTCTTCGGTCAATTCAAATAGATTTTTCACAAAGTTTTTCTTCTTCTCCTTGTGATCCTTAGTAGCATCATTTTCATCACTATCGCTTATCACAATAACATTATTGTCATTGGTCTGTCCGTCTGTACATTTTGTGAATTTAACTGTTTCAACATTTACGTACTTTGGGCGACGACGACAATTAACATTCACTAGAAATGGACTGGCTTCATCAAAATTAAAATTTGTACGATTTGGCGTCAAAAGTTTGTCATTATCACTATTCTGTGTCATGTCCAGCTGATGAAACGATTTCATGACAGTGTCTAATCGTTTGTTTAGCACTCTCTCGCTTCGATTTTCAGCGTATTTCGCATCGAGTTTTTTCTGAAGCTTCTCTTCAAATACATAGTTTTGAAATATTGGTATCAGATTATAGTGCTCTTCTATTAATGCATGCGAAATAGGCGTGTTATTGTCATTATCAACGATCGAAAGATCAGCTCCATGATCCAATAACATCTCTACGATTAATGTCCTATTCCAAATCACTGCAATGTGTAGTGGCGTTTCGCCTTCGATGGTTTGAATGTTTGGGTCACCTTGATTTCCAAAAAATAGATAAATTCATTTATATTAGATAGCTAAACTGATAGTATAGAGCAGAAAATAAAATAAACGAGCGAAAGATATACCATTGTTCTTCAAGATTAGTTTCATTACAGCCTCGGCAAATTCTGTAATAATTAATAATAATTTCAGTTTTGGTGCTGAACTTTTTTTTCTGATTTAAGCATCACACAAAAACCACCATAATTTTCTTTATTCATGACGATTGTTCATGTTGTTTTGCCACTGATCAGATCATAAACTGACATAATTACCTGTGTTTTCCATTCCAGCAGCATAGTGAATAGGAGCTATATTATATTCTGGTATCAGTAAATTGGGATTTGCATGATGTTCGAGCAATAACTTTTGCGTATTTCTAAAAAAAATCCAGAATTTCTTGAATGTATATGCATCAAATGCAAGAAGTAAATAACACAAACCTATAATTTTCATCTTCAATTGATTCAAGCAGACAAGTTGCTAAAAATATATCTCGATGCTTTTGTAAAGCCATCCTTTTACCACAACACCACAATTAACTGATTTCAAATAAAACATTTATCGATTGACTTATTTATTTACTTTATTAATTGCATGGAATATTTTTTAGCCGAATCAATCTGTCAACATCTGTTGAATATAAACAATGTTGTGTCGGTTGACTTTTATTATTATTATTTAAATATATAGTAATATGGAGAATTGGAGATTACAAAGAGGGCGCTGAACGCACCCTAGAATTCAATATTTTTAATGGAGCTTTTTTTAACGGTTGATTTTTTTCGTTGTTTTGATACGATATTATGAAAATTACTTTTTTTAATGATTGTGATGAAAAATAAGTTCAAATTAGAAACATGTTGATAAGTATTCAATTACAAAAATGTTCATTTTTGCAAAGATTCAACTTTGGCCTTCAGGTCCAGGGCCCGTTTCCACATTTCTTGTTGTTCCTTTTTATATTTTGCATCTTTTTCCAATATCTCAGCCAATGTTTTGTTGACCATTTCATTTTGAGGTTCGATTTGCTGTGCTGCTCGTAGCAACTTAATTGAACGACCAAAGGTTTCTTCGATGTTACTCAAAGCAATGGCTTCATTCAGCATAACTGACACATTTTGACTGATGTTTGAACGCCGACGCAATTCGTTGATCATCAAACAGCATTTTTTCCAATTTTCTACTTGGATGTAACAATCCGCAAGCTGAATATACAATTTATTGATGAACGATTGTTGCTCGGTCTCTTCTTTTTCATCTGCAACTTGGCACCATTCAAGTTTGCGCAGGGCCGTTTGACTTGCCGTAATCGCATATCTATATCGTTTGTTTTTTATATGGTCCAACGATTTTTTGTAAATCTCATCAATTTTATCTTTGATGACATGGAACTTTCGTTGATCTTCTTCAGATATTTCATCACACCTATAATCGAGGGTAAATCGATCATTTGTTAATGTGTTTTTAAATATGGATATTATACTCACGCGTGTTCATCACCAATTTCATCAAAACTAATCAGTTTTGCCACAAGCAAAACATCACTTTTAGGTTTTATTCGTGGTGGACATCCCATCTCACCTTAAAAAAAAAAAACAAAAATATTGTTGGGCAATTAAAGGAATTAAGGCCTGAAAATCAAACAAAACATCAAGACAATTCAACTTACCAAACATCAATTTGTAATCGATTACAAATTGAGCCTCCTCTTTTTTGCGCATCGTTTTGACCGCGATTTGAATTCCGATCAACATTTCAGATATTTCTGCTGTTATCGGTTTCGTCTTTGAGTCAAATGCATTCGATTCGTTTTCGAAAAACATACTGAACGTCCATTCGATGCGACAATTATAAGACTGCATCACCTCACCCTTTCCCTCGCTAATGATGCGCTTGTAAATTGATGCGCTACCAAATTTATTCGGAACATTTACCATAAGTGTTTTTAGTTCAGTGAAACTTTTCTTCCATGGCGATAATTTGCTGTCAAAGTCTTCATCCAGCTCACCGTCATCATCGTCGCTTCCTGCATCGTCGAAAATCTCTTGATCAATGGTTTCGGCCATGCTTTCTTGGTTAATTTTGAAATTGGAACCTGTTGACAACAAATCCCTGTAAAACAAATAAATTAGCAAATGTTAATTAATTATAATTTCGAATTATTGAGGTTATTTACTTGAAGCGAATGGCATTTTCTAGCTCTATGGTCTTTTCCATTTCGTTGGCCATGTTGGAAATAATTCAGTTTTTTGCTGTGTACTCAAAATTGTTGTGATGATAGAACTAACCAACTTAAACAATAAATGACATTCAAAGCGATTTGTTCTTATTCGCAACGTCATTTTCAAAATGTCAAACTTGACATTTATAATTATCTCTCGATTTTTGATTTTTTTTTCGTTTTATTTTATGTCAAGTTGTTTCGACTTTTATAAACTAATCGTGAATAGGAATTACAAAAATATTATTGAACCCTGTTGAAGATGACAATACAATTCAAAATATTAAGATTATATAGAAAAACGACAATTTATTAAATGTTTAAACAAAATTGGTATTTATTTTACGAAATATCAAAACTTGATCAAAACTCCTGCAAAAATACACACTAAAATAATAATAATATATAGTTTGCTACACTGAAAAACGATTTAAATAGTTGACAAATCAATTTAATTTCGATTTGGCTGCAGTATTGCAAATGAAATTAAAAAATAATGATCATTTTAGTCAAGATTAACAAATCAGATAATGTTTCACAACATATTTGTGAGGCAATCTGACTGAATTTTATAGTAAATCTGAAAATTTTCACTAATTCATTACCAAGTTTTACAAAATGATTTAATGGATTTATTGATCCCATCATTAGGAATTAAAGTAGATGCAACCCCATCCGATTTTTGTACAGCCGGTTATGGTATTATTAATGTTTGATAGTTTTGGAATCAAGTATTCATACCACGCACCAGCTTTAGCTATCATGAAGTCTGGCTATTTAGCGTGGACTTCCGTATTATTTAACAGATTTAATGGATTTCTTTGGTAGGTGTATGAGTATTGTTGCCATAGAAAAGCAAAATTTGCGATGATTCTGATTATTAATCGAACAATTTTAATTACATTTAATGTTTTGCTTTATTGATGGATAATTAACTAAATTTATATAATAATGCATATATAAGACACGTCACAAAACGTTTTTTTTTATGTTAATGGCAAATCTTTTTTCTAAATCCATTTGTAATTTGGAGATACTATTTGAACGTAGATGTGAAAATGTAGAGCAATAAGCAGCACTAAATTGGCACCCTAAGTTAATAACTTGACTGATATTTTCATTTGAAAATAATTGTTTTGTTCGTTTAATCAGTTTTTTGTAGATCATAATTCTTTAAGCAATGTGCTCTTTGCATTTTTCAGTTTATCTAAACGTTTCAGCAAGTGATTATGAGATGTTTCCAGCTCCTCAAGTTTTTCCATCATTTCGCGGTTCTGTAAAATCAATAGAAATAACATATTTAGACAATATTTTCATAAAATATATGTTGATTTGGTAAAGGAAAAACAAGAACAGAAAATTAAATGATGTCATCAACACTGACATATGTAGTAGTAAACACATGAATTTTGTAAATTAGGAGATGATCAGTTAACAGATGAATACGTTAGAAACGAACATGGGAATGTTTTTATACCTATAAGAAGAAGCCATAAGTGTAATACTTTCATTTTGGCTCAAAATATAAAAATTAGAATATATTCAATTGAATTTCGAAGATTCCAATTTTAATATTAATGTTGAATTGTTTGTTTTTTTTTTTTTTTTTTAATTAGAACAATGACAAACAACTGGTTTTCACATTCAAATAAGTGAATTACTGTCGCACTTTGGGAGAAAAACTCACTGTTTGTATTTCAAATAAAAATTTGAAGAAAATTGCATCATTGCAGGTGACATTCGTCCCAGATTTGCGTAAGTATGGGCTATTGACCACAATTAAAAGAAATTAATGGTCAATTCAAACAAATACAAGTAGTATATGTCCTTCAGCTTTATACTTAATATTTTGACCGAATTTTTTGCTTGAAAGAAAATAAATGTGATTTTACCTCTCGCTGAAGTTTTCGTCGCTCAATTTTCAATTCGGCCTCAACTTTTTCAGCGGCGTCTGCTGTGCTCTTGTATCGAATAACTTGAGTCTCAGAACGTGCTAGGCTTGCTTGTAAACTAGCTATTTCCTGTTCTGCTTTTGTCAACTTATACTTATAGTCTGCAATTAATTTATTTGCTTCTCCTGCATTCATAAAAATATATAGAAAAAAAGACAGTATAAAACACAGATATACATGTGACCAGATAAAAAATAGCAAACAAAAAAATAATAATAATGGTAATTGAAAAATATTACTTTGTGCATCTTCATAGTCTTCATCATCGATTGGCCCGTTTTGTGATCCAGATCGCCTTTGTGTTTTCGCACTAATTAATTGTTGATGGAGCTGCTCAATTTCAGTTCTTAAGGCTTGTTTCTCTTCAGTGAATTTTTTCAACCGTACATCTAAAAAATGTTTTAATGAAAACACGTTATTTTCAAATCATGGCTTATACACTCAATACACATACCTAAAGAGCCTTGATGAGTGTCTAATAATTGAGCATTTTCTGCACTGACTAGAGCCCGCTTTGCATCCGAACCGTCTTCATTTTCAATTGAAACTATTGTCAGACCTTCATTTGCAATTAAGAAGTCACGCTCGTGTAGTTGACCTTGAACTAATCTTAAGTCTTCCATAAGTTTTTCATTTGTTCGTTTTAATGTATCGAATTCTCGACATTTTTCTTTGTGCTCACGATGCAGTTGTGCATGTATCTCATCCATATCCTCCACTTTGTCTTTCAACAATTGAATTTGATATGTATTCGATGCGCGTTCATTGTCCAATTGAGCATTAGCTATCATTGCTTTTCTATACCGTTCTTCTAAATCCTGTTATATTTTTCGAATTCGCATTTAGTACAATTACTTAATTTCAATTAAATAATGAAATTACAAATATAAATAAATACCTTTATTTCTTGTTTTATATCGCGAAGACTACGACCTTCTTCTTCTAATGAATCTTCACTACTGCGACGTGATGACATTGTTCCACTACGTAATGCACCCAATGCACCCAATGCACCCGAAGACATTGTAAAACGTGTAGATCGCGCTGTTGGATCTAAACCAGCTGCTGTTTGCATATCAAAAGCTCGATCTGCATTTTGTTCCTGTTCTTTCTGTTGGCGTTCAAGTTCACGCATGCGAATGTCACGCGCTTCTGCCCGGGCAAGTCTTCGCTGTGCCAAACGTGCTTCGGCCTTGAGATGTGAAGAGAAAATTGTACCAAAAAAATTCAAAAAAGTTTCATTTCCTTGTATATTATTCACTTGTAATATGATAAATGTAGACTTTAAGTAATACAACAAAAAATCAACATATAGATTTGTTAAAACCGAGGCCATCCCAAAAACAACGTATTTAAACAATAATTTCATCATTTGATAATGAATTGAATTGTGTGTGTAAATAAATTTCAACCACCGTTAATGAAGCAATATACCACATCCAACAATGTATTATCCACTGGAAATGACTCGAAAACATTATAGACTCAGTAAGAATGAGACCTTCCTTTGTATTGATCTCATATTAATTGTTAACATTAAAATTAATCGCTTTAACACATTTTATCACCTGATGATACCATTATTAGTTATGAAGTGAAGATTTGTTTGTATTAAAAAAAACCAGCGCTTGTAATATATTTATAAAATATAATGTAACATACGATTTCGTTGGCTTTGCCCAAAAAATCGAAGATCGGTTCATCCTCTTCGGCATTATCATCGTTTGTATCAAGTGTTTCTTTATCATGTAAACAGTTAATTGCCATCGTTGATGAATCGTTTTCATTTAGTATGTTATGGCTGTCAATGTGTGTTTCATTGGAATGACATTTTGTTTGTATGGTTGGAATAGTGTTGACTGTTTCACTGTGTAAATTTAATTTCTGATTGCAATGATTTTCATGTTCCGAAACAATATTTTTCCCAATGTTTTCGTCTTGTTCTTGATCTGAATCTGAACCATCATCGAGATCACTTGAATCGATTTCAAACAGCTCTTTTTGTTCGTCTAAATTAGTATCAGGAATGTAGTCTTCATCATTTTCACAATCAGATTTACTGTTATTGTTGTTATTGTTTTCATTTTCAGAGTGCGATAATTTTGACGAAGATAAATCCATCGTGTTAATCTGTTTGAAACCGGTTCACAATACAATCATAAGAAAAACTGTCCAATTTTTGAAGTTTTGAATCAATGTTTATAAAATCGAGAAAGAATTACAAAACAATAAGAAAAATAATGTAACAAAGTTGGCAATTGCAATTTTATGCAATCAATGTTGCTTGATATTTACTAACTGCATGAATGGATAATTTCTTCTTTTATGTACATTGAAATAATCAATTTATTGTTATTTTCGATGTTTGATGTTGGACGAATCGTCATCAACTATGAGGTCATCAAAACCTTGTAAAACGTGTAGATCTAATTACTTGACTGGTTGAACACTTGTATTGGTATTTTGGACTGTTTCTCTTTGGGATACTCAATTGAACATATACTCAATTTTCTCTGCACTATAAATGTAAATATCGCAAAATAATCACAAACATCTCAATTCAAACAAAATAATTTAACATTCGCGAAACAGATTTTTTTACTAAAAATTTCTTCACCATATAGTATGACACATTTTTCAATGTTCCACAATAGTATCGACGATGATGACGGCAGCACAGCTAACGAGCAACTGATGTATTGACAAATAATACATGTGTGCAAAGTGTGCTCACACATGAAAAAAGTTTACTTTTAAGCATAAATAAACGAAATAAATGCATTGTCTGTTTTCAATACATTCAACAGATCAAAGTTGGAAATAACAATCATTATCAAACTAAATAGATAAATTTGACATTAAAGCAGAAAAATAATGTTTAAGAAATTCATTGATTTATGACTATACAAGGGCAACCGCAATGCCCACAATCGAAGCAAACATTGGATACACACACAAATGCACATGCGAGCATTTTACACTATAGCACTAAATAAAAACAAATAAAGCTGAGCGCCAATACCAGAAGAAATTAAAATTAAACAAAAAATTACTTTTATCTTATGGAAATGTATGTGTGTGTATGATATGTATATATGATTGATTCAATGTAGAATGATGTTAGGTGGTTTGAACGTAACCGCTATATTTTCAATCGTTTTATGTTACATCGGTTATTGTTTGCTGAGAGAAGAAATCAGCAAAAATTACCGTTAGATTATGTGGTATATGTGCATGTCGTCGCCGCCACACATTTCATAGGATAATGTGGTAAAATGTGTTTGAACTTACCTCTTTAGCAATTTGATCTAATGCCTGATCTTCTACATTGCTGCGAGAAGTTCCACGACGCCTTCCAGCAGCGCCGGGACTTTCCATTTTGAATTCTTTTCGCTGGTTATTTGGTTCTATCCACAGCTATGTACTATGACTTTAATCTTGGTTAAACTGGACAGTTATCGCTTTTATTTAACAATCGAGTTGTCGCCGTAAAACACTAATTACTGTATCTCTAATTTATGCAGAATGGCATTGATGAGTATGATTTTTTATGATTAGAAAATCTTGGATTGTGTGCGAGAAAAAAGAATTTAAGAAAGATATCCAGAATTCAATTCTGTCCAGTTTGAATACATGGAAATTTAAACAAAAAACAAAAGAGTATGTAGTTTCGTGTGATATGTATGCAAAGTGGAAATTGGAAATTTGAAAGAATCTTATATTTTCTAAAACAAGCAACATACAGCATTTGCACAAGTAAATTGGAAGATAATATTCAATTGATGAATAAGATTGATACATAAATAAATTTTCAATTTTTTACAAAACAAACATAACAATCGAAGAAAATAGAAACCAAAACTAACAATATATAGTCTCGTTGACGTTTTTATCTCAACACCATTATTTCACTTTAATTTTATGTATGACATAAAAGCAACATATCTACCTTTGATTTGTTTTGGTTACAGCAATGTAAATTAAATATTATGCATCCAATGGCGATGAAAAGCTATCGTTTTCATGTAAAATCAGAGATCAAACTATTTTACATATTTTCCGAAAATGTTCAAACGATCCACCTTCGTAAATTCACTTTTTTTCTTCTATTTTATTTTAACCACAATCTTTCTGCCCAAAACAGCATAGAGTCAAAGATGTCGCTCACTATGTATGTATGTTCGCACTTCGATAGGATCTCAATAAACTATTTGAAATTTTTATTTCAACCAAAAATCAATTTAATGTTATTGATTTATAAATCAAAATGAGTTACTAATGTCTTAACAAAAGATCCAAGCATCCAATAACAGAAAGTAATCTTCTTCTAAAAGTTTATTCATTTCGAAACGAAATTTGACATTATAACATTATTTTTCTTGAGCACAGAGAGAAAACTACACATATATCATCAGATAAATTGATTTACATTTTCCGACACAAGATTTTTGAAAAGAATATTTTGATTTTTCAAAAGAAAAAGATCCACTTTTAGATCGAATTGAAAGAAGAAAAAAAAAACTAAACCAGTGGGCTGTCAAATACGTAGCAAAAATATTTCTTCCTTTTATATATTTTCGGCTTCTTTATTTCATCTTTTTGGTTTAGTTTGTTCCACTCAAACAGCTCATGTGTGAGTGTGAAATATATATATACATATGGAAACGGTTCATGTCAGTGAATATGTGTGTGTGTGTGTGTATGCCATAAAAATAAATGCAAGTGAAAATATTATATACATACTGAGTAGTAATGTCAAAACAGTTTCATGGTTTTAACATATTCACGAATGTGTTCATATATCTTCACAATGTGGAGACAATGAACATAAAGATCTTTTTTTCATTATAGCGCCATTTCAATTTGAAATTGTGTTGATTTCTTACCATTCAATTTTCAATGTATACTTGGATCATGGTCGAACTATAAGCTCTTCTTTTCTTAGAGTCAAGTAATCTCTTGTGAGATCCCGTTAATCCTTTATTTCAACATGAAAAACTATATGCGACGCAATAACAATTTTTTTTCTTTTTAACCAGTAATGATTTTATTTACGAATTTAATATGAACATTTATTCAGTATTCCTTTGAATATTTATCGATAAATATTATTTTCTTTACGGTAATTTGGATTTGGAAAATATTTCTCTAATCACAAAATATCTAATAATCTTCGAAAATGTTTTTTTTTTGTCTAGAATTTTTTTTTTTAAATCATTTCACGCTACAGATTTTTTTCACTTTTTGTTAGTTATATCAATATAACTTACTAAAATTAATCAAAACTTTTGTCTGATGGATACGAATACGGCTATCGAAATAAACGATAGAGACGCTTCATTTCACCAATGCGAATCGATTACGGTAACTGATTTCATCTTCTTCTGAGTCCACCATACGAACACGGCCGGCGTTGAATTCATCGCTGATGCATTTTTTGATGTTTTTTTGTATGCGCTTGTTCTTGTTCACATCGATTTTGTAGGTTGCAGCAATGAAATTGCGAATGGCTGCCAATGTATGACCCTTTCGGTTTTTCAATGTTGCGAATGCATCTTCCACCATGATCGATGTTTTCGGATGAGTTGGAGCCGGTTTCGGAGGAACTGGATAAGAATGAAAAATATTCACAAAATAATCAAAATATTTTTTACATTGGAAAAATTCTATGTATGAGAAAAAATTGTACACTTAAAACAGAATTGGATTGGAAAATAGTACACGGTTTTCTACTAACCTTTTTTAGTGTTCTTTTTGACTGACATCTTAGCAACCTTTGCAACAACTTTTGGCGATTTTTGTGTTTTTGCCACCTTTCGAACCTTTGCAGCCCGTGGTGAAAGTACACCAGTTTTTTCGGTCTTAACTTTTGCCATTTTGCACAAAATAGTTGGCGCCAAATATCACAACTGAGATATGGTTAAAGATTTTGATTGTCTTAACGGTACTTCCGTTGAAGAACTTTTGTAAAATACGTCTTTATGCAGCGAGAGTCACCGGTAGAATGTGCGTTTTACTTCAACACAGTGCAATGAAAAGGCACGAATAAATGGTCAAACGGCTTCGAAATATAAAGTCTAATTCGAATTTGATTTCGGTTCCAAGTCGATGTATTCATGGACACATAAAAATGTGAAAAAAATAAATGACTTATATACGCTTAAACATATGAAAAAAATTATAAAAAAAATTTCAAATTAATAATATACCAAAAAATCAGAAAAAAAAATCTATTTTAAAGTTTGCAAAACGATAATTTTGCGTTGAGTTCGAATGAAAATGGTGTACTAAATTACTTGTGGCGCCCTCTCATCCTGTCAATTCAATCTCTCCACACATCTAATTGTACGATACAGAGAAAATATAATATTGGCTTTTAGTCGTCACAAATCCATACAATAACCAAAGTAAAAAAAATACAATGGCTAACAAGAATTTTGGAATTTGTTTAATTCTTGCATATTTCTGTGCATTATCATGGGCACAGAATGTAGGCGATACGCTCGTTTTGGTTGATAATTTGGCAATTCGTGAAACTCATTCAATATTTTTCAAAAGTTTACAAGGTAAGAAATGCCGGTGAATTTTCTGCGGTATATGTATTTGAACATAGCAAAGAGTGACGTGTCAATATGCTTTAGAAAAATAAACTTCAATTCGGCCACTTTGAATCTAACCTTAATCATTTTCTTTTCAAAATATTTTCGTTGATAGAAAGAGGATATAAATTGACATTTAAATCGGCTGACGATCCAAATTTGATTTTATCAAAATATGGCGAGTATTTATACCAGAATCTAATCATCTTTGCTCCATCGGTTGACGAATTTGGAGGTGATGTTAGTGTTGATAAAATAACAGATTTCATTGACAATGGGGGAAATGTTTTGGTCGCATCGAGTTCCAAATCAGGTGAAGCTTTGCGTGAATTTGCAACCGAATGCGGTTTTGAAGTTGATGAAGATGGTGCAGCTGTAATCGATCACCATCACTATGACATTTCGGATGCCGGAGACCACACGAAAATCGTAGCATCGCCTGAAAATTTAATTTCATCTCCATTAATTGTCGGATCGAAAAATGTGGCTCCACTTTTGTATGAAGGCACTGGACTCCTGGCCGACCGTGAAAATAGCCTTGTTCTTCAAGTTTTAACAGCCGACTCGACTGCCTACAGTTATATTCCAGAAAATTCAATTAAAGAATATCCACATGCTGTTGGTCGAGGCACACTTTTGATAGCTGCTTTGCAAGCTAGAAATAACGCTCGTGTCGTATTTTCTGGTTCGTTGTTTTTCTTTTCCGATAAAGCTTTTACGTCTGGCGTTTCCAAGTATGGTGGTAAATTTTATGAAAAGTCTGGCAATCAAGAAGTTGCAACCGCAATCAGTAAATGGGTTTTCGGAGAAGTTGGACGTCTACGTGTGGTTAATATTGAACATCATAAGGTTGGAGAAACCGAAGCTCCACAGGCATACACCATTATCGATCCAGTTGTCTATACCATATCTATCGAAGAGTTAATTTCCGGAAAATGGCAATCATTCAAAGCAAACGATATTCAATTGGAATTTGTTCGAATCGATCCATTTGTACGCACTACATTGAAGAATATTGGTGGCGGAAAATATCAAGCTCAATTCAAAATTCCCGATGTATATGGAGTTTATCAGTTTAAAGTGGACTATGATCGCATAGGATACACCCATCTTTATAGTACAACTCAAGTTTCTGTTCGCCCATTGCAACACACTCAATACGAACGTTTCATACCAAGCGCATTCCCATATTATGTTAGCGCATTCTCTATGATGGTCGGTCTTTTCATTTTCTCATTTGTTTTCATCTATTTCAAAGATGATGCTGTTACAGGTAGCGCAAAACAAAAGGGCGAATCCGTAAAATGATTAAGAAAATCATTTGAGAAATTTCATTTTAAAATTAAGAAATTCGAAATTTCCGAAATAATGTTCAAAAATAATGTTTAATGTCAACCTCAAATAAAATAAAATGAACATATTCATAAAATATAATGTAGTCTTTGTTGCTAAATATGACGTGTTGCATTGGTAACACAAGTGTGGCAGTGTGAAAATAGCTGTCAAATTATTGAAATAGTGACGTACACTGTACTGTCAAACCAACTGACGTGGAATATTGCTCAGTTATTCTCTTCAGTTTTGGTTGGTTTGTCGCTTGTTCACAACAGAGATTTATTTTCTCGAAACAAAAAAAAACTAAATAAAATTGATAAAATTATTGACCGTGAGTAGATTTTTCATTTGAGTTGGTCAACGTTTTAATCGTATATTTCGAATTTTCAAAAGAATTGTATGTTAAACGAAAACACTTTCACCTTTTTGTGTCTACATTAATTTCCATATATTTCTTTACTTGAAACAATTAGCAACGATTATTTGTGGTTAGACCAACATGACCACGTACGAAGAGTATATTCAGCAGAATGAAGATCGTGATGGTATCCGTTTGACGTGGAATGTTTGGCCATCGAGTCGAATCGATAGTAGCCGATTAGTGGTACCACTCGGATGTTTGTATCAACCATTAAAGGAGCGTACAGATTTGCCAGCAATTCAATATGAACCGGTTTTGTGTACACGTAGCAATTGCAGAGCTATTTTGAATCCATTATGTCAAGTGGATTATCGTGCAAAGTTATGGGTTTGCAATTTTTGCTTTCAACGAAATCCGTTTCCACCACAATACAGTGCAATAACTGAGCAACACCAACCAGCCGAATTAATTCCGAACTTTAGTACAATTGAGTATACGATTACACGGGCGCCATGTCTACCACCAGTATTTTTATTGGTTGTCGACACGTGCATGGATGATGAAGAATTGGCTGCATTAAAAGACTCATTACAAATGTCACTCAGTCTATTGCCACCAAATGCTCTAATCGGTTTAATAACATTCGGAAAAATGGTGCAAGTTCATGAATTAAATTCAGATGGTTGTTCCAAAAGTTATGTTTTCCGTGGCACAAAAGACTTTTCTGCAAAACAAGTTCAAGAGATGCTCGGTATCGGGCGTGTTGCTGGTGGAGTGAATACACAACAGCCAAAGGGTGCACCAATTCCGCCTGCCAATCGCTTTTTACAAACAGTACATAAATGTGACATGGCACTAACGGATCTATTGAGTGAATTGCAACGAGACCCGTGGCCAGTACCGCAAGGAAAACGTGCTTTACGTTCAACTGGTGCTGCAATCTCCATCGCAGTTGGATTATTGGAATGTACATATCCAAACACTGGAGGGCGTATCATGTGCTTTGTTGGTGGTCCTTGCAGGTTAGTATCTTATTGTTTAGTTTGATTGGTTTTCAATCATACAATTTCGAAATATTAATTGTAGCCAAGGTCCCGGTCAAGTTTTGGATGATGAGCTAAAACATCCAATTCGGTCCCATCATGATATACACAAAGATAATGCAAAATATTTAAAGAAAGCCACGAAACACTACGATGCCCTGGCTATGCGGACAGCAACAAATGGGCATGTTTTGGACATTTACTCATGTGCCCTTGATCAAACTGGTCTTCTGGAGATGAAACAATTATGCAACTCTACTGGTGGTCATATGGTTATGGGTGATTCTTTCAATTCATCATTGTTCAAGCAAACATTCCAGCGTGTATTTGCGCGTGACTCGAAAAATGATTTAAAAATGGCATTTAATGCGACAATTGAAGTGAAATGTTCAAGAGAATTGAAAATTGAGGGTGGTATTGGTTCATGTGTTTCATTAAATGTAAAAAATGCCTCTGTATCGGATAATGAAATCGGCTTGGGAAACACTGTTCAATGGAAATCATGTGGCTTAAATGCAAACACAACATTTGCATTTTTCTTCGAGGTGGCAAATCAACACGCGGCACCAATTCCGCAAGGCGGTCGAGGTTGTTTACAATTCATTACACAGTATCAGCATTCTAGTGGTCAACGTCGTGTTCGTGTTACAACATTGGCAAGAAAGTAAGGTTCTTTGGTTGTCTTCTCAAACTCTATCTCACTAATTATGTTCTATGTATGACTTTAGTTGGGCCGATGCATCGACAAACCTACCGCATATAAGTGCTGGTTTTGATCAAGAAGCTGCTGCAGTTTTAATGTCTCGCATGGTTGTTTATCGAGCTGAAACTGATGATGGCCCCGATGTGTTACGCTGGGTTGATCGAATGCTCATTCGTTTATGTCAAAAATTCGGTGAATATGTTAAAGACGATCCAAATAGTTTTCGACTGGCTGAAAACTTTAGTTTGTATCCGCAATTTATGTATCACTTGCGTCGATCGCAATTCTTGCAAGTCTTCAACAATTCACCAGATGAAACATCATTTTATAGGTAGATTAAATTCGAATTTTTTACTCTTTCCCATAGTTTAACTAAAAAAAGAAACCTGATTTTCATTTCACAGACATATGTTAATGCGTGAGGATCTCACACAGTCACTTATTATGATTCAACCAATTCTGTACTCGTATTCATTCAACGGGCCACCTGAACCGGTCTTACTGGATACATCGTCAATTCAGCCAGATCGAATTCTGTTAATGGACACCTTTTTCCAAATTCTTATTTTCCATGGTGAAACAATAGCACAATGGAGAGCCCTCAAATACCAAGATATGCCAGAATATGCAAACTTCAAACAGCTGCTTCAAGTATTATAAACTTTTATATCGAAAACTACTGTCAAAATGACTCACGTTATAAATTATTTATATGATTACGATTTAGGCACCGGTTGATGATGCTCAAGAAATTCTACAAACTCGCTTCCCCATGCCACGATATATAGATACTGAAGCGGGAGGTTCTCAAGCACGATTTTTACTATCAAAAGTTAATCCATCACAGACACACAATAATATGTATGCTTATGGTCAGGTAAGAGATTACACACAAAGTTTATTAACATATTAATAAGCGCAGCCCAACGACACTTTATTTTTTTTTGCCGAATTTTGTTTGTTTGTGTTCCTTTAATTTTGCTATGAATTTTATTTTTGGACATTTACAGCCAATGATCGGTTCCCCAGCTACGGTATAACAATAATTATTTTTCTTTTATTTTCTTCATGTTTGTTTCAATGTTTAATGATAAATAACGTTCTCAATCTTGATTCTTCATTAAACTAATTGACTTACGCTTTTCTGCTCTTTTTGTAAATATGTTCTTCCGTAAACTCACATATGCGCATTTGAAAAATAACTTTCTTTATTTACTTAACGTGCCTTCAAATTTGAAAAAAAAAATTAACCCAATAAAAATATTAACGTAACATATGGGCTCGGTAAGCTCATATATATTCATTTCTTACCGAAAATCTTTCTTTATTTTAGGATGGAGGCGCTCCGGTACTCACTGATGATGTCTCGCTTCAAGTATTTATGGAGCATTTGAAAAAATTAGCTGTATCATCAAACACATAATGCTTGATCGACTAGAAGTTTAATGCACCATGCAAATGTCATATTTTAATTCAAACTATATTCTATAAAGATTTTCTGTTTCAAATCAAAATATCCCTTATTTGTAATTCATTGATTAATAAAACATTAGAAATTTGAAGAAGTTCTCATATGATTGATTTATTTAATTAGGAAAGCTTGCTGACAGAACTTGAGCCCAAATTGAAACAAATTTCAATTTTTTTATTTTTGCTTTGTACAATCGCGAAACAAATTTTGCGTTTCTTTTGTCGACTATTCACGAATTAGTTCAGTTTAAATTTATTTATATCTACTGTTCCATAATCCTTTCAAATATACTTTTCCCTAATTCATTGCAAAATTACAATACACATAGATTTCTCGTTCAGTTCATAAAAAGAGTTTAAACGTCTGCCTAATGGATTAAAATAGTTATGAAAACCAATTTTCACATACTGGTATAACGTGACAGTGACACGCTTTGTGGCCGGGCCGTTATATTCAGCCATCTGTATATCATACAATTGATTATTAAAATATCAAAGATTTGTTTTTTCCATTTGTAAAAAATTTTGAACTGAAAAGGTGAAATGCTGCAGCTTTTGTTAAAATTTTCTGCATCTTCTGGTATAAATTTCAAACAATTTTAAAATATTATTTGGAGAATAGGGAAACCCAAGTAAAGTTTCATACAACAAAAAAATTCATCATTATCCTTTTTTTCAATACTTTTGCTGTATTATACTTAACGATTTTAACGATTACATAATTTAAAAGTATTTATTACGCATCTGAGAAAATGTTCGAATATATTAAAATAGCAATATGTTTTATTTTCTATCTTCTTATTGCGTAATATGTTTTAATTTATGAAATCAAAACTTTTTAGCAAAATTTCGAGAATAGAGTGACGCTAGAATTGTGTTGTTTTCATCAAAACATTTAACCTCATTAAATGATGCGATTAAATGTGATTGAAACAAATTTTGCCAAACAGATATCGGTTTCACTTTTGAACATTAAAGTTTATACGATAAGTTCCAGAGATTATTTTTCCACATAATGCTATGTCTGAAATGGAAAGGCTTACGTATTTTTTTTTTTTTAAATTAGCAATTTAGTTACATTGTTTTCGTCATTTACTGGCTACAAAATATAAATGTCTTAGAAATATAAATTATACGTTCACATAATTTACATTATGTGTTTTCATAATTCTAATCCCATCCGAATATGCATATTATCCATTATTAAGATTATTATTATTATTAAATAGATCTATTTTAATTTTTACTTCAAAAATCTTTTAGTTTGATAATTTTTTTCTCTTTCGATTAATTGAGGATTGCATCCATATTGTATGGATGATGTGATTGGGATGCTTTTTTGGGTCAATCTAATATCACAACTGATTGGGTTTCTCCAGCACCACTGGTACTACTGTCGTTGGTGTCATTTTCAGCTGATGCAGTCGTGTTTGCTTCATTTGTCTCATTCTGTGTTGCGTCTGGTGATGCTGATGATGTAGCTAAAGTAAAAAAGATAAATGATAAATTTTATTAAATAATTCATACTATCATACTCCAAGCTATGTGGCAAATAATTTACCTGTTGAAGAAGTAGCAACAACAGTGGCTGGTGGGGATTGCGGTGATGTTTCTGTGGCTGATGATGCTGAAACTGATGTTGAGGCCGTTGCTGCTGTTGCGGCTTCTGGTGCTTCAGCATTTGTTGGAGAGTTCAATGATGGCGTATTATTTGAGGCAGGTCCTGAACCTATAAGTAATAGTAACATAGCAAACAACATTATTTAATAACGATATTATATGAAATTGAATCAATCATTTAGTACTATACCTGTTCCTGCTGCTTTGGTTGAAGGTGCGGTGGGTGTTGTTGCCTGTGGTACTGGTTGAATTTGTAGCTGGGCTGGCAGTGATGCAAGCTGCACGGTCAGTGTTTTCGAAAGTGCCACATAACAAGATGAATTTAGTTGACGATATGGTTTTCTTGCTGATCTACGCAATTCAGTGACCGTTAAAATTTTTCTTGTCCGCCTATATAAAAATAATCACATTTGAATTAAGATATATCCATAACAAAAAAAAATAAAACAAAGAGGCTAGATTAGGCGTGATAATACACTCACTTGCTTCCTTCAGTAGCCCGGAAATAGACATCGTCTGGAATTATAAAAATTGAAAAATTAGTATAATAACTAATTAAAGAGAAACCAAAAAATAGGTTAAAATCGTTTCTTATACCTGGTGCGTCTTGGAGACTTATAACTTGTTTGCGTCCTGAACCCGTTCTAGACATTTGAGCAATTTTTGGCTTTCCATTCATCTATATAAATGAAAATTGAATCAGTTTTTCTCTTTGAATTTCTAACAATACAACATTTTGCTATCTACTTACATGATGTTTTGGTAATGGTTGTCCGGCAGCTACCGCCGCTGAAATCATAGCTGCATACTGTTCTGGGGTGGGCCGATGAGATGGCATTGGATCTTTGTTTGGTCGTTTTGCTGGTGGTGCAACGGTTGATGTGTCTAAAATGAGCAAATTATTTGCTATGTTATCAATATTGATGGATAAACCGCCACAGATCAATAAATAGATAGTTTCTACTTACTATTATCGGCAGCTACTCCATTTACATCATCTCCCTGATGTCGTCTTTTCAATGAAACTGGCGATGTAGCGTCCATTGAATTTTTACTACTTTCAGCCTCACCTTTATTCGGTATGCGTTCATATATTAAACTGCCATCGGCTGCTTTTGGTGGTTTGGGAAAAGCGACCTTGTCTGGCTGAGGCATTTTATCTTTAGGTGTCAATTTCAGCCAATCGCTTTCACATGGTTCTGGATTTCCCAGGCGATTGGCAATTTTTGTGACACTACCACGATTTTTTTTGCTATAAATTAGCAATTTTCTCACATCATTAAAAGATTTATCAGCAATTGCATTAGCATCTGTCACAAAAACGTTGCAGATGAAAAAAAATAAAACACATTAAACCAATTGAAATATAATACAGGTGCATAATAAGAGATAAATAACATACATTCCAATTTGACAGCTTGCAGATTAATGGCGTAGGATGGTTGTCGGGCTGCTTTCTTTGAACGGATAATGTGACGACACAGACGACGTGAAAGCTTTGTCACGCCAGTGGTGTGTAAATAGAATGCTGTTCGAGTTTTCATAATTGGACGAGGCGATCCAGATCGGAAGGCAATGCCATGAGCTTGGGCATAATGTCTAGCTAAATGTGCTTTGAGTTTAAACTCTTTGTCACAATTAGCAATTGAACATTTGTGTGATAATCGATTTGACAAATCGTTTGCATTTGCTGCAGCTACAATTCCATCTACGTCATTGGCATTGACATTGGCATTGGCATTGGCATTGACATTGGCTGTGTTGGCAGCATTTGTGGTCAATAACTTCTTTTTATCAACGTCATTATCAGTTAAGCGCGAAGCTATTTTAAGGCCACCATACTTTTTCCAATAGTTCCAGCAAGATTGACATAAACGGCAGCTTAAATGTGAAGGTCCCCATGCGTACCACTGTAAAAAAGAAAACAAGCAAACAAGCAATGCATTAAAAAATAACTCGACTTTTGGTTTTATATTAGCTACTCTTTTGTTCAAAGGAAAATGCATACCTGTGCAGATTGAGCAGTTGAGCAAGACTCGCAGGGTTTACCACAATTATAAGCAATAACATCATTATTAGAATTTCCATTGGCGCTTCCATTCAATATACTCAAGCCGCCTTTCGTCGTTGCTGTGATTGACGAGCTATTCAAAAGTGCAGAATTTGGTTTGGTGTAATTGGGAATGTACACTTGCTTTAATTTCGATTCGGCTTCAACAGCTTTCAAACGCTTCTGCTGTACGTAACGATCTGTTGTTTTCCACATATAATAGTATTCGACGATGTTCTTAAGTGTTTTCCAAGGAAGCTATTAAATAGTAAATATAAAAAATTATTTTCATCGAATATATCACATTTCATCAGCATATAAGAGAGACTATTTTCGGTACTTTTACAAAAAAAAACTATGCATGGTTCCAATCTGTAAAAACTTCACTTTTGTTCGTAATTTTCGAAAGTTGAATAAATATTCTGTATAAAACTTAACGAATGTCACTAGTGATCAATTATCATCAATTGGTTTTTGATATGTACTCACAAAATCTTGTCGTATATCAGTAAAATCTTTGCCATATTTATCAAGTGCTTCTTCAAATAAGTTGGCTTCTGATGCACTCCATTCCTCCATTTCATCACGACATAATACTGGCCCACTCGATGGAACAAATGAACACATTGATGACTCTATTGAATAATTGTGCTTGTGAAGTGTGTCCATTGCATGAAACTTTATTTTACAAAAGGAAAAAAGATATTTATTTAGTTCATATAAAATGATCATATCGAATACTCGTATCACGGAAATATTTAACATACCAAAGTGATATCACGGCTAGCAGCAGCAGCAGACATGTGTAAGGACGGTTGCTTAACGGAGCTACTGCAATCTAGTGCCCGTGCAAATGTGCCGATTGACCTCGACACCACCAAGAATTGATCTATTTTTCTATCGCTCAACGTGTGGTTGGGCGTCCAAATTAAACTTTCCAAATCATCCAAATTTCGGTTATCACTATCACCTTCACGGAGTAATGGTGTAACATCGGTTTGGTATCGACTTCCAACCCGAATTTCACCCTTATCAGCCAATAGTGTTTTTTGAGTTGGATCGAAGACCAGACAATAGAAGAACGAATCCTATTGTTGAAATTTAAAATTTATTGTATTTTTATTTAATTAAATTAAATGTCTTGAATGAAAACTTTATAAATTAATAACAATTTATAGATTGGTAAATTGGAGTCCGATTAGTCATACTACTCACGTCTTTATTTAAGTAGCTCAAGATTGATTCAGTTTCATTTAGCAGAGTAACTGAACATTTTCCTCGAATATGTGTTGCTGGAAGAGTTTCAACCTGACGTGATAAAAAAAGTTCGCGATGTTTCATTTGATGTCGCTGCTTTGTAGTCAATGGTTCTTTTTCTGAACCATTACCACCAGATCCACCGCTTGGACTATTGCGTTCTTCCTCCAATGAAGCTATTATTGGAATATATCAAAATATTTGTTTTTGAAAAATCAAGTCATTGAATGTCTTTAACTAATCAACACGTTTAACAACTCACCAACTACTGGATCTAAGACTGCTTGTGTCGCCTGCTCTTCACCAATTGGAGTCTTGAACCAAATTCTTTTTAACTTGTTCGCTATTGGAGAATCTTCTGTTGAAGCCACTATAAACGTACGATAAAAAAGTTTTCTTTGAGATTTGTGAAGCATTCAAATATTATGTCTGACACATCTTTGTTTGTTTTTCTTCTCAGAGGCAGAATTCCACAAAAATGAAGATGTTGACATGTGATAATTATACCAAAGAACTTTTATAAAACAATATTATTTTTTCAAAGTCACTAGTGAGAGCTGTAGTTTTTCATTATTTCTCACAAAAACTAATATTTTAAGAATGAGTTTTTTAATTTGATGTTGCAAACAAATCATCCATATCCACATTTCCAATGTCTTAATATCACGTCTCACTTGTGACTTAGATAATTACTTAAAATATCACCCCAGATATAAAAAAAAAACCTTATTCATCATCTTTATCGTTAAAAATCAAAATGTCGTTAAATTTCTATGATTTTCAAGTTATGATATTTTTTACTATTCTTTCGAATGAGTAGCAACAAATATGCTTTAGATTTCAATCTGCCGTTTTTGTATGAGATGATCATCTAAACAACAAACATTTATTTTTCCTCAAAATTTACTTACTTTGATGTTTATCGGCAAGCTGAACTAAGGGATTTGGTAAGTCTCTCCTTCGATAAAAGCACATAACCTTTGCTTCCACATTTCCCGATGATGTTTTGTTAAGTTCTTCTATCCTACGAATTTGGAACGGTGCCGTGGATGATGTCTCGAAGTAGACATAATCTAAATATAAAAAAAATACAGAAATCATTTATAGTCAATGAAATATACATTATCGATATATTATTGTACCAAATATTGATACATCTTATTGAAATAATTTTTTTTAATCATTTATCAAAATAAATTTATTTTGTACGATACACCTGTTATGTGATCATATTTTAATTTGATTTTGTTAAACTTAACGTATGTTATATGAAGTTTTCTTGACATAAATAAAATTGCCAAAAATAATTATGCTAAAACAGCGTTTAATACGTCTCTCTATCCTAAAACTACCATACTACCGGAAAAATCTACCAAATATCAACAAAACATACTCCAATTTTTTAAATAAAGATTTGGGACTTGATATGTTTATAATGAAATTAGAATATGGTTTTTGGAGAAACAATATGTATATGTATGAACTGATTATATGCATATGTTCTATATTGTTCTCGTGAACGTATCTATTATAAAATATTTAGAGAAAAACAATGAAAGCAAAAAAATTAATTAGATCCGACAAGCGTGCGTACGCGTACGACAAGCAGCGATGCCAATCGGAAAGCTTTACCACCGATGTATATATATTTCATAGTGCATATATTCCAAATATCTATAAATATACGAATCGTTGAAACCAAGTGGAGTTCAAAAGATGTTCACTTGATTATTGTTATAGTGTGTTTTTTTTATCTTCTCTGATACAGTTGCAGGTACTAATCAGAGCAAACAAAATTGCAAAATACTAATATATGAAGTGATATGATTTTCATATTATCTATACGTAAAAAAAAGTTTTTTTTTTAATTTGATAAAAAAATAAATTATTTTTTACTAGAACTTTTTGTTTATTTTCCACTTCAACATTCCCACGGCACACGTTGCGTTTTTCTTTATATTTCAATTTGGAAGCAGAGAAACGAAAATCGAAAAATAACATCATGCATTTCATTGAACTCACTTGCTGTCCCACTTCACTACTGCTATTTTGAGGTAGTCGCTTTTGTTGTCGTTGTCGTCGTCGCAACATATAATATTGCCACATACACACATACATTTACGCTTGATGAATTGAAGCATAAATGCTGCCTTGTATTAAAGCATATCTTATTTCATATGAATTATGCTTCATCAAAAATGGAAGCATTGAAATTCGAAATCACAAGATTATTACAAGAAATGTCCCAACAATTTTTAACAAAAACAAAACAATCGAAATAATAAAACTTATCGCATTGAATGCAGGCTGGAAATAGATTTTTTAAAATGTCATTCAATTTGCCTAGTAAAAGCAACGAAGTATAAAATCCGTTCTCTTCAAAAAAAAAAAAAAAACTTTTTCCCCTCATCATAATTTTATTTGAAATATAAATAAATCCACGCACACTTATTCTGTTTTATCAATGCTCAAATAGATTAACTAAATATATGTTAAGAATGATTTTCGGATCAACTACTTTAGAGTTGATAATGGCCTTAATAAAAAATGGCGTTTGGCAATTTTATCAATTTCGAAAATACTCTAGTATGTCTTGTGAATTAACAAAATATATACAAAATAAGCATAGATAAAGGATCAATTAAATTGCATGTAAATGGCTTACCTCCAACGCGGTACATGTTCGACGTCATTTTGTTGGCTTGCTTATATCAATTCGCAGAACGTTTATTTTAATAAAGCAAGTAATGTCCGAAGCGGAGCGTATATATATAAATGAAATAAAAAACAATTACGCTATTTAACAGCCCACAAATTTATATGTTACGACACTTTTTCCAGATTAGTATTCGTGTTTTCCTCAATTTCATTTGCAAACAATTAATTTATTTTACTTTCTTTTCAATTATATAAAGAAAAATAGAAGAAGAAAAATGTCAGCGTTTATATTGTTACTATAGATTTTTTCGTTGTATTTATTGGTTCTGTTCGCCGCTCGTTTGACGTTTTCGTTTCTTTTTTTTTCACTAATAGTCTTCTAAACAAAAATTCATAGAAGAAAACGGATTAAACACATGTATCAATACAACCGAGTCTGATTTTCACAATCACTTAGTTTTTACTTCTGATATTTTGATATTCAATAAACACACATTCACTTCATCTTATACAAAGTGCATAAATGAATGAACTACGGTTGGATGGTCGGTGTCTCTTCCTTTGCGGCTTTCCATTCACAATTTCTTTCCACTTTTCAGAAAATGTACTTTTTTTTTTTTTTTTAAAAGTCGTCGAGATTTAAATTTTTCAGTTAAATGTATGCCATTTAGAAATGTTTCCGACAGCCAATACGTCCGGAATTTCACTTATAAACGAAATAGAGAGCCGCGTTAGTTTTTTTTCTCTTGAAGTTAATGTTTTCATTTAACACAAGCAAACAAGACGCGATATATTAGTCGCCATTTTCTAAATATTTGCTGGCCACATGCAGAAAAAGGTTTTCCTTATATCGAGTAAGTGGAAGTATTGTTTAATTACTATGTATACATATGTGTGTGCGTATTAACATGCATTTGAGTAAAGTTTTTGACGGCGAAACGCTCGCTCCTTACCTATACACATATACTTGTGTGTCTTCGCCATTACTTATTTCAATTGAATCTCACATCGCCGCTCGCATCTGACAATCCATTCCACCTTAAGTATGTGTTGTACTTAAGTCATTTCATTCTTATATCTAATCCCCAAACTCTCACATTTCAGCTTTATACATTTAACGGTAGTGAAAATTAATATTAAATGAATAAAACAAGATACATACATAACGTAGATAACGTACAAACATTTATTTTAATTTTACCTATAATATTCCCGAACAATACGCGGCGAATTCGTGTATATCTATGAATGGCAACGATAGCACTTCAATGAAGTGACTTCAGTGGCAGAGTCGCTTCTGTCAGTGTCATGTTTGTTTTTTTTCCATTGTTTGCCCGGTCTTATAACACGTTTTTTAACATGATAATAATGATGAAAATAATGAAACGACAATCAATGTTTTTGTTTTATTTTGTTTTCTGTTTTCTGCTTTATTTCTCAAAGTTTAAAATATGTTTTTATGAATGTCGATTTGATCTTTGTTTTGACAATCAATGTGACTTTGCTTTATGTATTTTTGTGATTTATAAATCGCAAGATTTTGTAAAATATAAAAATACATTCTTACGGGCTCCTTCTCTCTGCACGAAACAAGGCCACAAAACTCATGCCTAGCTACGCTAAATAATCGTTATAATATTCATTTTATATCTTTTGGATACAATGCTGCTGTTTGTCAATTGCCATTGTGCGCCAAACATCCGATAAAGTCCTATGTAATTTGAAGCAAAATCGTTAAACAATGAATAAACTCTATTTTCAATTGATTCATACCTTTGAGCGTAAAACCTTTTATTGTCATTCTATCCATGACATTTCCAATACAACAAAGAAAACCATTCACGTCGAGACTGTTTCTCTGAGCAATATATGAAAGGAGGCTGTAATGAGCCGAAGGAGCACCGAGGAGAAGAGCTCCTTCTCAGAGATGAGCAAAATATTAAAAGTTAAAAAATATCTAAAATCATAATATTATCAATATCCGAACACACAAAATCGTTTTTAAAAAGAAAATAAAAAAAGCTTTTCTAAACCATGCTTGAACCACACACATAATTCTCAAGTAATAATAAATAAACTTTTGCATAAACTTAAATCAAATTACGCAAAACCAAAATCCCAAATGAATTGATTTTTTTTATCTTTATCTCTAAAGATGCAATTTAAAACTTACCGTGTTCACATTATGTTGTCAAACGAAATATTATTATAAGTGAATCTAAAACAAGTGGATCCATTCCATTGGAATTCGTAAATTTTATTGGAAACTATAATCTACCTTCTATTTAACACGAAAATGACCACAAAAATGGATCAAAATGTTACATTTTTCAACGTTAAAATGTATTAAAAACGTTACATTTTTGTTCAATTCTAGCCCACTGTCTCAAAATAATACAATATTTTATATTTTTATGAAAATATATTTATAGATGTTTCGTATATAAAATATGTGTATACGTTCTTAGAAAATATGCGCAATTTGTTCAATTCTAGACCACTGTCTCAAAATAATACAATATTTTATATTTTTATGAAAATATATTTATAGATGTTTCGTATATAAAATGTGTGTATATGTATATTCAAATATTTCGTATCTATTTTCCCTTTTTTCACCACAAACATTATTATGTTTTTACAATATCCAGAATTTAAGAATATTTCTTTCATCTTATCGTTGTTCGCACACAAACTTATACGTCATCAATAAAATTTCACATGAATATTCACATCGGTCTAAACTTCAGAAGAACGATTAACACATAGAATAAACAGCCCTCTAAATAACAGTCATGCTGTTAATTAAACTGCAATTTATTTGTCTTAATTATTTTGTAAATTTTATTTGTTTTCCTTTTCAAGGAAAATCTATAGCAAAAAAAATTAACTAATTTGATACGTTTGGATTTATTCATTTCATCTTGTTGTTTTATAACACTAAATCATGGTGAAAATACGAAAGTATCTCTAATAAAACGAACAAAAGGAAAAGTTGTAAACGATTTATCCTTTGAATATTCTTGTGAAATTTAATTGGTGAAGTTTGGCCATATTATTGATTCTTCTTAAGAGTTTGATTTTAAGAACATCACTATTTCAGTCGATAACGTTTGCTTTATAAAAATTCCAGCAAAATCGTTTGCTGAATGAAAATGTTTTCGATTTATGTAAATTTCACGGATTAGTTTCCACATCTAAGATTTCTAGTTTCTTTTAATCTTGACAAAAGCTCGATTGTTTGGATTTTGCAATTGATTCGTTGACCATATTAGACCATATATTTGTGAATTGAATTATATTTGTTTTCCGGTCAATAAAACGCGTATTAAAATATTCTTGAAAGTCAATCTTAAAAAGTATTTCTCGAAAATTGCACACGTTGTTCCGAATTTTTGTTGTCGATTTGATTAATTTTCCATCTTACTATTATGTTCAGGCCATATTCCAGTAACTCAAGGATTTGCTCACATTTTCGCTTTCGTCTTTGCTTTATTTTTAAGAACTTTTATTCTTATTTATCTAAGCGTGTGTCGTCAAATCAATTGAATTCTTTTTCTTACCAATCTGTTTATATTGATGAAGTTTTTTTTTTTTGATTTTTGTGCTTGGTTTGATTTGATGATTTTGTTTCAGTTTATATTTTGATTTGGTTGTGACCAATCTTCAATTGACTTAAGGACGCGTTTAATAGATAAATAGCTAAAGTTTCCTTATGTTTTAAAGCACACTTCAGGATTGAGAACTTTAAATATACAATTACATTTGATTGAAAAAACCCATTTCGTCATTGCAATTATATTTCTTGATAAACTTTCAAGGAAACTTATATCTATTTATCAAACGAAAGAATCGAAAATATCAGCATCAATCAAGTCCACAAGCTCATACGACTGTTAATGTACATGCAATTTTTTGGGCGATTTTATGTAAGAATATGTCTCTTCTCATGAAATGAATTCATAGATTTGATGAAATTGACTGTTTTTCTTTCTATTTAGTTAGTTCATGAATATTTTCGTTTCGCAATTATACTTGTTGTTTCAAAAAGGCACCATTTTTGGATTGCGGTATGAGTATTTTTTTTTTTTTTTTTTTCAAAAAATCTATTAGATTTTATTCGAATTGAAAAGTTCAAACATATTCCAAAAAATCCAATGCATATTTACAAAAATTCTTTCACGGAAGCATAATTTACTTTTTGTCCGTGTTGGATGCATGTGCGGTAATATCAATCATAGATGTTAACGATATGATTGAGACATATGATTATCAATAATGAAATAATTCCAGTCTTTAGAATAGTTTTAGAAGAAAATTTAACTAAACTCTATAAATATTATTTGACTTGAAATATCTTTTTAGTGTAAACTTTATTTTGGATCAACCACTTTTCGTACAACACAAAAATACCTGCTTCGAATGAAAGTCTTGTATTTAATAAAACTCCATAGGCTTTCTTAGGTTGCTTCCTTACGTCGAATGTTTATATACAAATCAAATCGATTTGAAAAAAATTGCTCCAAACTTGTCACTTAATGGTATATCTATTATATGAAGCTTCCATTTATTTCAAGCTAATTTCAAATACATTTAATGTATTTGAATAAAGTTGCGCGTTTTATTTAAATTTGGAATTATATCAATGTGCGCCTTTGTTGCTTAAACGCAGTAATAAAAATATCCAGAATAATGCGTTGATTAAATTAAATAGTTTGCGCAATGATACTTAAAATCAAAGTTTGAGTTATTCTCAATCTAATATTGACTTACGAATTGTGAGAATACAGAAATGAAAATTATAATTACTCCTACTCCATGAAAGTTCTTTTAATGCTTTGATAAATTTAATGGAACGTCTGAAAATAATAATAAAAAACATAGAGAATTTTTTTAGTTTTAATCATGTTACGAATGCGTATAGTACAATCATCTAGTTGAAGAATCTATAGATACCTGAACTTGGTTCATTTTTTATAAGTGAGATTGGTTCACAATCACCAAATTGCTGTGGTTGTCGTCGAAATGCGGATGTGGCTGTAGGTGTTGCAACAGGAGATTTTTTATTATCGGTTGCATTCCACATATCAACATCGGCGACGGAATGTTGATCTCTTACCGGAACAGATCTACCTAAGCTATACGGAGACATTAACATTGAATGAATTTCGTTTTGACTTTTTGCTGTTAATGGTGGTTTATCCGACATTAATGATGAGCCAGAAACTGTTGGATAATGCATAATTGATGCATTATATGGATCCATCCACGATGGAACAAGATTTTTATGCAGAAGATCCATCGTAGCAGATGGATGAGATTTCCGGAATATTTCACTGGCTGGATGATGATAATACAATGGATTCATATATGCTGCAGCAGCAGCAGCTGACATCGATGGCATATTAGATCCATGTAAATTACTTCCTGCATACATATGATAAAATGGACTTGATGCTTGTTGTTGCAATGCAGACGCTATCAAAGACTGATGATGCATTGCAGCTATTTCAGCATTGTATCGGGCTTGTAAATCTTTTTCATATAACTCCTGTGTTTGAGGCTTCTTATGTAGTTCGCCTGGCGATTTTGATCGTTTCGTTAGTATTTTTGAGTCTTGAATAGATTCACTTGTTAATTTTTTTGTAACATTTGAATCACTTTTAGTTGAAGTAATATTTTCACCACTCGCAAAACCATTGTTTGGACTTAGAGATCCATATTTTTGACGAATAGATGCAGTCTTTTTGGGAATCGTTGTTGTCGATAAACTATTATTACTATTTGCGTAGTTCGATGGACTACTTCGTCCTGGCGTATTTGAATTTCGTGCAGGTGACCAATCGCTCATTCGATGTTTTGTGTTTGGTGAGTATCGTGGATTTTCGCTGACATTAGAAGTATTTACATCACATGTTTGTGGTAACAAATTACTAACATTGTACGTCGACGATAAACTGTGCGCTTGTGATGATTGTGTCGGCGAAGTTTTAGTGCTACCACCGTATGTTGATGGTGAGTATCGATTTGCGAATGCGGTCGGTGAACCATTTATAGATGTATATTGATGGAGACCGCTTACGCTACTATTGCTCATTGTACTCGGCGACGCTGTTGAACGATACGATCGATGACGGTATAGGTCGGTTGGTGATAACGTGCCCGAGGTGCCCGAGCTTATTGGTGAAGCGCGAGATGACGATAAATATGGATGAAAACTAGATGTTGGTGACGACAAAGATGGATGATATCGATTGTGGTGTGAATTTTGTTGCAACCCTGGGCTTGGACTATTTATATCTGGTGAACGAGTAGTACGATAATTAGTTGGTGAATTGATTAATGCATTTCCACAGTTGGTTGGGGATTTCTTCTTCGTGACAAGTGTTGATCGACCGCTGGACAAAATTTGATGATTAAATGACATGGGCGATCTTGGAGATCCTCTATTCTCACTGATTGCTTTTTCATCAGCACTTGCTTCATTTTTACTACCATCACTATTATTGTGCCCCAAGAGCGATATAATACTGTAGTTACTTATTGGTTTTGATGTGGGTTGCGATGAAGTCTCATTTGATGCATGGGAATGACTACTACTTTTTGATACATTTGTTGATATTGTTCGAGAACTTTTGAATGGTTTTTCCGATATTGCAGTGTCTATTGAATTCGAATTTTTCAATGGCGTTCCATTTGCTATTCTATTGCTTTCCTCTTTATTGTTAATTGCAATATTTGCCGTTTGCTGTGTTACTACAACCGAGTAATTAGCACCAGATGCTTTGGAACTGCTTATCATAGCAAAATCAGTTGATACACTGCTCTTAGATCGAGATCTTTTTTGCGTTGCAGAATTTCGATCCTCAAGGGATACCTTTTCAAATTCTCTAAGTATTCGCTTTCGCGGAGAAACGTGTTGGTGTGGAAAAAACAATTCATTCGATCGATTTGAAGATGAAAATTGAATACCGAGCCCAATTTGAGTAGATGTGACGTTCATTGGTTTTTCAAACACTTTGGCGATAAGTTTCTCAATTACACCGCTCAATTTTGTTGAACGCATCACTTGTCTCTTGTTTCTCTGACAATTTTCAACATTATGCACTTTAAGTGCTATTGATTCGTCTGACTTGGAATTGCTTCCATCGCTTACTTTGTAATCCATTTTTTCATCATCGCTAATGAATTTATTTTCGTTAGTTCCCAATGAACTGTCAACTGTATCTCCGGTACCATCTGCCTTTTCGGCATTGTTATCTGATTCATCTGATTTATTGTTATCAATATCATCAACAATAATGTTAATATTTTCCGCCTTATTGTTGACCGAATTTTTTCGTGAATTTCGGTTCGTAAATAAGTCAGACGTCGAGTAATTTCTTTTTTCGTGTGGTTGACGTCGAATACGTTTCGATACCAATTTTGAAGTTTCACTCAGAATTACTGTTACCGGTCGATAGTAATAAAAATGCAAGTCTTTCGAAATATTTTTACGAGGTGATAACTGTTTCCAACTGTGGTCGCGTTGCCAGGGAGAAGATTGAATAGAGCTGTTGTCATCAGAAACTGTAGAAAAAATATATACATTTTCATTATCATATTTACTTTTCAAAACAAACATTACCAAATGCGTAAAAATCAAACAGAAATAAAAGTAATAATTCAGTTCAAAAAATTTATACACAGTGCGATCTCGATTCTACCTCGAGCATTGGACAATCAATTTATAGGTTTGTTTAATTTATTAAAGCTTAAATTGAGATGTCTTTTATTTACTGGCTTATTAAATTTATTGATGTTTGTATCACATTGAAAATGATACTCTTAAAAATATATTTCTACGTGAACCCAGGCTCTTGAGACTGATAATTGACGAAAGTGGCAGATAATCGAGGGACGAACAATCTAGGTCGCACTGTAATTTAATTTCCCAAAACTCATGTATTCTGACTTTAAAGTTTCTTGCAAAAAGCAGTATACTAGAACTAAGTACTTTTTGTGAAATAAATTCTTAAATATGGGATATAACTTACAACTAAGCGATGTGGAACTTTCATTTTTGTGATTGTTTATGTTATTCTGTGAAATAGCAGCTGGTGGCCAATATGTTTTTCTTGGTACAGAAATCCATCCCCTGTCTCCTTCTTTTGATCTAGCCAGCTCAAGAATGAATTTTCCATCTATATACATGAAAAATAAGAAAATAATTAAATATTAAGACGTTCCAATATAATTTAAATTGTTATGAACATTGATGTGAAGAGTTTTGTTTTCTTCACTAAAAAGCCTACCCAAAATACTATTTGATATTTTTTTTCATTTTTTTTCTTTTTCTTCTTCAAACATTTCTAGCAACAACGATTATTTTTATTATTTAAATGAATTATATTCAAGTACGTGTAAATAATTTCGTATAAACGATGATTCAAAAAATTCGTCATTTTAACTTCACACTATAGTGTATCATCTCTATATACGTTACACCGAAGGCAAAAAAGAGAAGGAAAGGGCAAAACTAATGACGGTGATGAAGAGGAAAAACATAAAGAATGAAAAGGGAACGTATACTCGATGTTGTTTGCTCTTTCGATTTTAGAATTCTTTATTATTTATTATTATTATTGCATTGAATGCGTTATGGTATCTTGACTTTGGCTTGTGCTACGTTGTACTTTCCTATAATCATGTAATTACGTCTAACGTGAATTGTTTTACGTGCCGCACATATATTTAGATTTTGAGCTTAGCAGAACCCGACATCTATTCTTCTTTTCCCTATGTATTCTTCAAAAAAAAAAATCTTCCCAATTCTTCTTCATCATCTTTTTGTATTTTTCTTTAGATATAAAGCAAAACAAATGGAATGACAGTGTAAAGTGTATTGAATGAAACTAGTTAGTGAGAGAGAGAGAGAGAGAGAGAGAGAGAGAAAGAGTGAAAGAGGAAGATAGTTGGAACCAGTCGCGCTGAATGGCGTGATTTAGCCTGGAACGGTAAGTGATGTGTTCTATTCGATTCAAATCAAAATTGTGGAGAAGGGTACAGAGAAGTTTAGTCAATTACTAACCAGGCACAAACACTCAAATTTATGCCACACGTATGCTATAATATTGCATGCACACGCCCACGCGTTCACGTTTGAAGCAAGTACAACATTAACCAGCAATGGCATCGTCAACGAAAGTTGTTGCACATTCTGATATATGTAAATAGCATTTGTCACTTTAATGCATTCTTTATTTTATGGTTAAAATGTGTGTGGATTTGAATTTATGGATGTTCTTTGTCAAATAAAAAAAAAAGAAATTAAATGAATTCTATTTACCTTTAAAAAATTGTAGTCGTCCTCCACACGCATTATGTAGTGGACTCCCGTTATTGCTATTCGAGTAGTTTATGCTATGATTTGGTTGTTTACTATTGGAATTGTTTCCGTTTCCAGTGCCACTGCTATAGTTGCCGTTACTTGTACAACCACTACTAATAAAATTGTCCGCATTGCCATTTTCTGTATCGTTGGGTGAATGCAATTGTGATTGAGATTGCCGATTACTGTTGTTATTATTTTCATTATTGTTTCCATCGTTATTTGGTAATGTGGAACTTGCAGTTGTTGTCGTCGTCGTCGTCGTTGTCGACGACGTTGTAGCTGTTGTCGTTGATGCTGTGGCTGAGCTTGAAGATTCTGTTGAATCAAAATTCAATTCCCTTCCAGCTATACCAACACTATCTATACTACCGTTTTTTAACATTCCATGTTCATCTGTCATTTTTGCACATTTTGTTATTGTTATGCATTTAATTCCTCTTTTAATGGTTTTTTTTCGATGGTTTCATTACGAAGTGCCTGTCGCATGCACACCGGAAATCTCGTTTTTTTTATTTTCTTCATGCGTTTGATTGAATATTTTAGTTTGTCTGTTGCACTCTTATTAAAAATATCCTTTATCTGTATAAATTATAAATTCATCGAAATAGGTAAAACTAATTGATATGTGCGATACCATAGGTACAGCAGCCTGATAAAATCGAAAATTAAAGGCTTGATTCACTAATTTTCACATTAAACTAATTCACAATGCAGTATATTCCAAAAAATTGTTCCAAAAAATATTCAACTGTCTCATCTATATTCCGGAGCTTCACAAATTATTATCATGGTATTCTGAAATGAAAAACACATTTTAGACAAATCAAAGTAATTCTAATTTGCTTGTAATATTATATTACACAAAATTTATGTAGTAAATGGCACAAAGATCACAATATCGACGAGCAATTACTCTTTTTCTCATTCATTTGTATAGTTTGATGTTTTTTTCATTGAAATTTAAATCGAAGCCGTATCTTGATCTCGTTTTATATCTTCGATATAACTCCTTGACTTTTTTTTCAAAACGTAGTGTCCACCTGCTGACAACATTTGTTAAAAAAATTCCAAGTACAATCAAAAACAAAAAAAAAACACCAACTAAAATCGTCGACCATTTCACATCTTTAGTATATGTGTTGTGCCTGTTTTCGACGTTTATTTTCTCTCTTTCTTTCCTTTCAATGGATCCATTCACATCACACACCAAATTATCAAAAGAAAGAACAAGCGAAAAGCTGCAAAATTTCAAAAACTCAATTTAACTACCGAAAGATAAACATATCGATGCGTTTTTTCCGATTTTACTGATTATTTTCAAAGTTCGACGCTTCAATTACATTTAATATTCAATAAATAAATGTATTTTAAACAAACGGAAAATGCACAGAATACTGAAACTTAAGAGCGAAAAAAAACTTTATGTGGAATTGTATTTGACACCGGAATTATTAAACTTCGTACATTTTCTACCCACAAATACAAATCCAAACGCACACACAGACATGCTCGGTAATGTCGGTCTGCTTTCTCATTCGGTTTATTTAGCTGTGTTAACGTTTTTGTAGTTTTGTTTCCCTTCCTTTCCTATGTAAAATGTTCAAGAGTTTTGTAATGCACACATAAACAAAAAACCCAAATAAATATGGTGTTATAACGTATACACTAATAATTTATGTGATATGTGGTTGTGTCGCATATGTGTATATGACTGAATTTAGGGTGTCTCTCGTTGTCTATATGTATAATGTGGCAAGATTAAAATCTATTCTTAAATGTTATTTCTTAAAATTAGCTTTCATACTACTTGGAAAATTATTGAACATGTAATTTGATTTTATTTTTCAAAATTAACTAAATGGGATTACAAAAAATGTACGTTATTTTATGTGGCTCATAAAAATATTGTGATACCCTAACACTTAGGCTCTTAACTGAACCACAGATTCGTTAAACTGGAATGTACATGTGTATATTGGTAGGTATATATGTACGCATACATACAAAATTACAGTGTATTTGTGACAGAATCAATTCAACGGCCATCGATTCACCATTTTATTCGTTACTATACCTCAATATTACTTACTTCATTTGGGTTTAGTTTGTTCTTTGTTTGTATGCTTGATTCATTTTAGCTTGTTTGCACTCATTTTCTTGCGTACGTACAATGAACACTCGTAGTACGTGACAACATGTGTAATTCATTGACTCGGCAAGTTTAAAATGAAATAATCCATATGTATAATAATTGCAACAAATTAATATTGTTTGGCTAATTTCCATCATTTATTGCAAATTTGAAAATAAGAAAAATGTTCTCAATTTTTCCTTCAATTCAATCAGATTCCTTGCAAAGAATTTAAATTTAACGTTTGCATTGGATTTAAAATTACATATAATTAACAATGGTTCCTTTCATATATACACCACTCAGACGCGTTTGAATTTTTATAACCCATGTGTGAGTGTGCAGCTTCTTTTCTTGATGCATAACTGACTGTTTTATGAAACGCCACATAAATATCACACATATAGAGGACGCGCATTTATGTATTATAGTGCAACAAACATTGGAGACTAGACGGTTTCACACAAACAAAATGAACATTCAATGAGAAAATTACCTTCAGCGTGGGAAAAAATGGTTTAGTTCCCATGGTATGTGTATGCGTTACGTTGCAGATAATGCTTAACCGATGCGTTTGTGTCACTAGAGGCATCACATTTTAAAAATTCTCATTTATGTCTGTTTAGCAACAGGCATTATATGTTTGGATATATGAAGATTTCATTTTATTTTAAGGTTATTACATTTGGAAAGGATATTCATCAATTCAACAACCATCAATTAACGTATAGAAAAAAAGAAAACGGTAGCAACGGTACAAAGGAATCAAATTGATTGTATGCATTTTATTGTGAAATGTCAGTGGAAGAGAATTTAATTTCAAATAGAAATTGGACACAAAGAACTGAAACAGAAATATAAAATATTAAACTTAATAAAAATTTCATAATACTTATTAAATCAAACAATGAGCGTTTGCTCATATCCGCTGAACTGAAATCACAAGACGTTTCATTATCCGATTCGTTTCAATACATATTTGACATTTAATGCTATCAGATAGTACACGATAAATTTGTCTCTTTTGAGTCGTCATAGTAGTATAGTAAGCTGCACATTGAAATTTATATTTATTTACTATTTTTAATTGAACTAAAAATATTTTGAACAGACCGAAGATACATAGGATATAGAATATCAGAACCTGTCCAAATTTAAAGTGTAAAGTTGTATTATGGCAGATGATTCCAAAGAAAACGATCAGCAGAAGATCGATAGCGCTATAAATGAGCTCGCCGAGCGAAAAAATGGTAAATTCACAAATAGAAAACTGCTTTTTCAATACAAGAAAAAATACTCATTCCATTTGTAAATTCGTTTAGATTTTCCTTTTTCTTGAAATGTCTTTCAACACATTGTTTAAAATTTAAATAATATGTTTATGAGCATATAGGCATTTATTTGATGAACCGTTTAGTATCTTTGAGCTTTATAGTGTAGGTTTGTAATACAAAGTTCACAATTAAATATATTTTTCGATTATTGTAAATTTCGATAAGTTGTTTTTAAAAAAACTACAAATACTTGATAAACTGAGATAATTTCATGATTATTGAATCAAACCTTACTTCGATGTAAACGCTTCAAACATAACCTAAATCATTTAACTACGAATATGCTATAGACGAACAAAAACAATGACAACTTTTTATAAAATATTTTTAATGAAAATATAATCATAAAAAGATTAGTCAATTTATCAATGTAAAAATCGTAGACCAAAAAAAGAACACACAAAACAATCAATCAGAACTAACGATTACCAAGTTATAACTATTTACGTCCGTTGTGTCATTAAATATGAATTTTAAAACAACCGTGGTTTTATTACCAATTGCAGATGTTGGTAGCGAAAAACCTTCGACATCCATTCCACAAAAAAGACCATCTCCAAATTCAAATGTTCATCAGTTATCGCCCAAACGCATGAATGTTTCGTCACAGCACAAATCATTTGGCTTAAGAAATGAATCGATGTTCGAGCCAATGATTGAAAGTTCAAGTGATAGAGAAAATGATGATGCGCTACTAAAAACATTGCCGAAAGATGAAAAAACAAAAAAGGACAGTGCAGCCAGTTGCAGTCAAAATAAAGAAAATGATATTAATCAACACGCATCCAAAACGTTAGTTTCAAGTAATACAAAGTCCACTAACAAAACTACAGTGAATTTCAAATTAATGTCCGTGAATTCGTGCCTTACCAATAAAAAATTTATGGACGATTTTACCACAAAATGGTCAAACACGGCGGAGGATTTTCAGAAGTTCAACAATGATAGCGTAAAATTGTACGCTAAGCCATTTAAAATATGCGTTCTTTCGGATTTTTTGGAAAAGGACTCGTTTACGAAGCAAATAGTATCAGAAATGTCAGAAATGGAGTGGCAAAGGAAACAGATGGACCTCTATGAATTTCACCAAACGACTGATTTAGTCAATCTATTACCAAATGCAAAACCTGCGCTAAAAAGTTTTTACAACATGCTTTTAAATAATATGCTGCCATGGATGAAAAAAATTACCGGACTTCCACTAACTAGAATTTCAGCATCCTGTTCTATGTACAATTATGGCGACTACTTATTAGTGCACGATGATTTGTTATCGGATAGACAAATCGCTTTTGTTTTTTACTTGTCTCCATGGTGTGAAGAATGGAAGGAGGAAATGGGAGGAGCTTTGGAGTTATTTGAAACTGATGCACTAACAGGCCAACCAAAATATCCAATCGTACAAAAATTCACACCACGTAACAACCAATTCGTATTTTTTCGAGTATGCAAAGAATCTTTTCATCAAGTTGGTGAAGTGACAAATTTTGTATATCCACGCCTAACAATAAATGGATGGTTTCATGGTCCATCAATTCATTCATCAATTGATAATGAAAGTAGCCTTCGCTCTAACATATCAGACGCATCTGAAGAGAACGATAGTGAACTTGAACCCAATAATATGGAATATCTACCACCAAACACCGATGAACTTGATTTAAATGAGTGGATAAATTCTTATTATTTACGCAAACGAGCAAAACATGGAATTCAAATGCATATTGAAGAGAAATCTGAAGTGTCATTGGAAATGTTTCTCATATCTGAATTCTTTGAGCTGCTTGTATCTGAGTTTAAAGATTGTACAGATTGGGTACTCGAAGGTCCAGCAAATCAACGTAAATATGAAAGCCTACATCTTACGCCGCAATCTAGTGGGCCACTTAAGGATTTGCTCACATTGTTTACATCAAATTCAATGTTTAGATTGCTACACGAATATACCGAACTTGATTTGTATGGTATGCATGCACAATCGCCAACATGTTCGGTGCAATTGTGTCGATTTACACAGGGCTGTTATACGTTGCTTGGTGATTCATCCTCATTTAACGATAGCGCACTCGACGTAATACTATTTTTTGGTGCTCGTGATGGAGTTGGGAAAATTACATACCTCAGTCCATTACAAGAAGCGAAGGATTTAAAAAATGTGAGTGAATACAATACGACCGTTGAAACCGATGCCACTAATAGTAGTATGGATTTAAGTGGCGTTTCGAGCCCATCCGGTATAAAAGACAATTCAAGTCGGCCTAAGACTAAAATTAAATCACGATTTCAACCAAAAAATTGCAAAAATTCTAGTGAATCAAGTATTAACAGCTCCATAGTAGTGGAAACGTCTGAGGAAGAATCAAATATCGATGATTTATCATCTTTCAGTCATGATTCACAAAGTACAGTTAGAGTTCGAAGCAATGACGTTGAAAGTAATCAGGATGAAGTGACAACAGATGAAGATGAAGAAGAAGATTTCGACGGATTAGCTCAGGAAGATGCACTGTTAACCATTCACCCAAAAGATAACGCGCTCAATCTTGTATACAGGCTCAGTGGTCAAACCAAATTCGTAAAATACATTTCCAAAAATAGCCTGAAGTCCGATGAATATGTCTACATTTTGTTTGCATCGTATAAGGAATAACAAAGTATTTTATATTGAATAAGCAATTAATATTATCATGTTCAGGAACAAAACTGTAAATCTTAACCAAATATCAAAATTGTAGATTACGTTGTTCCATTGAAAAATTATTTGTACCATGAAAAAGCAATTCGATAAAGTGCTACAAAGTTTAAAATTGTTAGAAGCTATGCCTTGCATTTATTTAATAAAAAAATTTGAACGAACATGAATCATGTTTATTTTTTTTCTAAAAATGGTGAAATATACAGTCGTACATACTTTGTTACACTTTATTCATTTTATTTTCCTTCATTTTATAGACAATCAACGGATTCTGGCTACATTGGCCTTTGCATTCATAATAATTGTCATCGGTTTTCCTATGTGGTTTAAAACCACAGAAGTCTACAGAGTTCCATTACCATATTCAAAAATAAATCTCCTTGGTGATGATGTCACTAAAATTTCATCAAAAGTGGGAATTTTTACATATTCGAACGAAAGAACAAAGCTGCTTATGAATGAATTAAAAACTTTCATATTAAAAGAAGGTGAACTATTGTTAGGAATGTTTATTATGCGAACCAATAAAAAAATACAACTGAAAAATAATATATTCCACAGGATTTATCGAAATTGAATATTATGCAATCCAAATAGAAGACACTTTACTTGCAAAAGTCAACACACCAGCTTCACTTGAATCAACTGTTTTGAAAAAATATCCCCTCAAAAGTGGTGAATTTATGCTTTTGGAATGGACAAAATTTACCGAAGACATACTCGTTACCTCAGATCGAAGTGCATTCATATCAAGTCAAACCAGTAATTGATGCCCATTAGAATAACAAATTATTATAAACGATATAATGAAACTATAATGATTCTCTTATTAATTAGCTGCAACACAAATTCATCGTGTGTTGATGCAATGGATATACCGGCTTCCAAAACTTCAGTCGGTATTGAAAACAACTCAAAAGTTACATGATCGAAAATATAAAGTACAAAAAAAATTGGAAAACACAACACCACCTAGCGCAAAGTATGATATCTTGGTGTCGGTGTTCCATCCCAGGCCAGATCAACAAAAAGTTCGTTGGAATATTCGCGCTGCCATCGATAGTGAGTAAATCATTTAACATAGATACAAATCTTTTGAAGAGTGTGTGTTTTGTAATCATGGTGATCATTTATCGAACATTAATATGCATTCTAGTGAAAATGTGTATTTACTCACTACAAATTTATATCTAATCACACAGCATATATACAGCCATTTTTGAAGGAAATTCAGCCAGTATCTAATTTTGTATTGAAATCGCAATGGAAATATCAAGTTCCATTCGAGTTTTCAAAAAAACAGGTACGAATGGCATTTTTGGATACATTATTCATGATTATAGGCACTAACGATATTGAATTTGAAATATTTTCCATATTTAGATACCAAATTCCGAAAATAAATCAGACATTCATTATGCAGTGACGGAAGAGAATTTACCACATATAATTACATCAATCGAGGGGAAATTGGGGATATCCATTCATGAAAGTCCCACGATACATTTAATAATTTATATTCCTCCTTGTGACAACAGTCCGCTGTATTTGTACAATTCGAAGGGACAAAGAGCAACTAATAAAACGATTGACTCATTTCTATCACAAAAATGGGGCGGCATCATTATATCTAATCCAACTGCTGGAGAATGCTCACAGTGGATGTCAAATCAAGAGAAAGTTGAAGTTAATATTAACACACATAGCGTCATGCATGCCGCATTATTTTTGCTTCGGCGTATAATTGACATTCATGTAGACGTATGTGACAATCTAAAAATGATTGAATTTGGACATATACAGTAGTAAATGTATGTTTATTTATTTCACACATTAGACTGAAATTCCAATTGCAAATATCAATCCTTGGGAATCAGTAACACCGAGATCATGGGAAATCGACAGTCATTTAAGAATCAGTGCAGTACACTTGATAAGTTCAGCCACATCAACTCTACAATCACTCATTCAACTTTTGGGTATTAATATTATTTTATTATTAATTAATTAATCAATTATAATAAATATATTTGATGCATGTAAATTATTAATTTTATTAGATGGCATACGAAATATTGTAATCAATGATGATGTTGGTTTGGCTATCAACGAGGCATACGATAACATCATAAAGGCAAAGTCCCATTTATTGAACAATGATTTAAGTAATGCAGTTTTTTATGCGAGATTGGCTTTTGAAAATTCGGAACGAGCATTTTTCGATCCCAGTTTATTGGCTCTATTGTACTTTCCCGATGACCAAAAGTAAGTCAATTAAGCCCGCTTCAGTTGTTATCAATTTTTTACAAATTTTCTTGAATTTCGTATTCCTTTTCCATAGATATGCTATTTACATTCCCCTGTTTTTACCAGTCATGCTTCCTATCGTACTATCTTTCTATAGCATCTACAAACACTTTCAAAAGGACAAAACAATCAAAGTCAAGGCTGAATAAATCTTATACCAACACATGAGTTACTGATCCGCTTCAAAAGAAGCACATTGACTCACTGTAATTGTAATAAATAAAGTATTTAATGCGAAAAAGAAATCTTTTGAGTTTGAAAAATTTCGATTGACACGATAAAATGACAAATTTGAAAGAGGTACTCCAATAAATCTAGAAAACATAGTAAGAATTTAGTTTATTGACCATGAAAAATATCAATTGAATAAAACATTGTGCCTCATGTACAAATCAAAAATCGCAAGCTAAACATATAGTATAAATATGTTCAAAGCTTACGATGCGTGACTGATTTGAAATGTCCATCTGTTTCTATTGAACATTGTTAATATCTTCTTCACGCGATTGTTCCGAAATGTGAAATCAACAAATATATCTTTAGATCAAATCTTTCCTTCATTTTTAATCTGATCAGCAATTTGTGTGAACAAAACGATTTATTTATGCTTAAAACAATTTGATGAGCGAAGGTCACAGTTAATTGTGTGTCAAAAAAAATATGTGAAACAATATTTGTCATCGTTTGACTTTTGAAAATATTTTGATTTTTTTACCCATATAAATTCGCAAATGTTAATGGCACGTCAAAATGTAACAAACGGGTATTTGATTCGAATATGTGGATGATAAATTATTCGTTTCAGTGTGGTCAAGAACAACCATTTCATTAGTTAAATGAAAAAATTACCAAAAATAAGAATCTCTGGTTTGAAATTAAAATTGTTTGGAGAAAAAGTAATTTTTAAAATGAAACAAATTCCGATGATCGAGGGGATCTGATATCAGATATAGAAAAATGTACATCGTTCTTTAACCACGTTACGCTGTAGTATGCTATTAAACGTTGTACGCTGTTATTCACATTAATTTAAGCAGTATGACAGAAATTAGCGATTGCATAATGATGAATATCTTTGAATCTATTGATCTCGATAATTTCTCAATAAAATACTATTTGCGAACCTAAAACACTCAATGTATACATACATTTTTTATCGGTTCAACACAATCTACTTGCATTTGTCCAATTCAAATTTTGACTTTCCAGGGACGTGAGATTGTATGCAACCATAAACAAATGTTGCATCTTATGTCTAGAGATGATGACGATGACGACTACAACACGAACATATTTTGTACAAGTTGCTTCTTATTTGCGCGATTCATATGTATATTCAGAAAATGTACTAACATACATTTTGGTCTTAAGCTATATGTTTTGATGTACGTTATTCTTTGAGATCATTCCATGCGCATGTGCAACGCTAAAATATCTACATTTAATGCATCTAAGTACTTTCACAACCTACGAAATATTTGCGAACGTTAACATCGAAAACAGCGACAAACACATGCAGCCACACTGGATTTGAAGGAACTATAAATACAATGAAGAAACTCTGATTCCATATATGCTTGAACAAATAGTCATTTTCCTCTCTATATCTCTCTGTGTAATGCTCTTTGTTCAGCTGCTAGATATGTTTTTTGCTATTATTATTTCTGTTAGTAGTGATTCAACAGCTACTCGATCTTATGAAATCGTGAGAGAATTGCATAACAATTGAAAGAAGAAGATAATATGAAGATGAGTACTACTCTTGCAATGAATAAAAATAAATCTTTCACTGTATCTTCTGTTTGTAGATTTTTGTGGCATTATTTTGATCTTTCTTTGCTTGTTGAATGCTTTTTTATATATCATTCAGTTCACGTTCTGCGCCTCATCTTTGTTATATTGCCACTGCATTGCATTTTCGTAACATTTGCAATCTCAATTGAAGTACTATCTACCAGACAAATTTTTTTTTCGAAAAAAAAAAATTGAAAGTTGTTTTCGAATGCGATGCAGTGATGATATAATATGATATTCAAAAGACGATTCTCTGCAATGAAAGGTTTCTGTAATTATTAAAAGAAAGATGAATTCAAAGGATGACATGATCATTCATCATATTCCTTTTCTTCTTTTTTCATACTTCTCTTCTCAAAAGACTCAATATTGTCATTGTGCTTTGATGTATTTTTCATAGTTTGAATCTTATCGTGAGAAACGAAAACCAAATGAAATTTACAATTAAATATTAAATATCTTAAAATACAGAAACTTAATTATTTACTTAATGCATTTAGTATCTTTTAAAAATATACATATACATGTAGGTAAACCTGAGATAAAGTTTTTTGCTTACGCAGAAATTCTTTTTGTTAAATCAAAAAAAAAATCGCAATTAATGAGCTTGACCACAAATAGGTAGATTAATTTAAATACAATGTTGACCTATGCGTGCTAGCATTGCATATTCAACGAAGAATTCCTCCAACACCGAATATTAAAAAACACCTAGATTCAATGTGTGATTTTCTATGTAATGAAATACTCTTGTGAATCAGCAGAGTAACATATACAAACAGCATGCATTTAAATTAAAGTAATAACCTGATTCTGTATCGGCAATCATGTTCATTGCTTTATTCCTCCTATCCGTACGTGATCTATGGAGGTAAATGGAATCTGCAAATGCAATTAGTTCCCATACGATGCTGCTCAATTTGATTTGCCGCTATTATTTTTTTAATATATAATCGATGAGTTCAACATGCTAGGTAACAGACATTCGCCGCACTTATTACCTGTTGCAAAGATACAAGCACCATAAAATATACACAGTCACTCACTTACTTACTCACTCACTCTGATATTTTAACTCTCAGCAACTCAACAACTTAACGGCTTCGCTTTTTGTAACTCTTCCTTTCATTTTCATTTGGTTTTTGGATATAGACAAGCTAACATTGTTTTTCGTGTGCTCGTGTTGCGGGAATATTGTATGCATAGCATATTTGGAGATAGCTTAAAACATACTTCTATGCCATAGGAATAGACACAAACCACAGTTTTCTGCGAGACAATTTTTTTTTATAAATCGCTATTTATGTTTTTACGTGTTGTTTTACGTTTTCTTGTTTGGAAAAATTGAAAAATAATATGTGTGCTGAAATTTTATTAAGTAAAGTTTAAATGGAAACAAATCACGTGCGATTTAAGATCCCGAACATTGCTAATTCTTGCTTACATTAAGAATTACATATTTGTGCAATCACTGGATTTATTGACTTTTCGGATTTATTTATCAATTACATAAATCTCCATTTCATGGACCATTGGAGACACACGAAAAGAAGAAAGATGAAGATCATAGATTACTACTTTCTCGGTTAGTATTTTTTAAATTATTATTATTAGTAGTTTTTGCCATAAATTTGATAAATATATAGAGTTCTTTTTATGAAAATAAGTTCAATTGAGAAAAATACTAAAAATGTTGTGTGATTTAACTCAGTATGAGAAGTTTATTCGTCAAATAAAAAATACGAGTATGTCATAAGATTGCAAGACGAAAGTGTGCAATAAAAAAGTAATGTGTTTATGCGTGTAGAACCTTTGACTAATTTTTCAACCTATGCGCTTTGTTCAACGCAACCTCAACAATAAACATTTTAATTTAAATAAAAGAATTGCATTTTATGTGTTACCATGTGGCCAATGTGTACACATATATGACAGATGTTATTTATATATGCGTCTGATTGTAAAATACGAGACAATTGTATTCTCACAGTGTGAAAAATTAATTTGCAATGAAAATATGCAAGTGAAATTAAAACAAATAAACTATATAAAGTGAATCGAGTGCAATGTAAACTTTATTGTTATGAATTCTATGCGCATAATTCAGTTTAAATATCGTAACAATTTTAAATGATAAAGTGAAAATAAAAGTAATATTTTCACATTTAAATACTAAATTTTTGGTTTTTGATTATTATTCATCAAAATATTCTTTATTTTTCTGATTTGTCTCTAAAATCATTGAAAATCAAAAAAACAATATTTTTTTATTATTGGAAATAAAAATGTTTTCATCAATCAAAAAACGCAATGAAATAATATTAATTAATGTTCATCTTGTTTGCAAAACGAAACGCTCAATTTTGTGCGAGTTAAAAGCGAAAACGAATATTTCATCGCTTAGTAAAACATTGCACAGCAAAGAAACACATAAAACAACAAAGATATATTAAAATGGGAAAAAAGTGAAGAATTATGTAGAAATACATGAGTTAAGACAAAATGAAGGTGCCTTATGGTTGTCTTTGTTGATTTCTTTTTGCATATTCACATGCAACAAAAGGTATTATTAATTCATAAGCTGAGAGGGGCGGCGAACATTATGTGTAATGCCAAACGCACGTACTGATGCATTAAATGTGTACGCAAATATCATAATTACGAACTTATAAGCCAAAGCATCATTACAAAGCGATGGCGAGAAGATTGAATCTTCATCACTAAAGAAAAAATACGGAATATTTTGACTACCACTTTAAAACTGAATCCATATGGATTCTTGGCATCACGATCTGTCAATGAGATACTTTAGCATTTAAAGAGATTTTTTTTTGTGAATTCAGTAATGCCAAAGATTGATGCAAACAATTTTATACTTTAATGATACGCACGATTCATTCCGTTCGAAGTTTTTTTAGTATAAATATAATAGAGATTCGACATGGCCAACACCATCTTGGATTTACCATATACCATGTATATATAGTACATGATTATTATGCGTGTCACTGTAAATAACTGGTCTTTCCCATTATTTAAAATAATTGCCTGAAAACACACATTCCTTTCATTTTCGCCTATTTTAGTTATCATTAAATGCACACATAGAAGTAGCTATTGTTTCAGTACCATTAATTAAAAGATGAAAACATCAATTGCGAAAGTTCACATGTAAATTGTTCCAGAATATTTGATTTTTCTAGAATATTTTCTTTGAAAGTACAAGATGAAAATCTCAAGCTACTTTAATATTATTATCTTTTTAGAAATATTTATTGTATCAATACTTTTTTGTTTTTTTTTTATGCAAAAAAAATATAAAAGTTACACATGAACAAATGAATGCGTTTTTCCTTTTTATGTCCCAAAACTACCATGATTATTTTGAGCTTTTTAAATGAAAATAACAAAATACATATTTGCACCATAGTCTGGGATTAAAACAAAAGGCAGTAGTTTCGTGTAACATATTCTTCTCACGTCTGATGCAACAGTAACGCGCTGTGCACTTTTAATGAAACAGTCGCAAGTTGATGGCAAACTCAACTTTTGACAATATCATGCGATTACTTTCAAATCAAGAGGTGTAATCAACAAAAGTTTTGTTACAAAACTATCATAAATCAAAATCACAAAATTTCATAAATCCCTTTTCATCGCAAAAATTAACATTTAAAATGCTTTTAAGCTGCCTCAGTATTGATTAGAAATAAAGTTGTTAGTTTTTAGTTTTGACAAAGAATGAGATTTTTTTTTATTGAAATTGACTGTGAAAACTCCTTTTCATAGCATTCTCTTTCTGCTTGAGTATAATGTATTGAAGTTATTTAGAGAGGGGATGGTTTAAACGTTAAATGTTGTGTGATGCACGGCTCCCAGTGAATTGTAGTGTATAAAATATAATAATGTGGGATTTGAGAGCAAGTAAAAAAGACTCAACCAACTCAACCAAACATGCTTAGTTTTCCTCACCATTCTCTTCAATTAAATCGGGCCATCGTATAAAAAGACATTGCATAAACTTTAGAATGTTTACGAATTCCACTTGCTTCTGATCGTATTTGTTTGGTACATCACCATTGCTGTGCAAGAAACTATATACCGCTTCGTGTTTTGTGCATTAACTTTTTCAAGCCGAATAGTAATGCAATAAACATTATTTATTGAACAATGACGTTAAGTACAGACGGGGAAAAATCAAAAACTATGGCTATCTCATGAATACGGTTTTAGTTTTTCCCATGATATTTGTAGAGTGGAATATATTTTGAATGTATAGATCTCTTTATACTCATGTAACATTGGAATAATCATATGTACAATTTAATTTGATTCCCCAAAGCAGAAAGCAGATTCTCTTTCCTATCTTGAATTAGATATACGTATAAGTACTTTAGATATGCCAAATTATATAGCAAATTCATTTAAATTTGGCGAAATTTGATTTAAACAAAAGAAATAGTTCACTCACTCCCATTTAAGTTTAAATTAGTTAAGCAAACGGAACAATTCATGTGGAATGCATCTTATGCAAACTTGTTGAGTAAGGAGTGTCACAGTGCATACTGAATAAACTCTATTACTTTATTTTAAGAAATTAACTTTTATAAATTGTATTATTCTATGCTTGTATTGTTATTATTGGTTATTTGTGTCAGATATGGTGGGCGTTATTACATTTGAAGATTTAAACATTTTACCATATAAAATTATAAAGAAGATGTGATCAACCTAAGGTATTCACTATTACAACTAGAGCCTATAATATATAATCATTATAATTTCACAATCCAAACTCCGACGATTAAAATACTTTCAAATCGACTAACAAGACATAGTATTTTCTAAATTCAAATTGTAAATCATTAAATCACAGCTGCTGTGAAATATCGAAAGTGAAAGAAGTTGCATGACGGGCTTGTGAGATTTGTACAATGAAGACGAATTCAAAATAGTGGTCTGCAAATTAATTTTCGTTTAAGTGAATTACTTTAAGCGAGAAAATTAGTTACAGTATCACGAAAGGGCACCGCGAGATGTAAATAACGATGAAATGCTCATTTGTAAAACCACTTCAATTTCACATATTTCTTTCTCTAGTAGTGACTAATGAAAACATAAATAGTCAAAAGTACAGCTTCGAACAACCTTAAATGAAAGGATTCTTGTGCTCTTCAATTCTATAATACCAATATATATTATTGTCATGTCACATAACATAATAAAAAATTGTCTGTTGGTCATCAAGACAATTCAAGCATCCCAAGAAATATTTGGAATAGTAGATGTATTGGTTTTAATTGAAAAATTGACAAACTTGTAAATAAATGTGTGAATGCACAGGGTGCTTCTCTTCAGTTATTAGTATTTTTTTTATCTTACTTTATGATGACGACGACAATTATATAGAATGTTACGAGTTACGAGAGCTTAACAGGCATCAAGTACAATTTCATTTCTATTTTATTATAATAACATTATACAGTTTGTTTAATAAACAGCGTGTTCAACTCTTTTAGTAACACAATACATATGTTAAGATCTGCAATAGCATCTCCAAACATAAGATCGCATATGATGAAAACTGAAGAGAAAGAAGAGACGAACTATTCATATTGAGCAAAAAAAAAAAACAGTTTGCTATAATGGTCAACATTATTGGGAAGAAAACGAACATTTCTTTTGGAACATTTTGAATGTCGGAATGAATTAACACTATTACAGTACAGACGGCACATGATATCAAATTATATAATAACATATGAAAATAGCACGTGGTATAGAAAGTGATAGATTACAAAGTTACGGAAATATTACACCTTTTATCTATCTCTACAACATAATTTCAAATATTCTGTTTTTATTAGCGAATAATTAAAAATTTCGTTTTTTTTTTTCTTAACTATTAGTTGGGCTTTTCTTGATTTCCGTCGATCAGACATTGCAGCTAACTGCAAATATCAATAAAAATGGAAACAGACATCCTTCATATAGTCTTCAAAATATGCCCAAAACTGACTTCTCATGTCGTGAAAAAATATTGGGTGGCTACTATGCTGATCCAGAGACACAATGTCAAATGTTTCATATTTGCGTAAAAATTGCTGGCGTCGGGGTAAGTTTCAAAATAATCTAATTCTAATTATAGAAGAAAGCGTTTTATTTGGTTTTTATTATCGCCAGAGGCGAAATCTTCTTTATTTCTCGCTTTAAAAAAGATCGTTTGAAAACAAAAACTCAATTTCTGTTCTATTTGTGGTCGTAAAAATATGAGTAAAACTTGTAAAAAGTGTTCAATGTTTACTAGTAGAATGAAACATTTAATTTTATTGATTTTTAATGTATGGAATGTCTTCAGAATTAAGGTTAACTGTATTTATTGATGTTTTCTTTTTACTACAGCTTAATAAAAAAAAATATCCACAATATGCAAATCATGTACATGAAAATTTTTATAATGTGTGCTAAGTATCATTGTAATAACGATGACTGTGAGATTTGCACCGTGACGTAGACTCTGTTTGAATTCAAACAAAATGCCAATCACTTGCGGCCTATGAAAACTATAATTACAAATTTTGTTTTCTTCTTGAAAAACCACTTCATCTGTGTTTTAGTTAACTGTACATTTGATCGAATAGTAAGAAAAAGAAGAAGTAACATGTGCGTCAATTTTAAAATAATAAATACTATTTAATTTCAATTTCAATGAAGTGGATTTAAGATCCAAGGTCGCTTGTATGAGAAAATCGTTCACATTCACCCGGTTGTAGTTGAAAATATTTGATTTGGAATCGTGTGCGCACATCAATGGTACTATTTTTTTTATTATGAAGCAAACTGGGACATAAAGTTTGTCATGCAATCGTAAAATTTTTAAAGAGAAAAAAATGTGATTGTAAATGTTAAATCAATCCATTCAATCAATAACAAACAATACACTCGATATTTTTTGAAGAAGATGAAACAATGGCGACAGAAGAGGTTTACTAAGCGACGAGTCTTTATGTTAGTTAACCTTTGTGTTAATAGAAAGTGAAAACTGTAATAGAGTTCAATACAAGTCTGAAATGAAAGAAGAAGTCAAAGCGAATGAAAAACCAAGCATAACTGGATAAAATTCTTCCGAGTCTTTTAAACGATTAAATAGTTAAATAGCTAGATGTCCCAATGTATAGTATTAAATTCACAATAGTTCGTATAGTATGAAATTTATTGTTTGCAAAGTTTCAATACTTTTTTGTCAAGTTATGGTCGGATATTTTGATTAGTCTAGACTTTCTCGCGAAGATACGCTCTTCTTGTATGACGTAAATCTTTGGTGGAAATCAACGAAAGTTGAAATAAAAAGAATAACAACTTTAAATGAACTAGCGTTCATGGTTGCTCATTGTATAGGTTTTTATAGTATAGCTAGGTGTTTCCCATCTCTATTTCTATCATTCCTACTTCTTTAAAGTCATGAGATCGAATAGTTGACTTTTGTTATTGTTGTTTCGTCTTTTGCGACGCTGTACTTTCATATTCCCAAGTGATTTTAGTGACCTTTGCATCAAATGAGATATGTTTTATATGCCATTTTAAATTTATGTGTGCACCGATGAACCAATAAAAGAAACCATAATCGCATAAGCCAATGAATAATGGTGAAAATTTAATTCAAAGCATTTTGTAAAAATATGACAAGGCTCGAAAGGTATTTTGATGTACATGATGATCGACAAATACCTCGTGCATTGATTATTAGTCAAGTACTCCGCTTTAAATATGTAAGCAACTATCAGAAATGTTCAGCCATTAAAGACGGAATCGTGTGACTTTTTTGATCAAGATTAACATTGAGAACTATGTATACGGCACGCAACACCATATTTGGTTGGTTTTTATTCATGAAAAATATCAAATGTCTTACGATATAATTATGGGCATAAGTTTGTAGAAATAATAGTTAGGTAATTTTTTTTTTAAATCAATGTTTCAGGTGCAAGATTTTAGATTTTTGTGTCCAAATGGAACTGCATTCGATCAAGAGGCTCAAACTTGTGCTGATTTTGGTGATGTTGATTGCGATCAAGCTACATTATTTTATGGTAGTGATAACTTTGATCTATATCGCATTGGGTCGGGATTTGAACGCAAGCAACCAACACCAGCCACAGAAGATGAATCGACATTTCATTTGCAGCGGTCTGAATCAAGTGAGTTTTATATGCTTTATTTAGAGTTATTTTTCTATATGTTCATACATCGATTTGATGTTGATGCATGTGCAAAATTTTAATTTTAATTTTATTTTCTAAAAAAAAAAGAAAAAAAAGAATTGTGAAAAATTCCATCCGTTTTCACGATGCCATTTGACTGATATTTTCCGCCAAACATACGTGTGTTTCTTCTAGCTCGTTGTAATAAATAGTTGATTTTCACTTCACGTCCAATATATCATTGTATTCCTATCCATGTAACTCTCGAAATTAAAAACCTCATAAAATACATTGTAGCAACAGTTCTTCTGCGAGTATTTGGTTATTTCTTGAAAGTATACATAAATGCTACAACAGCAGCAACTTATGTGCTTGCCGAAGATATTATCGATTATGAGATTTCACTCAAACACACAGTATGAGTGTTCAAAGTTTGAAAAACTGTAAAAAAGGTATAATAAAAACTGAAACTGTGTGAAATATGCATAAAATCAAAAACGACATTTGGATGATCGAAATTACCGTCTCGCTTGAAAAATACATTAATGCCCCTACTATTTTTTGCAATCAATACTATTTTCTGCAATCGATATTTCTTTGTGCGCAAATCAAATATGAAACACGCATTGTTGTGGAACAACATTTCTCTTCATTTGTGGTACTCATCATCAAAATGTTAAGAGAAGCAACGCGTGCAAAAAGGCAAAATCAGCGTATTATTCACGTATAACCGAGTAGCAAAATAGACAGCCCAATTAAAAAAGACGAACAGTGCCGGAAGTTTTGTTGTGCAATAAAATTTTTGTTTGGTATTTGTTATTTGCTTCTTCACAATAGTGAAAACACGAAAAAATACAAATAGTCTTTGGAAATTATAGCTCAACTTTCTTCTCGAAATAATACCAGATATTTAACAAGATCATACCAATAAGGATTATTAATATAACTATCTTTTTTTCGACTAGAAGATTTTAGATGATGAAGGTCTTTTGTCTTTCAAATTTCGGCAAAGCACGAACATCTTGTTAATTTGTATCATCTAATACTGAAAAAATTAAGCCTCTTGATCGAATAGTAGACTTCAAAGTGAGCTATTATTAAATGTATATTATACCTATATTTTAGATGATATTCGAAGAAGTAAGCAACCTATTGTTGTTCAAAATGCTATATATAATATGGGATCATCGTTCAATCAAAAACAATATGAACTGAGTTCAGTGAAGCCAGCTTATCAATACCAGTCGCCAAAAATAACGACAACGACAACGACCACGACACCACGTACAACTCTGACCACTCGAAAGGTCACAACAACAGTACCTTTTTTCATCAGCAAGCCTCTCACACCACTTGTTTCAGTTCCAACAAACTCAAATAGTAAGTTTCAATGTAACATTTCAATTTTTCCTGTTCAACGGAAATTTGAAATAATACTTTACTAACCTTTTTTTCAGACAATGACGAAATATTCAAAGGTAGCCATTCTTCAAACTTTTATAGTAATCGAAACAGTAACGATGATGATGACGATTATAAGCGACACACAATAAACAACTCAGCGAAGAATCGTCATCGATCACGTGGCCGAATTCAATATCGTGGAACTTCTGCGACTACAAGTTCCACCACATTTAAACCACCCGTTGTTCAAAATTATACAACTTTGACACCTTTCACCGCAAAATCTACGACACAATCTCCACAATTCAAGTTTACATTCTCTTCTACGGTTAGAGCAAATTCATTATCACATGCTCAACTTGGACCCTTACAACAACAGTTTTCAAATTATAATAGTAATAATTTCGACAGTTTTAAAGTACATTCAACGACATCTGTGCCAGTTTCATCATCACAAAGAAGCAATTTCCGAGCAAATAGCTTCAATAATCCAATTACGACTCAATCAACATTCAATGTTGTCCCGCTGAGACAAGTGGTGTCTGCGCCAACACCTTTCAATAGTAATCATCTTAATGTTAAAAAATTTGAAGGGACCAATGTAACCGATAAGTCTTTAGCGATTAGTACTGTTTATACAAACAGTAATATTTATAACAATAATCTGTACAATTCGAATTCATCGAACATTTCATCGAGTAGACAACAGAATGCACGTGTATTTGATAATCATAATGTAATTAATAATTATCAAACGACGAGTCCTTTCTCCAATCAACGTATAATGGCTAATCATCTCACAACAAACAATACAGTTTTACGTCCAACTTCCACTCTTGCAAATACAGTCGGTTCAGCGACGTTTACTCAACAAAAACCATCGAATACAAGTAGTTTTTATCCATCAAGTCAAAATTCTGTCACAACAACAGTGCAACCACCATCAATACCACAATCTCAAATTGCACACAATTCGTTGCCACAAGAACGACCCAATTTTAATCAACAAGATTTGATCAATCAATTTAATTTAGAACAACGCAAATTAACACAGCAGAAGCCTTCTCAAAATAATAATAATAATAACAACAACAACAACAACAACAACAACATCAATAATATACAAAATAACAATCAACGGCCAAGCGATGCTCAAACTTACCTTAGTTTAGAGCAAAAGCGACTGCAATTGCATTATGATATTAATGACTACTTGACTACAGATAAACAAATATCCCCACAATACTCACCAACTTCCGAGCAACATAGATCCGTTCAACAAGTTCCGAATTCAAATGTAAAAGCATTGCAGTCGAATCAGTTCTTGACGCAAAAGAGTCAAGAGCCCTTTATTTCTACAACAGCCAAAATAAATAGGTTATCAATTGAAACTAATTACAATCAACAATATCAAACCCAACAGGATCGACCATCCCAATCTTTAAATCATAAGCTTAATACACAAATAAGCGATAAAAATGTTCATAAAACAACAACCAAACAAATCAGCAGCAATAACAATAATATAATTTCAACATCCACTAAGAAATTCTCCACGCTTGTTCCAAAAGAAAATTACGCACCAACTACATTTAAGCCATTATTTTACTTTAATGTGGCCAAACAAATAAATGATAATTTGAGCACGCCGACAAAACCTAAAGCTATTAATGATGACTTGATAACGAGTACGACGTTGAGATCAAATCCAATTAATCCCATATTTAATCGAAATCCAGACTTTTCACAGTTTAATTTTAAAGAACCACAGTCGAATAAACAACAAACATTGCATTTACAGCACCAAGCTTCAAAACAGCCACAAAAAAATGTAAGTGAAATTGACGAAAATGATGGACAGTATCATGCAGAGTTATATGAGAGAGATTTTGCACGGTATAAAATTAAAAATCGGAAAAAGCAACAACAGACATTACAACATTCGTTGAAACCAATTTATACGAAAAATGAAAATGGTATTGGTACAACCAACAAACAGCAACATAACTTAAACCGTGGTACACAAAAGAGTTTTCGCAATAGTGCAGAAGAAGAATTCTTGAATACAGCCCATTCACAGAATATTGCGGCAAGTGGAAATGAACTATGGGCCCATTCAAAAAATTCGGCCAACTCAAAACAATCCAATGTACCACCAAAAGTATCAACAACAAAACTACCATCGATTAGTTCCCATGAAAAAAAGTCCATATCAAAAGATGAAAAAGATGTAAGTTACGATTATGCTTATTATGATTCAGCGAACGATACACCACATGACTATTCGGAATTCGATCTGCCTGATTTCGGGAAAACACAGTAGGGATTCACTACAAAAACGAAGATATGTGTTTGCGTAGTAGCAAAAGAATAATGGAACGATCTGCAAAAATCTATGAATGATGTCTATACAAAAATAAAATTGTTTTATTAAGTTAAGACATTATCATACAGATGCCAATTACACAAAACTTCATTGTATTAGAAGGTATTTATGCCATTTCAAAGTGATTCGATTTTACTTCCCATGCATTTTAAAATTCTAAGTTTCACATGACATTCTTGTTATTGAATGATTTTAATCCAAAATTGTAATATAAACGAAAAACAAACCATTTAAAGAAGAATTCATCAAAAATGTTAGTTAATAAATAATAGAATATAGTTCAGATTTTTGTTAACCAGAATTAGTTTTTTGGAAGAAAAGAAGAAATGTCTTTTTCATTTCTCATCTATTCAATATATGTTCGGCTTTCAATCACATATGATTCGAACAATTTACTGGAATTCTACAAAGCAATAAGGAAACATATATTTGTAAATACACTTTTCTAAATCAAACCTTGAAAGAAAAATCATCATTTGTTATTTGAAAAAAAGAGAGTCTAAATTATATTATGTCTAATTTTACAAATGTAAAAACAAATTTCATAATAAAATGTATAAAAATTAAAACACGTTTATTCTATTAATGCAAGAATTTTTTATTCGCCATTATAAATACAATTCATACAATCATTAATTTTCCAAAATGAACATAAATGCTTACTATTTCAAAATCATTTTTCTTCGTATAACATTTGCACATTCTGATGTTTTTTTAGAAATGAAATAAAATCGATTTGTGAGTGATAAATACACGTGTAATTAAATCTTTCAAATAAAACTTACAAAATAATTTTTACGCTGACATGGACAAAGTCAAAAAATTTGACGTGACAATGAATGAAATTCAGTCCTCAGTATGACCAATGACCATGTTACGCGTATGACCATGATATATGTATATGTTTATGTCACTTTGTTTTATTGCAAATATTGTTTTTTTTTTTTGTATACGTTTCAACAATTGATGTAATTAGGAATTTTTCACTTTGCTGCTTTTCTTTTGGAACAGTTTTCGTACGTTAGTAATGAACACCAGGCAAGTGAGAACAAATATCACAAACCACGTTATTGACAATGCAATTATTGTAAACGATTCTGGATCTTTTGAGTCGAGAATGTGATTTTCCCGAAGTAACCAATGATCGGCCAGAACCTTCGTGCCATTCGGTATAGGACATGGATGTTGTACAATGATCTCTTGTCGTTGGACCTAAATAATAGAATAAAAAAATTGGAACATTCAATAAAAATACGGAAAACATGTAGATGACAAATCAAAGATTTCTTTAACACTCACATGCTTATTTCGACACAATTGTTGACCAGCTGTATTTGCCAATGTTTCTTGAGTGAATTCATTATATATTATAATTGGCAAGAGCCATCTTTGTGGTGAAAAACTTTCAAACCACCACAAATATGAGGCTATCTCACCGATGTGCACACTATAACCTCCGACTGTTGTGATCGCCATAATCAATAACATCAATAAGATGGAAGATGCCATTTTCGTATTTACGAGGTGCGAACAGAAATGTGCAAGTATTTGTAATACAGTTAAAAAAAGTAGCATGTAACCTACAATATGACACAAATAGAATTAATAAATCACTATATATACATGTGCGTTATATAATCAAACACATATAAGAAAAAATTCAAATACTGCAACAAAAAACCAATTTCCATACCAATATACTGCCAGATGTTATTTTCATCTGAATTTGAATACAGGCCCGACATAGAATGAGCAGGAAGGAGATATGCCAACCATATACACAAAGATGGCAATAGATTTAGAAGAACCTATTTGATTATTAATTTCGTTAACATTTTCTATTCTTTTTTTTACAAATAATTGGTGCTATACCTGTGTTATAATGTAAACAGTTCCACCATAAAATTTTAACGCAATATCTTTTTCGGCATATTTTCTATCTGTGTGAATATCCTTTATGGTCATGAATAATAAGGGAAACACACCAAGTATCATCACGCTGTGGTGATAGCCGAAACGATCATTATATTTCAATTGCGGATCACTTGATGGAACATCCCAATAAATACAGCCGATTAATAACGACAGAATGGCTGCGACAATAAGCTTACTAATCCATGATAATATCGATCCGGGCTGTTTGTAGATGATAAAACGCTTGAATAGTGCATAAAATTGACCACAGAAACCGGCAGTGCGGACAAAGTATGGCAAAGCAGTTGGTGGAGCAGCTAAAGGTGGCTCGGAATTCATTTGATCCCATGCATTGGCTAATGTTTCAATTCTTGCTGATGATTCTAGCATCGCAGCTTAAAGTATTAAATTATATAAAATAGTAAGGATAAAAATTTTATCATAAAATAATATAAAATAAATAAATTAAATTAATTTGAAGAAATACGTACCAGCAGATAAATCATCTAATGTCACTAAGTCCACTGAAATGAAATGGAAATATTTGAAAGTAAAATTTTAGTTGTATTTGATTTGAAATAAATAAACCATAAGTTTAAACTAAAATATACTATCGCATACTACGTACAGTAATAGTCAGCTGGATTTTTAAAGGGTGGACATGGAAAACCAACACTTCCCATATAACGTGGTAGATCTGAACGACTCCCGCTATACACAGTACGTCCCCCACTCATCAAAAGAACACCTGAGCACATGGACAGTATTTCGAATGTTGGTGGTTGCAAAGTCATGATAACCATTTTACCGTTGCTGCACCATTGTCGCAGATATTCGACTAGAAAGAACGTATCAAATATATCCATATTTGTCGTAATCTGATCTAATATCAATACAGTTGCATCTGTAAGCAATTGACAGGCGACGCAAAGACGCTGTTTTTCTGATTGTGTTAAGCGTGATATATTTGAAGCCCTCACACTTGATAAGCCCAAGTCATCAATGAGAACGTTTATCTAAAAAAAAAAATGATAAATGAATTAAAATCTTTTTGATTTTGTTTTAGCTTTCAGCATAATATAAAATAAAAGTAGCAAAAAAATCCGTACCTGTTGCTTAGAATTAATTGTTGCATTTGGTCCGCGAAGTGTTGCATAAAAATTAAGTATACTTTTTACGCTCATCCGTGGATCAAGTGAACATTTTTCCGGTGCTGGCACGTAACTACATAGATTTTTCAATCCATGTTGTGAAATTCGTTGTCCGTTTATTAGAATTTCGCCCGATGTTCTATCCTTTAGTCCGGCAAGAGTTTCTAAAAGTTGAGTTCCTTCATGACTTGATGTTGCCATTACAGCAAATAAGTCACCTGCAACAAGAATGATTATAATAATATTTTTCTTAATTCAATTGGTTAGAGCTCGAAACTCACCAGCTTTTGCTTGAAAAGATACTCCTCTCAAATTCGGTTCAATATCCAAACAATGTACCTGTATATTGGGGTAAACAAGTGCCATTGCAGCAGATTGACGACGTGATGGTGATAAATTTGATAATGGAACATCGGATACATAGTGTCGCATATGTCTTTGATAGTCTCTACCAATCGTATCATGAATCGTTTCATGTCCGCTTGTGCCACCCAATAGATCTGCCTCACTATGGGAACGATAGTTTGTCGATCCATAGTGCTTTCCACCATTCATTTGATTATGCAAATGAATTCCAGCTATACTCGCTCGACTATGTTGTCGCAATGCGGATAGGGATGGATTAGCTCCACTATGCATATATGGACTAGGTCGCGAATTGCCCATTCCAATTGCACGAAAGTCTGACTCACTTCGAAACTTACGAATTTGTTTATTAGGCGGATTGCGACCACGATGTGTTGTTGTTTCATTATCACTACTATCGTAGCCAGATGAAATAGCACCAGAACTATCTCGATAACCATTGTTTGTGTGGCCTTTATAGCCCGGCCCAGGTCCTGCTCGATGTGAACGTTGTGAAGACATATTTGGTGGAAAAACGCGTGGTAGACCGAACTTAAGATAGGTATACATGTTTGAACTTAAGGGACTTTTTGGCCCATACCTTTAATATAAAAATGTGAAAACCAATAAATCATATGAAAAATTCAAAGCTATTTCATCTTATGATTATTAATATCTATAGATTAATGTGATTACTCATTTTGTTTTCAAATAATATTTACCTAGGATGATTTAATATTGACTGAACAGTGGTATCTCTCAGCTGAAAGTTTCCATATGGCAGTGGTGATTTATCCGATGAGCCCAAGGCACTATCAGTAAAGTCTGAATTCAAATTTTGCCTATATAGAAGAAGAATATTATACTTTTATACGAAAATGTTTGTAAAATATAGTGTTGTATTCACTGAAGTTGTTTACATGTAAAGTATGAACAATTTCTGAAGGAGGAACTATTTCATCGCAATATGTTGTGTTATATGAAATGCGGAAAAGTAAGTATTGCATTGTAGATCCACGGCATTTTTTTTGATTAAATGCACTGAATTTTTCAAAACGTTACAAGTGAATTAAATGCATCTCAATATTTGTTACGAAAGTAAAAGAAATTTAAAAAAAAACGTGAAAGAAGCGAAATGGGGAGAAGATATAATTACATGGGTGATGAAAAAACGAAATTTTTTTACTGTTTGTTTTATTATTATGTTTGGCGCTTCAAAACAATTCGTAAAGAAGTGATTCTTTTATGCACTAATTTTCGCAGACTCTCATCTTGCAAATGTTTATTCATCTTTCGTCGGCTTTATTCGATTTTCTCTTTATGTATTTTTCTCGGCTCAATCGTTTTATTTATTTTCTTTTTACTTTTGAAAATTAAACTTGAATTTGTTCGATATAGTCTGTGATTTCTTTTTGCAATGAATGCATTGATTGAGCCGGAATTCTTAGCATCAAATTTACTTGTAGTTTTATAATGTTTCGAAATGTTTTATTACCTATAAATTGACCAGGCGTGCAGATCTTCTGAAGCAGCCGGTATTATTGGCGCATTTGGACCTTGTGGTACTGAATAACGTCTCTCATTTCGGTCACGTTGGTGATGTGATGAATAGCCCATATTGTTCAATTCCATTTTCTATAAAAGATATAACATGTGAGATATTAAAGACGTTTAAAATTAGACTTTTAGTTCCATGTTCCAATTTAAAAATAATCTTAGATACATTAAAGAGAAAATATTGTTTTTCATAAAAAAGACTAAGATCACAAAATAATCAATTCATTCAAATGAATCTTTTATGTGGATCAAAATTATGTTGCAGTTATTCAAAAGATTTATTTTTCCCAAATAAATGCACTTTTTTCTATTGTAACTTATATTCCCGTTCAACAAATAACTACAACGGCATTTAAATGGTGAATGCACATTTGAATCTATACAAATAGACAATGATGAAACATCTTTCAAATTGGAAAATTGGACCTTTTTCCATACTCAATCAACATCGGATTTTTGTTCCGTTAAAATTATACTAATTTCCAAGATCATAAAAAAATTCGTCGGTTATTTGTTCAACTTATTAAATTCAACTGCTATCTCTTCAAAATAGAAAATAATTTCTTTTTCATATTTATTTTGAAAAATATATTGTTTTTTACTCTTAAATCTTTTTTTTTAAATCCCATGATGATAAAGTTATTTGACTTCAATGGCTATATCAAATATTTCAAGTGATTTGTTGAAATTAACAACTGAGCTGTTCGTATAATTAAATATGGACCAGCTAGAATATTCGTGACCTCAAGAAAAAATCTAAAACTTATCTTCAGAATTGTATTCGGTCGTATTCGGTCAACACAATAGAGGAGCTTTGGCACTAATATTAAAGCGATATATTGAAAATATGAGCAAGATTTTGCATTTTTTCATTATTTTGTTAAAGTGATATTGGAAATGCGATCCTTTTTAATCGCGAGTTGTCGAAGAAGTGAATCTTAAAAAACCACGTACTTGCAGTATTGAATGAACTTGTACTTGTGAAACATTTATGTTTGCACAATTCAAACAATTTGCGGTACGTGTATGTAATCAATCCATTTTATTCAAATTAACTGTGATGCAACTGATGTTAATCAATGTAAAGCGATTATCCATAATTATTATGGTCAGATCACCTTCAGATTCATATACCAATTGTATTTTTTTATGATTTCGCTATGTTCACAATCCGAAAATCCTCTTCATCAAGGCTGAAGAATCTGAAAGATTTGACTCGAAAATATCTCACACAAATGAAAGTTATATTGTGTGCAACAAAGAGTGAATTAATTTCATTTTAGCAACTCACTTATTTTAAACAACACACCTTATCTACCTGTGCGTGTAATGTCTCGATTAGCTTGACTGAACTGTCACTCATGAAATGAATTTTGCCTTCTCTTATTCATATGAATAACGAATACACCAACTATGAATAGTGTGGAGTTGTGGGTAGATTTTTTTAATAAGGAAAAGGTGCGTCACGTATATAAACCCAGCATTAATATTGCATATACATAATAATAATGCAACGAACAAAATATGAGCGGATGTGCATCGAATGATTTCAATCAAAGTTCTTTTCATCGTACTTTAAATATGACCAAACCAACCTGTATTATCTGTTTCATATATGAATGAATTTTATTTTCAATAATCGATTTATTGGAGTTTAAAATGAAATCAGTAATATATTTAACAATTTCGATTCATTAAATGAAAGCTCTAGAAGCCAATCACTTATCATAATATCCCAATGTTTTGATAGTTTATCCGAATAATTTGAAGATGTATTCTTCTGTTGCATCTTCGATTTCATTCAATGTCTTCAGCTATGCGTCTTTAGCCTTGTGATTTTCAAAGTTCACTGACATTTGGTTTGCGGTATTTTAGCCATAAGAATCTTAGACATTAACTGTAATCTTGGTTTTCGTTTTCATTTTCATTTACATCAACGTCAAGATATAAAAACGCTGAAGAAAAAAAACGCTATTTCTTAAACAGGTTTCCGTTAGTATTTGCTTTTACACATGCATCATTACAAAATTTGTCATCATTATTTGTCACAACATATAGTGTTAGATCAACCATTTAGTAAGAGGTTTTACAGTTGTAAAACATATTTTAATTTAATTTGTTTACTATTTATATCATAATGTTTATGAGTGCGAGAGGCTCTTATAGTCAAACATTTTTTTGTCACACTGTAAAGTCAACTAAAGAACTTTTTTTCAAGTCGCTGAAGTTCACTGCAATTACAAGTACAAGAAAAAAATGATTTCATCAAGAAATTTGCTTGAAGTTCTTGTTTTGCATTTCTCCACATTTTCTTTATTTTTTTCTCATCGTAAAGAGAATGTTCTTAAGATTTTTTCACATGAAATAGTTTCAGATCATTGTTTTTATTATGACGATGAGAATTCTAACTCAAAAAGTATAGCAAATTGTGTTTGTACTACCTAGAATTTAAAATAACTTTTTTTAGATATCTCTTATTCTTTCTTATTTCTTCAAATTGCCTCACTTTCATGTTCTATTTAAGCAAAAAAAATGTTTTGACCAATCTTAACGTGTACATTTTGGTCTAACTCCAATTATCGAGTTCTCCATCGGAGAAATGCAAGTTGAAATTTGATTTAAAAAAAATAGTAGGGCAAAAGATAAACTCATGCGGACATGCAACAACTCAAATGGTGTCGATAGAGTCGAAAAATTAAGTTTTATTTCACTATTGAATTGAAAGTAAAATAGTACGGTATGGCCATGGATCTATTTGCAAATATGCAAACCAAGATTGAAATCTTTTTGCTTACTTTCAGTCTTTTCCGGCTGGGTGGTTCCCGTCTTGAGTTTAACGAATATTTTAACAAAGAAAATCATTGGAAACACGACGTAAAGTCTGCGTTATTACTGAATACGAAGATGAGGTTTTTGTTTACACATTGAACGATGAGTCAAACATATAAGTGAAAATTTTAAATGCAACATGTAGGTAAAACACCTACTTCACACATTGTTGACTTCGAACAATCGTCATCAGCACATTTGAAAACTTGATTTGTGCAGTGTTTTGCATAATTTTCTTATTGTGTATATTTTCTGCAAATCACACAAAAAACGACAATTACATGTTTTTTTTTTGTTTTCATAGTTTGGATGTGTTAACATTTGTATGTGACGTAAACGATTTTAGCAACATAAAAAAAAATCAATAAAATAAATTAAAAGAGAAATTGTAGCGTGAACGTGAACCATAGAACGCATCGTTGTTGATCATCCATATTTTTCAACGGTCTTTAATGTACAGAAAATGTTTTTGTCATCTAAAGGTATAACAGTACATAAATTCTTTGTGACCTACAATAATCGATACCGCTGATTTGTCGCTGTTTAATGCCAGCAAACGGCACAGCTGAAATGGGAGCAAACAAACAATAGGAGATGAACACTATATTTAGTGATTTGTGTGTGATTTTTATATATGTTTTCTTATTATATTGATGTGAATTCAATTTGTAAGAATTAAGAAAAACAATGATGTGCATTTTTCAAAACAGTGAAGAAATGACGATGATTTCCAATTTCCAGTTGCATATAGTAAATTTGATTCTGGTTTGTTGATTTGCACTTACTTTATCATAAGCTAATTGTATTTCTTCTCATTAAATTCGTCATGATACATTTTATTTAAAGAATGTTACTGTTTTTTGGTATTTGTAAAACTTCCAGTTATATGACATGTATAACATATTTAAATCATCAGCTATTGAAAAGATTTGATAGTTTGGTGACAAAAATGTCTTTTAAAATCTGTTTCGAAAATAAAAAATGTATCCAGTTTCTTTTTCTTTTATAAACAGCTTTCATTGTCTGACCACAACGTTATTGGAGCAAAAACTCATGTAGACTATTTGTGAACGATAAACCAGGAGAATGTGATGGAATTTTTCTTAAATACCAAAACTACGAAGTGTTTAAAAGCAAATATGAAGAATCCGTTATCACACAGAATGACACTAAAATTTACATATGAATGAATCAAATTTCAGAAAGAGTGTTGAACTAGGTGTTGAATTGTGATTTAATTTATATAAGTCACACGTAGTGAGTGACTTTGTAAAGTTCGATTTTTTATATATTGTTGTATAGTTTGGAGAAAAATTGCTATTTGTAACGCAAAATATTATTCACGTGTTTATTTACCAAAACAAATAATTCATTTTATTATAGATAATCAAATAAATTTAATAATAAAACTTATTTTCCTGTTCAAAAATTTGTATTAGACTTTATTTTTGTATCAAGAAAAAAAAGTTTTATCATTAAAGTTATTTAGTTAGATAACTAATGCAATATTAATTATAATAATTTTCACTCAAAATCATCACTTATAATAATAACATACCAACTTACCAATGCCAAAAATAAAACATCCACAAAAAATTATTAGTTCATCTTAGTTGTACATCCTTATTACGTCAAAAATTCACTGTCACATTAAATATATAAACAAGTCTTTTAACCTTTTGTTTCGCACAGGATTTCTCTGTAACGTTTTATTCACGAAACTATCCAAATTACAGAAAAAAAAAAATCAAATTAAAAAGATTGTAAGCACAGACCATTCAATGGTCAGTTGTAATTTCGTTTTCTTGGTTAAAGTTGTTCAACATAAAATCAGCACCAATAGCACAATAGTTTGCTGAAAGATACACTGTCATCAACGACGAAACAGGTTTTTAATTCGATCCATTGTAATGTTCAGTTGTTCGCGCAAAAGAACGTACGCTTAAATAAAAGCAAAAGAACAAGAAGAACATAACATAATGAGAAAGATATTTGTGCGAGAAAGAACTACAGAAAGCATATAACACGATGTTTTCGGACGCTACCACTTGATGGTCGAAATACGGTTCATATATTTTTAATGGTTTTTCTCAAAATACTTCTTTAATTTTTTTCTCTGTCTTTCATTACATGCTTTTCTATTTCAATCGGCGGTAAAGAGACGCTAAGTTGGTCAATTTCGATCTAATAATGGTCAATATATCTGCGCTTGTGGAACATGTGAGGAAAGAATGTCGTCACTTTGATACAAAAATTTACAAAATATCTATATCACATTTTTTTTCTTTTTATCAGAACTAAATACTAATAAAATAAGCTATTACTTTCGCAAATTCTAACATTATTGAACACTGAAGGGATTTGCTTCAATACAGCAATAAAACATCAAAAAATTCAAGGACTGTGTTATTATTCATTACACATTCAACTGAATAGCGCTTTTTCTCTTTCTATTTGAATTAATATTGTACCTATATATTTAGAGCACTTATTCATAATAATCGTAGCAATACCCACTTTTAAGATGTTATGGAAATATTTTCATATATCTTTAAATTATTAATTCATTATGTTTTTGGTATATTTAATTAAGTCGAAATGGATCCATTTTGAACTTTGAATAATTGTTTTTCAAATGCTTTAAAAAATAATCAAGTTCTAATTGCATTTACTTCTGGATTTTTTATTTATGTAGTAGTATATTTTTTATTAGCACAATAAATTATGAACTCAATTTAGTTTTGAAAAAAAAAAAAAAAAAACTATGTAAAATTTGGTGTAAACAACTTCAAACAGAATTAAACCGAATTACTGTTCGTAACACTAGTAAAAATATTCGTTCAACTACCGTCACAAGCGACTAGGCATTACTAAATTCACCAACCTTGTACATGTAGGTGCGATCGTACACTCTTTGTCTATACTGCTTTTGTGTGTTGGATCGGCATTAAAATTTCTCGTGGGAATGAGACAACCGTATCGCGCTTGCGGAGCAAATATAGCGAATAAGAATTGTGCTAGAAGAGATCGTGCATTGTGAAACAACATTATGCGCACTAAAGCGTAAATTTTCTTCTTCTTCGCCCATATATACATATATTTCCGATGGTAAAAGAAAACGCAAATGAAGTTCACCTGCCCTGTGTTAAGATCAATTCTAATCCAAACCATCAACCATGAATTTTTCCCATTAATCCCGGATTTTTCCAAAAATAAATGTGGAATTAAATTCCTTGAATCATATGGTAGTATAGATTCCTAGTATATTATGAATCACTAGTGGCATTTACCGTTTTCACAATCAAGTGACTTTAAATTGGAGAAGAACCAGTTCATGACTCAAACTTAGATCATCAATTCAATAAAAAACACTTTCAAACATTTGCTCATAATTTGAGTGCAACAACAATAATTTTTTATTACAACATTTATTCTGAATATTTTGGTCAAACAAGGATTTTTTAGGGTAAATTATATGGAATTTATCAATGTTGCATTTATCAATCTGAGTGTGATTTTTAAAAATTCAGTTGGAATGTTCCCAATTAGATATAGGTATATATACCTGTATGTGTTCTTGTGGTTGATTTCTGATGCTGCTATTCAATGAAGTCAACAGGTAGCGTCATTCCACAACTATTTGGAAGAGAGATAGCAAATGTATGCGTGCGATGAGTGGTATGTAGTCGACCCGTTCACACATTCTTCACTCACAATTTACCGCACGTATTGCACACAATAACTTCTGCACGGCCATAGTTTGTGTTTTGACTCTTAAGAGTGAAGGTGCTTAAAACGAATTTTCCGCTACATAGAATTTATTCATTTGTATGCAATAGTTAGTCGAATAAAATGCCAACACACTCTTAGCTAAGCTAAAATAATATATTTTTGGAATAAATGTAGGTCTACTGATGAGAAATTTATACATTTCTTTAGTGGTTGAATCTTTCAAATTTACAAGCAAATTAAACTAAACGTTTTTTTTATTTTTATTTTAAATTAAAAAATAGGATTATTTTCATATTACTGATTTGAAACCGAGTTGCTTAAAAGAATATATCAACATGATTGGAAGTGATTATGTACTTGAAGCTCATAATATATATCATACGGCTGAGGTAATGTTCAAATTCCGCCACATATACACTGTCGTTAAAAAATTTTGAGGCGAGCATAATCGTAGAATAGTTGGTTTTAACAATATTTGGTAGACAAAGACTTTGAGACTCTACCAATTTTGAATGCATAAAAATATGACCCAGTGAATAAAAAAATAAATAGTAGTATATTAAATTTTGGCTAAAAATGCAAGTAGACCAAAGTGTTCTTCGAAGTTTATCTTTTCAGTATGATATTGCCCACTTAAATGTACGAAAATGATTAAAAATTGTTGAAAAGCTATAAATTTTCTATATTTTTGCCAAATTATTATTATTATTGAATTGTTTTGTTTCTGATCACTTTGAATTTGAAAATTAGTTAGAGAATTGAACATTTAAAAAATATTTATTGATTTATTAATGTTGTAGGTTGATAGCGGAGGTTGCTTGAATGTCGAAGAAAATTCGGCTCTTGTGCTAAAGGGTGTAAGTTTAACTTTGCATTCAGGCGAAGTAATGGCAGTACTGGGTTCGAAAGGAAGTGGAAAAAAAGCATTGCTCGATGTAATTGCATGTCGTGCTGAAAAAAATACTCGTGGCCAAGTACTCTTGAATGGTTCAACGTTGAATAAATCAATCTTTCAACAGAAATGTGGTTATGTAACGCATTCAGTTGATTTCATTAGTGGGTTGACCGTGTCTCAAACACTCCACTACACACCGACTGTATTCAATGGATATTCAAAAAGTTCAAAAGTGCGTCAAATCCTAGCAGACTTGGCTCTGTCACAGGTAGCCCATAAGCGCGTTGAATATTTAAATACGAGTGAAAAACGGCGACTTTCAATCGGTGTTCAATTGGTTCGGGAGTCGGTTATGGTACTTCTGGATGAGCCAACAATGAATCTCAATCCATTAGATGCGTATTTGCTAGTATCCATTCTGTCAAATTACGCCAAGAAAACTGGCTGTGGCATATTACTTTCGATGGAAAAGCCCCGCTCAGGTAATCTGATAACTATATGTAAGAATTGAAGACTAAATGTAAGTTTCATTCACATTACGTTCATGATCCAATTTCAGACGTTTTTCCATTTTTGGATAGAGCATTGTTCTTATGTCTTGGTGGTGTTGTTTACTCGGGATCTACGCGTGGAATGCTCGAATATTTTCACAGCATTGGGTTTCCTTGTCCACAACTTGAAAATCCATTAATGTACTATCTTTGTCTGTCAACAGTAGATCGAAGGTTTGATTTGATATACAAATGTTGATCTAAACATGGCTAAGGTGACGATCATTTTGTTTTTGAAATTTTATTTTGTAGAAGTCGCGAGCGGTTTGTTGAATCGAGTCAACAAATTGAAGCTTTAGTACAGCGTTTCGCACGAGAAACACCATTACCTGATGTTCCAATAAATCCAATTGGATCTGGGTTTTCCGGCAAGGTTCCATTGGTTAGCAACATTTTGAAAAAAAAAAAGGTTTCTTACAATTTTTTATTTAAATTTATTTTCTTTTTATTAATTATCAGTCGTATGGAAAGCCAAGTGAAATCAAAGTATGGGGAATGCTTTATTTGTATGTATAAATAAAAAACATAAAAAAATCACATATTATCGAATAATTAATTCACAGAAAATTACTTGCCGCTACGTTTTCATGCAGTCACGCTGGATTGAAATCATTATTTCTACGATTATTTGCATTGCCGGCTGCTATGGGTCTTATGTGGATATTTTATAGTAATGTGGGAGATGATGCAAAAGGATTTTATAGCAAAAGTGCTATGATATTAAACATATTGGGCTTGGCCTATGGTACTGGTGTGTGGGTCACAATAAGTTTATGTATGTACAAAAAATCATATCTTTGATTAGTTTTTCGGATATTTTTCGAATTCTGGAATAATTAATTGATTTCGAACAGTTCCACCGTGGCGTAATCGATTTAGCAAAGAATATGATGATGGTTTATATACAGGGACCACATTACTTCTAGCTTACGAATCAGTATCATTGCCTTTTTCAATCATATCAACGGCACTCTCAGTTTGTATCCTATATCCGTGAGTTTTATTATTTTTCAATATAAAATTGTATTATTCTAATAGAAATAATTATGAAACATTATGTTTACACATTTTTTTCAGAATCTTCTTGAACGCCAACGATCCAGACGGCACTGCATTCACATATATGCTGGTTGCATTATGGAGCAGTTATATATTGGCCGAACAGCTTTCAATAACTTTGCTTCTATTTGTTAAATCAAGAATAAATGTTGCGATCATTGTGAGCTATATTTTTTGTGTGAGCCTAGCACTGGCAAGTGGAACGGTACGTTAAGGGAAAATTCACTTAAAAATTGCCATTCTATTATTTATTAATTCTTATTGATTATTTTTCGATTATTGATCGATTATTTTAAATTAATATTGTATTCTTTTCTCTTGTGATTCGCCCTTTAGGTACGTTCATATAAGGGCTTAGCACCATGGCTGCAGGAAAATACAAAAGCAACACATACACGATACGCAAGCACCTTATTACATAGTGCCGTTTTTCTGACGCGTCGTATGAATTGTATACCGAATTCGGTAACTGTTTGTCCACTCACTTCAGAGTATTTGTATGAGAAATTAGGACGGGCTCTTCCCCAAGAAAACATCGATATGGCAGCCTCCATTGGTTTCGCCGTTGGTTTTATCGTATTTAATATGTTACTTTATTTAATTCCAGTTCCCATTTTTATACGCCGGAAATTTAAAGAATGATGCATTATTATTATAATTATTTTTATTATTTAAATAAACAGTACATACATGTAACGTTTAAAGCAATAAATTTAGACATTTCGACAGTCACATTAGACATTTTTTGTTTTCATCTTTTCGAGAGCTGTCAAACTGTATTTGACACTTTGGCTGTCACTTATAAATACGCTCAAAAATTACAACATTTCCAAATTTACAATGGAAAAGAGTCATACAAAATCTCATTGGGGCGAATGTCCAGAAATTTACGACTCAAAATACGAAGTTCAAGATGTATTTTCCATTTATCCACCGGAGAAGCGTTTTAAAATTGAAATGCTTGGTGCAATTGATGAGCCGCATCCAGTAAAAACGTAAGTAATCAAATGATTTTTTACTTAAATTCGTACACAATAATCTGAATTTTTTTTAAATGTTTTAGAGTTCAAATTGAAAATCATTTGGTAACTCAAACGGTCGAACTTCTAAATCATACAAATCGCATAAAATCTATGATTGAGATGTACAGTGAAGAAATGGTAAAAATGTAGCAAAAAAGCAGTAAGATGTATGCTTACATTTGTTTTTTTTTGTTACCTATTAGGTTTATTTGGCGAATCAACGTCAAGTCCTGCCAACAATCACGCTTTCAGCTGACACAAAGGCATGTTTGGAAGAATTACATCAGCCCATTACATCCCCATTCGAAACTCATAAAGTGTCAGATTTCACATTAGGCAAACCGAAAGCAATATCACAAATAAATAAACCAGTGGTAATGGCCGTTATTTCGATTATTTTCATTGTCTCATTCATACATTAATTTCAGTACTTATATAGTATGAGATTCATATTTTTATTGATTATTTTTGATTATTCGTTCTTTTCTTTTCTTCTGTGATTCTTCACTTAGGTAATGGACGTTATTGGCAAAGCATTGACTGGACTTTTGCGCATTAAAGGATTTGATTGTAAGTGAATTTTTTTTATGCAACCAAACTTCTGAGAGAATACTGTTCGAAACGTTATTCAAATAATATAGATTGCACAGAAAGCGGCTTGCTTATGTTCAAGGATGCGATTGAAGAATTTTACAAATGTTTTATGGAAAAAATTAATCAAGTGGTGGTGGCTGATGACAAAGGAATTAATGTGAGTTTCAAAATCAAAGCGCAAATATTTCATATATTTCAATGAAAACATGTATTTTATTTCTTTAGAAAAAGATCGACATAGATACTTTGGAAAAGGCTTACAAAGCGATGTCAAACTCATCTCTCTTGAATCTACATAACTATTACAAAAATGAAATCATCAATCGAAACCGTTCGGAAATAATTCGCTTCAAAAGCACACAAATGGAATATGAGAAACTGGTCGAAGAAAGTGAAAAAATTCAAAAATTGTAAATAATATGAATTTGTATATTGTCTATGTGGTGGTTTATTTTGAATGTATATTTTACTCTAGCAATTTGAAAGAAGAATACATGAACATGATGAACAACATATCCAAGAATGACATGTCACCATCCAGCTCTAATCCAAATGATAGCGATGCCTCCTCAAGGTACTTTTTTCTAACACATTATCTAATAATACCTATTAATTTTAACTTTGATTTCAGTTTCAGTTTTAAAGACAGCAATATGTCGTACGATATGAAACAACAGTCTGATGAAAATACGAATTTGTCATTTTCTATGAGCCAATAGATGTAGCAAACAAAAAGCAAATAGAAATAAGTATCATGATATAATTGTTTGCATTATTATATTTTATTATTGTACCGAACAAATACACTCAATAAGTATACACTGAATAAGTAAGAAAGTAAGAAAGAGATGAATCTGAAAGAGATAGTTATATATGATACATCCTGCATTATCGAAGTTGATAAATTGAACCCTACCCAATAAAATACATTAAATATTTTGATTGTAGTTGTTTTTTGTATGTGCGGCACATGAAACACCCATTTAAACGTCAAAATGACACACAGACACACACACAGACAGATAGAGACTAACACGCTCTTATTCGTATACTGTCCCCATACGAATGATAATGTAATCTTTGCGTTAGGGAAGTGAACACAAAGCATTGAGTACTATGTACTATGATTCGAAAGGTCTTTTCTGTGTATTAAATGTACCGTTGATGCTACTTGATTTGTTGCCGTCGCCGCCGTCGATGTTGGTTGTAGTACACACGACAAACAAATAAGCGCACGGTATTTCATTCATAATCACAGCTTTTGCACACATCAACGCAAACGTCATTTTGTTTGTATTACTCGCATTTAATTCCTTTATTCACGGTTTTCTTTTTTGGTCTTTTTATTGTGTGTATGTGATGAACAGAAGCGACAGCAGCAGCGTCCTAACTAGTCATTTAATGTACAGTATATAAACAATCTCGTATTGTTGATTCACTCCTCAAAATTGCAGCACGACTGAAAGAGAAAATATTGATATCGATTTGATTTGACTTCGCCAAATTATATATTTTTTTATCTTTTTGTCTCAATCACCGAAATTAATTTGAAAATTTTCAAATGTGAAAGAAAAAGTGCTACTACTGTGTTTCAAGTGTGGTGATTTAGTATAAAATAAAGCCTAATTAGCAATTCATATCAAACAAAAAAAAATATACTTTGTCATTGGAAATGTTAAATCAAAATTTCTTTTGAATTCAATTGCACAATGTCAAAATATTTGAATTGCGGTCATATTTTGTGAAAAAAAAAGTCCAAAAGTCAAAGTTTTATTTTTTTTTTTGGTTGCGTTTTTCTACCGAACGTATTTATTTTATGTATGTGAGTTATATGCATATCGAATATGTGGCAGCCAGTAAATAACAAATACGGCGTGGGTACGTTATCATTCCAATAATACTATTAGAAGTTAAGTCATTAATAATTGTTATTAGTTTTTTAAAAAGAGTTTTAAGATATGGTTTTTTTTCGAAATAATTGAATTTCGATAAAAATATACAGATATTAAACAATATCAGCAAGAGAAAATAAATAAATTGAAAATGAGCTAAAAATTAATCTGAATATTTCAGTGTTTATATTTTTACGTAAACACATATCATACCAACTTTTAAGGATCAATTTTTATCTTATAGTCTTGATAATAAGTTTTTTTATATTTCCTTACTCTCTATTTCTGTGATAATTTGTATTAGACTAGTTAGTATTGGGATAAAGTTATAACGATTTCTGATATAAAAAGATTGTCAAGAATCATTCATTTCAATTAGAAGTGTTCAGTCTATAAAGAATAACACATTTTTTAATATAGCTTCAAAAAAGCATGAACAAAACCATATAAATGACAAACAACTTTGAATATGAATGTGGATATGAATATGAATATGCTTTTTTATTTGTGAATGACAAAGAATGCAAAAACAGGAAGTCGCATATTTAACCAATGAACAATGTACACATTACGAATGACACCATATGTACTCAATGTGAAGACAATAAAGAAGTCGTATCTTTGTTCAAATAATTAGGCCTTTCTATCTTACCATCTTACCATCTTGTTAATCGTAAATGTTGTTTTTTCGTTATAGCAATACACAATTGGCAAGGAAATGTTCAGTATGGTATTGCATTAGATGTTGGCGATAGTGTAGAAATCCTTGAAGAATGTTCACAATGGTATCGCGGTACAAACTTACGTAAGCCACGATGCATTGGCATATATCCCAAATCTTATGTTTATCTAAAAGATCCAGCGAAAATCGATCCAGTTGTTGCAGAATGTACACAAGTTCTGCGCGAATGGTCCGAAATATGGAAAAAATTATACGTGGTAAGCTAATAATGACACTATAGTGGACTATTGTCCATATTATATGAGTAAAATTTAACATTTCTCCATTAATTGCTTGCAGAATCGTGATTCGTATAAGTATTCATATCTTCGCAAGGTGATGTTATCTCTATTGGAACTTCGTCGTGAACTTCTGAGTGCAACTTTAACGCAAGATCATTTGATGGAACTTCGTCTTCAAGTTACTTCAAAGATTGACTGGGGCAACAGGTAAAATAATGATCATATATTCGAGAAGTATATATGTATAAATTTTATTTTTATTTGAAGTAAATGCTTGACAAAAAAAACTATAGGCCTAAAATTATAATTTTGATAAATTCTTTCATTACATTCTGTTGTTAGTATGTTGATTTATGTTCAAGACTGAAAATTGGGGTAAATTACACATAGTTTTATGGCATGAAGTTTTAACTAAAAATATATTTTTATGGAAAAATTGTGTGAATATGTTATGAAAAAGTGAAAAAAAATGTGGTTGACAACGGCATGAATCCAATCCTTTTTGTAAAAAAAATATGAATATGTGTATCAAATTAGTTTGATCAATTTTTCCTCCATATAAAGTATTCTTTCACTGTTAAGTAAGACACTACCAAAAAAATTGAGAATCGAAATGTCTGTGTCATACTATTATAAAACTAATTTTCCCGTCAATTTCTTTAACTTCATTTTTGCACTATCACGTGTTAACTATCAACCTTTAAAATGATTTTAATACATTTTTCAGTAAAATTTTATTGTCTTTTTGATATAATACTTTTTAGATACGGAATGTCTCTTCATGTAGACCGTAAAATTAATGAAATTATAACCTCTGATTGTGGGTCAAAAATCAAAATTTTGTTTGAAAAGTTCATTTGAATATTGAAATTGGGTCATTGTCATTTAAAATTCATGTGAATTTTATGTCATAGTCTCCTTTTCGTTTTCCAATGCCGAACTGTAAAACGGAGCCATTTCCATTGGCGAAGGTGCTGATGGTGTTGATGAGCTCAGACGATTGCATAGATCACGTAGTATTTCCGAGAACGCATTTACGCTAATATTCTGACCAAGTAAATGAAGAAGCAAGAAGTCACCAACCTATAAAACAAACAAAAAAAATCGTTTTGCCCATTTATATTATAGAAATGTTGTTCGATTTGCGGACAAATTTTACCTGTATATTACTTATGAGACCTTCGACTTCATTCGTTGTTCCGTTTCGGAATCGTCTTTTGATGATGGCTTCACGAGTGGTTGGCAACATAACTACCAATGCAGAGTAAATGATGGCACATGCAGACAAAATGGCCACAATAATGAACCAAAACCACAAGAAAATGTATATTTTTTCATTCAGAATATTCAATGCTAAGACACATAGCGCATCATGCTTTTGAATACTTCCACTAGCTCCGTATTTATGGAATGTGCATTTTGTGATACGCGGGAACACTTCGAGCATTGGATCGCTTCGATTTTCCTGATTCATCTTCGGATTTAAAAAAAAAACGGTGTTCATACGTTTGTTTTGCTTTCAAACAGAAATTATATAACTTACATTCGAAAATTGAATAACATCAGTACCATATGTTAAGAATGTTCCTCCCAAAAATTTCTGTTAAAAAAAATACGAAAAAAATCATTTTGAAATTTAAATTATTCTTCAGATTCAAATTGAATACTTTGAAAACAATTACATACATCAATGAATATAATGTTGGCAATAACATTGACCAAGTTCAAAATTTCACAAAAGAAATAACCAAATGAATATCCGTTATGTGTTCGCAAACTTTCCAATATATAGGTAACAAGACGTTTTTGACGGCTTGCCCGTTCTTTGGGCGATAGAGCGAACATTCCACGAATGCCTTGTGAGATCAAGCCAACTTTACCATCTTCAATATTTTTCCAAATGTAATGAGGAAGATAAAAGAGACATCCCTACAAAAAATCAATATCATTAAAACCAACTCAATACACAAAAGTTTTATACATCCAAGGAAATAAAAAGAAATAATCTTACTTGGAGGAAAAGTGTGAAAGGCACCCACTGGTAGTAGCTGTGATAAACTTTTTCCTGGTTATCATTTCCTAAACCACTTTGCGCAACCTCAGTTCCAACATGTTTACCTACAAAAATAAAGTATTGTCTGTTTAATGGACACATGAACTTAGGAATTTTCTAAATATTTCAAGAATAAAGGAAAATACCATGTTGACCCGGAAGTGTAAAAGTGTATGTGATCCAGCAATAAGTATTTATGACATGATTTGGCACAGCCCCATCGTTGATACATGCAATTGGATCACCTTAAATGATAGATAATGGTTTATTTATGTTTTTTTTTGTGGTATTGGATTTTTACACATGTTTGAAAGTATGCCAAACGAACTTACCAATCAAATTATTAGCGGTCACAATGGTGCAACATACGAATAAAATCGCGCTTGTGATGCGATAGTGGCAGCGAAAAATCATGTTGTCGATAATTGCTTTGTCAATTAAATATCGAACCTTCACAAAACCGGCAACGCCGGACATTAAGCCAAATACCGACATTTTTCAAATGGGACACACCTAAAAGTAGTATTTAAAAAATGTTACTAACGCGTTGCTTGTTTTTCAGTTGTCTCATTCGTTTCAACGATCCGTTTATGATGTTTTTCTTTTGATAAAAAAATGAACAAATAATTCCAAATTGAGTGATATCACTACAGAGTAATCTCATTTTTTTTCGTCACTTGTAAGTAATATATTTCTCTGATAAAAAAGTGAATATTTTAGAGAACAAAATGACTTGAACACAATCAATCTTTGAGAGCGAATAACTTTTTTTAAACATTGTTAATTTTACGTTGTTAGTTGAAAAGAAAAATGTAAAGCACAACGAAAACTCATAGTTATGCATTCAAATAAATAAATAAAAAACTAGTATAGCGATGTAATTAAGATTCGTTATACGATTCACCAGAATATAACATAAATGGGCCCGTCCAAATGGCGCTTTCAAAAACTCACTGCTGTTTAATTGACGAATATAAAAAAAATCTGTGAATTGGCACAATGTTTAAAAAAAAGTATTGTCAATGAATGTACACATGACAATGAAATACAAAACAATTGAACGTATTTGCTGCGATGCAATTTAGTTCGATGTGAAAATGATCACAAATGTTGCAAATAATTTATATGATGGCCACACCAATATCATTTATATTTCAGAAAGTTTGTGTCATAAAGCATTGTATTGTTTTTCATGAGCGATGGATGCCATCTTATTTTAGTGGTTTCAACAAAAAAAAAAACATCGCAACAAAGTTGTCAGTAATAAAGTGTGGCACTTAAAATATCTCTTGCTGCTAGCTAGTTATAAAATTTTACGTCGTTTTCCATTAGCAAGTTTCGCTCAAAGACTTTCTTGGTCAATTCAAACACAATCGCTAACAATGAATTGCAAATGAAATGCATATGTGCAAATATTTTGTTCGCTCTAAACATAATTTTTCAGTCGATTTTACACGACTAGTTGATCACGTTTTACTTATAAAATGCGATATACGTCATTTTTGACACATCGGAAAAATGGCTCGCGCTAACTAGGTCGTTGTAAAAACTTGAATTTTTATAGCATATAGCTTTAAACGTGAAAAAAGGTGAATGATCGAAGTTTCAAAATTCATGGGATATTCTGATATCCCTGGTTCAAATGAAATTAGGTCTGATTTATATTATTATCTCTCGCAAATTGAATATTTTTTTTTTGCTTTCAATTTCTTTTAAACTAATACTTAGTTTTGAAGCCGACCAAGTGTCATTTGTTTCAAACCGCATTTCAATGGAAACATTTTTATCTTAAAGACAAAATATTTGTATTCATTTATCTCTTCAAATCATATTTCCATAAAGATAAATTGAATAACATCATCATTCATATACACAGATTTAAAAAAAAAAACATGTTTGTACGTATGTGTATAATAATTATGCAAACTTCGCTTCATTTAGATAGATACTATCAAATCCAATTGAAATCAATTGAAAGAATAGCCAACCATGACTGTAGACACATTTACTAGAGAGCGCCAATGAGAACATTTTTATATACACACAAGCATCGCAACATGAAGCAATTGTTCGTGGGGATAAAACATCTTAAAAAATAGTTTTCATCATTTCCGCTGTAAGAAACTCTCTGAATACGAGATGAAAGATGTATGAAGCATAAAAGACAATTCTGACCAAGAAGACGGTAAAAAGGAAAATAATGTCAAAAGAATTCTCCATGATTGAACACGAACATGCAAAACTGGTTTCGCCTGCAACACAGAATGAAATGAAATTTTCCAAGAATCTCTTATTTTTATGAGATTTTTTATGAACTGCAAAATTTAATTTCATGACTAACAGAATTTCTGGATCTGAAATTCTAATAAAACTGAAAATGATTCTGAAAAAAGGAAGAATTAGAATGTGTACAAAGTTATTTGTCATAATACTGCCGACATTTGTCCAAAGCAAATAACATTCATGCGTTGTTGACTCAGCACAAAGAGTCGATCGTCAACTTACTTTCAAACGCAATCTCGAAGAGAAAAAAAAACTAACTCACACAACTACGAATATTTGAACTAGCATCATCACTTTTTACAGAACGAGTGCCTTGTTAGCTGTATTATACCACACATACATAGATGAAATAATACCATTTTCGGCCATTTCAGTTGCGACATTGCAGACATCAACTTGAACCAAGTGAACGGAATATAATGTTAATGTCTCTTTGAACAAAAAAAGTAGCATTGGTTGTTGCACAAAATATAAAAAAATATTAACACTTTTTTTATATTAACCATTCTTCGATTAAATTAAATTTAAATTTTTGGTATAGCTTTGGAAATTCACAAATCTAAAAATCTAATTTCAACGTATAAATGAAATAAATCTGTAATTAACACTATTTGTAGTACCTTTTGAGTAAGTCAATCACAAAGTAAATTCGAATCTCAAACGTTAAATTTATCTTCAGCTGTTTGTATATAAATGTCGAATATTGAACTGTGCATCAAAATTGATTGCACAAGCAAATAAAAAAAATTAACTGTCTGTTGGTCTTACAATGAACGTTCTTTGTGGTAGAAAGTTGGAACAGTACTAACAAGTCGCAAACTTCATTCGAAACACAATGTTAAAAATGTGTGTTCGAGAAAGCAATGCAAACACTGGGAGCCAAAACGATTGTCAGAGCGAGAAACCCTAATTCATATGAATCGACGCAAACAGAACGAATGTAAACTAACACATACACACACGCACTCGCTATAACTCAGCATACAAATGCAATGAAATACTATGCCAACAGATATGTCCATATTTGTATGAGAACAACACATACATGTATTTATTGAGTTTACAATACATGCCATACAATGCTATTACTTTGTGAGTTAACAGTGTTAGTTAACAAACGATAGATATGTGTGTATGTTACTGTAGTTTTTTGTTATTTCTTTTTCTGGATTTTAATGTGCAGCAACTGTTACCGCACCACACATACACTTTATTCAAATTGCAGTGAGAGAATGAACAATTCAAAGACTATCTCTTTTTAACACAAAAATATTTCGATTTTACTTTATTCTAAAAATGTGATCTTGAATGTATGCAATTTAATCTGAAATATAAAATGAATGTTCTTCTTCTCAATGCTGCAAATCAATAGATGTGTCCAAATGAAAAAAACATTCAGAAACCTTTTAATATCTTGACCAAATTGCTTTCAACAATATTGTTGTTTCTTTGATTTTAACAAACGATCACCGTCTGCGTTCATTGACCTTGATCACGTTCTGTGAGTTCTTATGGACGCAGACCACTTGATTTTTTTTTGCAATAAATAAAAATATTATTTTAAATCAACTTTTAGGACACATAATAATAATAATATTGTATCGACAGAATATCCAAGAATGAATTTAATATTAATGAAGAATATACGAAAAGACATTCCTCTGACTTTCATATATAAATCATGAGAGCTAAAAGTTAAAATTACATATAAAATATTTTTTTGTTTCAGAAAACTTTGCCGTGATTTAGTGCCAAGAATTGGGCCGTTGGCAGTGAATCCGCATGAAATAAGTATTTCGTCGTTACATCAAGTACATGTGAATAGCTCCGAAAATGCCAAAGCAAGTTCTGTAAGTTGAGAATACTCAACAAAAAGGAAGAAAAAATTGTTTACAACTTAACTTCAATTTTTGTTTCTATTTAGAGTCGTGGAACTTTACGTCGAAAGAGTGGAAGGAAACAATTATCTCATCATTTGTATTTTTGTATGCGAGACTTTGGATACTTGATCGGAGAAGATGCAGAAGTTTATTTTTATCTTTATGATGGAAGTGCTGGAAATAATAGTATGCGGCAGATCTCCGAGCGATTTTCTGTATTCATTCCTAAGGACGGATATGCTCATTTTAATGAAAAAATACATTCAAATTGTTGTGTGTTCACTGATTTAGGTAAATAGAAAGCGTTTTACAAATGATTTATTAATTTAAAAAAAAGAAATCGATTCATAAATTTTCCTAATATCCAGGTGCTACCGAGATAAATTCTGATCTTTATTTGGTTACAAGTGTGATCAGAGTTGGTAAAATGTTACAAGAGTCAGTAAAAAAGAATGAAAAATCTAATTCGAGTCAAGTATTTCGACGTCCTTTTGGCGTTGGCGTCTTACCATTATCGCTTCTAAATAGTTCGAGTAGCGCCGAGAATCTTATTGAGTCAGAAGAAAAGGAACACAATTTTCGATTGTATCAGTGCGAGGAGAAGGATTTTTATCAACTGCATGAAATGCTTATCAAAAAAACGTCTGGAAAATACTCTCCGATAAATGGAAACGGAAATAATTCGTATGGAATTGGTGTGTCGGTAAAAATCCTTCATGGAGAATTACTTCAAGCAAGACAAGAGCAGCCGCTTCTTTTTCAAGGAGCAGTAATAACACGAAAAATCGGGTTTCCTGATATAATCATGCCCGGTGATGTACGCAATGATCTATTTTTGGTAATAGATAAAGGAGAATTTGAACGAGGCGGCAAAAGCACTGCGAAAAATATCGAAGTTCTTTTGAGTATTATTGATTCAAATAACGGAAAACCAATACCGGATTGTTTTTGGGCATCGTCAGGAGTAGAAGCGGCTACAAATCAATTTAGAACCGTTATTTTATATCATAATAATTCACCTTCATGGAATGAAACAATTCGATTGAATTTACCAATTGAGAAATTTTCAACAGCCCATATACGATTTGAGTTTCGACATTGTTCGACACGAGAAAAATCAGAACCAAAACTCTTCGCATTTAGTTTTGCACGTTTAATGGAACCAAGTGGTGCAGCTATAGCGGATGGTTTTCATGAGCTATACGTGTACAAATGTGAAGATCAATCAAAACTGACGAAAGTTCCATATTTAAATTTGCGATGTTCGGCTTTTGACGATCAAGGTATTTTAGATCAAACCGCAACATTTCACAGAACATCGAAAGAGTGCATGTATCTCAGATCCATGCTTATATCTACAAAATTGACACAAAATGGCGATATTTTATCGATTTTACAATGGAAAACTCATCCAGAACGGATCAAAGAAGCATTGACACGAGTTTTGAAATTGCGTGATGAAGAGTTAGTGAAATTCTTACAAGATGTTTTAGATGCATTGTTTGCAATATTTTCAGATGAAGATGGAAATAGTACAGAATATTCGGTAAGTGTTAAATGTTGAATTTCTGTTGTATGTCCACTGCATTTTTTTCTAATCTTTTTTCCACAGGGTACTGTGTTTCAAGTCTTGGTCAGCATATTTAGTTTACTTCAGAGCTCCAAATTTGAACATTTTAAACCGGTTATGGACGAGTATATTGATAATCATTTCGCGGCCGCGTTGGTTTATAAGGGATTAATTACTTCCGTTCAACATCTAGCTGATTGCATGCAAACCGCAGAACAAACTGAACCGATTCCAAAATATTTTGATTCTCTTGAATACATCGTTAAGTTGATTATTCAATCGAGAAAGCTGTTTTCACAGGCGACAGGCGGCCAATACGAAGATTCATTCAAGCGTGATTTGTATAATTTGTTCAAAGCACTTAGTTCAATGTTATCGGTGCCATCAAATGAAGCTATAATTGCTCCTCAAGAAGCACTTTTACGTACAACGGGTGTTGTTCTCGAGCAACTGCACGATACACTAACACCACCAGACATAGGAATTGTGTCTCGTAATATATTTGATGCAGTTTGTCGTGATGCACCACCACGTTTAATTCAAGCCAAATTATTGGCAATCAAAGATTTAGTCCGTGGTCGTTTATTTCAAAAGGAAGAAGTAACACGGTCAATTATTCTTGCAGTTGCATGTAAGCATATTCGTATTCATTTGTCACGTCGAGACGAATTGAAACTATGCGCCGATATATTATCAGATATGCTGAATTTTTTGTTTTCAATCAGAGGTGCTGAAAATTCGGAAAAGCCATCAAATTATTTGGCACATGATTTGAACTCTTTATGCCGAAATATCTTGGATATCTTAATGCAAACAATTATGATAATAATCGAAGCTTCACCACCGGTTTTATCATCGTTGGTCGCAGTATTGCTTGGTCTATTACAACAATTGGATGAATCTCATTACACATATTTGTTTGAAGAACTTGAAGGGAGTGGTGGAAGTGGTGAACTTAAAGGTTTTTTGCATAAATGTTTGCTGGTCCTCAAGGAGCTATTAATAAATGACTGGCAAGTTTTTCCATCGGATTGGATTGTTATGAAGTTGGTCGCAAATAATATATTACGTAAAGCTCTGGAAGAGTTTGCTAAACCACTTGTCTATCGGTATCTTGAGGACAATACATTTGATGCACAGCTATGGCGAGCGTATTTCAGTTTGGCCACAATTTTCACAACTCAACCATGTCTACAATTAGAAAAATATCCCGACACGAAACAGAGAAAGATTTTAAATGAATTTGGAGATATGCGAGTTATGATGGGTTTTCAAATTTTGAGGTAAATTAATATTATTACAAAAAGAAATATATAGGAATAATGGATTTTAAAATTCGATTTTAAGCATGTGGGCACATCTAAGCGAAAACAAATTACACTTTATTCCATCAATGGTTGGACCTTTTCTCGAAATCACACTGGTACCCGAACCATCTTTACGAAAGGCTACTTTAAATGTATTTTACGACATGATTCAATGCGAACAAGTATGAGTATGAAAATAAAATGAGAAAGAAATGATTAAAATTAACATATTTTTTTAAATATATGCATAGGCTGCCCGCGGCTCGTTTCGATTAATTGAGAGTGAATTAATCGACAAGTTGGATTCATTGATTAACGAAAATAAGGGTGATGATGAATACAGAGAACTTTTCAGTACAATGTAAGTGATAATTCATTTTAGGAAGAAAAAAAAACTATTGTTTGACAAAAAATCTAAATTTCCAACACACTTACCCTTTTCATTCACTCACATTTTCTTCATAATCATATATTACATACATACATACATACATTGTTGCACGTGCTCGTAAACAGGGAGCTTCTAACATTAGTGTAAGTTCATTACATTTTTAGAAAAAAACCATTTGAAATGAAACATTTCAGCCAAATCTTCAGAAACAGTTCGTTAGTATTCCATGTATTTAAGACATTTCTTTGTTTAGTATTTTGGAGCGACTAGAAGCTGAAAATCCAACTGAATGGTGTGAAGCTGGTAAAATGTTTATTTCATCTGTAACCAAATTATTGGAGCGCCTACTTGACTACAGAAATGTGATGCAAGGTGATGAAAACCGAGATAAGAGAATGTCGTGTACCGTAAACTTATTAAACTTTTATAAGAACGAAATTGATCGCAAGGAGATGTATTTACGGTATAGATAATTTTTCATATTCAAAACGTTTATACAAATATACAATATTAATATATTTTGCGATCAGGTATATATACAAATTATATGACTTACATCTGCAAGCGGAAAATTACACAGAGGCAGGTTTTACATTAAAATTATATGCGGATATGTTGAGTTGGTCTAAGGAGACTCTAACTTTTACTCCAAATGATACAATTGGCCAACAAGAATGGGAACGGAAAGAGAATCTTTATAAAGAGGTATTTTTTTTGGAATAATAACTGTTAAGGTGTCTTCATTGTGAAGACTGATTTATGTGCAGATTTTCATTTCATTGTTTTTTTATTCATATAGATTTTGAAAAATTTCGACAAAGGTAAAAATTACTATTCCATTACTCTACAATTCTTATCCATGCCTTTGAAATTATTTTTCAATTCGAAAAATTTTTCTTTACTGGTCAATTCTAGGTAAAAACTGGGAAAAGGGAATTCCATTGTTGAAAGAGTTAGCTGATTTCTATGAATACAAGCGCTTTGACTTTGAGGCTTTAAGTAATATATTGAACTTACAAGCAAGATTCTTCCAAAACATTTTAACTCAAATACGCCCGGAGCCAGAATATTTTCGTGTTGGTTTTTTCGGTTTGGGATTCCCATTGTTTGTACGAGTAAGTATGAAACGGCAATATCAAACAAAGTTATATTTGATTATTTATTTATTTTTATTTCTGGACATTTTTTAGAACAAACAATTCATCTACCGTGGATTAGAGTATGAGAGAATTGGCGGCTTCACGCAGCGTATGCAGATTGAATTTCCGCAAGCACAAATTTTAACGAAAAATACACCGCCAGAGTCCTCAATATTTGTCGATAAAGGCCAATTTATTCAAATAAGTAATGTTCGACCGATTCCTGATCAGCCATTGTTCAAAAATACAATGTTCCCTGTCCCGGAAAAAGTAAAAAAATTCTACCAAGTAAATGATGTTAAACGTTTTCAACACGACAGACCTCTATATAAAGGTCAATCTGATAAAGATAAAGACAACGAGTTCAGCCGACTGTGGATTGAACGTACAATACTGGATATATCGGAACCTCTTCCAAACATTCTTCGGTGGTTTGAAATTGTCAACAGGTAATGTATAGAGTGTTTAATTAATGGAATATTGTTCATGTTCTCGTTATTCAGAAACTAACATTACATTTTATTCTATGCATTGATTTATACAGATCTTTCCGAGAGCTCACTCCCGTTGAATTTGCTTGTGAAACAATGGAAAATGTGGCAAAAGAGTTACATGAACTAATTGACCAGTATCGTGCCGATCCAAAGCGAAACATCAATCCATTTTCAATGCGATTACAAGGAATAATAGATGCCAATGTTATGGGTATGTAATAATCTTGATTTACGACATTTAAATATTTGTATAAATGTTTTATTGTTTACCTTACAGGTGGAATAAGTAAATATCAAGATGCATTTTTCACCGAAGAATTTCGACAATCACCTGAAGGCAAGTCACAACAAACAAATGTACAACGACTAAAACAATTGATGCTGAAACAAGTACAAATTTTGGAAACGGCTCTAGCGTTGCATGGAAACTTGGCACCTGAAGGCGTTCAACCATTACATAAGCGATTATTAGAACGTTTCATTCATATGCGACAAAGCATAAATGGTGAGCATGAAGGCATTGTTCAAAATGGTCAGATTACTTACTTTTAGTAGAACACTTTAATACTTTCATAACTTTCATAAATTCTTTTATTTTCTTAATAAAATCCAACCATCAAATTTGTCTATAAAAAAAGTAAAGCATCTTGACCAAATATATAAAAGAAACTATAGTTAGCAAATATTTACCATTTGTTTCTCGTCACTCTAGGTATGGACAAAATAAAACGTCATTTCTCAGAGAGTATTGTAAATACCCCGCTACCACCGCTTCCAATTGAAAAGCGTTCAATGAGCGTCAGCCAACAGCCTGTACAAAACAACAATGACTTATCAGATGAACTAGTTGATGATCATTCAAATTATCACATGATGAATTTTGAGAAGGAAGAAATTTATACAAAACCATCTTCGCGATTCAATGGAAATTATGAAGCGAAACCACCGCCGCTTCAAAGATGTATTTCCAACCGCGATCAAGTCATTTTAACAAGAAATGACAGTACGACAGCACCTCCAATCCCGATTCGACCTAAGTCTGCTGGTTACGGTAACTATGATAGCCCGGAAATTCCACCAAAGTCTGCTACAAAAGATATTTTGGCACCACCATTGCCACCGCGTGGTCTTACACCCACAGATAAACGAATATCGAATTCAATGCTTAATTATTGCAGCATAGATTATCAAGAAAATGACTTACACTCATCAAGTATGAAGTCACCATTTCAGAAATATTCAGTGGTGAACATACCATTGGAAGATCACGCTGAAGCTGATCGCTTCAAATTAGAGAACAGTTGTTCTCAAATTGATTTTCGTGATTCTGGTATTTCTACAGCATCGCACGATCTAAACTATGCATACATTTGTACTGATACTACACGAACTATAGCCACTGCGAGCAATTCCCTTGAAAATAACGATATTCAAAACGAACAAGTTAGAAATCCACCCCCAATACCGCGAAAATTGACCAACTCCATAAATCATAGCAATTCCGATCTTTTTAACGAAGAAAATTTGGACCAAAATATTGGGAATGGCGAAGATGATTACTGTAAGCCAAAAATGTAAAATGCAAATAATCAATAATGATTTTATACAATATAGGGCAAATGTTGAATACACCACTGTTACATTGAAGTTTTGAAACCATTTTGATTTTCAAACTACTCGTAAAATAATTTCTACATCGAAAAGCATCAATTGTTACAATGGTGTATTCCAACTATTAGCCTGTAGTAGGATACGTATATATATATATCTGCAGCACAAAATGCTCACATACTGTCTATTGATAGTATGAAACATTTAAATTATAAATATTTTATGTCAATTTTTTTAAACAAATACAGAACGAAGTTGCAATATCTATTCTAATCATTTGATAAATATTACAAAAATGTGTGTCATAAAATTTGCTCAACTCAGGCAATAAAGTAACCAACTATTGTGTGTAAATCAATTATAATAGTATTCTATTTGATAGTATTATCTATTATTTACGAACATTTCAAATTGTTTTATTTTGTAACAATTTTATTTCATCTGCAGATTTTTTTTACTGTCATTGTATTTTATATCGTTCAGCCATATCACCTTTTTTTGATTATATTTTTTTCAATGTTTTATTAGAATTACGAAAAATTATGATATCCTTAACCAAAGTAATAAAGAAGGACAACGAATATGATAAAACGCCTTTTTATATATTTCTGAAGACGGTTACCAAAACATGACTGCGTACAATATGAGACTATAAATTCCAATGGGAAAACCGTATAATAAATGAGGGAATTTAAGATGATTTGAATGTTGTGTCGATGGATGAAGTTGCAAGAATGTCGAGATTGAGATAGTCCAGAGGTGAGTTGCGTTTGCCAAAAAAGATGGTCCGAGAAACAGAGGAAAACCATGTAGACGGTTTTTGGATTCGGTTAAGTGTGATTTGGATGTTAGAGGGTAAGACCTGGCTCTCGATAGGGAAATTTGGAGAAGAATTGTGAGAGGAGTTCATGTCTAGTCGTTTTGTAAAAAGATCATACACCGAAAGATATAATTGGTCTATTGTTATTGTTGTTAAAAGAAAATTCGAAATGCAAAAAGAGAACTTCAAGTCGTGTTCACAATTTTATTTTTATTCTACAAATCTAATACATATATATTTCGTTTTTATTATTAATTACAATTTTTATTGAATAATTTTCAAGAAAATTAGTTTAACTTCTATTATAACGACATAGCTGACAGTTGCATGGATTTTTTTCTAGCTCTTACTTATTCGATTTATTTAGTTTTCGAGTCATGCACTAATACAATAAATTATTTCCTTTCAATAGTCATAATTGATAGAGATTTCGCATATTTACAATAAATTACATAACGTCGATTGATTAATCCTCTCAAATTTATCCACAGCCACTGCAGCACATTGTAATATATTTTTTTAGAATTAGCAATCAACAAACTAGACTAAATCTAAATTTGAAGTATGACATGTTTTGCTAATAGAGGAAGTTTTGGAGATTATGCATTATTGCATATATCAACTTTTAAATTACTTAATTTGATACAAGTTTCTACTACTGCCATTTTTTTGTAATGAGTAAACACGTTATTTAAGCCCAGTCACAAGTTTCAATTTTTATCAAGTCTTTCTTTATGGATTGTTGGTTTGCGATAGTGCTTGTCTGTATAATGGATTGCCTTTTACAGGTAGCGGATGTGCCTCCGTGTTGAACACTGTAAATGAATCAGAAAAGAGAAATGAAAATAATGGATATCAATCCATCAGTGATGGAAAAGCAATATGTGATTATACCCCATTCATCTAACGGCAGTAGTGAGTCGTCCGAATATAACAAGTACAAATACTGAAATAATAAATTGGGTTTTCATATCCATTACATTAATATATTCAAGTAATAATACCTTTAACACTTCAGCAATGAAAAAGCTTTGTTGCACGTCATCCTTTTGCGGATCTTCCAAATAAACATTTTTAATACCGCTAAAACCACCCGGTGACCTACAATATTTCTCAATAGCTTGCACTGCATCCCATCCCCAGTCTCTATACTTTAATTTTCAATATTGGAAAAATATGTCATTTTATTTAATCATATTCATTGTCGATTTCAATTGAAAGCTTATTGACTATGATACCTTTTGATCGTGTGTTAGGCGCCACAAAATAAAATAGCTCTCAAAAGTTTCTGGTCTTAGGATGTAATATTTTTCTTGTGCGCGAAGCGCTTTTGCCTCGGCCCCTTCATTAAATCTTATGAAATCAATCACAAATATTAATGAAAACAGTATATGAGTTCAAAAGAAAAAAGATTCAAGCACTCTTCATGATTTTGTTTTATGATTTGAAAACAAATTTTAATACCTAAATGCTTCTGGTCCTAAATGTGTTGCAGTTCTTATGTAGCTTTCGTGGCATGTATTAGTTATTCCCTTACCAATGTCCATATATTTTTCAGAATTTTGATCTTGTTTTGTTGCAGCACCCAATGCAAATAATCCGCCTATTAAAATGTATAAGAATCATTCAAATTATACTCTTCATCTCAACAATATTCATATATACCTGAAAAACATGCCAAGTGATCCATTTTATGTTCCAACCGATCAAATTTCATATCAGATGCATAAATCAATCCACCAGATGAGGTTTGTATAATTTTACTAACAATTGCTTCCATGGCTTCGTCGTACATTTGTCGTGCAGTTTCATCAGACTGCCCAGATTGAATCCAGGCCTTTAACAAATATTCATAAAAACTATCACCCAAAGCACCTAATGATATGTGTTGTTGGCCCCATTTTCCGGTTTTTGGATTTAAGTAATTTGGATATAATCCGTTTGGTTTCGGAATATCCTTCAACAGTTGCCGAATATTTAATACCCGCTCACGATAAACTGGATTTCCGGTTACATCACTCAAATAAGCAAACTCAAGATGTAGCGTTCCAAACTCAGATAAAATGCTGCTCCCACCGCTGGCCCATCCATAATTTTTACTGTACTATTTTTTTAATAAGTAGAAAGTGGAATAAGTATTAAAGATAAAATGTTTACTAAACATTGTTTAGACCAAATGTACACTTAAATTATACTTACACCAGTTCTTAAATTTATGAGTGCATTGGGAATTCCGGTCGGTGTTTGGAATGCAGGCAATAATTTATCAGCAACCTCTTGGGCCTTTTCTTTATACATTGGATCGCCCGTGAATGCGTATAAGGTAAGAAGACCACCCACAAATCGAATATTAGTTTCGAACACTGATAATTCGGCACTCTGCAATATTTATTTAAAAACATATTTTATCACTATAATAATAAACAATATTTCAAAATAAAATGAAATATATTTACCATATTTTTGAATGAGAACTTTCGCGCAATCCATTCTCGTGCTTCTTGATATTCTTGTTTTAATCCCATAATATACAGTGTGTCTAATCCATCCACAATGGTTGCGCCGAGATCGTATGAACCAAATATGCTTCCAGTGTGCTAAAATGAGATTGAATAATTAAAAGTTAATATAAGACCATTAAGTAATTTAAATTTTATTAAATCTCATTTTTTATACTTACGGCACGTTTGCTTAATGGTCTTAATTCGTTTTTCCCCCATGCATACAGTTTGTAATTCTCCCACGCAAAAGTCGTCATCTATTGAATATTGATATGGTTAAATGAAGGGGTTATCCATCTAACTAGAAAACTAGCATAAACTAACACAAAACGAAGCCAACTTCATACTACAAAATGTACGTAAAACTACCAAGAGAACCAACTTCACGCACTAGAAAAACTAGTTTTCTGGTTGTCCCCTTGGGTTAAATGAACAACAAATGAAACATAATTATCAGTATATTCAGCTGAAATTTATGAGTAAAGGATAAAGAAAAATTTATGATAATGATAATTTTGCGACGAAAAGGAACGAATTTGGTTGAACGACTTATTCTTCTGCAGAATATGACATTTTTTAGTCTATTCATATTGTTTTTAAACATTATCATTGCTAATATACACTCTAAATGATTGCAAAGACCACTCTCATTTTCATTTCCATTTCTATTATTCATTGTGATTGAAAATCAAATAAAAAACCTCTATCGAGGTGAAGAACGAGTGACGAAACCAAAATTTGAAACACAAAATTTCTGATATCAATTTTGTGACGAAAATAGTTGGTAGATATATTTTCTGTGTACTGTGAATATAAACTTAATATACATTTGCCACTTCATTCGATAGCTAGCCTTAAGACCTTTCCAACGATATGCATATGTCCGGGGTGTGTCAAGTGGATGTGCCTCGGTGACTGTAGGGACAAAAGTCAAAAAGTGACTTTTGGAGGCCGGCCACGGCCAACATGGCGGCCAAATCGAAAAGTGCCGGAACAAAAAAGTCTTAGTTTTTTGTGTACTTTAATCCCAGAAAGTTTCAAAAAGATCAGAATCGAGTACGCAAAATAGCGGACACACACATACACATACCAAATGAATTTTATAGAAAAATAATATGAAATTTTTAAAACTAAATTTTTTTCGAGCGGATTGATCGATTTCGACGTTTGAGGTATCGTTGGAAAGGTACTGAGGTCTAGAATCAGAATATCCATGTTTCATTTGGTGCTATCTATGGCCGCAGAACTGAATTTTGACCCTTTTCTTGAAAGGGCCATATTTTGACGACAGGTGGACCGATTTTCAAACTTTTATATTTTTTCTTGATCTATAGCCCAAGGGCTTTCCAATCATACATCAACCGGGGCCAACGGCCTTCTAGGTCTGGATTTCGTATATTACGTATATATATAGCGAGTTCGACTTTTCAACACACTAATGTGGTTTCGTCACTCGCGTGAACTGCCGTCCGCTGTGATAACAATAAACAGTTTAATTTGTTTGTAGTGCAATTAAACTCTTCTTTATCACTTTAAATTAACGTTTGACATTTTCTATCTTACGAAGATATCAGTTTTTTTTTTACAATGGATAACGATTAAAGTTGTTCTGATTTTTGTTATGTTGGCTGCTTTTACATGTGTACATTGAAAAAACTTGTTATAATAACTTACTTCACGTATTTTATTGCGACGTTCTCGAGCGACTGGATCTGAATCTTCTCCACTTGGTATACTAGTGAATTGTAGGTCAGGGGCATCAGCTACTCCAACTCCTCCAACTGGACTCTCTGCTGCCCTTTTTTCTGACATCGATGAGCTCATTAATGGCAAATCATTTGCTTGTGGTTTGGACTGCGGTTTTTCTAAGTGTCCACCTTCGGCAGCTGCCCAATCATCGCCTTGAATTTTGGCATAAAAACGGTTTCGATCATTTTGGATGTGTTTGTCACCATCTAATTGATCATCATTTTCATTTCCGTCAATTCCATGTTGATGATGTTGTCGCGAAATCGGTGGTGCTGGAATAAATATTTCCTCTATTTCCGGCCCTGCACTTTGAATTTTTTTATACACTTCTATTACTTTATCTGAGTTTACAAAGTTATCGGGTAAATAGAAAAGGCCACCAAAGCAAACAAACGCCAAGGTGGCAAAAAGGAGCAATATTAAAAATTTCTCGCGTACACGCAATGATCTCCGTACCGATGATGGGGTAAGTGTTCTATAAGTCGGGAGCATTTTTGCAATTCACTAAATGAATGACTCTTAAATTTCGATTTTGAATTTTGAGTATTTCTGGTTATGTAAACTATTCGTCATAAAATCCCGAAACTCTATTGTTTGAAAGAACGATTTAACATTTAGTTTTTCTCGTCCTTTTGCTATTCTGCATTGGTATTGAAACTGTTGATTTTTATGGAAACAGTTTCAAAGTTTATGCGTGGACTGATGTAGACCGAAATGAAAAATTCCTATTGCACTCCCTCATACATGATTTAATATTATTATTTATCACACATACACAAAGTATTATCAAGTTTTCCTATCGTAGTAAATCTATTATTTACAATACGTCCAATTGTATTTAATTAACTTAATTTTCTTTCACAAATATAACTTTTCCTCAATTTCTCTTCTTTCTTATTTTTTTTTTGTCTCAGCAAATTTGCTTGTCAAGTTGATGTGGAAATGCTGCAGACACTTCGATGTGTAAGTTTTGACTGACAGAACAGTATATTTTCTATTATTTTCACCATTCAGAGAAATGGTATATTGAACAGCTTACAGAATCTTGCGTGTGGCGCCATCTATCGACGATTGAATATTTTGATGACACATTATGGAATCACGTTATATTCCATTTATTTTTTATAACTGTTTCTTGAATGTTTGAAAAAATGAATAAAAAACTACACACATTTATTTGATACAATCATTTATTTGAAATCTTAGACTAATACAAAAATCCGTCAACATTTTTATAAGCAAGGGAAGATATATTATTAGCCTTCCCATAATTTCTCGAAATATTAATGAATGAAAACCAAAAAAATAGTTTAGTTTAATATGGACATTTTAATTCAAAAACCTCAATTTTACTTGATATAAAACTAAGAAAAAATATTTTTTTTTAAATAGTTTCATCTTCAAAAATAACTTCAATTTGAAATAAATATGTAATGTAAATCAACAATTGTATTAATAGAAACATTAACTATTGTACATTGTCATTTTTGGGGCTATTGATTACATGAAATGGGTCTAAACTAAAATTGAATATACTAAATATCAACATCTAAATAAATACATCTTTCATTCTAACAACACCAAAAAATAATTCATTACTTCATTTATTTAGTTGATTTTAAAATATCATAATAGAAAATGTATATCGGTTTCTCTACTCCTCTAGTATAATGCTCGTTTTCCCGCCTCTTTTGTGGCTTAAAAGCCTTGTGAATCGCTTCCCATTGTAATCATAATCAGTTCTAACAACATATACGGCCCATATTGAAATATGAGCTTATATTTTATAATAAAAAAATTACTTCAAAAAATGAAGTTTTATAAAAGAATTAAACCGAAATTTCTTGAATTTGCACTCGTTTTTTAGTTGTAGAGGGTGTAGTTGGTCCAAATGGTTGTCTTAAAATACCACCTTGATAGTTCGATGTTGATATACTTGATCGCAATGATGACGGTGTTGACAATAATTTTTCGGCGCGGCAATCATCACTCTTGGAAGTCTGGCGATTATCTACATCTACATCACTTTCTGTAACAGTTGTGCCAACATCGTGCATATTTCGAAACTCTGATTGTGTTGATTGATTAGATGACAATTTGGGTGAATCGCAAAACTCTTTGTTTCTATTATTACTACCTTCTGCTTCAGAAAGTGATGAACGTGATTCTGATGATGGATATGTTGACAGGCATATTTTGTCATTTTTGGAAGTATGAATGTTATTGTCCGGAATTTCGTTGTTGCTAGATGAATGTGTCGGAATTCGAACAAAACCTACGTGGGTTTCCTTTGATTTGCATTTATGTTGTTTTTCAAATGGTTGACCACAGTGCATTGCTTTCTCTACAAAACGATTGTATTCTTCATAATTTAAATCGGCTGAATATGTAGGCATGTTCAAACAATTTTTTTCCACACGTTTATCAATACAACGATCAATGAAATTTGGTAACATCATATCAGATTCTACAAACTGTTCTTTTCGTTTTGCGTCAAGTGTTCGTTTAACTCTTTGGTAATAAATTGCAGCAAATATCAAAATATTTAACAACAAAAGAAAACATCCGACACCAATAGTAATTGCCAAAGCAGCGGAGTAGGAATGAAAATGACTGCTGGTTAAGTGCCGCAAGAAACCATCCATATGGAAACTCTGATTTTCTGATTTATTTTCATTGTTGGCAGCATTTTTTTGCGGTCTAGTCGCTGCCAATGTTGGTGAAACAGTTGTATTGGACGGGCAATCTATTCAAAATTGTATATTTAGCACCGGCATCAAAAGTCATTTGCAATTAGAATACAAACCTGTGAGTGCAGCTACTGTTGTGACAAGCATAGCTTTTGTTGGGGTTGTATTGGCATCGCTTTTGAAAATAACGGATTTTGTATATACTGGCATTTCAATATTTTGTACACGAACAATTCCATCGTAAAATTTCGCATCAGATTCAGAAAAATGATGATGTCTCATCGATAATTCATTCAATTCACCTGGCATGTGTAGTTGTGGAATTAAGTTAAGCCACAAAGATAGCTTATGGCCTCGATAATGATTTTTAATACCAAATTTATTGCCTAAAGAAAATACAAAGGCGTATGCATAATATTTCCACACATTTTTACAAGGATACAATGGACACTCAGAATATTTTAATATTAATTTACCAATTTCCAAGTAATATTGATTCAATGTATCATATGATTCCCAATACGGATATGGTTGATCATTTGTGTCCTCTAAACGATCTCTGTTATGAGTGTAATGCGTATCATATTCACTAGATTCATCTTCGTGTTCACTTTCATCGCTATCTTCATCATAATAATCAATATTACGATTTCGCTTCTTTCGCTTTCTAATCGAAGACCATCCCATTTGTCTTTTTTTCTTTGTATTCACTTCAACTTTCATACCTTCCATTGGAGTGGCGATGTGATTATGTTTCGTTTGGGATATGTGCATAATTGGCGACTCATTTGGATTTCTGATTAAATTTTAAAAATTTAAAAGTTTTTTATTTATAAATAACCCATCAATTAGTCATTAGTTAATTATACTTACCCGGTATGAGCAAAATTTGATAAGTAACGAACTAATGTCCGGCTTATTTTAATGTCTTGTATAGTGTAGTTATGCGGAAAAAGTGGCGATATTGGAAGTCCTAAAGCAAAAGGCACATCCTCACCTCGTACACTTCCACTTCTCTAAAAAAAAAACATCAATATTGAATAAATAAGTTATTAACGAAAGTTTATTATTATTACTACTACCTGTGGGAAATCGCGTTCATTTGACATATGATTGAAATGCATGAAGTACGATTTGCCGCCTCGTAAACTATGGAGATACCTGAAATTAGGAATCAATATGTACCAACGGACAAATATGTAATGTTTTTAGGACATTTTAACGTTAAAAAATGTAACGCTTTGGCCCGGTTTAGTGGTCATTTCCGTGTCAAATGGAACGTAGATTTTGTGTGTAGTTTCCAGTATATTTACAACTTCCAATGGAATGATTCGTTCCACTTGTTTACTACCATACAAAAACATACTCTGACCGTATAATATGATCGCCACCCAATATGTGTACTGTACGTTAAGTTTTTGTATTTCAAATTTAATGATTTATTTACCGCAAGAAAATCCATTCTCTGCAAACAAATTAGATTTGAGTGATTTGATTTAATTTTCTGCAGAAGAATTTTTTTTTAAACGGCACTTGGCCTATATTTTTTTAAATACTTTCGTATTCATGAACGTATATGAATTTCGAATTTCGAAATCTGAAAAACATTCGAATTGAATTTGACAGTTGCCGTTCAACCATCGTCACTTTGAAAAAAGATGCAAACATCATAATTTTGTTTACATTTTAAAATGTGCTTTGTTTTGAGAATGCATCGTGGATTTTTAGTTCAAACAAACAGAATTCTTTCTTCTAATTTCAACGTAGATATTGTGAATTTGCAAAGAATAGATTTATTTACGGTGAATTTTGTGCTTGTTCTTGTTTTGTTTTAAAAATAACAGAACATTTCCAAAGTCACACAGTAAGAAATCAAAGCGGCATTACAGTGTATTTTGTATCGAATTGATAGGAAGTTCATTTTATTTGTGTGGAAGTGCATTCTTCATTTTATATGGCTTTGTTGTGTGAATTTGACTGTGTATTAACTTCGAATTTGATGCCATTGGATTTTTGATTGTCAGAATATTGCGAATCGAATTCAGTTTAGCGAAAAATCCTCACAAGGCAAGTTGATTTAAACTGTTTGGCCATTCAATCATTGTTATTGTTGTACTCTCTATTGTGTGTGTTTTGTGCTTTGAAATTGCGATTTGACGTTGTGTGTAGCCTTCAATTGTTTATATAATTATTTAACGCCTTTTTTCTTTCTTTTTTCCGTTTTTTTTTTTATTTTGAAATAGACTGCAAAATGGGTCGCCACAAGGCAGCAGATCCAAACGCCGACCAAAGGTGTATAAAGCAAAGACTGCCATCAATTATCCGAGAACGATATCGCGATGTTATTATCGCGATCATTTCTATTCTGTCTATCAAAGCAACGAAAATTGCGTGCCTGGCATCATTACTCTTTCTCATGAAAGTAAGTTCAAAAATTTCATTTGTTTCAGTTTTTTGCTTTGAATAAAAAAACATCAACTTCTTTTTTAATATTTCATCATAAATTCATCATATCATTCGAATGACTTTTCATTTCAATTCTTCGCTAATGACAATCAAATTCAATTTTTCGATATTATTTCATCATTTTCTATACGCAATTTACGGGCGATATTTTGCACTATCGTATTTGCATGAATTGATTCGATTGTTTGTTCGTTTGTTTGTGAATAGGTGAATGAAGCTGTTGATCACTTTGATGATGAATTTTTTGTATGGGATGATGGATCCAGCATGATTAAACGTTGTTTTAAGGCAGTACTACGTGACAACATCGGCAAAGTCTTTCTTATGCTACCGGATTTTCGACAGTTGGTAGACGCTGCTAGAATCGATTGGCCCACCAATGGTGGATTTGGTAATAGTTTCAAGTACTTGTATGAACAATACGAAGACAACGTTCGAACAAACTTGAAAACGCATTGCGAATCCCGTTTAAGAAAATTTTTCAAGCTAAAGACATTCCAGCTCAATGACAATGCAATTCGGTATAACTACTTTAACAACTTGTACGGCTCGCCCAATGAATTGCCATATTACGATGAAACTGACATCAAAAATGCCGTTAACTACGCATATCATCGGAAAGACAACACGAATGACGATGTTGAGCGACAGCTTCGATTGGGCGAGTTGTTGGATGAGCTACGTTGGTTAGGTGCACCAGAAGATTGCAACATTAAAGAATATGTCAGCGAAAATTGGTTCCATTCGATTCGTATGTGGATACATATTCAACGTGAAATCCAATGGTATCACAATGAGTACAAATGTCGTCGTGATGCACCACAAATTCAAAATTTTGTCGTTGTACCAATGTGCAGTTTCCAACGTCGTCACATTCGCATCGATACCGACGCATTGTACACCATCCTAGCCAGTGTAAAATTGGTGCCATTGAAGTGCGGTTTGAAAAAACGCAAAGATAAAACGACCAATTCGATCAACATAACGAGCAACGAATTCCGCAGAAATAAAATTTTAAGTTGGAATCTGTTTTTCAAGGTGGAAAAAATTCAACAACTGGTACATTTCAAAAAGTATTTCGATTTCCAAATTTGTTCGGACGGTGTGTCTGTTTCGATGATGTACAAAAAGCCAAAATTACCACCACTCGAAATAAGTGATGCTGAAATCATGAAAATGTACAAAGGGAACAAATTGAAGTATGCTATTGGCTGTGACCCGGGCATGAAAACCTGGAACGCTTCAGTGCGTCGTGATTTGGATAGCAAAGAAGAGGTAAATTCAATTTTTCATAATGAATGAAAGTGATTGATATTGTGATTGTGATTGTGAATACAATGTCGTTTTTGTTGTTATCATTTTGTTAGGTGAATTTGCGCATATCTAGCAAACGGTATCACTGGGATGCGAAACAAGGCCGACGTGATGCAAAAGCCGAACGAATCACCCGATTATTTACATACGACGAGAAAGCTGATCGCAATCGAGTTGCAGCGACTCTGGGTACAATGCCATCGCCAAGAGAAACATCATGGCGCTCGTATATTGAACATCGACTACGAGTTATGAATGATGGCATTGAAACGTACACGTGTAAGCAATATGCACGCTTGGGATTGGACAAGCATATCGACTCGGTTCGGGCGATCGACAAAACGGCTTGCAAACTGACACGCAATCAACCATCAATTTTCTATATGGGAGCCAGTGGATCCACACCAGCCAACTCACCGATCAAAATCAAAAAACACGTGCGATGCCCAGGCACTCGCAAACTGATTGCAGCCATCATGAAACGTGGAAATTGCATCATTCGAATGGTCGATGAATACATGACATCACAGCATTGCCCATTGTGTTTCAAGCGATTTCCACAAGAAACTCGACGTGATCGATACAAGAAATGTGTGGGTTGTGTACCAAATCCAATTGTTGGACTACCACGAACCATCGTAACCAATGTGAGCAAACGATTACTACAAATGCGACGAACAATTGAACGAATGTGGCGCGAGATGCGTGATATAGGCGATGTCATTGCTGCAACTCTTCGAGATGGACCGAATGCAGGTCGTTTGGTGTCAAAGAAGCAACGCTTCTTCAAAACATGGCTACCAAATGTTGCAAACGTTGAAATCGAGGGAGCTGCCGGAGCACAACCAACGCTCACAACTGTATGGCACCGTGATATCGCAGCAGCGAAGCTGATCCTCTACAAAGGTATGCAATCAATTGAAATTGATACAAATTTTGAAGCAATTGTTATACATGTAATGTGTTTTTGTTATGTATCATTCGGTAGGTGAATGCGTGGTGTTTAAGCGGACAATTCATCCAAATGTACGGAGACCACGCCGTGTTGACAACAATCAGCCATTGCCGTTGTATCGGGGTCAGAATCAGAATGTCAACAATGGACATCTGCAGCCGCAGTAGTAGCAGCCCTCATTCAACAACATTCAAACAATACTAAATTTAGACAATAGTTTATAACAATTATTTGTTAGTTCGCTAGGCTTGATTAAATTGTGGCCTTGCCAAAGTACGAGAACCTCTTGATATAAATTGTACTCGGTAAGTGGAGTTTATTGCATATTGATAATTATGAATGATCTCAATTTTTTCATATCAGTCTAATTGAATTGTGCTTTCTTTTCTTTTTTTCTTTCCATTGCGACGGTAAAATTGACTGAAACTACACACGAATGCTACCCCAAATTCGACCGTAAACTTGGGCCTGGTAATGGGTGATTTGCGCTAACAATTGTTCCTTGGTAAAGTAACGATGAAATTTCCTTATAAAATATGATAACAATAACAGTATTGCCAACAAATCTGAATTTTTAAGCAATTATTTTGGTATGGTGATTCAAGCTTTTGGAAAGTCACATTCGTTTATCGTACAAAATATATTACATATATCAAGTTCGATTCTAAAAAAATTGGATCTCATTCATATGTTGCGAGTGATTCAAATTAACAATTAAATTGAAGTGTTGAAATAATCTGTTAACGATTCTTATATAGCCATTTAACATTTAGAAAATACATACCCAACTCTAACAAGTGGTGCTACAGTATGACCATCACTTAAGAGTTCTAAAGCTGCATCTCGGGAGCCTAGGGGATTACGTTGCGGTCTTTCCCATTCCGTATATTCATTCTAAAAATTCAATAAGGTTATGAATATTTTATCATATATTTTATTACTCTGGAGCTCACCTTTAAGGCAGCATATATTTCATTTAGATGGAAATTAAAGTTATTTCGAACATATGTTCGGAGAACTCGATCACGCCTCGTTTCATTAAAGCCAAATTCTAGATCTTGAGCGCTTAAATCCAAATAAGATTCCAACGTTGTCACACCAAATATTATTTCGCGTTTCGAAAAATCAGCCATTTCAATTCCCATTGTACTAAAATATCATTGAAAATATGTCAAATGTATGCATTTATACATTCAAAATTGAGAATTATATTTAAAATATTATTATATTACGTTGATATCGCCGAGCCCACCGGAAGAGTTACTGAATTATTTAAGCTTGTACCAATTATAGTACCATCAATGAATGGAGCAAAACCAGGTAAAAACCTTAAATAAAATAATAATTTATACATTTTACATGTTTTATAATTATGTTGGTAACTACCTTGGCGTATCAAGCTGTACAGATAGTAAATTTGATAATGACTTTGTTCGTAAGCATGGCGCGAGGTCATCTTCTACTAAATCACCATGGCAGCCAGTATGTTCAGCAACTTTTCGCTTTACATATAGTGGATCCTTTTGAATTGCCTATTTGAAAATTAATTATTTAGTGCTAAACAAAAATTCAGTTTGCGATTTGAAATACAAACCCATGGCGAAAGAGCTGATCCACTTAATAATATCGCCCTCTGTATCAAATCACTTACGACTGGTGACGTAATTAATATGTTCGCTAAACTTGCGCCTGTACCAAAAATTATTATATTTATTAGATGACAAAATTGCCCAAAGAGAAAATCATACTGCAATATATTTTGAAGACTAAATTAAACTTACCAGTGCCATGTCCCATTATACATAATTTATTGGGATCTCCATTAAACGCAGGTAAGTTTTCACGCAGCCAATGGATCGCAGCTACTAAATCCATTAAACCGAAATTCCCCTGTGCGCTACCTTTTGAACCAGTCTTTAAAAAACCTTTTAAGAAATTGAATGAATATAAATTGATTCAATTGATTTTGGCTGTCTGAATTAAGAATATTCTCACCTAAAACACCTAATCTGAAATTAATTGTGATAACAATTACATTTCCGTGAGCGGCCAAAATGGATCCGTCGTAAGGGTTACCACTGTTCCACTCGAATGATTCGCCGTGTATGTACATGACGGCTGCCTTACTAACTTTCGTCGACGTTTCAACTAAAATAAAACACATGAAATTTTTTCTCAAAATATTGATTTTCTTTTCGTTTATTCAATAGGAGAATTCTTTTAAGACGGTATGAAAAAAATGTAGAATTGTATTATCGATTATTTTAATGCCATAGTATTTTAAAACGCGTTGTATAAAAATCGCTTATACTATCGGTGTAGTGAGTTGTTGTTTAGAATTTAATACTCAGTTGTTAAGCTTAACCATTCTCTTACCCTCAACACTCAAATGGTGCAATCTTTTATTGTTCTCTTTACATAGAAGGACTTTATTTCATTATCGAGTAAGCGTGCATATTTGTTTTCAAAAATAATTCAAATCCAAAGAAGAACCTTTTTATCAGTCATAATGGCATCAGTACATTCAAAGCGTTGCTTTTATTATTCAATAATTTATACACTCGTATAAGAGTAAGTAAAAAATCTTTATAGTCAACATAAAAAGAGTTACATTTGGTCCTTTAGTAATTAAGTATGATGAATATTTTTGGAAACAACATCACTCCCACAGTACTTGCAGTGAATTCAATTATTATACTGCAATGCACGCGGAATTGATATTGTCTGCAAACTAGAAATATAATATGATTTGTTTATTTTACAAAATATCCAAAAGAGTGACGGTGACATTGATCTTATGTTGATTGAAAATATTGCATTCACAGCAATAATGTCCAAAAAACAAGCATACATTTCAAAGAATATAGATTGAATCGAAGGAGATTGAAGTACGAATAAGATACCCTTACCCTGTGGTACGAAAATATTGAGGTAGAGGCAATCTTCCGATTGATTTGATAGCAATGGTAGGAGCCGGCGAATTTGTGCTAAGCGTTCTCTTGGAACTTCGAGCAATGCCTCACGTCCTGCTATTGATACAGGGGGTAGTTGTGGACAAACTGGGGAAAAATGATCGGCAATCCGAATGCTTGCCCATGCATTTGGTGTAACAGGTGGCATGTATCTTTATAATAACAAGAGGAAACCATAATACGATTCAAGTATGTAAATAAAACTATTACGAAATATTTATTAAAATATACGTTATTTCTTACCTCAAACTGCCCACTGGAGGTGACAACGATATTTTGAACAATGAAACAGAATGATGAGAAATGGAATAAGAGAGATAGACAAAAAGAATATGAATTGATTTCAAATGTTATAATAAATTTTAAAAATACACGACTTGAATTCAAAACTGAGAATGTGTCGTGAAAATTCACGACTTGGTCCGAATTGGTCCGAATTTAACTTTTTGACATATCAACTCTTATAAGTTATAACAAACCTGGAGGAGTAGCATAAGGAACGCCCAAGTACGCTTCTACAGTCGGATTACTACGAACGACGATTCCTCGCAATTCACCATATTTAGTTTTGATGACATTGGAACTATATTTTGTTGTATGTGCTGATGCTCGCGTCATACACATTGAGACGCAAGTTAATAGTGTTATCAGCAAAAATAGATGAATTTTCATCAATGTTGTTGATGTCTTTTTATTTGATTCGCGAGAGCATGTTTGAACGAAGGTTGTTTGTTCCGTTGAGATTTTATTAATTATCGAACGCATTTTCATAAGAATTCCATATATACAATTGTTTGTTTTGCTTTTTTCCGATTGCGAGATGTCAATAATCGCTTCGCCATTTGAAATTGATTTCGTAGAGCTTTCAATATTAAATGAATGATCAAATGTGTTTATTATTATAATTAGTTGATATAGCGTCATTGATTAAAATGCTTAAAGCATTAAAAGTGTTCTAATATATTTGAAATTTGTCGTCATGACTACACTTCTGTGCATATCTAATTGAATTCTTTTCGTCAGCAATTTTTAGCATAAATTTGGCAAATAATAAATCACATATGTGTTGTTTCGTGAATCGAGTCGTGAATCGAGTCGTGAATCGTAAATCGTCTCAAAGAAATATTGATGAGATTGCATTATTAAAAAAAAAACACATAATTTCATGCTGAATGGTCCATTATGTTATCAGTTTTGCTAATTTTTGTAATAAGCGATACAGAAATTTATTCTATTCTTGCATAAAGACGCAGAAAACTTATATCAAATGTAGAAAACACTTTACCATGAATTAAAAACTGATCCGGAAGAATTACAGACGCTATAAAAAGATGAGTTCTCGTGTATGCCTTTCTATCTTAAACGTTTGTTGGTATGTTTGTTTTATAGTTTTTTTGAGACATTTATTAGTGCGTTCTTTTGGGATCTGTGCTATTTACGTATCTATGCTATATCTATGAAGTTTGCTTCATTGAATTTTGAAAAAGTCAGCAATTCAGGCAAAGTATATGCCGTTTCTATGCCTCAACTAAGCAAACTTTTAAACAACGATTCAATCGATAAAGTATAGTACATATAGTATAAAAGAGCTTCAAATGTAACTTTTTTTTAAAAAAAGGGCTTCAGATGTATCCCAACAATTTGTCGTTATGGTGCTCAGAATATGAACTATGCTGCTCAGAAAATCATTTGTGAATCCAGCCATTTATTAGGTCAGCTTATTTCAAAAGACGGAAAAATGAATACAAAAATACGATTATTCTTTTAGATCTAAAGAGCTGAAACAATTCAATTGTTTTATATCATTGTTTTTTTTTGTTTTGGCTTGAGCAGTTAACTTTTATACCACACAAACCATGACATAAATGACATACTATAAACATATCTTTATTTGATTTCATATTTTCCATAACAGCACTCATTGCGACAAAAAATAAAATGAATGCCAAATGCAAATCTTTTGTTTGTACGTTGATCTAATCCGTCAAATGGTTACAATATTTCACTTTTCAAATCTATCATACAGGACGTAGCATATTTGTTTTTGTGATATTATCTAGTTCTATTATAATTCTAGCATTCGAATTTTTCATTTTTATCTAAACCTTTAATCGGACTCTCTGAAGCAGGATTTGGAGAACAACAAATGTTTCTTCCCTTTGGAGATTACAAATAGCATAGATAATTTTCAACATTGCCCTAAAAATTATATAGAGGCTCCAAAAAGTCTGTTTGTTTCTCTCTTTATAATAACATCAACTTACATTTTTAAGTGTTTTCGTGAATAAATCCATTATTCTGAAACTTGTTGCAGCATACTTTGATAATAATGGAAATCTGAAATCTTCAAAGAATAATAAATTAGCCATATTGTAGTTGGTTCTTTTTTTTTAATTAAAAATATTCATTTTCTCCCGATCATATAAAGCTTTAAAGATTTTTCTATTCACAAAATTATAAACTAGAAAAGGTTAACTAGTTTAAATTAAAAGACTATTTCCAATAGAAATTTTCTATATACAATACAATATATGTGGTTTTTTCACAGTTCTCTTATTGAATTGAGAAAATATTTATTCCATGGAAACTTCACAATTTCTAGAACACTTTATTTTACCTACACGAAAATTGTGTAATTTCGAATGGTTCTTATTTATAAAAAATAACTCAGGAACGAACATAAAATCCAACGCAAATGCCAGTACCGGTTGGATTGTGGTAAATTTTGAAATAATAACAACTTCCACATTATATTGAAGTAGACAAGGGACCAAAAATTATATTTCGTGTGATTGCTAGAATGTTCAAATTTCAACTAAGCTCGACTTAGCACGCATCATAGGTTTAAGTACTTTCTGATCTGTGAATGGCCCAAATGAATACATGAGAAAAATCAAACTTATCATGGTTTTGTTTCTTGTTTTTGCATATAATGAACGGGCAACAACAAATATGTACACTTTTCGCTATACATCCCAAATGTGTCATTCAATGAATGAATGCGTTGAATTGCATGGATAGCAAACAAACGTATTGAAATGTTTGAAAAGTTCTTGCTGCAGGCCATCGTTTCATGATGCCAAAGGATGTAAAATGTAGAATAAAAATTGCTTCACACAAACACATTGAAAGCTCATGAATAATGAAAATTTTAATTATCTTTCCAATGATTTACCATGGTGTATGGTGCATGTTAGTAGATTCGATGGTTATCTATAGTATTTTCATTCCAAACAAAAAAAAATATTACATCTTTTTTATATGTAAACACACGCGGAATATATCTTGTTGTTCAAAATATTGTTGAGTGAGCTTGGTTAAGAGTATCTACTTTTATTCATTTTTTATATAACGTTGAGTAAACTATTTAGTATTCAATTTCTTTCTCTCCCTTCCATTTTAAAGTTTATCGTGAGATTGCGATAATCAAAGTCATATGAAAATATGGCATAGTTTTTGTTTGACTTGAAAATGGATTTTTTTACAATTATGAAGTTAGCATACACATTTGGGATATTACGCCATATTTCAAGAAAAGTTTTACCTGTGAATTGGTAGAATGAAGGTTAAAATTATCGGCAAAGCTAATATAGAATTTTCATATATGTGCTTCCGGCGATTTCATTTTAGACAAAGCTGTTACTTGAAAATTATGTTGAAAATTGTCGAAGAATTAAGTTTACAAATTCAAATAAGAAAAATATACATTTTTACAAAAAACGAAAAAAATATGATATAAAATTTATTTTACGTTTTCAACTCTTGTTCATTATGCATGTGGGTGAGTGAAGCAGTTAAGTAGCATTAATGCGTCAATCCAATTTAAAGATGTGAATTTGTTACACCACTTCAAAACTTCAACAAGTCAGAATTAATTAATCGTTTCGTTTAAGCTGTTTTACAGCCTAGTAACTCTAGTACTTCTCCAAAATTGATGGAAAAAATACTAGCTCTGCGAGTACGAAGGATGGATGAACAGGAATTTAAGGTAGAATTTTTTTCTCTCAAAATTCTTGATTGAGCGATTGAAAATGTATGAAAGTGTATACAATTGAAACAGTTGATTTGTCTACACCGATTTTTGCACATATTTGATTTAAAAAAAAAAAACTTTGTTCACGTTACACTGTTTCAAAGTATTTTTTTTACTAAAACCTTTATTACAATTATATATATTGCACGGGTCTTTCATACTAAATTTTGATATCGATATGCACAAACCTTCAACCATTTGGTATCATCAAATGATTTCACATTTTACACGATACTTAAAGTCTTTTGAAGTTGTTTTAGAATGACATTTTTCTTCTGTGAAGTAAATATGTAAACATTTGTTAATCACTTGGTCTTCTTTTGTTTGAGTTTTGAACCTCTGAATCTACTGAAAGTGGTGCTACTGTATTCATTGCACATACACATATAAACATGTTCTTCCATATGAACTCTTTATTCCACTTATTACCTTTTTCGCACATACTAAACATTGAAAAATGTCTGTAGTCTCCTTTTATGGGGTTGAATTATGTGTACCCTTTAACATGGACATCATTATATATGCTCTGCACCACCGCCACAAATTAATTGATATTAAATATTCAAGCGTTAAAGATGAGAAAAGAAACGCAGAAAAATGTTTCTACAAAAATGATGTCTCTTTATCTTTCAAAGACTATGTTCACTTTTTTATTTATCACGCACTCTGCAAATTTAGCTTGATTTTCTTTTTGCTTGCAAATTCAAAAGGCCAATACATGCTCAGCACTCAACATGTTGGGCACACAATACAATCTAGAGCATACTAATAGTATGTTGTAATGAATTTTCATTCAGAGGCAAATGTGATGCTCCAAGAATTGTGAAGATGGTATTGATGCTTTCGTTAACATGGTGAATATTATCGCTTACTTTACGACCAATAATTATAAAGATGTATGCAGTTGTGGTTGTGTTGATGTTTGTATTTCTCAATGATATATTTTATGTATGTATTCGTGATTTCCATTGAACACAAAAGCTTCATGTTTATGTTAAACGCACGCGCACTGTATCTTTTGCATCATTCGTTTACACGAGAAAAATGGATAAAAATGATTCAATAAATGTATTGCAAAATTTTCTTTTCAGTGTCTTTTTTACAATATTTAACTCATTCATGTTGGAGCAAATCAAAATTCGTTTTATTCATAGCAATGCTTATTGACATTTAAAAAAAATGTTCCACTTCCTGAATAAATTGTACACAATTCACAAATGATAGCTTGTTTGTATTTATTCGATAAAATATGAAGTATTTACAACACAAACAAAATAAACAATATTCGACATGCGAAAACTAGCTTAACTAATGTCTACAGTTCAGATTATTGTCAAAGTAACCGAATAACCGGATTTAAACATTTTTACTTTAATAGAGTTATTTCGTTATGGTAAAAACGGTTTTATTTGCATTAGAATTAGTATTTCCAACTGTTTCCAAGTCTTCTTGCAATTCAGGATCTTCTCGTTCTTCTTTCTCGTCAATAATACTAATGTCATAAAGCGAAGGACGGTGACTACGACGCCAACCTAAAATGAACATATATACATACATTTAAAAAATAATAATTCCATTTTATGTTTGGTCAATAGGTTACCTTCAGTTGGTGGCAATTGTTTTGTTTTATTTAACAATCGCGGACCCAATATTGAAATCATTATTGCTATTGGAGCAATAATACATATTATTAATAGGTTTATTGTTATATATGCATATAATTCAAATACCTCCAATTGGAGCTGTGACTACGATGCTTAAAACACACATCGTTTGTATAAGTGCTGCATAGCCTTTTTCTTGGTCTGTACTGTCTTTGCTAAGTGAAATGCGCTTCAAAGCCACTGGTCCAAGTGCTAAAGGTTACAGTAATTTTTTATTAATATAGAATATAAAGTTATATTTTCAAAAAAGCCCACCTGCTTGTACAGTTGCTTTTGCCATGCAAGCGAACGCAACAAATATCTGTACAAAATAAAATACATCATTAACGTAAGCAATTTAAGAAAAATGTACTCAAGTATACTTTTTCTTTAAGATTTAAGTTATCTCCGATAGCAATTAGGATGGTACAACAAATACGAATAATTGCACAAACAACTAAAATCGAAACACCTTGAGTAACAACATCCTTATCAAGGGCATCAATTTTCACAGAAGCACCGGTCACACCAAACAATGCAGGCTCAAAGAACATCCAGAGAATTTCAAAAGCCGTTCCGACTGGGTTATCTTCGACTTCCCAATCACCAGATTTGCACCAAAAATAGTTACTAAAAAGAAGACAGAGAATATTTAATACAATTTGTACTTTCAAAGAATCAATTTAAACGAAAACTATGCCCCCTCTTACCCTATAAATGCAGCAAATACAACGGCAAGTGGACCGGCTCCCTCATAATCTATATGTTCACTACCAAAAACTGCAAGAACTCCTCCGGCAAATAACATTAAAGTCCGAATTGGAATTACATATGCATCACCACTTTCAGGGATGAATTTTAATAAAACTCCCCATACAATGCCAAATAAAAGACCTAAAGTGACGAAATAGCGATAATTGATAATACATATGATTAATAGGTTTCAATTGTTATATATGCATATAATTTAAGTACCTCCGAAAACACACACCGGTGCTTGGCTCACTTGCTGTGTAAATCCCTCAGATCCAAATAAAATACTTGCTAATATTCCAAATATTGCTACCTGTCGGAAAAAATTATGAATATATAATACATATAAATACATATAAATATAAATAATTACCGATGCCGCATCGTCAATGCCACTGATAGCGACAATCTTAAAAAAAAACAAATTCATTTAACAAATGCATAATAAATCATTTCATGTTCAGTTTCTAAATCTTGCTTTCTAGTAATGGATTTTTTGACATTATTCGTGATTTTTCCTACTTTCGAAATACTGTTTATTATTTCGTTTATATTATATATTTGTTAACAAACCAATGTCGGGATGCCTTTGGCTATAAGAAAAAATTGAATTTTTCATAAATGAAAATACAACAAATTGTTAAAATATAGATTTTGATACATACCGACACCGTAGCCTTTTGTTCGTAGCCGAAAGAGGCATGGTACTATAACAGCCGGAGAGACCGCTGCGATTATTGAGCCCAAAGCAAATGACCACATCCAAGGCATACCAAATGCATATTTCGACAATACAGCACACAACACACACTCCAAAGTCCACGGTACCAATCCCAATTTAAGAATAGTTATATATACATTTTTGAATGCTTTCGGATCCATCTCAAGACCAGCTCGAATGAGGATTATAACGAGTGAGAATTTTCGAATATAAGATGTCACGCCAAGCAGCTCATCACCAATATCCACTAATTTTAAGTTCTGAAAGAAAATTTATAAATTAGTAAATAAATGTATATGAATGTCTATGGAGTGTCTTTTTTTCACCTGACAGAGTATCCCAGTAGCCAACATTCCAATTAGTCTGGGCAATGTTGTGAGTGACATTAAAAAACCACCGAAATTCGATGCAACTACTAATACAACAAGTTGAAATAATTGTCCACCGGGCCCTGTAAAAGTAAAGAATGCTTATTTGTTAATTTGATTTTTAGGAAAATTAAAAAGAAAACAATCTAATTATTTGCTCTATTTTCAAGACCAGAACATTAGTTGCGGCAATCAAACAAATCGTTCTCCTAACCTGCAGTTTCTCCTACAATTACGTAAAGCGTCATCCAGGCAATCATGCCGATTATAATAATAGACCAAAGTCTGGCGAATTGACGAAAAGTTGGACACAGTGGAAATGGACAGAATTTTTGCCACATGGGCGGTTCCCATGAAGGGCTGTTATCTTCGCCTCGGCATTTAACACAAAATGTATATATCCATGATTGCTCAATGCCTTGTGTTCTACTATTAAATTCGGGTTCGACTGGTTTGTGCTTGAACTCAAATGTTTTATTATCTAAATTTAATAATAAATTTATTGAGTATAAATATTTGAATAAATAAATTGTTTATAAATACCGTGTGACTGATGACTATAAATGGATTCTGCATCACCGTGTGATTGTCCTCCGCCATTTACAAGAATGCTCCGCTTTCGTATCGGTATGGTATTGTGATGAAGATCTAAATGATCTACCTATATTAATGAAATTTAAAATAATACAATATAATGCTTTATATGTAAATGTTATGTAACAAAGAAAATAGCAAAACAACTTACCTGAGATGTTTTTCGTTTGGAACATGGCTCAAACGCCAAGTTATCATTATAACGACTTTCGCTAACTGGATCATTTGCAATCGAAACCTTTCGCTTGGGTGTTTGTGGTGGTGATGATGCTACTGCTGCCGGTTGAGTCGTTATAACGTGTTGTGTATTTTCTGTATCGTTTGTAGACATATTTCTGAAATAAACAAAAAACTAAAAATGAAATCATTTTTTTTTTATTTGAAAATAACTGTGATGTTGTCATTTTTCTATAACACAAACAGTATATTCAAAAATCGATCAAAATCGTTATTGAGGGAGTTGAATATAATATAATTTTCAAAGTCAAATACTAAGTATTTTCATGTAATTTTTTACTGGATCATGCGATCAAAACCATTACTTTAATGACATTTTTTTAATGAATAATTCAATGTCATTACATATTTAATTTTTTAGTCGTAATATTTTAAATTATTTTTATGAATTAGTTCCGTAGGTGACAACTGTTATTTGTATGTGAATTGAACACGAAAAAAAAAACTTGCGGCAAATTATTGTTAAAGTCATGTACAAATATGTACGTGTTAAATAGAGCTTAGTTTTTGTACTAATTTTTTTTCGAGTCTGCGAACATGCAAAATCAAAAACATAATATTTACAAGCAATTAAAGTTGATAAAAACAATGTGAAAATGAATCATAAATCACCACATCAAATACTTGCTAAGTGAATTAGCAACTATTTGCGGAACAATATATAAAACAGGAGTCAGTACAAATCCTCAAATATGACATGCAATGACCATAAATCATACATGGGCGAAAGAGAATAAACGTTATAGGTTTGCTAAAACAATGAATTGGCGTTCTGGCAATTGACTGTAAAAGGTGATAACAGTAATTGCCCAAAGAAAATATTTTGATAAAAATTTACAACATGCAATAAACTGTGCAAACTGTGTAGTCTAGATGGTAAAATCTTGTAATATGTGAAATTCATATTTCCGTGATGAGTTTTTTTTAATTTTTTTAAATAATTGACAACGGGAAAAAAATCAAACTATTTAACCTTGTTGTTAATTCAACGTAAATTATCAGTTACGATTTAACGCTTAACGGCAATGTTCCAGATCAGATATTTTCATTCAAATCCACAATTGTGTGGATGAATTTGTTGATTAAATTCCTTATCACGTCATTAAATCAATAAAACCAATGGTGATTTTTAATGATAATATATTTTCAGACGTCAGATAAACCAATTCCAATAAGACCAATTTTAAACGAAGATAACAAAATCGCACAAAAACCGCCATGAAAAAAAAAACATCAACATATTTTCTATTCTAACCATAAGATGAAAATATGATGTCAATTTGTTTCGAATTAATATAAGTCAATCAATTAGAAATACTTGTAGTAGAAGTGCGTATACAATTTATTGAGATGATTAATATCACGTTTTTTGCTTAAACAAACAAATTTACAGGGCGATAAATGCAACGTACTGCTTTATTTATAATAAGCTTTCTTAATTGACAATAATAATAATGAAATAAATCAACCAAACTGAAATCACGTGCCCAATTGTGAGTTTCGTTTTGAAAAAAAAAATGTCGTTTAGTAAAAAAAAAAACAGAAGAGAGGTGACAAACAGGATCATGTGCTTCTTAGTCAAGACCTATTCATTTATTAGGACCATCTTTTTATGTACCTAACAAGGACTTTGGAATTGATGAAATGATTTCTATTTAAAAGATGGTCTTCATGCTTGTGGGAATATGTCACGCACTGTATTCTTTCGAATATGGTGAATATGGTTAACCAGCAGCCACAACAACTCTTTATCTTTCAATATTGAAAGTATAAATTGTTAACAATTAAAATTGATTATGGGATTTTTTGTTTGAAAGTTCTAATTAAAAAATAATTTTTGCAATAATTGAATATAGTAAATTCGTATGATCAGTATGAATGAGCGATGTATTTGTAAAATTACAATGAACGATCGGTTATTTACAATACATAATTGTTAATCACAATAAGTGCTGTTTAATTTTTTATGATCTCTGTCCTGCAACTCCAGTATTGACTATGTATTCTCCAAGCTCTGATTGGTGAATGAAATGATAAAGATTTCTTTGAATTAATTGTGATGAATGTAACCAAATCTCGTTGAATTCGAATATGGACTACTCATTTTAGTCATAGCGCTTGTAATGGTGTCATGCGATGTCTTTGTAGGTTCAATTCGGTAATGAACGAAATGGTGCTAAACGATAAAAATGAAAATAATAAACATTGCACAACCCGTATGCTTATTATAACCGATTTATCAATATCTATCGCCTCTTTAAAACAGTTAGTACAATAATTTCACTTCAAGTTTTGTTTTCTTATTCAAGATAAAAACATGTTCAATACGTTCAAATTTATATTGTACAATTCTCTCAAAAATCGTGATTGATTATTATTTTCTTGGCGTTATAGTTCCAAATATTTATGTTAATTTTCTACGTCATTGCACTGCTAATGATGACACGAATAAAATTGAAACATTATAATGTTTTAGAAAATTAACATGCCACTACTGAAAATGTTCTCTTCGAAAGAAAAATCACATAAATCATGTATTTCCTATCATTCTATTTCAATGAATGTCTATGAAAAAAACAAAAAACGTTGATATAAACTAGAAGACCCATCTGTAGCTTGTTATAAAAGAATCCAGATACATAATGTAATTTGAATCTCAAAACTTTCGATAAAAGAAATTTCGTTTTTCCACAATCTATGAATTTGTGTTAACTTTTGTTTCACGTATTTTTATCTGTTAACAGCACTAGCAATTTATAGAATATTTTTGATTTATAATTGAACTTACAATAGTTTTATTACACGTAAACAATTTATTCCGAAAAAAAATATTCAATTGCTCGGACAATAAACCTCTAAATCTTAACACGCACTGCGCACGCAGCTCAAATGCACATCAGCTTCGATCGACAGTTGTAACCCAAATGCTTTGCTTTGAGCAAATTTCGTTTTAAAATATTTGATTTCGAATGCTAGCCATGTACAAGTGTGTATGGTTGTGGATATCGCAATTTGATTTACTGTCAATAAACAACAATACATACAACTGTCAAATGTAATAAAGTAAACAATCGAGAGCGAAACAATGAACAGTAAGGTGGCAGTGTTTAGCAAAATTATCGGCAATTTTAGTTGCATTTGGCATGATTCCTTCTAGTTTAAAGTTGAATTTCAACCTTTTGGGCGTATAAATTAAGCATAAGTCTTTTTTTCCTCGGATTCTGTATCAATCCGTATCAATTCAAAGATCTGGAACTACATAGATTTATTTTTCCTTACATATCAAGTACCAAGTGAATTAGAATGATTAAATCCTCATTGCGTATCGTTTAAAATACAAATGACATCTGCATCAATTCAGATTCAAAGTAATAACCATGTGAATGTACAATAAAATATGGATAATTTCTTAATTTCCACAATCACGAACAATATAATTCTAGATGTTTTGTAGTACAAATTACTGAGATTCAAGTCGCTACTTGATATTGGAATCACGTGACTTTGTAACGAAGAGTTTTTACGCGAAATACACTGCCGATAAAAAAGTAATCAATTATTTCAAGTGTTGAATCGAATTAGCCGAAAATTCCATGATACTATATTGTTTACGATTGCTTTCGTAATCACATTCATTGAAACTTATAAACACAGTTAAATTTTTACCAAAAATAACGATAATCTGAATGTCCGTGAAATATACATTTTTAACAAAAAATTGTTGTTGCAGTTATGTCTCCAGATGATCTTCACTCGAAAAATCAATTAATTAAAATGATGACATTGTTCCATGCCAATTGTATACTTCTTGTTGTTCTGTTTTGTATAATTTTGCATTCAATGCAATTATACATGTAAAAAACAGCCGTCCCAGATTTTATTGACATAAAACAATCAAATGTTTTTATTTAAAATGTGTGAATGAAATATTTCTATGTTTACAGACGCCGCGTATTTATATGTATGTGTACGTTTGTTAACGAATACTTTTCCAAATGATGCTAATATGCTCATTGAAGTGTGCTAATCACTTTAATATCTCACGTCTAAATTGAAGCATCACACATTAAAGATAAGCATCATACATTCAGAATACGCGATTGGTTATTGATTAAAATCGACCAATTCGTGCAAATAAACTTTATTGTACGACCATTTTAAATTAATATTTTTTTCATTTAAATTGTAGCCTGATAAATCTTGAACAATATTTTTAAAAAAATAATAAAATTCCTATGAATATTTAAATTTCCACGTGTTTAAACTTATCAAAACATAAAAAACACATTATTATTATTATCATTATGAAAACAAAAAATCAAATTCAAATTATAACAATCTAGTATAATTTTGGTATAAAATAAATTCACATACGTGCATCAGCGCTTTTCGTGATGAGATTCCGAACTAAATGACTCTTCAAATTGACATAAGTCGTAGGCAAGAAATAAAACATGTGCGCCCGTAGTAAACAATATTCATTTGAAAAGTAAAATATATGAAAAGATTAAAATAAAACACATTTCCATCGCATATTGATAGTATAGAAAGAAAACATTTCAGTATGTTTATGACAGATGTGAACGATGTAAAAATTTATAATTTAAGCGCTGGAAAATCTTTGCCAGAGGTAAGTGCTGTTTACTATAGGTAAATTTGAAAATTTCGGTTCATTGATATTTTTGGTTGATTTTATTATTTTAGTGGTTAACGGATCAAAGGCGCCGGAAATTGCTCAACAAATCTGTGGATCTGAGGAAAAGAATTGAGCTAATTCAGGATTTTGATATGCCAGATGCATGTCAAACTATTCGAATGTCTCCAGATCATCAATTCATTATTGCGACGGGCACATACAAGCCAAGAGTGAAATGCTTTGAAGTTAATAATCTATCCGTTAAATTTGAACGATGTTTCGATTCCGAAGTAGTATGCACAGAGATTCTAAGTGATGATTACAGCAAAATGGTAAATACATGAAATATTTTCGGAATTAATATTGTAATAAAATGATAATATTATTCTTTTTATCTGTAGGTTTTTTTGCAAAATGATCGATACGTTGAATTCCATGCAGCACATGGTAAATACATGAAATATTCTAATTTCGAAATTAATAATAAAATGTTAAAAATTTCTGTAGGTAGACATTATAGATTACGTATACCAAGATTTGGTTATGATATGAAATATCATACTGCATCGTGTGATCTGTTTGTAGTGGGTGCTTCAAGCGAGATGTATCGATTGAATTTGGAACGTGGACAATTCTTGCAATCGTTGAAAACTCAATCGACAAGTTCAGTAAATCGTTGTGAAATGAATCCCGACCATCACTTGATCTGTGTCGGTTCACAAGAAGGAACAGTAGAAGCTTGGGATCCACGCGATAAAAACCGAGTTGGCATTTTAGACGTTGCAATGCACGTATCCAAGTTTAAAACATTCCCATCAGTTTCGGCAATGAAATTTAAAGATAGTTTACACCTTGGCGTGGGAACACATTCGGGTCATGTATTGATTTTTGATATTCGTGCAAATCAACCGATGATCATAAAAGATCATTTGAATCAATTTCCAATAAAGCAAATCGCATTCAATCCATCACAAAATGCAATCTATTCCATGGATACAGCAATATTTAAAGTATGGAATGAAAATTCAGGCAAACAAATTGCATATGTTGAGTCAGAGACGAGCTTTAACGATTTTACAACAATACCAAACACGGGTTTGGTGTTTTTTGCACAAGACGACGTAAAAATGTTAACATACTATATCCCGATGATGGGACCGGCTCCAAGGTATAGGAACTTAATAATATATTTTAGTTTAATATTTAACTTTATTTTTTCATGTATATTTTTTAGATGGTGTTCATTTTTGGATAATTTAACGGAAGAAATCGAATCAGAGAATGTACAGAATATATATGATGATTATAAATTCATTACAAAACAGGAGTTGGCTGAACTTGGTTTGGAGCATTTAGAGGGAACTAATTTGCTTAGAGCCTATATGCACGGGTATTTTTTTTTTCAACTTTAAATATAAATTACACATTTTTAATTATTTATTTTGTAGATTTTTTGTCGATATTCGTTTATATAATAAGGCGCGTTCAGCAATTGAACCATTTGCCTTTGAAAAATATAGAAAAGAAAAGATCCGCCAACAAATTGAAGCTACTCGACCTGCTCGGCTTAAGATCAAATCAAACTTACCTGCAGTTAACCAAGAGTTGGCTTTGAAATACATTGATGAAAACGAAAATCACGGTCGAAAGAAAACAGCAAATTTGTTGAAGGATGACAGATTCAAAGCACTCTTTAGCAATCCTCTCTTCGAAGTGGATAAAAATGCGGATGAATATAAAATGTTAACGCCGGTTTTGAGCCGATTGCAAAAGAACAAAGTAAAAGAGCTCAAGCGAAAGGTGGAAATCACGATGCCGTTTATGGATGAAAATGAGAAGGCACCGAGCTCGGACGACGATCTTTTCTCAGAAAAAGCTGAAGACGAGGAAATGGAGAGCTCCGATGATGATGACCGAGCATGGGAGAAAGACCTGAAACAAACATATCGTCAAATTCGAATTGATCAGAAAATAAAATCATTTGCAGGAGATGAAAACTCTACAGAGAATGAGAATGAGACAGATGAAACAACACCTGCATTTGCGAAAACATCTAAGGAAAAAGGCAAAGATATCGAGTTTAAAGTATCGAATATCACTGCTAAGGCCAACAAGTGAGTTTAATGAATATATTTTTTTAGTATTTTTCTTTCATATCATATGAATTGCCCGCTTATTTTGAACAATTCTATTCGTTTATTTTATAGGAAAAGTTTGGGTGATCGATTAAGAAAATCAATCAAAAATGATGATGACCAACCGGCGAACAATCGTTTAGGTAGCACACAAATGTCTTTTACCATCGAAAAGAAATCCAAATTTAATAAACAACGAGAAAACGATTTGAAACGACATCGTGAGGAGCGAAAGAGTGTCATACGACCAATCAAAAGTCTGCACTTGAAGAAATATATCCCAAAAACTTAAATAGTGAAAAATTTAAATTCATTAATTTGATAATATTCACACAAAATTGTGACACTTTATTGAATAAAATATCATGTGTAAAACTTGAATTTCACAGCATATCCTTAATCACACTAATGGTACAACGTTTTATGCACTCTCAAATTAGGAAGTTCAATTGATTCGCCACAACTGAAACGATATTTAGTAAATACTTTGAGATTTTTTTTTAAATAAATTCGCTGAGATTTTGCCTAGTTTTCAGTTTTTGGTAAATCTGTCTGAATTTTTTTTTTGTAATGAAACTCACTTCACACACACAGATTTCCGCACGGTATTTCTTACGCTATTCGCTATGCTATTTCGTCGACTAAAATCTATGGAATCGTTGTGCTTTGACATTGAAGCATGGACATTTGAGTTCCGCTGCAATTAAATGAATCATTTATGGTGGTGAATACATACATTGAATTTATTTATCTAAATTTCTTCATTTACCTACGTACCAATTCATTTTTATCAGAGCGCCTTGGAATGTTAAAGAAACCGTACACTATGGGATTCATACAAGAATTTGTGCATGCAAATAAAAATAATCCCCTTTGTATTTTTTGATCAACTTTTAGTGCCGATTCCCGATCAAACCAGTACCTTTTCATTTAATTCGATGAAAAAGAAACGTTAATTATTATTTACTGAAATTCAATGTAAAGAATATATAGTTAAAATTTGACATGCATGTTAATCCACTTGAATATATGGCAGTAAAACTTGAAATAAGTGTTGTTTTTTGGTAGGTACCCTATTTTCATTTTGATGATAATAATTCACTTACCAAACTGACATTACATAAAATGGTGTCCATGAAACAATAAAAACGATCACAATTGTAATTGTCATTCGAAGGGTTTTACGTTTTGCTCGACCTAGAGCAAAATATACAGTAAAAGTGAAGAAAATTCTAAAACATCAGAGTACAACAACTGAAGAGATAATTTTACCTAAAACATCATCGTTGGACCGTCGAAATCTATCGCGATCTGTTACACACTTTCTGCTTTTTTTATACAACTCAATATAAATTGAAGCATAGCAGAAAATGATAATAATCAAAGGCAACGCGTACATAAATATCATCCCCAAAAATGAATAAATTACTTCGTGAAATTTATCATCGAAGAAATTGTATGTAACACACTGCTTATAATGCGTAACATTCGGATGTGATTCGACATGAAAGATAATGGCCTGAGGCAAACCTAAAAAAATTGTTGGGGAAAATGTTATATTCACTACAATATTTATTATAAATATGATGGAAAAAGTTTAAATTTTCATATACTGCATATTGATGAACTAATCCAGGCTGCGCATAGCATGATTTTTCCACGTCTATCCACACCTGCCAACTTCATTGGCTTGATAACTGCAAAATATCTACAAATTTTGAGCTAGACATTTACAAAAATAAGAACCACATACACAATGCTTAGAACAAAATATAGAGCAAGCCCAGGTATACATTATCGATTACTTTTTTGCTTCCTGGGATGACTCCTATTTTTTTTACCTATCAACTGATATGCAAACAAGAACAAACGAAGAAAGATATAATCCAAATGTTCTCAAAAACGACATTAGACTAAAATGATGGAGAAATGAATAACACAATTATTCAGAAAATATATTATTAAACTATATATTAGAACTTACCGACACATAAAATCTCCAGCTTTCCATGAAACAGTTATAGCCCATCCTATTTCGAGTGGCATCATAATAAACGTTACAAGCAGGTCTGCTATAGCCTATATATATATAGAAAAATTTCAAACCAAGTAATTAGAAGAAACATTTAAAAAGTAACATTGATTCGAGGATTGATTTTACTCACCAAATGTGTTAGCATTGTGTCAATTCTAGAGGGTCGTTTTTTTCGACGTTTCAGCAAGAGTACCAGAACTGTCATATTTCCAATTGATGATAATACCATTAAAACACTGTAAATAAATATGTTGAAAAATATCTAAATCTACTTAATATAATCAATTTATACTATTATGTTACAATATATAAATATATTTGCATTTGATTTTAAAAGAATTACCTGTAAACAACAATTGACAATCGATGTCCGTCATTAAACTTCATGTCCAAAGGCAAATCACTTGAATTCCCTTTTGACCATGCATGTCGATCTGGATCCATTGTGGTTGAAGTATCTGTATATAAATAATCTTCGTCTTCAAATTCCGTTGAGTTACTATCGCTCTCTATGAAAATAGTTTAGAGAAATTCATTAAAGAAACGGTACTTTAAACTGCTTATTACATTTCATTATTTACAATGTTGATAAAAATAATAAATCATGCCATATATATATTCAAATTTCCATGACAAAAAATTAGATAGAGATAATCGATACAAGTAATTTAATATTAAAACAATAGCATTCGTTAGTTTCACGAATAATTAACAATACAACAAAAACAAGTAGTAAGGATTTTGTTTAATCTTTTTGTTTGTCGTTAATGTGACAATATCTATTCATTCCATTTTTTTTACATGCAACAGAATAATGCTTTTCAAAATTTCATGCACCAAAATTGAGTCGTGATTTTTTTAAAAAGTTTATCAGTAATGCAAATATGTTTTTATTCCACTAAATTATTTTTTGAAAAACATGCAAGCAAATTAGTTCACATATTCACTATAAATACAGGACTGCTAGCGGTGGAAAATTCCGTATTACTGCCCACTTTAACACTTTGAATTTATGCTTCACTCAAGGAGATTTTCATTCAACATGTACGTTTCACATACGACATAGGATTTTATGACAAAATAACTCTAAACTTGTATGAAGCGAAAGCCGTGTGTAAAAAATATAGAAAATGAATCGCTGAATAGGTGATTGTTACGAAGGGCGTTGATGTGGAAAATGAGAAAAATCAAAATCTACATATATAGAATAGTGTTGTGCTCGTCATATATGCACACTTTACTACTACTGTATTGAGTGCATTTGATACCCTTTCAAATAAAAATATTAAATATTTGAAAATATTTGCACACCACTGACCGCATCTGTGGCTTTAACTAATTTATGTCAAAATCATTAGTTTGTTTTATCGTTTTACTTGTATTTGAAATTCATAACTTGAAAAAAATCACTTGTAAGAACCAAAACAACACGGTAAGTGCCTTAAAAATACGTATTTGGTTAAATTCCAATCCAGTGGCCAAAATTTAATGTTTAAACAAATTCTCTATTCAGCTTTCAGCTTACTGATCGCACAGCTTTGATTGACGGTCTACCGAACACATATTTTGCTTAGTCGTAGATCTGTACGTTTTTTTTCTTTTGAATAAAAGAATGTGTTGTGGCGATAGGTTATCAGTGAAATTATTGTATGCGTTGAGATTTACTTGTGTTGTTGTTGAATCACTGTCTCCGTGTTTCTGAAATAATTGCTGAAATAAATAGGTATATTCTTCAATTATTGTAAACACTTATTACAGGGATCAATTTTGGACCGAGGACGAAAGCATTAGGATAATAATTATTATTTCATATCGAAGTCTTGATTTGTATCTTTTTGTTATTCAATTATAATGACAGCGACTTCATGAATCACACTGAACAGAATACGAATCATCACATACGAACATTTCCATGTAACACATTTTTTTTCACAAATTAAATTGGTTTCTTCAATTGTTTCGCTCACTGTTTTAAAAATACTGTACCACATTATCCCATTTATTTTTTATAATATAAATATCGTTCAGTACACATATATGTGTACAAACATAACTAATTATATGGAGAAATACCTCTGATTGGTAAATGAATCTTATTGGTTTCGATAGAGAAAATTTCTATGTTTCAAATATTCTTTAAAAATATAATGTTATCTAACAAATGTAACATTTTAGTATTGACTGAAGATCAAACAGTTGATTGCTGTATATGTACATATTTTGCACGATTTTATTTCAAATTTTCGATTTCTTTTGCTATTATACATATTTCTTATCCGCACTTTATTTTAAATATATACAAAAAAAAGAATTCGTTTGCAAAAATTATGCTAAACGATGATATAGCAAATAACACTACCTTTCGATTGTGCACAGATGTACCGTGGAAAATTCATTAATATTAGTAAAATCATTGTAGATCGTTTTAGTTTTTTTCAAAGAAATTCAATCGAAGAATTTTTTTTTTCATTTATTTTTGTAATATTTAATTTGGTTGAGGCCTTGCACAGGCTTTACAAAATGTGAGATTCCAATTCAAACGTCCCGCACTTATTCTATAAACAATGAATCTGGTTCAGATCTTTGTACAAATAGACACAATTTTCTTCGTTTCAACGTCAATTTATACTGTTTTTCCGATTCGGAAAATATTCGTAATCATAATAAAACATCTACAAGCTAAACAGATACCAAACAGTACAATGTATACTTGGTTGAGCATTTGATTCTGCGTAGTTATGTTCAACTCTATGAAAGTACAGTTATGAATTCATGACAAAAACACGATTTAAAAAAAATTCATGTTATCGTTTTCATGTTTCACTTTACAAGCATATTTAATATATCACACTTCTATTCTATTTTATTGGAAACAATTTTTACTTTCTTGATATGCAAAACAATAGAAAAATTTATCAAATGTCATCAAGGAAAGTTGCAATTCGGAAAAAATAATAATACAAGCCGTGAATCAAATGTCTCAAATTTAAAATATCTAGCTTTTCATGACCTTCTTCAATTTATTTAGTAATATCAATTGGACCTTAGAAAGTCTCCGTTTAGGATTACGTTCATTCTTATTCAATGAAAAAAACAAGTATTCGTGGAACATATTTTTTTCTCTACTACGTATCTCAATTATGTCAAAATCGCCTGAGAAATGCTGGCGTTAATATTCTTGTTATTTATGTTCGAAGAAATTCATTCTTATTGAGTTTCAATGCGAAATATAATATAATTTGAAGCCTTATATTCTCTATCCAATACATTTTCTTTATTTTCCAGTCATGCATTTGGCATTATGGGGCAGCAGCGACACAATGGTTCGTTTGATTAATTGATGTGATAAGTCACATATTGATTCAATAAAACTGAATTTATGGTGAAAATTATGGTCATATAAGAACATTAGCAGAGAAAAACATATTTTCTATACATACATGTAAATAATTTGCTGCTTAAATTAATAATCTTTTCTGTTTTGCACGAAATTTATTCCGATTTCATATTCATTGATGAGAGAAGGATTGAGTTTCTTTTCAAACAAATTGTTGCTCGAATCAGATAACTGAAACTTGAAGCTGGGAATGAAGGAGTTTTTTTTTTTCTAAATTGGAAACATTGTATTGTGAGACATTTTCAATAGAAAATGACAAGTTTTTATTCAAAGAAGTTTCGCCTAAAAGATGATAAAATACATTTATAAAAAACGTACGTTTAAAAATGGGAGAGCATGAAGAACTTCACCCATGACACCTGAGTAACATGTTAAATATGCACATTAAGTATATGAACTATTCGTTACAAAATCTCGTGTATTTAGAAAAAGTTTAAAAAATCATCATATTGGATACCATCACAAATGCTTTATTTTTGTTTGATTCTGTTGAAAAGTTCTGTACAAAGTACAAAGAAAGGACAAAGGCTTAGTTTTATATATTTATATTTACCTCAATTATTGTCATTAGTGTAATCACGCAAAACAATGCAAAATCAAGTCAGACAGTTAATTTCGAGAAACACGTGGGTGCAGAAAGAACTCACGCTCATTGTACTCCACAGAATTCTTTGTGTAGGATAAAACTACTCCTTTCGTTGTGTACATTTTCTGCCGTAAATTTTTTTTAATTTGGAAATATTTTGCAATTTTACGCAACGTAGTACAATTGAATTCAATGTATTTACGTCAAGTTTAAGTTTCTTGCAGTGTCTAAACCATATAATTTTATTGTAATGGAATCATACTAGTATATTCGAAAAATACTTATTCATTCCACAAGGAACATCATACTGAAACCATCGTAACAATCTCATGATATGATTCATTTCAATTAAGATCATTGAATAAGCAATGTTAAAAGAGAGGGAACGAAAATACCACAATGACTTTTTCTTCTCATTATTATTAACATTGATTTGAATATAACTTAAAGCATCGGGCGAACTACGTTAAAAGCGAATGAAAGAAACAAATAATTTAAAAAAAAACACCGATCAGTCGCAATGCGTAGGATGCTCTTTTTTACCTAGACACATGTGTTCGGCAGGCAAAATTATCTTTTGTATCGAAGAGCGTGCGCTTGGTGAATATTTGGTCGAACGCAATATTCTTAATTCTGTACTCTCTACACCATTCATAAGACAGCACAGTGTGTTGAATGCAGTATGTTGTCTACACTAAGAGACAAATGTGTTTGTATAAACTTTGCTTGTGATATAAGGTGTATATGTACATCACGTTTTGTATGTTTCAGATGTAAACAGATTCAACAGTGAAGTATGTTTCAGTGTTAAACCGCGACTCAAAGCGTTAAAACGTTTGAAAGAGATTAAATCGGAGCACGAGTGAAGAAATAAAACTGTTTTTATATATGAGTTTTCGGAAATTCCAATAACAGTTATAAATCATTTCTTGCAGTCTCTATTTCCTGTTAATAAAAAATAGTTGTGTTTACATTCGCAGTTTGAACTACTTGAATAGTTTGAGAAAAATGACTTGTTAACAATGCTAAAAATTTCAAATGTGAATACGGTTTACAACAGTTTCTCAAAATCGATTTAACAATAATTACAACATAAAAAGAACTCTTCAAGAAGGTACAGTGATATTAAGCATATTTTTGAGTACACATTTGAAATAAAAGAAGTATTTCCTATTTGGATGGGATTGATATAAGCTATTATGAATATCCTATAATTTGCAAAATTAAAAGTAAAATCGTATCTTTTATAGTGGAGCATTTATTTGTGAATTTTATACAGACACAATTTTTATTAACAATATTTCTATTTGTATGTTATTTAACTCAATCAGATTTGACAAATTTTGTATAAATAATAATTGGGTTTATTTTGTGTAGGAAAAAAGCAGGTTTTTTTATTTATTTGTGCTTTTGTGAGCTGCTTGTTATACGTTCAACCTTTTAAAGTTTCTTTCGCACATTCATTCAAAGAGCGTACATACAGACACTGCTGTTAATTTTTATTTTAAATTGAAAATCTTGTTTCCATTCGTACCGTGTATACAAGCAATCATAAGAAAGACTTCAGTGCGTGGTGTTTAAATCTGTATGTTTGTTTGAAATTAAATTCAATGAGAATGACCATATGGGGCAAAAATGTGGCGTAGCGCCACCCCATTTCATCGTATTTCAATACTGTGAACGGATTTCGATAGATTTACATAAAAATCATCATTTTTTAAAGTTTTGAATCACTCTTTATATGTGCAAATCGTGTTGCCACTGTTATTTTGATTTTTTAATCATAAAATAACTTCAAATACGGTCATCAACTTCAAACTTTGTGTGTCATACAATCTCTAAATGTTATGCGTATGGCTTTTTTACTTTAAAATCTGTTTGTGAATCATGTCATATAGCCGAAATCACTTACTAAAAAGTAAAATTTATTCAGTGACAAAATGTTTTAATGAATTGATTAAAATATCGCCATCAACTGTACCTGTTATACGTTTTGTATATATACATAATGCGAAATTTAATCAGTGGCCAGCAAAGGAAACAACAACCATAAGCCTTATCGATTATTTAAATCTTCATATGATTATTGTTTAAATCTTCTGATGGCCAATATTGTCAATAAAATTTCTAAAACCCCATTTAAGAATTTAAAGAATAAAAATTTGAATACTTTTGGCAAACAAAAGAAATTTGCATATCCATTATAAGACTTGACATTTTTTCATTAGACACAAACATCTTCAAAGACATCATGAACTGAAATTCATTTAAGTAAACTCTATGTATATATTGGTTAAATGCAGTTTCGTTTTGTAGTTCAATCATCACCAATCAATCAATCATATAATTGGCATGTCATAACGCATTAAAATAAATAGAAAATGATTTTCTGAAAATCACAATTGAACATGAATGACACAATATATATTGTTTGAACATACAAATAGTTTTATGGATAAAAAATACAAATTGATTTCATTAAGAAAAAGCATCTAATATGATGAACAAAATTTGAGATTTTCTGTTGTTTTTAATGACAAAATTCAACAAGTACATTTATTAAAAAAAAAAAAAACAAATAAACGTTTTCATGTTTTTAATTGGTTAAATATTTGCTTATTATTTAAAGCACTTAAAATGAATACTTTGGCATTATCTCGACACTTTCTTCGCCTTCTTGAGCATTTTTTTCTATTCAATATTTAATATTATAACAGACATACCACCAGTTGTATGATAAGCCAATTGATCTGAAAAATGTGAACTTTCAAGTGTACATATGTTAATTGATATTTGCATCAACCTACACTCTTTTAATTAATATTATTAATCTTCAAGTGACAGTACAGAACGTAGGAAGCGTCATTCTTCTATTTAATCTAGTTTTAAATCCAGCCTTGCTCTGATTACCACCTTGTATTACCAATTATAGAATTTTGATGACTTGTAATAGATTCAAGCCTGTAGAATGAGGTGGACCCCAAAAATGTAAACCAAAGATTTATCATTTGAAATGTACCCCATTTCATAAGAATAAATATTCTGAACAATAACACAGCACGATCCTTTTGTTTGGTTCAAAACTTTTTATTTTATTTTGTAACATATGTTTATATATATTAAAAATCTTGAAATGTATACGTGCGAAACAACGTTTGAATATTATTTTTGAAAGAACCAATACATGCATTAAATCAACATTAATACCTTAAATTCATTTTAAACCACTTTAACCTGGCGTACCTGTCAATTATAAACAGATCAAATGATTTTCATCTGATAAAGCAGTGATTGACATCAATTTTGGTATATAACGTTGACATACAATAAAAAAGTGTGGCCAATAATAATGAAAACTATGAAATCAGAGATAAAACTTGTAAAAGTCGGTAAGATAAAACAAAATGTTCGTAGTTTGTTGGGTCTTCACATCCATTAGTTGTGCCTCTTGTGCTCATTTCTTTAATCCAAATCTTAGTTTTTTTATGAAGCGTGTCTAATTCCGTCATTCATACTGGACATAAAGTTTGTTTTTACCATCACACTGGTGTCATTTGTGTTCAAAATACGACGGTGGCCCACTAGGAGGGTCCTTCAAAAATATCAAAAGGTATCATAAGTTGTTCGTTTCAATACATAAAGGAAATGAAATCATGATCAGTTCTTCTAAAGTGGAAAACCACAAAAAGTAGAAGAATAAAATGAAAATAAATTTGTATTTATAGCCGAGTTGTTTATAAATTACAATCAAAGCGTTTCAACATGCGAAAGATTTCAAACGCTATAGATAAAAACAATTTATTAACGTTTATAGCTGCCATGTAATACCCGAAAAAGTGTCATTCATTTTCACAACAACAAAAAATCTCTATTGGTTGAGATAAATATTTTGAATTCCATTTAACTGGAAGATTTATGTCTTACCATTATGTTAATGATTATAAACATGTAGTGGGGAATGAAATTAAAAAGAAGATGTGTAAGTTTTTGAAATGCAACTCTCAATTCTACGTTCCGATTCATTTAAATCTTTTCGGTCTCATGAATCAAATCTACATTGATTTTTATTTACACAAATATACTATGAATAAAAAAAGCATTTCTGATTGAAGGAGTGGTCACAAAATAACTGTTACATACATTTATTTTCTCTTTCACTTTGAATAGAGCAAAATTATTTCCTATACAGAATCTTACTAATAAGAGCAAATGAAATTTGATTTATTAATGTTGAGTAGCCATTTCTTTATCCAGTTAGATATTTTCGTTATATTTTCGCAATGATTCAGATACTTTTAAAAATGGGTAATTTCCACGTTAAACTTGTGTTATAGAGAAATTGAAAAAAAATGTGTGCCTTCAATTAAAAAGAAAACTATTAAAAATGATTTTGTGTGGCATATTGCGTTTCACCAAATTTTGGGATTTCAAATCGATCGTAAATTATGTAATATATTTTTTTTTTCATCCATCAACAGTTTTACTGCATACATATTAAAAATGAGAATATTTTTGGGTATATTTATGCTCTTTTTGCTGATACAACTGGGTCAGACACTATCATTAGATTCAGGTAATATCTATCAATGTTCATGAAGTAATACAGTCCATGGAAGTTTTACGGAGAATTTAAAAATGCTTATTTCAGCCTCATCAAATGAGTTAGAGCAATTCATAAAAGATGATTTTGTCGTTAGCATGCGTCATATCAGGTAATTATGCAATCGAAAATGTTTCAATAAATTAAAATTATCACTTAACTTAATTTTTTATGCGGTAACGGTAGACCTCGACGAAAATTTCAAATAGCTGTTGAAGCTTTATTCATGATTGATTTCCCGTCTTTGAAACACAAATTCTCTTTCTTTCTGGATCGTAAACAAATGAGAATTACTTTGGACGTTGCATCAAATTCAATTATTCATTCAAAACATTTCAGTGTTCTTAATATAAATGAAACATCAATAATACGTTCACTTGCATTTCATTTTCACGAAAATACTGTTACCCTGTATGTTGATTGTAATGAGTCTGCAAAAGTTGAAATCGACGTTGCCCTGAATAAATTGTACCTACAAATGGAAGAACCAATTCTCAAACTTTTCCGTGAACGTAAATATCCTTTGCACTTTGACACGTCCATTCAGTCCGCATTTAACCGTGCCAATTGTCAAAAAGGCACACATAAACATAATGGAAAGCGTTATAATCGGAACAAACAAATTGACAGAGGTATTTTAAAAAAAAATTTAAACCACCATTTATAATTAAAAAATATAATTTATGGATTTATTTGAAGAAAAAAATAAGAAACGTGATATTCGAAATTGGTATCAGTCTGCAAATGATCGATTCAATGAAGCAATTGAAGAAAAACCTCGTGACACACTTCGGCGTGGGGATATACCGATTTTGCATGGTGATTGTGATGGTATGTCTGGATTTAAACAATTATACATATTTATAGTTATAAGCCACATTTTGAACACATGTTTTCAAATTTTTGGTTTTCATTTGAATGTTTCATCAAATTAAATTGTTATGAATTTTTTTATAATGATTTTTCAAGAAAAGATACATCGTTGTTAATTTTTTTTTATAGATATTATGTCAAAAGCAATTCAAGATCTATTACAATTAGTAAAATTGTTGAGAGAAGAAGTTGCGCATCAAAATCAAGAAATCAGTCATTTGCGTCGTCTAATCGAAAACTGTGCTGGCTGCCAAGAATCCGCACCAATAGTCAAAGAAAATTGCGACACGTTTAATCCTTGCTATGATGGTGTTCAGTGCTATGATGCATCAAATGGTATAAGATGTGGACGCTGTCCAACAGGTAGGAAATCAATAAAAAAGTATAATAATTTCGTTTCTGTAATAGTCGTGCATACAGGTTGTAAGTGTCTTATTGACAAATAAATGTTTTTCTTTTTGTGGATGGAATATTTTTTAGTGTTTGTTATAATGAATAAAGAGATTGTTAATATTTCAATAGGAATGATAGGCGACGGAAAAAATTGCAAGCAAGGTGTAACATGTTCTGATCACCCATGTTTCCCGTGAGTATAAATATTGTTGCTTGGGAGGTGATTTGAACTCAATATTTGGCTATTATTGAATAATCTATTAACCTTAATTTCATAGGAATGTTGAATGCTACGATACTCTTGAAGGCGCTCAATGTGCTTCCTGCCCAATGGGCTGGACAGGAGACGGAAGAGAATGCGTTCAAATAAATGCTTGCCAAAGTGACCCTTGTCCATCAAGTAAATATACTTATTATTTGCAATAACTCTAAATTCGGACTAATAATATAATAAAATAACAATTTAATTAGAAATGTTTATTAAAAAAACATTTACTTACTTACATTTTGTTTTCCATTTCATTATTTATTTTATACTTCATTTTTGTAACGTGCATAGCCACATATCTATCGCCGAAAACCAATATGGTATACTAAATCAATATCATCCCATCAAAAATTGCTTTAACGTGTCGATGTCATGCACATGTATATATTGTTCCAGTGGACAATTCACATTTCCATACTTGCTGTTATATCCAAATCACGTACCAATTTTTCTTCTTTCGAAATATTCAACAGGTTCCGATTTCGTATCTTCAGAAGGACATAATATGCAGTCTTTGTATCACAGTCACCGAAAATCCGAGTATTCTTCGTCAAAAAAAACCACATCCTCCACTTTGTATTAAATACTCTAATTGAGACCACCATAGGTTTTCGACATCAAATACAGATTTCACAATTCGCTCGAAAAATGTTGATCAATAGAAAGCAATTTTTTTTTTAAACAAATGTGGACAAAATATCTTATCTACTTTTTTTCGTTATAAAATCAATGGGCAACAATTACTAGATTATGTATTCTAATTCATGTATGAACTGTATAATTTTGAGTAATATTTTCTTATGATATTAAAGAATATGACTAATTGGAATTGAATAATTTACATAAAAAACTAGGACAATGTGCCCTTACTTTTGCTCAAAGTTCAGAATTTTATTCCCGGTAAAATAAAATGTGGTGAATTGCAGACGAAAAAAAGTTACAAATTATGAGAAAAAACCCAAAATTAGTAACATGATTGAGGAACATTGAACATTAATTCGATTGTAAAAAAATCAATTGCAATCGAAATATCAAAAATTTATTGGCGTTCATTGTTTTTTTTTTCTACTTTAAATATGTACTTAAATATTTTGATACAAACATGAATAAGAGAATAAATTTTTGATATAACATATTAATTGTTTTTATTTTATTTTTTCTACCCCACTAACTAATAATCGATTACTAATATTATATTTCTTAATTAAATAAAAAGACATCTGTAAATAATCGGTTTTAAAAAACTGAAATTTTTGGAAAATATCTTTGATTGGACACAATGAAATTGGAAATATAGTAAAATATATTATGCAGTGTGGAAAATAAGGTGGTACCACAAATACCTTTTGGGCAATAATGGAAAAATTTCTTGTTTTTTTAATTTTAATTTCATGCCATATGTATATTTTCATTTCAAAATAGACGCCGAATGTTCTTCAATGTCATCATCACCTTATTATAGATGTGTCTCATGCCCCACTGGTTTTATACTAAATAGTAATCGAACATTTTGTGAAGATATAGATGAGGTAAAATAATTTTTATGATTTAAATATTTGAGTGATGTAATGTTTTTATTTAAAAATTCAGTGTGCACAACATAATCCTTGTGATACATTGACACATTCTTTTTGTGAAAACACTGTGGGCTCATTTGCGTGTCAATGTACTGAAGGATACATTCAAAACATCAGTTCGGGTTGTTATGCAATGCCAAATGTTTGTCCTGACGGAACCATTTGCGATAAGAATGCCATTTGTCAACATACATATATTGGGCTTGCACGTGTGAGTACACTGTAAAATAGAAGGGATTAAATATTAATCATTTGGGATTTTTCATCAAAATAATCCAAAAGGATTAAATTTTAGCACTGTAGGATTAAATTTAAATACTTACTAATTGTAGCGAATTGTAGGACCACGTTGAAATCCCGCACAAAACCCAGGGCTTACGGCCGAGAGCTCCGCGCTTGATCCAGATGAGAACGCAATGTTCGTTGTGTTGTTTGTTGATTCTGAAAATGACAATGATTATATCAATTTCTAAATATGAACGTAAATTAAAAGTATGTGTAGCTTCAATTGATTAGATAAATTCAAAGCAGAATTATTGAAATGATTACATACTTGATTGGATGCTGCTCGTCTTGATTGTCGAGCTCGTGCTGGTGGTGCTGGCGGTGCTGGCGGTGCTGGCGGTGGATCTCCTCCTCCTGCATTTTCTTCTTCTTCTTCAACATGCCGTTGAAATGCTGGATGTAGCTCTATATTCATAACAGCACACCATCCTGTTTGTTTGTAAGGAATTAAAAAAAACGAATTCATTGTCTATTGTTCATTGACTTGTTCATATTAAACTGAGAGCATATCAATTTAACAAACACAAACCTTTGTAGAGAATGTTACGACCTGCATTTGCATCACGATTCCAGGTGATAGTACGCCCAATTCGAGTTTTCTCTTCATATTTACGAAATTTTGATGCCATACGTGGACCATCAGTACGGGGACGATGTTTTCGTTGCTGCGTCAATTTGCGATTGCTTTTTCGTGATTCAATCGGACCTTGGGCTTTTCCAAGCACATTTTCTCCACACAATGGTTCGCATCCATGGCATGTGAGATAGCGATATTTCTCCTTTACTTTGCCTCTTTTTGTCGGTTTTTCAAGTTCACGGAAGCACAACGAACATAATTTGGTCGTCCGAAATTCGTCCACCTCGACCACTGTACATTTACGGCGACGTTTCAACTTCTCGAACAAATCTCGCACCTTCGATCGAATATATCCTCGGGCTGGTGAATCTGCCGCAATGAAACGATCTCCGACAAATATGAACGTTTGCTTACCATCGATGAGCTTGGTTGCATATGCATCAAGTGCTCTATTCGTGTCAATGTACTGGAGAAATGCTTGCAAAGCGTATTCATACTGTGTGTATGCTGTGAACTTTTCTTCAAAATGACGCAAAATATGATCAGCATATGATTTATGGTCTTCGGCTCGTGGACCAGGCTGCTCATCAAATGACTCACGATGTAGACGCATCTTTTCATCGATTTCAGTTGTCAACTTTTTGCGCCATTTGTTCCGTCGCGATGAATTTATCATATCTTGGTATTGGCCCGATGTCAATCGAATGATTGTTTCAGTGCGATTATTTCGATCGTTGAAATTGTTAATGCGCACACCACCAATGACCAAACGTAGTCCAGGATCGAGACCATACACTTGTTGGCTTTTCAGAAGCATCTCTTGTGTCTCTTTCATACGCTCTTCATCGTCTTTTTCAATGATGAATTTTGTTCGTTCCATCAAAAATGACATACCGACACCATCTGTTTGAATGGAGTTGTCGAATTTTATTGTTGCATGGCCATCATTTTTGTTTCTCGGTTCTCTTTCGATGCTATCGATGTCGAAATACAGACGCCATAATACATCCCATTCTTTATTTTTGATTTCTTCCTCCTGTTTTGGGCCGCCGTTTTTATTGCGAAATAATCGATGTGGACATTCTATCTGTCTCAACATGCGATAAAACACTCTACGATCAATTCGAATGTAATGTCTTTCGAACGATGACGTTGGTACCACGGTGAAATTTCTGTATTCACGAAGCTCGGTTCGTTCACCTCGCTTCAATGCGGCTTTTCGTTCACGTTCATGATTGCGAATGTACCTATTTTTGTATATTTTCCAAAAAATAAATTGATAAAATTACTCGTGTGATATTTGTAGAATTTTCAAAATGGAAAAAAATCGCATAAAAAATACAATCGTTTGATTCACAATAATAAATGAACGAAAACTCACTGTTGCAAATTCAGAAATATTGGTATGTATTTGAACCAATTGCTTTCCATAGCAAAAAAGTACCCTTTCCCATCGTCGAATCGGATTGGCTTTAATGTATTTTCCAGTTCCCACATCAAATCCAGGTCTGGCACACAGTTGGAGTTTTGCTTGAATAAGAAATCCATGGTGTCATCAATTTGTGCTTTGCTCGCGTTTTGATGTGTGAAAAACTTTCGGATGCGTGAGTGAGCGTGCATACAAATATTATTTTTGTAATTTGTATAAAACATTTGTACTGCGTATTCAACTACATTCCCGAATCCTCCAATTACTGGAGCTCGAACACCGTATTTTTGGCAATAGTACCAAATGCCGTAACACAACCTGTACCCGCTTTCTCTGGCGTCGTTAAATGCATGCTCAATGAACTGAACGCCGTAAAACCAATCTCGAAAAAATTTTTTGTCGACGAATTGAGTATAGAATGCTTCGATTTGCTCGTCTGTACTGCGCTTGAAATGATCACTGGTGAAATAATGCAAATTCAGTGCACCCAATATGTAGCACCGTGTCATTTCTAATACGTATACGTCAATCAACTGAGCAAATTTTCCAGTGTTAATGGGCAGATTCACTTTTAAACCTTTTCGAGCACTTTTTTTAATTGTTTGGTGTTCTTTAATTTTTATCTTCTTTCGTGGCTTAAACGCCGATTCGTGATTCCGTTTGCGACCGCTCATTTTTAGCAACTGTTAACGTATTGGAATCTCCACCGATATTTATACCTCGAAATATTGATGAATAATCAAAATTTTGATAAATATAAAAGTGCCGGTTTAAAAATATTCAGGCCACTGTTATATTTATCAAAAACTACAATGACTATGATAGACTATGCATGCCATCAAATAAATTTATTAATTATACTCAAAAATCGGTTGATTTAGCAATGTATTATTGTTGATGAATTTATAGGTTCCTGGTATTTTAAAAACAGGCCTCTAAAAATTTATCAAAATATACAATCACCGATTCATGTGATCGAACGGGTTCACAATAAACAAATATCAATGCGTTCATTTCACTCTTGCATAAATACAATTTCATAATTCTGCAGTCCGATTTCAAATGCTGACAAAATGTTCGCTAAATTACACTCCCAAAGGTGTGATACGGAATTTATGTTGATATTCGATGCAAAAGAATCTTATTGAAAATCATTCGTCAACAAAGCAAGAATTAATCTTTCGTCAACACGCATTTTACGATAGTGTTTCGGTTGTTCAAGATTCTGATGGATTTTTAAAATTTTGCAAAATGTTTGCCATGTTACCCTTTTGAAAAAAAATCACTGAGCACACAAAAGCGGTTGTGACATGGAATGTTGATATTGATGCGAACCGACCCAAAATTCTATTGAAAACCATTCGCTAATCAATTCTTTACTTTGTTTTCACTAGCTATAAAACATTTCATCAGAAATCTAATAAATTGCACAGAAGCGATGGAAAAAAGGATTCTATTGAGAATTATATTCTAATAAACAAACTAATCGAAATTCCAACAGAAACAAAATTTAGTTTTTTCGACAACGGTGCACGTGATTTACACAATAAACATAAGACCGTGAAAGGTTATGTTTGCAATCGAATGACAATGACAAGCATTTGAAGTTTCATGTAATTGTCAATACAATATGAAACAGTGTTCCAAAGGAAGATTCATTTTGAGATATTTTTCTACAAACAACAAAAAAGTGTTTATTGAACTCAAGTTAAAAAATATAAAATGATCCCATTGGATTACTTTTTAGTCCTTTTGGATTAATCGTAGCTGAAAATCCCAAAATACTAAATATTAATACCACCGATATAAGAGTGTAGTATTTCTATGGCGACATTGAATGTAATTTGATAGTCTAATATTTAATATCGTTTTCAACAGTTTCAATGTGTTTGTAAAATTGGATTTGGTGGCGATGGAATGCACTGTGCGCCAGACAGTGATTTAGATGGGTGGCCAGATCATACATTGAATTGTACGGATGTTAGTTTACATTGTAAAGAAGATAATTGTATTTTTATTCCAAATTCGGGACAAGAAGATGCTGATAACGATGGCATAGGTGAAATAATCAAATGTTTTAACTAAATACATAGGATATTTTTAATGAATATTTTGCAAATTCTTTAGGTGATAGCTGTGACCCTGATGCTGACAATGACGGTATTTTTACATATTTACATTTTCGATATAAGATAATGAAATATAACTACTCATTGATATAAATATCGTCTTATTATTAAAACGTTAAGAATAATAATGGATACTAATTGGGTTATAAGTATCTTGTAAATATCGTTATGCCGTTGAATTTGTAGGTATTTTGAACGACATCGACAATTGTCCATTAATTTACAACGTGGATCAGCTTGACTCCGAACCAGATGGTGGAGATAGACATGTAACCATAACACTATAAATATATTTAATATATAAATATTATATTTAATATTTTGAAATTTTAGGGCGATGCATGTGATAATTGTAAATATAAAATCAATTATGACCAAGCCGATATAGACAACGATGGAATAGGTGCGTATTTTTATTAAAATAGAATCAACTAGGATCAAGCCGATTCATATCGATGGGAATGATATACTATAATAGCGAATTGTGGAAATGTGCAATACAGTAACTGAAATTTTGTTTTACTCTTTAAAGGTGATTTATGTGACTCTGATGCAGACAATGACGGTATTTTAGCGTTAATCCCAATTAAAATTAATTAGACGAAAATAAAATCAATCTACATATTCAATTTTAAGGTATTTTGAATGAAGATGACAATTGCCCCTTCCATTCAAACCCCGATCAGTCTGATTTGGACAACGATGGTATAGGTGCGTATGTTTATGATTATTTAATTGAATGATGCTTGCTAATAAATACGTTTTTTCTTCAATTGTAATGTTTTGTAGGAGACAAATGCGATAATTGCATCACATCACCGAATCCATTACAACAGGTACATTTAGTATATGTTTAGAGTAAAAACTATCATTAATTTCTTAAAATTATAAATTTTATTACTTCCTTACAGGATCTGGATAGTGACTTGGTTGGGTAAGTTTGAAACACTGTGGATTTTTTTTTTTGTAAACGCATATGTAGATCTTGGTTGCTCTTTGTGTACTGAATCATTTATATTGTCTGCAATAGGGATTCGTGTGACAATAATTTGGATTTAGATAGAGATGGGATTCAATATGGAATAGATAATTGCCCAAAAATTCCCAATTCCGATCAGCTTGATACAGATGGCGATGGAAGGTATAAAGTTTTAAAATTAATTGAGAACTGAATAAATTGAGAAAAATTAATTAAACAAATATTTTTAGAGGCGACGAGTGTGACGAGGATAAGGATAATGTAGGCAACAAACATACAATTCCTTTGTCCTGTTTTTAAATGCTTTTTTTTTATTCATTTATATGCAGGACGGTGTAATAAACGAATTCGATAACTGCCCGATCGTTTTTAATCCAGATCAAATAGATTTGAATCGTAAGAAAATTAATTGTATTTGTATACGAATTCCGTTAAATTTCTTTATTCTAAATTGTTTAGAAAACGGTATTGGCGATAAATGCGAAGATGACTATGATTTAGATTTGGTTCCCAATGCTCTTGACAATTGTCCAAACAATTCGAAGATTTTTTCAACAGACTTCCGAACGTATCAGACAATTGCCTTAGATCCAGTAGGGGACTCGCAAATCGATCCCAAATGGTTGATTTATAACCGAGGCGCTGAAATAGTTCAAACGGAAAATAGTGATCCAGGTTTAGTACTAATTCAAATGTATTTTGTTTTCAATATCGATTTATCGGAAATTAAATGTTATCAAATCGAATTGTGTAGTAAATATTTGCAGAGATATTTCATTTAAGAAAGAAGCAATCGTTGTCCGAAAAATCGATATTAAAAATAAAATACATTTGAATTAACATTTGCTTTTTTTCAGGTCTGGCTATTGGATATGATGCATTTGGTGGTGTTGACTTCGAAGGAACGTTTTTCGTCGATACAGAAATTGACGATGATTATGTGGGATTCGTATTTAGTTATCAAAGTAATAGTAAATTTTATTCGGTTATGTGGAAAAAAAATACACAGACTTACTGGCAAGCAACACCATTTCGTGCATCAGCGGATCCAGGTATTCAATTGAAGTTAATTAACAGTAATACAGGACCTGGTCAAATGCTGAGAAATAGTTTATGGCATTCCGGTGAGTTGAAGGCACTCGCGTCATTCATAAATTGACAATTCTGCTTACAGTCACTCATTTAGCGGAACTGTGAATTCCATTTAATGTTTAATTATTTGCTTTCCAGGTGACACCAAAGATCAAGTTAAAATGTTATGGAAAGATTCAAGTAATCTGGGTTGGAGAGAAAAAACAGCTTATAGATGGTTACTATTACATCGCCCAAAAATTGGATTGATAAGATTAAGAATTTTCGAAGGTGAACATATGGTCGCAGACTCGGGTAACGTCTTTGATTCAACGTTGAAAGGCGGAAGATTGGGAGTTTTTTGTTTCTCGCAAGAGATGATAATTTGGTCAGATCTTGTTTATCGCTGCAATGATCATGTTCCGCAAACTATTTATAATGAAATTCCATTGCAACTCCGTTCAGAAGTTGAAATCGATACGAGGATATAGACATGTATGCACATAGAAATAAAAATATTTTTGCTTTGAATATTTCACATTGAAGTTATCATTTATTTTCAAAGTAGGTTTGCCATGCACCAAAAATGTAAGGGAACTTTTCTTTAGTAGTGACTCTTTGGATAAACCGGGATTTATTTTGAAATAAAATCAAGTTTGATACAGCTTCTGATACGAAAAATATATTTTTTTATTCTTGAGGAAATGGCGCCAATGCTATTAACAAAATATTTATATTTATTTAAATACCAGATTCGATTTTATACTCTCAAAAAACCTAGTGTCACTGAACACTTCAAAAAAATCGACAAAAGGATTACTGAACTAAATATATACTCCCTGCACAAATCCAATAATCCAAATACTGAACTGAATGCAATATATTCTGGACTACATCCTATAGTTTATTACTAAATAAACTATTCATTCAAACCTATATGCATTAGAGTGATTCGATTTTCACATTTGGATAATACATTCTATTGCACTCTTTTGCAATCAAATAAAATGCTTTTGGTTCCAAATTGGACGAATTTTATATTTTTTATCCATTCTAACGTTAAAAAATGTAAGACTTCATCTCATTTTAGAAGCAAATCCACAAAATGCTCAATCTATTATTAATTAGAGGTAAAAATGACCGAAATGACATGAAGTCATCGAGGGCAACGAGATGGATATTGAAAGGGCGAATGAAGAACAAATTTGTTAACTGAACAGTGTATTTTGTTTGAAATAATTTTGGGTCGTTTTGAATAATTCATGGGCACCCCCACATATTTAGACAGAATGCGAGAATTGAAATACTTTGACGATCAATAAATACGTGGTGGAGACAAAGCTTCTTAGTTTTAATTTTGATATTTCATCTTCATAGTAATATATTAATAATTCCGCCAGGCTTGGTTTTGTCGCCTTTCCTCAGTACCAAACTGCACACACATCCGGCCCCAAGTATCTCCCGAGTGATGATTTTCCGTTAAACATTTTTTCATTTGATAGAGATAAGCTTTTATGTATGCACAATGCACATTGAAACACAATAGAATATAAATAAAAACAATTGATTTTGTTTTGAAGATTTCTCATTGGGTGTTTATTTCTTCAAATCATCATTAATTATGCAAAATAATTTTAGCGTTTGCCTCCCACTCGTGGTGCAGCTTTTTGCACGTTCTTTGCTGCTTTTTGTTTTGGTTGTTGTTTCTTCGCTGGTGCTGGAGCAGTTGATTTCTTTGCAGCCCGTGTGGCCTTCTTTTGCTCTTTAGCCGCTCTAAATAGGATAAGTTTAAAATAATACAGTTATTATCTTTGAAATAGTTTTTCTATTGTATTTTTTTATGATCGACAATAGTTTGTTCACTTACTTGATGGCCTGTTCACGTTGAGCTTTACGAACTTCTGGTTTCATGTTACGCTTAGCTAAAATTTCGGTCAACGATGCACCAACGATTGCACGCTGGAATTTTTGTGTACGGCGTGTTCGTTTCTTTGCAGCTTCTTCTTCAATGCCCTTCTTATGTTTGCGTCTGTAAAGTACTGTCCATGTTACTTTACGTGGGTTTCTCTTCATCAAGAATGAACGCTCGCATTTTTGGTTGAGGAAAGTGAATGACTGAAAGTGAAGAATAAAAATTCACCATATAAATTTCACTTTATTAAGTTTATCTTTATCACGTCCATTTATCAAAGTAATTCAATGCAATCTGCGTTCGCGGCTGTAACATAATTACGTCCGACATAACCTTAAAATTAACCACTAACAAAAAAACACTCACCTTTCCATCAACCTTAACCAAGGTTTTACCATGGCCTGGATAGATTTTGTAACCACTGAATGCGCACAAACCGATCCTATAAACGAAATCCACAATGAAAGATTGTTAATATATTTTCTATAGTTCATCTAAACAATGCTATTAATGTTAGTACGATGGATATGAAATGTAAGGAAAACAAATCTATAAAAATCACTTTTTTCTTAAGAAAAATCAATATTAAACCAAATATTTTATAATCAGATGATATTTTTGAGTTTCACGTAACAAATGAGAAATAAAATTCACAAAATTGTACAATGATGATTTAAATAAATTGAAAAAACTTATTCTATAATTTAATTCACGTACTTCATCTTGCTGTGTTGTTACCAAAAAGACCTTATATCCGGAATATTTTTTTGACATTTACTATAATTCGTTTAACCTAACGCTAGCTGTCGCTTTCATCGTTAAATTTTGAGTGCGTTCCCATAGACGCTTACATCATATTCAGCCGAGTTTAAATGCAATTTTGAAATTATTTGTGTAACAAATTTTCCATTATTAATTTGTTCAATAAGCAATTGTTTCCATAGCAATTGTTTACATTTTATTGCAAGAAATAATATACATGAAAATCTTAAATGCAATGATTGGTCAGTTGGACGTCATGTAAACGATATAACATTTGAAACGTCATCAATTTATTTGTTGTCCCAATAGCGCATTAAGAACATTGTTGTCAAATGGTAGTTAGTTTTCATGTTTCCGAAAAGCCGACAAAGCCGTACAACAAATGATTTCGTTTTAGACTAAAATAAAATTCTTATTAGATTCAATTTTTGTTTTAAAGTTACATATATTAGAATGAAAGTTAAAATATTGTTTGGTATATTGTTGGTAAGTAATCAAAATTAGGTGACATAATATAATTACCATATATGGAATGCATTTTATACCGCTTTTAGGTGCACATTGTTTTAGCTCAAGCAAAGGTTAAACAGAAAAGTGTGTTAGTTGATGATGTTAGTGATTTTAAAGAATTAAAAAAGATTTTTCGCACCAAGAACAATGTTATGATCCTTTTTGCATCAAATACAAAACTGGCGCATAATACCATCAAGACTTTGGATGAAGCGGCGCAAGCCGTAAAAGGAGAAGCTACAGCTGTGTTTATCGACTGTTCTTTGAGGTTATTAAGACTTAAACTATTTATAACAAAATTACACAAATGTTGAAATTGTTTTTTCTTTTATAGTGCGGACACAAAGAAACTTTGTAAGAAAATGAAAGTTTCACCGAACCCGGTGGTTATGAAACATTTCAAAGAAGGAGAGTTTCATAAAGATTATGATCGTAAAGTAACGGTTTCAAGTTTAGTTAATTTTTTGCGAGATCCATCTGCTGATTTGCCATGGGAAGAAGATAATTCGGGTGCTGATGTTTTGCATCTCAATGACTCTGATGTAAGTTTTACATATATTACCTATACACATATTGTGAATTTATTGTGTAAATTTTATGCTTTTTATTCAACAAATTAAAAAAAAAACATCCATTTAGATGCTGATTAAATTACTGAAAAAAGAACTTCGACCAATTTTGATAATGTTTTATGCGGTAAATTTTCGTTTTATTCCTCTTCATTCACAACAGTTTCTAAATCTAAAACCAGTTTTTCCTTTCGAATTAAAATCAATTAGCCCTGGTGCGGTTACTGTAAAAAATTAAAACCCGATTACTCAGCAGCTGCAACTGAATTGAAGCCCCATTATGTATTGGCCGCGATTGATGTGAATAGACCGGAAAATTCAAAAGTGCGAAAAATATTTAACATAACAGGTTTTCCAACAATAATTTATTTCGAAAATGGAGCTCAAAAATATGTTTATGAAGGCGAAAATAATAAGGAAGCTATAGTGTCTTTTATGAAAAATCCGAATCAACCACCTGTCGCAAAACCAAAAGAAGAAGAATGGGCATCAGATCCAGACTCGGAAATAGTACATCTCATGTCTAGTAATTTTGATTCAGTGCTTGTTGACGAAAAATCTGCACTAGTAATGTTTCATGCGGTAAATTTTTATTTTTTTCATCGATCGCATTATTTCTTATTGCCATCATTATTTCTATAAAAAACTGTTAGCCATGGTGTGGTCATTGCAAGCGCATGAAACCTGAGTATGAAAAAGCGGCTGTTCTGATGAGAGAACAAAAATTGCCAGGCATTTTGGCAGCAATTGATGCGACAAAGGAAAAAGAAATTGGTGCAAGATTTAATGTTAAGGGATATCCGACTCTTAAATTCTTTTCAAATGCTGAATTTAAGTTTGACGTAAATGTTCGTGAGGCAAACAAAATAATTGAATTTATGAAAAATCCGTCCGAACCCCCAGCACCACCGCCTCCAGAAAAACAATGGCAAGATGAAGAAACGAGTGTAGTTCATTTGGATGAAAACAATTTTAAGGTTTATTTAAAAAAGAAAAAACACGCGCTCGTCATGTTTTATGCGGTAACCATTCTTTCATTATTCGTCATATTCCTTTAAAACGTACAATGTTTTATGCTCTCCCAAATAGCCGTGGTGTGGACATTGTAAGCGGGCCAAACCAGAATTTAATAAAGCGGCTGAATATTTTAAGGACGAACCACGCGTTGGATTGGCTGCGATAGATTGCACAAAACATAACGCAATTTGCTCCTTACATTCGGTCAAAGGATTTCCCACTATCAAATATTTTAGTTACTTAAAAACAGTTCGTGAATATAATGGAGGTAGAAATGTGAGTAGGATAAAACTTTGGAAAATAGCAGTCAATTGTCCTTGGGAGATGATTTAAAACTAACTTATGGATATAATTTCAGGTTGAAGATTTTAAGAAATTCTTGACTGATCCCGATCAATCGAAAACGAATCGCATCGAAAACAAAGATGAATTGTAGAAATAAATATCATTTTGAGATTAAAAAGGTTGTACAGTATAATGATTTTTTAAGAAGTATTGTATTTTTTTAGTAATTTCAAATCTAAAAACTGGAAGAAAAAACAAAATAAAATTATTAATACAACAAAATGAACAAGCGTTTGCATATTGAATCTTAAATTGTCAAATGAGGTAATGTTAAAAAAAATGTGATAGAAAGAGCTATTGGTATTGTGCGTGGGAACATAAGAGGCATCCAGTCACATTCCATCAATAGTATATGCATAATGCATTTCAGAAAATACTTGTACTGAAATTTGACGGTTATTGTTCTATAGTGAATTATCTCATCTTATTTATAAACGCACTCTGCTCAGTTATGACAGATGCAGGGTTAGACAAATTCTCAGTCAAAAACAGCTGGCTAAGTCAATGGTATATTATTTGACATCCCGCACATGTGCGTATTACATGAATTCAAAAAATGTGTTTAATACATTGTTGATAGAAGTTATTTGTGTATAAAAATGAAAGAAATTCCGGTTTTAACGAATTCCAAAAAGGAATTCACCCAAAAGAAATTAGAACAAAATAAAGTAATTTTTCAAAATTTATATTTATTTAATTATTGAGTAAAAATTTGTGTTGAAAAAAAAAAAAAACAAATCGTGAACGTTCCAAACATAACCCATATTTTTTACTTCTGCCTAGATTTTGTTATCTTTAGGAGCTCCTCATGTTGATTCCTTCAATTATATGCTTGACGAGGGATTAGCAGACTGTGCAAAGAACATTCATCCCGTAGAATTTGAAATTCCTGGAGGTGATCGTGTAAAATTATTTATTGAAAGTATATCCATTACACAGCCGCAAGTACCAACGTCATATCTAAATGCACGTAATAAAAAGATCTATCCAACGGAATGTAGACAAAGAGCTGGCACTTACACTGGGACATGCACAGTGGGCGTTGGTTGGTCATTGAATGGTGTTTGTCAACCTATAGTTGACAAACCAATGGGTGAAATTCCTATTATGCTTCGTGTAAGTATTCTATAAAAAATTACTATATTAACCAAGATGAAAATTACACAAATGAAACATATTTCTTTTCAGTCAAAAGCATGTAATTTGAATGGACTAACCCCAGAACAACTTATTAAACGCGGTGAACATGAAAATGAATGGGGCGGCTACTTTATTATGAAGGGTATACTTCACTTCCATTTCTACGGATGGATTGCTATCGATAACTTCGATTATTTCTCCATTATTTATTTCCATTTATTTCTTTTGTAATTACTACCTCAGGTCATGAAAAACTCATTCGGATGCTGTTAATGACACGTAAAAATTTTCCGATTGCTGTTCAAAGAAACACATGGAAAGATAGAGGTCAACACTTTGGTGATGTTGGTATTATGGTGAGAACCGTGAAAACTGATCAAACGGCAACTGTAAGTAATATGTTTTTTTAAATCTAAAATCCAATTCATTCTCATTGAGAATTTCTGAATTATAATTGATTTTATTGCAACATTTTTTTCCAAATTCTACTTTAACATTTTCAGACAAACGTACTTCATTACCTGACAAATGGCACAGCAAAATTCATGTTTACTTATCGAAAAACATTCTCATTTATCCCAGTAATTCTTTTATTGAAATCGTTGAAAAATTGTACGGACGAATACATATACCAACGTCTAATCGCTGGTTATGAAGATGATCAGTACTACGAAGGTTGTATACAAAAAATGTTACGAAGTGTTCATGATGAAACTGGGATGCATATCCATGAAGATTGTAAAAGATATTTGGGCGAAGTATTTCGTTCGAAATTTTATCATTTGCCAGCATGGAAAAGTCACGAAGAAATCACAGATTATATGTTAAACGAATGTATTCTCATTCATCTCGACGATCATGATGACAAATTTAATTTAATTGTCTTAATGACACAAAAACTATTCCAATGTGCTCAAAATAAATATAAAATAGAAAATTCCGATAGCGTCATGATGCAAGAAGTGCTACTTGGTGGTCATTTATACCAAAAAGTCATTAAAGATCGAATCGAAAATTGGCTGGAACAATTGCGTTTTGCAATTTTGAAACAAGCAGAGCAAACAAACTTCGTACTCAACTTAGCAAATTTTATGCAGGCGTGTAAAATTGCCGGATCAATTGAACGAACTGTTTCAAATTTTCTATCAACTGGAAATCTTGTTTCAAAATCAGGATTGGGATTGATGCAAGCATCTGGATTAGTTATTATGGCTGAAAATATTAATCGAATGCGTTATATGTCACATTTTAGGTAAAGTTTGTACTTTTAAATAATAATTATTATGATCTATATTAACAAAGATATAATATTTTGCAGAGCTGTCCACCGCGGTTCATTCTTCGTAGAAATGCGCACAACCGAAGCACGGCAATTACTACCAGATGCATGGGGTTTCATTTGTCCAGTTCACACGCCTGATGGTTCACCTTGTGGACTTTTAAATCATTTAACCATAGACTGTGTGGTTTCCGATACACCAAAACAGTCACTTGTCGATAACGTACCAAGAGTTCTCGTTAATTTGGGAATGGTTCCTCTAAATACAACACGAATCACCTATAAGAAGCATTTCGTTGTTATGTTGGAAGGTAGAGTTATCGGTCACATTAACAAAAGTATGGCACAACAAGTTTGCGTTGAGCTACGTCTCTTAAAAATGGACGGAAAGCAAGTTCCCAAATTTATGGAAATCGTACTAGTGCCAGATATAAAGGTAAACATTAATTATTGTTACACATTTTATGCCTATCCTTTAATGAAATGATGGCAAATCAATAATAATTCTATATTAAATTATCTATCTATTAGAATGGCCAATTCCCCGGTTTATTCTTATTCATTGGTCCAGCTCGTATGATGCGACCGGTTAAAAACTTGAAAGCAAATAAAATTGAGTATATTGGTTCATTTGAACAAGTTTACATGAACATATGTATTGACGCTGAAGAAGCATATGAAGGTGTTACAACACATCAAGAAATATCAAAAACCGCTTTCATGTCAAATTTGGCTAATTTGATTCCGATGCCTGATTGTAATCAGTCACCCCGTAATATGTACCAATGTCAAATGGGTAAGAGAACGCTTATGACACATTTGATTCATTTATAATTCTATAAATCTTATAATATATGACTATAATAGGAAAACAAACTATGGGAACTCCAACACACACATGGCAATTACAATCAGAGACTAAATTGTATCGGCTTCAATCTCCTGCAACTCCACTATTTCGACCAGTTCACCACGATAATATTGAAATGGATGATTTCGCAATGGGAACCAATGCAATTATTGCGGTGATTTCATATACAGGCTATGACATGGAAGATGCCATGATAATTAACAAATCGGCAGACGAAAGAGGATTTGCCCACGGAAGTATTTATAAGTCACAATTCATCGAATTGGACGGTACTAGTTTCTTTGCGCGAAATCCACATGATAAAAAACTAGATAAATTCATTGATAATGACGGTCTTCCATATCCTGGACGCAAAATTAAACCATTGGAAATTCTATATTGGTAAATTTTTTCAATAGCTGCAGATTTTTTTTAGATCCAAAGTTTTTTGAAATTTGTAGCAATTTTAGTTCTAATAATTTTCATTGTTTTTCAGTTTTTTTGATACAAATGAAAGTGTGTATAAAACAAAAAAATATACCGGCAGTGAAGATTGTGTGGTTGACAATATCAAATTATGTGGAACATTAAATACGGATTCGAAAAAAATTGTTTGTTTGACTCTTCGTGTACCGGTAAGATTTTATTAACGCTTTTGTACTGATTTTTTTGTAACATATTTTACCACCGCAAACCAAAAGTATCATTTATTTTATATTCAATATGAATAAAGTGAATGAATCTAAAACTTTGGTCTTAATATTTAAACATCTGTATTCATTAAATAAAATACTTTCTTTATAGAGAAATCCGACAGTTGGTGATAAGTTTGCGAGTCGTGCTGGTCAGAAAGGAATTTTGTCACAAAAATGGCCAACTGAAGATCTACCATTTACCGAAAGTGGTCTCATTCCGGATATTGTATTTAATCCTCATGGTTTTCCTTCCCGTATGACAATTGCGATGATGATCGAAAATATGGCGGGAAAAAGTGCTGCACTGCATGGATTTGTACATGATGCGACACCCTTTAGATTTGACGAAAAAAACACAGCAATTGATCATTTTGGACGACTTCTGCAAGGTATATGTTTTTTTTATAAACTTGCCATCATGGGGTCAATCACGAAATTCTAGTGCGTCTAGTTTTTGATAAAATTTCACTAGAAAACTAGAAAATTCTAGTGCGTGAAGTTGTCTCTCAGTAGTTTTTCATATAAATTATATGGCCTTCGGTGTGAAGTTGGCTTCATTTGTGACGTCATTCTTCGCACTAGATTTACTAGTTTTTCTAGTATTCACTAGCGTGATTCGCCCCATGCTTGCCATGAAAAGTGGATTATTACACGAATTGCAATATTTTTTTATTATTCCCAGCTGGTGGATACAACTATTATGGAACTGAACGTGTATATAGTGGAATAGATGGACGCGAAATGTCTGCTGATATTTTCTTAGGTGTCGTTCACTATCAACGACTGCGGCATATGGTTTCAGATAAATGGCAATGTCGATCAACAGGTGCCATTGATAATGTGACACATCAGCCTGTAAAAGGACGAAAACGAGGTGGAGGTGTACGTTTTGGTGAGATGGAGCGAGACGCATTGATTGCACATGGAGCCTCATTTTTATTACAAGACCGCCTTCTACATTGTTCCGATAAAATTTCGGTAAACTTTCTTCAAATTCATTGTGGTGGCAGTTAATTTAATATATTTTCTAATTTCAGACAATAATTTGTAAATCATGTGGCACTCTTCTTGGACCTGTAGCAGATATAAGGAAACAAGACAACGATGCGATCAATCGGACGGCGGCCACATGTCGTTTATGTAAAGATAAAGCTGCTATTGAAAATATTCAAATACCATACATCTTTAAATATCTTGTTGCACAACTTAGCTCAGTTAACATTAATGTAAAAATGAACTTGTCATCAATCTAAATAAGTTGTTCAATTTTTTTTAAATAAAGATAAATTAAATTTAAAAAAATTATAGAAAATATTTTAGACAAACCACTTTTAATCGTGTTAAACCACAAACGCTTGCGATGCGTGTACGCAGAGTAAAGAAAAGTTTCATCAGGCAAAATTGCATTGATAAATTGATGACATCTCAACTGTTTTTAGTTTTTTTTTATTTTCAACCGAAAAGTGATTGATACAATCATTTTTGCTGTCAAGTCACTTACTATACAGTATATTTTCCTTGTTACTTACTTTTAAGATGTTAGTAGTCGTTACCATATATTCTTAAACGACATCCAAAAATCTTCCTTGAATGGATATACCTGATAACAGACGTATTTATATTAATAGATTGTTATTTGGGTAGAACCATGTTTTATTTAATTTAATCAATTAAACTTTGATCTTAAATTTATGAGCAATTTGCGCTCTTCAAATGTTTGTTTGTTCAAATTTCGTGTGATACAGCGTTCATTTATCTGTTCTATTCTGTTCTGTTTATTTTGGTCATGATTTGCTAGATGAATATTTTTTATTGTATAGTGAGAACATCACTAAGATTAAGTTGAATTATTAAAATGATGGCTCACAAATACCGTTCCATTTCAAATGTCATTGTCGAGATTACCATATTTTTATAGCGCTTAACTTACACTATAATATAATTTTAATATTCATTTTTTTATACAAGGAATGTTCACTTCACCTGTCATGAAACAGTGATCGTTTCAAATAGTGACACCTTAAATGTAAAATTGTCCATATATTTTCATTTTATTTGACAACAAAACATTTTTCACTTTGAAAGGATATAACGATTAAATGAAGATTTGCTTGTTTACATTAATATATTCTTAAACACTTAATGCGATTATTGTGTGTAAGTGTGTTTCATTTTTTTCATATATTTTCTTTGCACCGCGATAGTGATTGTTACATTTAATTAGGCTGATTTTAACTTTAATGTGAAAAGAAAATTCACCAAATCTTGAACATATTGTGTGTCTATATGTCATGCTATTAATTGTTGTATGTGAGTTTTGTTTTCTTTTTATTTACTGCAGACGACTTGGTTCAATAAAAATATTCGGGAGAATTAAAGCAAATATCATGTTTTGAACATTATATTAAAAACAACATTAGTAAGTATATGGAGTTGGATGTTTTGTTTCTTTGATTTATCCGATATTATATATTATCTATTTTATGTATCCTCACAGAAATTCGGAGCAAATATAGCAAAGAACATTGCATTCTTTCTTATATTTATTTGTCTAGAAATGTACAATTTTGTTCTTAGAATTGGTCAACGAGCAAATTAGCTATTTCGTTGGTGACAGTCTCCTTACTTGATCGAATCGTCAATCGGAACATCTGCAAAAATTTGTTTATAAGAAAAACATAAAATATCCATAAATTATTATAATCAATTAAAACAAAGAGAACTTTTTCAAGTTGTACCTGTGCCTGGCGATTCGGTTCTAAACGAAGTAAACATCCGACCTGTTGCCCTTGGGTATGGATAATACCTGCACATACCATATTGTCCGGATTTGGATCAATACCATCCAATAGTTGAACACCGAATCCCAACAACTTATTCTTTGCTGAAGGCAAATCAAGCGGAGTTTGTGCCTTGAATACTTTTTGTGCTCGTTGTTGTTCTCTAAAAATCAATATACGCAAAATATTTATTAAATTATTTATACTTTAATTAAAATTTCTTGCATAAGTATTACCCTCCCAAATTTTTCCATCTTGCGAAAAATGATTCGCTATTCATTTCAGTCGGCTCAAAGAATTTATTGATTGTTAATGGTAATTTAAGATTGAATTTCTGTTGGACACCATTGTACTTAAATGATATATCAAGCGAAGGGGCATCTGTATGAATTAATAAATGTTCATTGTTATTTTCTGAATAACGCTTTTCTTAATAATTTGACTTCAATTCATTTTACCTGTAAAATCATCTACGCACTCAGCAGTAATCATTTGTTGAATTTGTGCGCCGGCCTCTAAAGTTGGCTCAACTGGTTTTATCTGAACATTCAACTTCAAAGCGTTTTCAGTGGACCAGGATAAAATAGGTTGAAAATTCTGTACAAATATAGAGTAACGGAGGTTTAAATAAATGTACATATTGAATTTCGTTTGAAAAGCATACCTCAAGTGCCACTTGAGTTTTATTGCCATAGAATAATCCCAATCTACCCAAGTTTTGCCGGAATTCACTCTTTACACCAATTTGTAGTAAATCATTTTCAAATAGCACTCCATTATTTTTGAAAACGAATCTTTGTAGCGTTCAAAATTAAGAATAAATAATATATGAAAATTGAATCTTTTCCGGTCATAAAAAATTGAAATAACTCACTTCTTTGCGTTGTTATGAACGGACGAATTGTTGTAAATATCGCCGAGAACGTCAATTAGTGCACTTTGATGAGAATTTTGATTTGATGGCGGTGTGCTTAATCCCAACAAATCTGCGTTATTTCCATTGTTATTGTTGTATCTGTTTTAATGAAGGAATAAAATATTTATTTATAATTTAAATCAATTGGTTTTTATTGCACGAAAACGGGCAATATTCTTACTTATTATGATTTGCGTTGTGAGTATTGTTTTGGTTTTGATTTGGCAATGGACTCTTAGAATCGCGAATCTCATTTTCAGGTACTCGGCCTGGTTTTTTCTTCTTCAAAACAGCCAAGATTGAGCTTTCTCTTTCAGGAAATGATGGCATTTCCTCTAAAACTGTTGCCAAAACATCAGCCGAAGCCACAATACTCAATTGCAAATATTCGCTAGCACGCTGCTGAAGCTCCGCATCAGCCGATCTTAAATTGCTATGTTGTCTGAAAACTTCTTGTATATTTGTTCGAATTTCTGGGAACAGATTTACAAATTTTATGTATGTTGACAACAATAGAGCGCGTGTCATTGACGAACACAAATGATATTTTGAATGAAGTAGCTTGAATTGCACGAGTGGCGCAGATCGTGAATCACCAGCAATCAAATTGCCAAATTCACCCAAAATATATCCACCCACTTTAACCATGTTTTCGTGGCATGCGGGCGCTTGAAGTGATTCGAATACTGTTTTTGCTGCATAGCCCTGTACTTCTTCTCGATTGATAACAATCTGAATAACACGATACCATACCTCCTCCGAAACATAATCACCAGCAATACGAATTAAATTCAGTATAACATCCACGTACCATGTATAGTCTGTGGCATATTTTTCAGCAAGAATGGCCACCTTCAACACCAATTCTTCACGAATTGAATAGTCGGCCGTTTCCAAATAGTTTAACATTTCTTGAACAATCTCTTCTGCATTACTTCGATCGCACATTGCATATAGCAAGTCAACTGCTTGCTGTCGCACCGACACATCCTTTTCCATTTTCATCGATTGAATTACTACTTCTTGGTGCTTCTTGACCGCTTCATGTGAAAATTCTGATGTTGCTAAATGACACATTGATTCAAGAGCCAAATAGCGTAAGTTTGTTTCTCGAGTACTCAAGAATTGTCCAAGTTGATTACATGCACGTACAAGCAAAGCTGGTTCACTATCGCTGTGTATGATCAAATTGATTGCCTCAAATATAACCGCATTCTTTGCATTTGAATGTTGAACCTTCTTGCTTTTCGGTGGTTCTTGTGCTTTGTTCAATATAGTTTCGAGACACTCATTCAAACGACCACGTACACCAGGATCCTCAGTGACAGGGTTATAGTTTTGAAGCAGACGAAGAAGTTTAACCGACAGCCATGGTGCCGGCACAAAATAATATGTGTAATCCTGTAGATCCGTATAGCTAGCTGTAACAATACGTGACAAACGAGATACGGCCAAACTAACGCAGCCTTTATATTCTTCAGGATTTTTTTTGACCAAGGCATCAATCAGACTTGTTGCTGCTGTAACGACGCCCATATGTTGATCATTCAATAAATGAATAATTCTACTTGTCCATTCACCACCTGGAATGATTTCGGGGCATGTGCGAAACAGACGCAAAAGGCATAAAGCTGCTGATTGCTTTACAACGTCCATCGTATCGCCAGAAACCAATAATTTTGGTATATCATTTGAAAATGCTTCGGCCATGTCACGGCTACCGATGTTTGCAATACATTGCAAAGCCAAGTTAACATGAATAGGATTTCTCGAATTCAAATCATTTTTGATACTTTGAATTATCAATTTAATCAAATCGCTGTTTGTGTTGACCAATACAGAAATGAACAAGTAGCCCTAAAAGAATTTCAATATTTTCATTTACAGTAAATCACATAATTTTTTTTTTTTCATTTCGACTTACAATTTGTTTCTCCGAATATTTGTTTGACGACAACAAATTGACCGCTTCCATATGTCCAAAGTCGATGTCATGGCCCAACAAAAAAATAAACAGCAACTTACAGACATATTTCTTCTTTTGATATCCATCCAAAGTTCTGTCTCCTTTAAACTTGCTACGAATGTTCGCCAGTTCCTTGTTGATACGTTTTATTTCAGCTTCTTTGCTTTTGCCTAACAAAGAAACAAAAAATATTTTATTTCAATCGTACACATATCAATTCGTACGTATATATTAATCAAGCTAATTTAGTCTTTTCATTGCTACACAGTTTTGCTATTCAACGCGTTTACCAAGCGCAATATAATAGTATTAAGCAAGAGCAACCATATCACATCTTATCGAATTGACGCCCATTCGGATGCTACGTACTATGAGGTTACTGGTACAATGATTACACTGTAAATCACAGAATATCAAAAAACCAAACAAGAATTTCGACCTTATCTTACATGTATTGAGCGTAGGAGCTAGTGTTTGCCAAATTATATCTCCTTGAGTAAATTATTTTAAATTCGCACTTTAATCAAATACAATATAAATGAACAACAATGCATATATCTACCATCATAAAGTTCATCATATTGAATGCATTTTAGTCCATATTTAAGAATACGTCACATAATATTCAGTTTAACAATGTACAATATATTCTGTACATTTTTCCGAACATATTAAATCATCTTTGACAAAAAAGTATTCAAGTTACTCATCATTCAATTGATATTTCCAATGTTACTACATTTGAATGTTTAAATAGGCATTCATGTAAGTGGATCAACTGGTATTATTTCTTCTTTTGAGTACTTTGTCGGTAATATATGTACTGAAAATAATCGTTTTGTCATTATGAGTGTGTTGACCCATTATTTAGCATATATGCATCGTGGCATAAAAATGTACTTTTTGCTATGTACGCGACATTTATAAAGCTATGAAATTTTGTATCACAAAGTTTCGAATAAATTTCACACAACGTGATTTTTGTTCATCGTAAATATTTATTTTGTTTTTCTATTTTGAATGATTGAGAGAAAAAAGCAATAAAACGAAACGTAGTTTAATCAATTGATTAAATACAATACAATTGTTGAACTGCATTTCTTTTTGTATAAATACTTTAATCATGACTTACAATTTCGGATGTCCGATATGAAGACAGCCAGGCCTCGCATTCCATCACCTCTAACTGGAGCCATTTTTCACCGCTATTTTTAATATTATGTCCTTATATTCTCTGATATAGATGTGTATATGTCGTCTTTTCGTATCTTTTCAAGACTGTTCTCTGTATTTGGCAAAAGGCAATATTGTTATTTTTATCTTTATCAATATTGATACTATGTTTTCATTGAGATATGCTACAGAACAAACGTTCATTTATTTTCGTAATGCTATTACAAAGATACTATTTCATTTCGAATGCCAAACAGGATAACATGAATTTTTATTGTCACACGTACACAAATATTTTGACACTTTCAGTTATAAAATACGGATTTTTGCGTCAAAATCTAAAATATAATATTTCGAAAAATTGGGAGTTTAATGAATCATTTTATTAGTTGATTGCACCAGCGCGGCATCTTTTACAGTTGTCATATTGTTGTCGAAAAACCACTTTCCATTTTTTTTTAAAACATAAACTATCAATTTTTCATTAAATAAAATATGTGATTTACTGTGATATATTATAAATATTATAATATTTTATCTGCTTTTGGCGAAAATAATATGATGAACTTATTCTTGTTTGAAGCGAAACAAATAAACAACAACTAAGTGGATAGACCCTCCCAATACACAACTTTCATCCAAAATTCCAAGAACAAATGTTAAAAAAGAAAGTAAAGATTTATGAACACAATTCACCGGCGCATAATATTTGTAATAATTTGAAGCTATTTTCATATGTTATTGATTATTTTGTAGAATGCACGTCAATTAAATAGACCACTGTTTATACTTACGTGCAGAAATTATAGAATTTTTTCGACAAATCCACAAATGAAAATGGAACTGAGAAATATTGATTTTTTTCTGAGATTCGTGTTCTTCATAATCAAAATAACAACTTCACGTCAGTTGACACGGAAATGCAAACTACTTCACTCTGCATCGACAAAATATTTGTATATGTGTGCGTAACTGTGTAACGTTCACTAATCTTGATCGGATCGGTATGAGCAACGGAATTATTTGAAAAAAATTACGTGTAACTAAATTATTATTGGGTGCAATCATTTCGGATAAAATCTTTTCTGTATGTTAACCATTGAATAATGAGTCAATTTTTATGTTTGCAGTCAACATTTATTTATTGATACATTTAAATTACAATAAATATTTCTATTGTTCAGGTTTTTCTAATTAAGTTCAAATAAACTTTAAAAATATGGTGTGCCAGTTTTCACAATTCAAACGGATTTACAGCAATTAAAGTTGATATTTCAAATAGAGAGATTTTGTGGCCAAATCAAAAAAAATACTTCAATTTAAATTTTAAAATGTATATCATTTCGCTGTTAAAATGAACAGATTTTTCTATTTTATCCGGTAACTTCCCAATCATCATTTAATTTATGATTGCGATGCTTCTTTGATGTATGCGATCAAGTCAGCTCGTTCTTGAGGTTTCTTCAGACCAGCAAACACCATCTGGTTGTAGAAAAATGAGAAAAAAATATATAACATTAGTTGGATTAAACGTACAATCAGATTGAATTCACTCTTAATTACCTTTGTGCCGGGAATATATTTCTTGGGATTTTCAAGATATTCAAAGAGAGTATCTTCATTCCATGTAATTGCTATTGAAAAGGAATGAGAAAAAAATAAAATTGGTCGGGATAACAAATATTGTATTCACTTCCAATTACCTTTGTTCTTGTTAGCATCGGTGTAAGCATATCCAGCGGCTTGTCCAGTTTTGCGGCCGTAAAGACCATGCAAATTTGGACCAACTTTATGTTTTCCACCCTTTTCAATGGTGTGGCATTGGGAACAACGTTGAACAAAGGCCTTCTTTCCTTTTTCTACATCACCGGCTGGGACACCCATTGTGCTGTTTAGTTGATCACAAGTTCTTAATTGATAAAAATAACGTATTTTCAGTTAAGATTTTGAAAATAAATTTAAAAATTGTTTCATTTTATAACGACTTATAGTTAAACTTTTTGACATTGTGTTTATGTGACGTCAAATGCGCTACGTTGAATATATTGAAGTGCGCAAAATAGCACAAACTGACTTTTCTCTCCTTCAACCTTGCAATGAATTCGTGAATACGTATGGCTTGATTACATATATATATATATAGAAAGAGAGAGAGAGAATGATTTTTATATTCATATATGGGTCAAGTAGAAAATCTGGGTAAACTTTGGTCCACGTGAAAATTGTTAGAAATAAAAAGTTTACTGATTGAATCATAGGATAAATCTTATTTACTGATGTGAAATATTTATATTTAAGGACACACACACACAAATATACTTGTTATATAAGACATAATCTGAATGGGTTCAATTCAATCTTCCATTGTGAAAATATCAATACACAATTAGTTCATAAGTGAATTTGTTAAAAATATTTCAGGTACTATCGCTAATGACTGTAAGTATCTATAGCCGAAATAGGCACGTGTTTAACACATTTTCAATGTCAGTCATACATTTACGTGATTTCATTGACAAATTGCATCATTAATTCGTAATTTTTTGGAAATGCACGAAATTTAAACTTCCAATATAAGAACACTTTTTTCAATTTGATCCTTTGAATTCAGTAATATTTTCATTTATTAATCGATAATAATTTGATTCAATATTTGATTATATAACAATCAGTATGACACACTCCTTTCGGTGAAGTTAAATGAAAATCTGCTCAATATTTTATTTGTTTGATTTTGAATTTGAAAAATCGAAACCTAAAATCACTTCCATAAAGTGTTTGAATATTTTGTAATTCACAAAAAAACATAAATTCAAAAACTTAAATGAATAAAAGGATATTTTTTTACTGAGTGCGGATACTTACACTTTTAATCACACTCGAAGTCAAAAGAGAACTGTTTCAATGCTAATGCTGTGAGAGTGGCGTAATGACTATACATAAAGTTGCATGTGGCGCCCCTGGTTGTGAAAATCAAAACCCAGACAAATACAATAATTTCAAAATAAGTTTTCAATTAGTTTCGCGCGCGTTCTTACATTAGCAAAATACAACGTTATATTCTTAATGAAATGAATGCAACTGTTCGCAAATATTTCTGTAGTATGACAAAATTTCAATTGGATTTTCAAACAATAGGAATGCTGTAAATAGATTTGAGATAAAATGTGTTTTAATATATTTCGGATATATATACCATACGAAATCAAAATTCTCTTAATATAAATTCGGAGATTATTTTAAAGAGAATAATCAATTGGAAATACTGGCCTACGTAATTATTTTAAGGTCGTTTGTCTATAAATGATTGCGTATATGAAAATCATTTGGTCATTGGATGAATCCAGTTTTTTTTTTTATTAGTAATGCTATTGTACTTCAAAGCTTGTAATTGTAAATGCGCATACGCTACATTCTATACATATGTTGGGTCATTCAATCAGCTGACTTGCAATCAAGCACTATTCACTTTTGAAGCGCCACAAAGACAGTAGTTTGTAAAAGTGATTGTGATTGATACAGAGAAATTTAAAAAATCAGCTGCATACAACATTTTTGCTGCCATATAAGTGAGTTTTTACTAAGTGAAAAATAAATACTTTTCCTATGTTATTTCGTGAAGGAGTCTTCATTTAATTGAAACATTTTTATAACGTCATTTATATTTGCATGTGGAACATAATTGTATTGTAATATTTTCAAAAAAGCTATTAAGTAGTATTAGTGAGCAAACAGTAAAATTAGAATAATTAAAATGTTGAACATGTATAAAAATTATAAATAGCGAATGATTATGAGAAGTATCACAATACATTTAAATATAAATGTTTAAAATAATTCTATTAGGCTAGAAAAATTGAAAATCCAAAAAAAAAAAATATTTATAAAGCGAGCGTGATGATTATTTCCCGTAAACTGTGTCAGTAAGATGTTACATAATCATTAGGTCTCAGTGGAAGATATAAGCAAAAATGGAGCACAGTGCACATATGTATGTAAACATATATGCGCTTATACTATCTCTTGTACCCAATTTTGGTTTTACCTATTTATTGTGTTCCATTTTTTCGATTTCAGTCATCTTATTTATAAAAATGCACAATAAACTATATACAGTGCAATTCGATATTAAAAATTCTTCCAAAAAATTTGAAGTGAAAACGTATTGTTACATTACTTTAATGAATTCAATGATTACAGAGACAGATAACTATAATTGGTTAAATTGAATATGCTCATTTCAATGTATTTGTTAGCAAACATATGCTCATAAGCATTGAAATCGGCGAAACTGTTTTCATTCTAAATTGATTTTTTTTCCTCCATTAATTCAGGTCATATGCATAGTGAGTCGCGTGAATTTGATTGTAAAACTAAATTAATGGCCTTGGAATACATAGAGCCGTATAGAATTTTTGATGCTGAAACATTATTGGAATAAATTGTAATTTCACAAATAGGGCTTAACCATAGCAGAAAGACATCTGTTTTCTAGTTATTCCCCTCAATTTTGAGTAATAAAAAAACAAACATAGATATCAAGTGATCTGGTATCACCACCAGTCTTGACTTACTGAAATACATAATAAAAATTGACGAGAGTGTAAGATTCTATACAACTACCGCAAGTGCTATGAATAAGACGTAGTTCATACGCCGTATGCATAATTTTTGGAGATATGGCTCATTGAGTTTTATTTTGCAGTCAACATTTCTGGAAGTAAGAATAAAAAAACGAAAAAAAACTTGTAATATCGTCCAATCAGAATAACACATTTTTTTCACTTTCTTAATACCTCAGTTCAAACTATTATAAGTATATAACATTACCCAAAACATATTTATTGTTTATAAGGATAAATATTTCTCATATAACTTCTTTATAAGGCCAAAATATTTATTCGACAGAAAAGCTTCTATGAATGGTTTAAAAAGATCTACAGTGCTGTCAGAAAATATAGTACTCAGTGCAAAGTTTTCTCAAAAAATTTGATTTCTGGAACTTTTTAGATTCAAATGCTTGCCATTTGAAAACTATTCAATATTTTTTCTTAAATTTTTATCAGTTTGTTCCTTATAAGATGACCAAATTATGATTTCTGAAAATGGAAAATAAGTTTTCGTAATTTTCAAAAAGCGTCAATTAGTATGAATATCTGATTTTCAAAATCATTCAGTGAGTCAAAATTTTATGACGGCAATGTTTAAAATGATATACCCGGGTGCAAGAAAGTGTTCGGGTGTAAGAAATAAATGAAAAGGAATTTATTATTTTTAGCCGATTATTGTTAACTGTTTTTCATACAAATGTTAAAATCTAATAAGCTGGTTAATTTGTGACTCAAAGTTGTGTAAAACTAAAGTTGACTATATCTTCTTGTTTTGTACTAATGATATTTAGACAGTCAAAAACATCATAAAATAACCGATTGATTAGTTATTTAATTAATTTAGTTAGGTATAGATGCACTAAACGAATCTGAAAATTATTAAATTTTTATGTATTTCGACCTTCACCGAAAGATTTTGTTGTTCTGATTAATATTTCATGCTTTGAAATAAAAAATACAAACTTTTATATTTCAGACTGTGACGCTCTCTATTGAAAATCCACTATGACTTCACCAGCAATTCAGGCAGCTGATAAAGCTCAAAAAGCATCGCGGCAAGCATCTAAGGTGAGTTTTCCGTGTTTTTTTTTTTCATGTTGTTCTCAGTCTAAATAGAAAATTTCAAAATTTTTCTCGTTTTTATTATATATAAACATTTTCAGCCAAAACCGTCGAATACGTCACAGACGCACCAGCAAAGAAATTTTCCATCGCCGTCCAGTCTTTTCACCTGGATAAGAATATTTCGATTTGCTGATTCTTTAATTCGACAAGGATGTTAAAAAAATCAAATGTTTCTGCTTCAATATTTTGAAACAGTTTATTCCTTGATTCATTTATTCTACAAAATTATTTTTTGATTAAACAAATACAAACATTAGCACGTAGTTGACAAACTCTCTATCATATATGTTGAATTATTAATTGAGCTGACTGATCAACTCAGCTGGCACGGATTAGCCAGCTAATTGGTACATTTCTAATTTGTGACAACAAAAATGTGTCTCTTCAACGTATATATCAACGCAAATATAAGTATCTAAATACCAAAATTGAAGAATTTGCCAATTAACTGCCTAATTCGTTTCGACTGGTCTGAACAGTCAGCTATTGTCTGATAAAAACTAACATTTTTCGTTTTGAGAAAAGCAATATATCGTCAAAAATATGAAGACACGTTTTTAGTATTTTTTGTCCTTCTCTGTCGTATTTTTTGATATATTTACAACATTATTATAATGTTCTATTTTCCCCTGTGCCATTGATGACATCTTATGTTTATGATTACTTTGAAATCATTATCAAATAGTGATCAGTGTTGAAATTACTTTACTAAGTGATTACAATAACATAAATTTATTATAAATATTTCTTGCAAATTAGCATAATTAAATAAACAACAATAATATGTATACCACAACAAAACTGTATTTTTTTTTAATTCTCTCAGGAATATTACAAATTCATCTTCTTTTTTTTCATTTCGCAAAAATTGTTCTGGACAATATTTTTTGAATAAACGGAAAATCATTTTCAGGATTTTTTTTATCGGTCGCATTCGATAAAAGAAATTTATTCCATGTCATGATGTTACTATTAACATACCATTAAAATCATATAAGTGAACGAATATTTGTAATTTACTGTAGACCAAGTTTTACTTTCTTGACGTCCCAAAATTGCCAAATGAAAATAATATGAAATTTTCAAAGAGAATAAAATATGCGAAGAAAAATAATATTTCAACTTTGTATACGCTTTCATTTTATCACATTTCTGGTATAGTTCTTGAAATGTAAACAATTGCTCTGTAATATATAAAAAAGGCATAACAAGAAAACCAGAGTGAAGAAATGGATTAATCCACAGAGACGACATAATTAGGTGAGTATTCGCCGTATGCTTTGAATTTCGAAGTCAATACGATTCGGTCATGCGAATTCTCTTTTGGAGTTAAGTTGTTGCTCTTTTTCTTCACACATGAATGGCGTTTTACATACACACTTGCAAACGTTATCCCAATACGTCGTACTTTTGTATATGTAAGTAAACTTGATATTTTTTTTATATTCTTCAAAATATATTTGAATTCATATCACCATTATAATTGATGTAATTTACTAAATTAGAAGAACGAAATTTAACTCAAAATATTTTACCGTATGTTAGATTTGAATTCTACTAAATACACCAATTACAATACTTCCTATTTATTTCCATACAGAAAAGTAACGCTACAGTCAAACAATCTCTGGATCTTTATATGCCATTCTACATACGTGTTGTGGTTTCGGTTCTATAAAGTACCGTTCGATATATTTTCACATTTCGTCACTTTGTCAGTTTGTACTTGTTTCCGCGTGCTGATTACCATATTTTGCTATTGATTTGCTGTTATTCTTCAAATACGCATTTTTGTGTCATTATTATCATGCCTCTTCAAATTGATTCTAAAACGAGAAATGGACACATATCCATGCCCAATTTGGGTAGCCCAAATAAAAAATTATTATTGATATGCATTATTATTTCATTTCCACAATTTAGCATTACGTTCAATACCAAGTGATGAATACTTTAATGAAAAAAATTATTTAAAAAAACAACAACTTCAAAACTGAGGTCATAATGCATATTTATACACCGAATAAGAATTATAGACATTCCAGATAGATTTGTTAATATCAAACCAGAATACGACTGAATTTGAAATCAGAGCTCGTTTTATTTCATTTTGTTTTAGGTTGTGTTCGTAATACTTATTCAAGCAATTAATAATTTGCATTCCGAAAAAAGAAAGAATTTCCTCAACAAATATAGCATATAAATAAAGCGTGATTTGTAAATAAGACAGACGTATTAAGAAATCGTAGACTCAATTTGGGGGAACTGGCATATCATTAGAAATTAGTTAGTTGAAATATTATGTAAACCAGTGAACAGTTTGCAGCCGCATACCAAAGTCTATACCATATCTTTATTTAAACAACAGTTCCTTTATCTATAGTGTTCATTGTACACACTATTCTCTGCTTGACAAAATTTCATCGTGAATGTGTGCCTTTTTGTGTGCAGTTTCTCCAAAAATCGATCATTTATCTGATCAAATTCGTATGCATATAGACTTATACGAAATGGCTTACTATTGCTTGTAAGTAAATGCATAATGTACATTTTGAATAACGAAAGATTGATACATACGACACAACGAGAATCAATGAGATATTTTTCTTTATATAAAATTCCAAAGAGTCAAAAAATTTGAAAAAGTGGCTAGCCCACTAAATGCAAAACCGGTTGTTGCCGTGTATTGGTTTGTCTTAATCCACCTCATCAAGTGAATATTTTCACTCGTTGACTCATTCTTTACCTGTTTTTCTTCTCTTTTTTTCTCATTTAAAAATACGGTACGATGTGTTACTGTGTGGAATTTTTAACACATACACACACGAATAATGCAACATCGACAGTCAATAGGTAGAACAGGTAGAAATGAGGTAAGATAAATAGGAGAACAAGCATAGCCTATAAAATGTAGAAAATTCAAAATCCAATCGTAAGCGATCAAATATTTCTTAAATTTATACATGAATGTATTCATTGGTTTATTGTTTTTGAAATTAATATAATTTATATTATTCAATGGAAAATAAATTTCAATTCAAATCACTATTGAACGCACATTGAAATGTTTTATGTCCGTATGTGTGATGAAAGAAATACACATTTTCTACTTCTCATTCTGGATTTCAGTACGTGAGTTGCAAAAAGAAAAACGAAAATAAAATAAACGATGTTCTTTGAAGTTCAGGCATGCTGAAAAGCAATTCTAAAAACATAAGCAAACAAAAAAGCACGTAGACTGTATTCAATGTATTTGATACCCAGAGATTTTCGGTAAACTCATTTATGCTAACGGCCAACGATCGCCTTACCTGTTGCGCTACACATCTTGCAAACCATTTCTTTTCATCGTGTAAATACGTTGAATGTTGTATTTTACCACATATACATCGCCATTGAGCATATATTGTACACATGAATCGACTGGTTGTGCTACGTGTGTATTCTTAAAGGTGTATTTGTATTATGTATGAAGAAATAGCTTGTGTAGAAAGAATTTTAATTTTTACTGTTGTTGAATACGTTTCAAAGTATGGCTTCTCAAGACTGCTCTTTCTTTGCGGTGCGACCGTTTACCTTTACCATTCAAATCAGTTAGTGTTTAGCCACCATCAACAGAGGAAGTGTATGTATTTCTTCATCTCATATTGATTTACTAAGAGTTTCTATTACCAGACCTACTGTTATTAATTGTGCTAATTTGAAACTAAAGTTTATATGTGTTTTTAATGATGAATTGGATTGGTTTTTATTCTTAAGTGATCTTTAAATATTATTGGTGATATTTATAAATCTACCGTGAATAATGGCATTGAACCAAAGGAATAAATTGAAAGAGAATGGAATTCGATTTTAATTCAATACAATGGCTGAAGAAAATTGAAAATGTGCAGGAATAAAAAATACATCGATCAAAAAATAAAATTCTATGAGAAAATGTGAAAAAAAATGCAAACTATGCTTCCTATGAACGATCATATTATTAAATGTGTATCTAATCGTCTATTCTTTTAAAATCTATAATTTATACAAGAATGACAAAATGTGTGAAAAACGGGCGATGGCTATGAAGTCATAATATGGAATATAGATGTGTCTTAAGAACTATCAGTTAACATAGGAAATATACACTCACCAACTATTTAATATTTATATAGTCTGACTCATTATACCAAAGCCAGACTAAAAAGTCATACAATAAAAACATTTCGTCCAAAAGACGATAGATAATTCAAACATTTTATCCGCACAACGTAAAAAGAATTGTCTTATTTATTTGGTTGCAAGTAAAATGCGGTAGGAAATGGAAACAAATAGAGAAAGCTGTTTGTACAAACCGTATATATGACCGCCGCCTCAGTTATGATTGAAATTGTACTTGTCGATTCGTTTATAGATTGTGCTATTGAGCTGAGTGCTAAGATATATTTTAATACATTTACGTTAGTCTTGTACATACATTGAAACGCACCTTGTACGAGAGATCTTAACACAATTTTATTTCAATTCTTTCATTTCTTTTTGTTTCGTTTCGTTTCGATGAATGGAAAATAATAATGCCAAACAAAAGCACGAAAGAAACAGTGGCGAGCTACAATTATTGTGGCAAAATAATGATGACGACGATCACCGTAATGATGATGAAAAAGGAAAGGCACTTAAACATATAAAAGTAGCAAATTCCCATTTTTTATTTCGATAGTTCTACGAATAATTTTATTTTTTCTTATTTAGAAAAGAAAAACGTCTATTTAGACTATAAAACTTTCATTTCAAGCCTTTAAATTAAAAGCAGAATCTACGCCCAACAACGAAAGAAGCCTCTTCATTTTTTGTTCTTGTTTCAAGTGAATATATCATAAAAACCATATTACCACCAGAAAAAGCCAATTTGTTTGTCATAAGAAATAGTGTAAATTTAATTGAATAATATTTTTATAATTTTTCTTTTACCATTCTAGTGTCACATAAAATAGATTGCAATAAAAGAATAGTGTCATGAATTGTATTTGTTCCCGTGGAATGGATTAAGTGTTATAAGACATTTGTGAAAGAGTGATATTGATTTTTCAGCGTGGACTTGAAATAGCTGATATAAAAATAAATTTAAGAAAATTAGGTAAGTTTAAACTATTATTTTAAACTTATTTATTTCATTTGGAGCAGTCGTCAACAAAAATGATTATTTTAATAACTAGTGACGTGAACCTCTTTCAGTTTATCAATCACCGCTTATTCTTCGGTACATTACATAACATGTGGATTATTATATTTGTGCTTAATGATCTTTCTCTTTTCAACATCACATTTATTTCGATTCACACGAGAAAAACGATCACATCTTATTGATAATTTGAAAAAAAAAAAATTCCAAAATTGATGACAATCACCCAACGTAACTGTTGAAATTTTTAAATAAAAAATTAAAACCGGTTTTGTACCCATTTATTTCTTGTCATATAGCCACGTCAATATAAAAAAAGGTGGTTTTTCAACATAGTAGAAGAAGCATTTTGGTATCCAAAATCAGCTATTAACGGAATGGTTTCGTGAGGACTACTAATGTGCAATTTGTTCATCACCATCATTGCTTGTTATCTCTGTAAAGATGACGCATAAAATGTCTATGTTGAATATTGAATATTTGATCAAATGAAATCTTTCGATTCAATACCGATACTATTACCGATCTCACTTCAAACATTCGCCGCATAAAGTCTAAAAGTATTTTGGTTTTTTGTTTAAATTGCTAAATATTCATACAAACATTGCAACTATCCTTTAAAAACATGAAAATGAGGGGATAGTAGTTGAAAATACACGTGCAAAAATATTGAATAAACAGTTCAAAGAAAACATCGAAACGAAAATAATAACAGCATAACTATTGGTGAGTTGTTTCAGCTTAAGATGCAGATTTCAAAGTTGATTCATTGCTCATGTTTTCTAAAAAATAGCATGCATTTCATACAAATGGGTATGAATTGGTATTCTCTGTATTACTAGCGACGGCATTACTGTTATTGCTTGTTCTACTCAAACAGAGGTATTATTACGGATGCGTTTGATCGCAATGAGTCACTCTTATGGTATCCTACTCAAAAAAGATAAGATAAATCTATTGATCATTGGACAACTTGAATAAAAGAAAACATTTATTTGTTTCGCATGAATATATATAAATAAATAAATATATGTTTTCATTTGTTGCTTATGAACGATATATTATACTAAATAATAGTTGAATAATTTTTTGAAAACTTAACTTCGATGTCCAAAAAATTGGTAGCTTCACACAGAGTGCTTGCGCGCTCAAAATTTTAACAAATATAACTTTTCACACACTGCAAGACAACACAAAAAGTATCCATTCCCGCTGTCGTGCTCAAGATATAAAGAAAACAATGTACTTTATAAAGTTCACATATTCTGTTGCGAATCATTTCAATTACATTTTTGCGCTGCGCCAACTTAACATTTACAGTAACCTAAAAACGTGGAACTCGACAAAGAAATATACTTGAGAAAACAATTAAAGTTCAAATCAACTGTTTTGCACATTGTTCACTTGCGTATTACATCGAATGCTAAACTCGCAACTATGGTAATTTGATTTTTTTTTGTGTGCGTTGGTTAATGTGACATAATTTTAAAAACAATTACAATTTTTTTATTCTGATGTGCAAGTCATTTCATATTGAACATTCTTAAATCTCGAGCAACAAGAGCATTTTATACATGTATATAGAATATTTTAATATTTTGATCTAATAAAGTCATACGGAATTTAAAAGGGGAAAGTCGCATGAAGCAAGGAAATGATTTCACATTAACGCGATGATAACTTAAAAAATAGATGACAAACAATCAACATTTTTTTCTCTTAGCCTGAAATGGCTCTCGATATGAGCAAGTTGTGAATTGTGCATTTGACCAGTTAGTGCATTTCACAATTACGACTCTGTTTGGAAATTAACGTTCAAGACGCAAACAACATTACGATAAATAAAAATAAGCACATTTCCGCATGAATCGACTGATCACTGCATGCTGTATATATTTATTTACTGAGTGCTGTGGAAGTTTTGTTAGACATACGCGCGCTGTATATAATATATATTGCATAGAATGAAAACCGCTTTCTATCAGAAATATCTGTTCGTGTCCTACTTCAAATCTTTTCATTATATTTCAATGTAATTAGTGTTATTTCTATGCTCAGTGTGTTCATGTTTAAAGCAGTCTAAAGTTGTATATGTTTGATGTTTCTTTTCCATGTAATACGTTGGCGGTTTTTATTTTTCATCAACATATGGCTTTCTTCATTCATATATATTACTCATAACAAGTGTGTATGAGACTTTTTTTGCCAAGAGTTTTTGTTGTTGTTTCCGAATAAATTCGAATAAAAACAAGGGAGGTCCCAATGCGTCTGTTACAGTTCATGATCACATATTGTCAATACTTTCCCATCACCGCCAATTTTATTGGTTTCTAAAAATTGCAATTTCGATGAATAATATTTTTTTTTCAGCTGATGATTTATTAATAACCATGGCCGTACACTACATTTTAAAGCTATTGTCTATATCGTGTATTGAATCTTACTAGTGATAATTTCAATTACGCCTTTAGGTTAATTTTTGAAATTTATTAAAGGTAATAGTTGAAAATCAAAAGTGGTCAAAATAATTTCGATTGACTTTTGTTCCAAAGAAATATGAAATATTATCCTAGGGCTATATAAGGTGTCCACGTATTTTGAAATACCTTTTCAAGCACTAATATAAAATAGATTGGACGTAACTGGTGTTTAAAACAATCCTAGTTTTTGATTAATTTATTTTTATTATTGTTGCAGATAAAAATGAGGTTGGGATCGGCAGCCGTTGTTATTTGGCTGGCCGCCTTTGTGTCAACGATTTCTTCACAAGAGGTAAGAAATTCAATAAATCATATTTGAAGAAAGTTTACTCAATTCGAGACATTGAAAGGAATTTATTTATTGAACTATAAAATGATAAAAATTCATCTCTTCTTATAGGAACTGTTTTCATGTCCAAACGGTAACTATTTCATTACTCTTTATTTTATAGTAGACAAACAAAATATCACAAGAAATTCCCATATTCGAAAAACGTAACTTATATTATTTCCAAAAGTGTTTTGCGTATTAATATTGATTTTGTGGGTGTTCAAAGTTAGAAACAAAAACTAAGCGAAATCGCTCAACCTTGAAGCAGCAATAGCACACGATCTGAGCAAAAAAAAACGCCCAACACATTTATCGATTATTATTCGCATATTAAAGCTCATAAGCTAAATTTTCTTTATGGAAACAATGCTCTTATATTTATTCAAGAAATGTTTTTCTTGAAGTTATAATAATGACATTTAACATACGCCAAAATAACAAGAACGAAATCTTCCCCAAGTGAATCCAATGCTGAGAGTATAGGTTCGGATTGCTTGATACATAAAAGAAACTATAATTTCTCAATCGTGTACTGTACAAGTAGAAAATATATGGTAAAAGAAGAAGAAAAAGTAATTTTCAGTTGCCATTGAACCGAAGAAAAGCAGAGCATCACTGGTTGTATATGTAAGCACATTATGGTCGACTGATTTTTGCATTTTAAAAATAGATTGTGTGCGCTTCCGATGATTTCAAGGTCAATAACCTGTTGAATTTTATCAATATTCTATTTTCATTCTACTCCAAGATTCCAGACGAAGTAAACAATCCAACGTTAATGTCCAATGCCGAGAATTTTCATAATCATAGTTTACAATCTCTGCACTAAATATAGTAAATATAGAAAAATATTTCTTCCATGTTATCAAATATGTATTTGTTTTTGAAAAACACAAATATGTTACATAGAGATTTATTTATACATAGTAACTTCGTTTATACATCAATTAGAAGTTTTATGTATAAAAACTTTGGATTAAATATTTCAGTGTCTCATTCTGAAAAAAAATAAGAATTCACTCACGTTTTAACGAGTTTGATTTAGGTGAAAATTGTTATTCACAACATCATCATACAATACCATAGACGAAGAAAATTAAAGAGTTCAACGGCATTGTGTTCGCTAATTTATTCTATGCTTGTAATAGAAAGCGCTGAAAACAATATACCTAAAATCACTTTCAAGTGCGACGATTTCTTCTTGAAGCTCTTGATTTGTCACGCCTTTCGTGATTGAAGTGGCAAGTAGAATTTAAAAGTACTTAGCGGAAAGTAGCGGACGGCGATCTGAAAGTAACTGTTTATATGTTGACATTTCCTTTTACCATTTAAATGTATTTTGCGATTAATTTTGGATAAAAAAGTTACCTACCTATTTGTTCGTCTGCTTTCAAAGCTTACACTTCAACTGAATTTTAATGACAAAAACGCCCAATACCCAAAAATCTAAAAAAAAACAAATACAGAATAATAATTGTGATTGGATAAATAATTCAAAGTATTTAAGGTGTAGTCGAAATTATCTTGCATTGATGCATCAGTTACGTCATCACAAAATAATGCATAAACTCATTCATTTATTCATTTAATATATGTTGCTGGGTAAAATGTGTTGGTTTTTATAAATAATTTTCGTTGTAAACTTTTTTGTAGGTTGGGAATTACGTGGTCTAAATTGTTACAAATATTTTGGCATCAAACATTCATGGGAAAAAGCTGCTGAGCTATGTAGAAGGTAAAAAATTATTCATTATACCATCTGTGCTGTGCACCAAATTTTGCAGAGCGGGACAAAGGTTTAGTTGTCAAACAATATGACAAAACATTAACATAAATCATGAAAATAAATCTTACTATACTAAACGCGATTAAGACCAGTGTGACATTCTTTATGAGTGTATAAAACCTGAATGATGAATTCAAGCTGAAAATAGGTCATTTATTTCAGTTTTCCACTAACGCTCTGTGACATCAGAATAAAGGGGACAATCACATTTTTATTATTTTTACGAAAATAAAAAGATCACAAATTTTAAATTCTACTATTGAATAGAGTTACTTGTTATAAATGAAGATTCAAACATAAATCTAAAAGCGATTGTTTATATTGAGTGTTTCATTTTTTTATAATTTTGACTTTTAGATATGGAGCCGAGTTGATCACGATTGAAAACTTTACTGAAAACAATGTTACGTTATCACTAGCATTAGCAAATGATGCTAACAAACGGCTATCGAACAAATACTGGTTAGGTTTGGCAACTCTAGATGATTTACGTACAAATACACTAGAATCAGCGGCCGGTACTTTAGTCTCACAATATTCTGGTTTTTGGTCATTGAAACAACCAAACCCGGAGGTAGGTGAATGTGTAGCAGTAACATCCGAGTCTCAATCAGTCCAATCGTGGGAATTATCTACATGTGAAAGTTTGTTACCATTTATGTGCAAGAGTGTGGCATGCCCACAAAATTCGGTGCATTGTTCCAATGGTGAATGTGTGAACCAAGCATTCAGATGTGATGGAACTTCTGATTGTGGTGCGTATTTATTTAATCAATAAACTAATGTAGACAACATCTTCAAATGAACATATTAATAATATAACTTTCTTCAAAATTTAGATGATGGTTCAGATGAAATTGATTGTCCAGCCAATTGCAACTTTCACATGCAATCTAGTGGTGATGTGATTGAATCACCAAACTATCCACACAAATATAATGCGCTCTCCAAGTGTAAATGGATTTTAGAAGGTCCCATCGGTAGCAATATTATACTACAGTTTCAAGAATTTGAAACTGAAAAATCATTCGATACGGTTCAGATTTTGGTTGGTGGTCGTACCGAAGACAAATCTGTTTCATTGGCAACACTTTCAGGTCGTGAAGAATTGGCCAACAAACCATTCATTACCGCTTCAAATTTTATGATAGTCAAATTCACGACAGATGGTAGCGTTGAGCGAAAAGGCTTTCGCGCAACATGGAAAACTGAGCCACAAAATTGTGGCGGCATTTTACAGGCTACAGTTCAAAGTCAAGTATTAACTAGCAGTGGATATCCGAAACACTATCCTGCTGGATTGGAATGTTTGTATATTTTAGAAGCTCAAGCTGGCCGCATAATATCCATCGAAGTACAAGATTTGGATTTGGTTCGTGGACGAGATTATTTGCTTATTAGAGATGGTGACTCACCAAATAGTCCAGTTTTGTCACGTTTATCTGGCAATGTCGATGATAATACGCGTGTCATAATTTCCACGGGCAACAAACTTTATTTGTACTTTAAAACGACTCTTGGTGAGTCTGGAAAAGGATTTAATCTACGATATACTCAAGGATGTCGTGCCACACTTCATGCATATAATGGAACAATTAGTTCCCCTGCTTTTGGATTAAGTAGCTATCCAAATAATCAAGAGTGTGTATTTAAAGTAAAAAATCCGAATCAAACACCTTTATCGCTGCGATTTGATAAATTCAATGTCCATTCAACGGATATGGTGCAAGTATTCGATGGAGAATCTACTTCGGGTCTTCGATTACATTCTGGAAATGGTTTTACCGGTGCAACAGTACCAAAAATAACATTAACCGCATCTTCTGGAGAAATGTTGATTAGATTCATTTCTGATTCATTACATAATGCAGCTGGATTTTCCGCAACATTTTCGGCTGACTGTCCGTTTTTAAGGCCAGGCGAAGGTAAATACCCTAATTTATATTATAAATATATGTATAAATATTTATTTGTAGTGTATATCATTTTGAATAGTTATTTTTCCAACTGGTAAATCGCTCATGATAATTTAAAGTATTTTTAATTTTATGTCATGCTTTATAAATTCAAAAAAGAAACATTTTTCTAATTGGTTTCACATTACTGTAATTATTTTAAGGTGCGTTGGCTTCAAATAGAGATACAGCATTTGGAACGATTGTACAATTCACATGTCCAACGGGCCAAGAGTTTGCCACAGGAAAAAATAAAATACAAACGGTTTGTCAAAAAGGAGGCAAATGGAGCATTGAATACATATCTAAATGTCAAGAAGTACGTATAATTCTAAATTTTTGTGTTTTTATCATTTTTTTTGTGTCATTCTCATGTTATTTTATTGAAAATGTAGGTATATTGTGGGCCGGTGCCACAAATTGATAATGGATTTTCAATTGGTTCAACAAATGTTACCTATAATGGCGCAGCAACGTATCAGTGTTATGCCGGCTTCACTTTTTCGTCCGGAAAACCCATTGAAAAAATATCTTGCTTAGCAAATGGCCATTGGCAAATGGCACCGCTTTGTTTGGCATCACAATGTCCACCATTGCCTGAAGTAGCTCATGCGAATGTGACACTATTAAACGGTGGTGGTAGAAGTTACGGCTCTATCGTTCAGTATAAATGTAATCCAGGCTATGAACGGTCAGGACATCCAGTGATATTATGTATGTCAAATGGAACCTGGAGCGATGTAGTTCCAACATGTAGTCGCAAACAATGTTATCGCATTCCAGAAGTGAAAAATGGGTTTATCGTTGACACCGAACGTAAATACTTTTTTGGCGATGAAGCACGCGTTCAGTGCTATAAAGGACATCGATTAAACGGAACAAATATAATTCGTTGTAGTTCCGAACAAGACTTTGAAAATGTTCCAACGTGTGAAGATATAAATGAGTGCAACCAGTCACAATGCGATTTAACTTCTACCGAATGTAAAAATGAGGTTGGCTCTTTTCACTGTAAATGTAAGAAAGGTTTTGCTCCAACAACCGAATGTCGACCAGTCTCTGATCTTGGTTTGGCCAATATGGGAATACCTGATGATAGCATAATTGTGTCATCTTCTGAAAATGGTTTCGACAAACGTAATGTTCGTTTAAGCGCTGTTGAAGGATGGTGTGGTAATGTAAACGAACCAGAAAACTGGGTTACTATTGATTTTAAAGCACCAACTATAATTCGTGGTTTTCGTACGAAATCGGTGCAGCGAAACGACAGATTAGCATTTACTTCAGCCGTTCGCCTACAATATACCGATGATTTAGTCGATGGATTTAAAGATTATGCAAATCCAGATGGTACCGCTGTTGAATTTCGCATTCTAGAACCAACTCTTTCAATTCTTAATCTACCGATTCCAATCGAGGCTAGATATGTAAAATTCCGCATTCAAGATTATGTTATTGCTCCATGTTTGCGCTTAGAAGTTATGGGATGTACACGTTTGGATTGTATCGATATTAACGAATGTGCAAGAAATAATGGCGGATGCGATCAAAAATGTATTAATTCACCTGGTGGTTTTTCATGTGGTTGTAATTCAGGTAATGTTGAAATTGTACCAACAATAGGCTATATCTTCAATTTTAATACATATAATTTACATAAATTCTTATTTTTTTTTAAATCCCTTTTTTATCGATTAGGCTATGAACTATTTACATCAAATGGAACTGCTGAATATTTCATTGAAAAAACCGAAACAGGTTCACGTGATGGTGACACATTGCAATTGAATAAATCTTGTGTACCCGTGTTATGTCCAACTTTGGAATCTCCAGAAAATGGAGAAATTCTTTCGACCAAAAAAAATTTCCATTTTGGCGATTTAGTCAAAATTCAATGTGACTTTGGTTATGTAATGTCTGGCAGTTCAGCTCTTCTTTGTTTATCAAGTGGCCAATGGAATGGAACTGTACCGGAATGTCAATGTTAGTAAATAATAGTTACAAATAATCATATGCAATAAATATTTTTATTCAATAATTGTTTTTTTTTTTTAGATGCAAAGTGCGTTTCTCTTCCTGATGATAAGGCTGGCGGACTTGCTGTTATTAGACCCGATCCAGAAAGTGTTCTAGTGTCGTTCAAAGAAAATGTTACTTTAACCTGTAATTCCGTTGGTAGAAATTTAAGGAATACAGCAACATCAGCATTCCGGCAATGTGTTTACGATCCAAAACCGGGATTTCCTGATTATTGGTTGTCGGGTGTCAGTCCAAGCTGTCCTAGAGCTGATTGTGGAATGCCTATGCCAACATCGGGAGCCGAATATGGACAATTCATCGATACTAAATATCAAAGTTCGTTCTTCTTTGGATGCCAAAACACATTCAAATTGGCGGGACAAACTGAAAAACACGATAACGTAGTTCGTTGTCAATCGAATGGCATCTGGGATTTTGGTATGTAGACATTATATAAAAATAAAATGAATGAAAATAAAGAATTCTTTTGAAATTCATAAAACAAACCTTAATTTTCAATCCCATTGCAGGTGATTTACGTTGTGAAGGTCCAGTCTGTGAAGATCCTGGAAGACCAGCTGATGGTACTCAAATTGCGCGAAGTTATGAACAAGGTAATTTATTTATTATTATATTTAATATTACACAAAAACTTCATTATTATAATATGTTATGAATTCGATATGTTTTTTCACCATAGGGTCTGAAGTTTTGTTCGGTTGTTCAAGACCTGGCTATATTCTAATTAATCCAAGACCAATTACTTGTATTCGTGAGCCAGAGTGCAAAGTTATTAAACGTGGGTATTTTGAATTTATGTACAAATAATTATAAACAGTTTAATTTTGTCGTTTAATTTTGCTGGCATACGAGTATTAATAAATGATTCTCCTTTTCTTTTTTTAAAATTAGCTTTGGGTATAACATCTGGTCGTATTCCAGATAGTGCAATCAATGCAACTACCGAAAAAATGAACTATGAAGCCAGAAATATTCGATTGAATTCAGTTACTGGTTGGTGTGGTGAACAAGAAGCATTTACATACGTTAACGTCGATTTGGGAGAAGTGTATAGAGTAAAAGCAATTTTAGTTAAAGGAGTAGTTACAAACGCAATTGTCGGACGACCGGTAAATGATCCATAAAAATATGTAAAATACATAAATTATAATATTTATATTTATGTTTTGTTCTTCTTTCAAGACTGAAATTCGATTCTTCTACAAACAATCAGAGAATGAAAATTATGTGGTGTATTTCCCCAATTTTAATTTGACAATGAGAGATCCTGGAAATTATGGCGAATTGGCTATGATTACATTGCCAAAGTATGTTCAAGCACGATATGTAATCCTGGGAATTGTTAGCTACATGGATAATGCTTGTTTGAAGTTCGAATTAATGGGATGTGAAGAACCGGAAAAAGAACCTTTACTTGGCTACGATTATGGATATTCACCTTGTGTCGATAATGAACCGCCTGTATTCCAAAATTGTCCACAACAACCAATAATTGTTCGACATGATGCCAATGGTGCTATTTTACCGGTGAACTTCACTGAACCAACAGCTGTTGATAATTCTGGATCAATAGCACGTTTAGAAGTGAAGCCTGCCAGTTTCAAAACACCCATGTACATATTCCAAGACACCGTTATCAAATATGTGGCCTTTGATTATGATGGAAATGTCGCTATATGCGAAATAAATATTACCGTTCCAGACGTAACCCCACCAAGTAAGTTTACTTTATCATAAAAGAGATTATAATACAGTACTATTTGTGCACCAAACGCATATGGTTCTTGAATGAAGTCAACGAGACGAATTTGGTTACAATTTTTAAACAATTTTTTTGTATTTATATTTTCTTTTTATCAAGTAATGGATTTTTATGCATATGAAAAATTAAGTAATTTTTATACTTGACCATAATTTCTATTTCAGAATTGAGTTGCCCACAAAGCTATGTCATTGAATTGATTGAAAAACAAGAAAGTTATACAGTGAATTTCACAGAAACCCAAAAGAAACTCACAGTCAGTGATGATTCCGGCGAAGTTATGTTAACATTTATGCCACAAAGAGCAACAATTCCGATTGGAAAATTCCAAAATGTTACAGTTATTGCGGCTGATAAATTTGGCAACAAGGCGTCTTGTCATTTTCAAGTGACTGTAAAACCATCACCATGTGTTGATTGGGAATTGCAAGAGCCAGTGAATGGACTATTAAATTGTGAGTCAGGAGATCGTGGTGTTCAATGTGTTGCTACATGTAAACCAGGATACAGATTTACGGATGGCGAGCAACTCAAGTCTTTTTCATGTGAAAAGTCTCGTTTATGGCAACCAACTCAAGTTGTACCGGATTGTGTATCAGAAAATACTGAACAAGCTGATTATCATGTAACTGCTAGTGTTACATATCGCGCAAATGGTGTTGTCAATCCATCATGTTTACCACAATATCAAGACTGGCTTCAACAATACTATAGCAATTTAAATGAAGTTCTTTCGTCTCGTTGTTCAGCTGTCAACGTTAATATGAATGTGTCATTTATACGATCGATGTCCTCATTATTAGAAGAAAATGTTGTGAGGTTGGATTTTATTTTGGTAGTACTTCCAGCAATTCGTCAACCACGTCTGTATGACCTGTGCGGTTCAACATTAAATTTAATATTTGACTTAAGTGTACCATATGCAAGTGAAGTGATTGAACCATTATTAAATGTGTCCAATATTGGAAACCAATGTCCACCATTGAAAGCACTTAAGTCGAATATTGCGCGTGGATTCGATTGTAATGTTGGAGAAGTTTTGAACATGGATACCAATGTGAGTTATCAACAGATATAAATTATAATACAACAAACAATATCATGAATGTTTCCAAATAAATATACGAATAAAACAGTAGTGTGCGAAGGGGTGGTTACACCCCCGATGACAATTTTTTTTCAGAAATTATTCGATTTTGCTAGAAACTTTTGAACGCGAGAGAATTTTTTTTTTTGGTTTTTGAACGAGAAAAATGCTAGCGATTTTTTCCACAATCGATCCCTCTAAAAAAATTGCTCGCACACTATTGGATTAAAATATCCTTATATATATTGGGCAAAAGTAGCGGTCATTAATTCCAAAGCTATTTCATTAAAAGAATATTGATAAGTATGGCCCTTTGCAAAACCATTTTATTAAAATAAACTGAATTTATTTCAGGATGTTCCACGTTGTTTGCATTGTCCAGCAGGTACCCACGCTGGTGAACGACAAAGCTCTTGTACATACTGTCCCCGTGGATTTTATCAAAACCGCGATAGACAAGGCTCTTGTATTGCATGTCCATCAGGAACATATACCAGAGAGCAGGGATCGAAGTCAATTAATGAGTGCATTCCAGTGTGCGGTTTTGGAACTTTTTCACCTACCGGTTTGGTACCTTGTTTGGAATGTCCGTTTGACTCGTTTTCTGCTGAACCACCTACAGGTGGCTTTAAAGATTGCCAAGCATGTCCACCAAATACTTTCACATTTCAACCAGCAGCACCTTCGAAAGATCGCTGTAGATCAAAATGTGCACCAGGTTTGTACTGCAATATTCTTAATTATAATAATGACTTAGACAATAGTGGAACCCCTGGATATTTTTCCATATTATGTGCAGATAACGTGTTTAAAGCTTCATACCGATAGCTCATCGCCACATAGTGCCGCAAGAGCTCGGTAAATCAATGCGGATAAAGAATCGTCTTATCTTTTTATGTTTTGGGGACAAGTCTATTAGACATACATGTTTGTTTTTCAAAAATATTTTAATTCCTTGGCAGGATTCTATTCATCAACTGGATTGGCACCATGTTCGCCATGTCCTCGAAACTTCTACCAAAATGTCATTGGAGCAACGACATGTAAAGAATGCCCAACCAATATGAAAACCGACAATCAAGCTTCGGTTGGTCGTGAAGATTGCAAAGCAGTGATTTGTACGGAAAGTTCATGTCAACATGGTGGTTTATGTGTTCCAACTGGCCATGCAGTGCAATGGTAAATACTTGCTGATTGTTCAAACTGATATTTTTAACTAAACATTTCATTTTTTTAGTATTTGTCCAGCGGGTTTCAGTGGTTCACGATGCGAAATCGATATAGATGAATGTGCGTCGTCTCCATGCTACAACGGTGGAATTTGTACTGATTTGCCTCAAGGCTACAGGTAAAAAAATGAATGATTATCTCTTATTTAGATTGTTTAAAATATATAAATATTTATTTAGTATCTAGGTTACATATTTTATTAGCCAATTATATAAATACTTTCTCATATCATTTTCTTTCTTTTCAATTTAGATGTAAATGTCCACCAGGCTTTTCAGGTGAAAACTGCCAAGATGAAGAAAGCAATTGTAAAGCTGACACATGCCCAACTCGGGCAATGTGTAAAAATGAACCAGGATATGGAAATTTTTCGTGTTTGTGCAGAAGTGGTTACACTGGATCTGACTGCAATATCACGATCGATCCTTGTACAACCAACGAAAATCCATGCTCAAATGGTGCGTCTTGTATTGCATTAAAACAAGGACGTTTCAAGTGTGATTGTTTGCCGGGCTGGATGGGTCAACACTGTGAAATTAATGTCGATGATTGCGCTGAAAATCCATGTCTATTAGGATCCAATTGTACCGATTTGATAAACGATTTTAGTTGCTCGTGTCCACCAGGGTAAGCAATGTTAAAATATTTTAATGTTATCATACAATTATTAAACGATTTTATTTATATTTTTCACCAAAGATTTACGGGTAAAAGATGTCACGAAAAAATTGATCTGTGTTTGTCCGAACCGTGTGCGAATGGAATTTGCATTGATCGGCTTTATGATTATGAATGTGTATGCCATCCAGGATGGACGGGAGAAAATTGCCACATCAATATAAATGATTGTGAAGATAATCCATGTAACGATGGTACATGCATAGACTTGGTTGATGGCTATAAATGCAATTGTTTACCAGGATTTGAGGGCAAAAACTGTCAACATATGACAGATGAATGCAAGAGTGAACCCTGTCAAAATGGTGCAACATGCATTGACGAACTTGATAAATATGTTTGTAAATGTCGCAAAGGTTTCAGAGGACCTCAGTGCGAAGGTATTTTAACATATTTTATCAATTTTATTATTTATTCAAAAAGTATCAATTTTCCAAATATTAATTTTATCTTTTATTTATATTTAAAATTCAGTTGAAATTGATGAGTGCCTGAATGACCCGTGCAATCCAGTTGGAACTGAAGAGTGTATAGATTTTCATAACAAATTTGTGTGCAAATGTCGCAATGGATACCGTGGTGAACTTTGCGAAGGTAGTTTTTAAAGAAAACATTTTGAGCGTGAAAAAAACACATTTTTCTAATTGATTGACATATTCTGAAAATAGAAAACATTGACGATTGCAAGTATAACCCATGTGGAAACGGCGGAACATGCATGGACCGTATTGGCTCTTACGAATGTATCTGCGAAGATGGTATAAAAGCGTATAACAGCTTCATTTGTTACAAAATTTTAAATGAATTTTTTTTGTAAATAACTTCAGGTTGGACTGGTCAAAACTGCGAAAAACAAGTAGAAATGTGTTCAGCTGCAACATGTAAAAATGATGCAGGCTGCATTAATCTTTTCCAAGACTACTTCTGTGTATGTCCAAAAGGAACGGATGGCAAACAATGTGAGGTAAAAAAAATCTGAGATCAATAATAAAAAATTATGTATTAAAATTTTCTCCGCAATCATTATTATTTGTTTACGTTTTTAATCTTAGGTTGCACCAGAACGTTGTGTCGGGGATCCATGTACGTAATTAACTTTAATGAGAAGTTATTAAACGATGATCACCAATTTTAATGGATCTCTCTTCTTTTCTTATAGGTATGCATGGAGGAACATGCAGAGATTTTGGTTCAGGATTGAATTGTACTTGCCCAGAAGATTATACCGGAATTGGATGTCAATACGAATTTGATGCTTGCGAAGCTGGTCAATGCAAAAATGGAGCATCATGCATAGATAAAGGACAAGGTTATACATGCATTTGTCCACCAGGGTGAGTAACAACTAAAAATTAAGTAATTAATTAAATGCATTTATACAATTACATCATAACTTTTGAAACAGATTTACGGGCAAAAACTGTGAAAACGATATTGTAGACTGTAAAGAAAATTCTTGCTCTCCAGGCGCAACATGCATAGATTTACCAAGCGGATTCTACTGTCAATGTCCATTTAATTTGACAGGAGATGATTGTAGAAAGAGTAAGATCGACAACATAATTTAAAAAAATCAATAATTTTCATTCAAAAAACATAAATTTTTCAGCAATCCAAGTGGATTATGATTTGTACTTTAGCGATCCAACACGTTCAACTGCTGCTCAAGTCATACCCTTTTACACTAGTGGAAGCAATAGTTTAACGATTGCAATGTGGGTTCAATTCTCTCAAAAAGACGATTCTGGAATTTTCTATACCCTTTATGCCGTTGATTCACCACACATAACCATCAAACGTCGTTTAATACTTCAAGCTCATTCAAGTGGAGTACAAGTTTCACTTTTCAGCGATTTGCAAGATGCATTCCTGTCATTTAGAGAATATGCTACAATTAACGATGGCCAATGGCATCATATTGCTATAGTTTGGGATGGTAAAACCGGACAACTTCTATTGATTACAGAAGGCTTGATAGCTAGTAAAACTGAATATGGAAGTGGTCGACAACTGCCTGATTAGTAAGTTAAAATATAATATAAGTTACAACTTACTTCAAATGCAATTAGTTAATTCTTTATTATTATTTTTTTACTTTAGTGTATGGGCCGTTATTGGAAAACCACAACCTGAACAATTATCATTATCATCGGTTACATATACCGAAGCTGGATTCCAAGGTCGAATTACAAAAGCACAAATATGGTTACGAGTAAGTGGTAATATATATCGAACTTACAAAAAAAAAAAAAAAAAAAAATTACAAATGTTCAATTTTTCATAAAATATCTTTATCGCTTAATAATGTAACAATGGTAATATTTATTATTGACATATAATTTTAACTAGGCATTAGATGTTACATCAGAAATTCAAAAACAAGTGCGCGATTGTCGTAGTGAACCAATTCTATACCGTGCTCTCATTATAAACTGGGCTGGATATGAAATTACACAAGGTGGTGTTGAGCGATCAGTACCCTCAACATGTGGTCAAAAGAAATGTCCCTCTTCCTCCAACAATGGTGGTCAATGTAATCAAATTGATGTAGATAAAGAACCACCACACGTTCAACATTGTCCAGGTGATTTGTGGATCATTTCACGGAATGGTTCTGCTCAAGTAGTATGGGATGAACCTGAATTTGTCGATAATGTGGGCGTAACCAGAGTCATCGAAAAAAGTGGACATCGTTCTGGCCAAACATTACTGTGGTAAATAATTTAACAAATGAAATTTTTCAAACTATTTTTTTTAAATCATTTTCCGAAAATTCAGTTTTTCAAACAAAAAATACCACTTGATTCATGACTAAAAACTGAAAAAATGTATATCAATAACAAAAGAACAATATCGAAAAAAGGTAGCTTGAAAATCTTTAAACCATAATTAATCAATAGCAATTGTCACTGTCAATTGACAGTGTACATATGAAGAATAAAAATATAATAATGAAACTATACTCCTTTTACTATTCCACTGTGAATAGCTTTTAATACATTAGAAATAAGCTATAGTTTTCAAGTAAATTATTCGCATAGTAATCTGTTTTCTGTTCCAGGGGCACCTACGATATTACATACTTGGCTTCTGATGCGGCTGGCAACACAGCATCATGCAGTTTCAAAGTGTCAGTTTTATCTGAATTTTGCCCTCTTTTAGCCGACCCAGTTGGAGGGAGTCAATCTTGTAAAGATTGGGGAGCAGGTGGACAATTTAAAGTTTGTGAAATCAACTGTAATGCGGGTCTTCGTTTCTCGGAACCTGTTCCAGAATTTTATACATGCGGTGCCGAAGGTTTTTGGCGTCCGACGTCAAATCCTTCACAACCTCTCATCTATCCATCATGTTCACGTAAGTATCTTAAATTTGAAAACTAAATGTATATGATGTAAAAAATAAATATGTATTATGTGCATTCGCAGCATCGAAACCGGCACAACGAGTTTTTCGCATTAAAATGCTTTTCCCCTCAGATGTACTTTGTAACGAAGCAGGTCAAGTAAGTACACTAGAATTAATACAATTTCGATAAAAATCAAGCTGTCTACAGGGTGTTTCATATAAGGAGTTTAACTTTTAATTTTATTTTTCGAGCGCGATACAGATTCTGGTCTTATCCGAAGTTAATCCTTTCAAGAATTTCATAATTGTAAAACTTATAACTAATTTTTAGGGTGTGCTGAGACAACGTGTACGGAATGCAATCAATGCATTGAACAGAGATTGGAACTTCTGTTCGTATTCTACTGAAGGTTCACGGGAATGTAAAGATATTCAGATCGATATAAATTGCGATCATTATCGAGGCGGAAGCTCAAACCGCGTTCGACGTCAATTAATTGGGGATGATAACAGCGGGGGCACCTATGTTGTAGATATTAATATTCCCACCGAACGGTAAGTTTAATTTAAAAAAATATATTTAAATATTACTTAAAAAAGTGTAGACTTGTGTAGAATTGACTAGGACTGATAGTGGAATTTTTGTAATAAAGATTTAATTCAGCGTTGTGAATTGAGATACAGTTTTTTAGAATGTAATGACAAAAAGATTTTGAAGTATGGAGCAAAATAAGATTTTATTTTTTAACATATGATCACAAAGTAGAATAGAATTTACTTTCAGTATTTTAGAAAATGAAGAAGATAATAAGACTTTTAGTATCTTAGAAGATAATGTATTTAGTTTTTGAAATTATTGTAAACATTCTAAAATTAAATGAACACAATACAGAAACGTAGCTTTGGATACATCAAGTGAAGCAGTCACTCGAGGTCGAGAAAGTAGACAACAAGGAGGTGATACGTATACACTTGAAATCGCCTTTCCATCTGTTAAGTATGTTCTGTTTATGTGATAATCGTTTTTTTTTATTTTTCAATCTAACAAGTTACATTGTACATCAACATTAATATTTTCACTATTTGAATATTTAAAAAAATACTTGTATATTATCTGGTATTGGGCACAATATTTTACTTTAGTTTTTGTATTTTCCATTCATAAATATCCGGGACGTATGTATAAAAAAATTGGTATTCATACATTTATAGTTTTTTCATATTTTCTTTCGGTTCGTAATTTGTGAGAGATGCATTCAAATGAAATGAATTCAATCAACTTAAAATATACGTGTTGCTCACAATTTTTTAACATATAATTTTGTGCCTTTCAAGTGATCCAATTTTACATTCATCAACTGGGGAACGATCCGATGTTAAAACATTAGTGCAAAAATTAATTCTTGAAGAGAATCAATTCGCCGTTCAAGATATTTTGCCAAATACGTTGCCTGATCCTTCATCATTGAATTTATCATCGGAGTACGCATGTCCAGCAGGTCAAGTAGTTATGGTTCCGGATTGTGGTGAGTTTTTAATTAGAGAATCAAAGGAAATAAAATATTCATACAACAAGATCAATACTAATCGAAAACAAACTATTCTTAGTGCCATGTGCGGTTGGAACATACTTTGATCAAGCAAATAAAACATGTAATCCATGTCCACAAGGAAGCTATCAATCTGAAACTGGACAATTTCAGTGTTTGAGATGTCCAAATATTGCAGGCCGAATTGGGGTAACAGCTGGCAGTGGAGCACGTTCAGCTGCAGACTGCAAAGGTTATTATTATCATACATAACATCGTGAATTCAAATCTTTTTTCGTAGAATAGAACTTTACAATATCACAGCGGACGGAAGTTCGCGCAAGTGACGAAAGTTTGTGTTGAAAAGTGTTTTGAAAAGTCGACTTGATATATATACACGAAATATACGAACCTAGAATATCCAGACCTAGAATGCCTTTGGCCTCGATTGATGTATGGTTGGAAAGCCCTTGGGCCATAGGTTAAGAAAAAATATCAAAGTTTGAAAATCGGTCCACCTGTCTTCAAAATATGGTCCCTTCAAGAAAAGGGTAAATATTCAGTTCTACTGCCGTGGATAGCACTAAATGAGGTCGTCGACCCCTGGAACATCGATATTCTGATTCTAGAGATAAATACCTTTCCAACGATACCTCAAACGTCGATCAATCCATTCGAAAAATTCAGTATATATTCAATGTATATTAAGTATTTATTCACAAAACACCGAAAAATTATTTACCAATTATTTTCTCGACAGAGGTTTATTATTTGATATTTTTACATATATATTTAATTAATCTAATTTCATTGATTACATTACAGAACGTTGTCCACCGGGTAAATTTTTGGATACTGAAAGTGGACTTTGCCGTTCATGTGGCCATGGATTCTATCAACCAGACGAAGGGTCGTTTGCATGTCTGTTGTGTGGCCTTGGTCAAACAACCCGTTCAGCAGAAGCAACTTCGCGCGATGAGTGTCGAGATGAATGTGCATCTGGTCAACAACTTGGAAATGATGGACGGTGTGAACCTTGTCCTCGAGGAACATATAGATCACAAGGTATTCAACCAACATGCGCAGCATGTCCATTGGGAAGAACTACACCCAAACTTGGTGCCTCATCAATTGAAGAATGTTCTTTGCCAGTGTGTTTGCCAGGTAAGTGTTAATTAAAGTAAGTGATAACAAAATTAAGTGTTAATTCAAATGTATTTCACAGGCACATATCTCAATGGTACACTCAATCTGTGCGTTGAATGCAAGAAAGGTTTCTACCAATCTGAATCACAACAAACATCATGTGTTGCTTGTCCACCAAATCATAGTACAAAATCAGTTGGTGCTACTAGCCGAACTGAATGCACAAATCCATGTGAGACTATAAAAGAGGGCCAAACTCATTGCGACCAAAACGCATATTGCATACTAGTTCCTGAAACCTCTGATTTTGAATGTAAATGTAAGCCTGGTTTTAACGGAAACGGAACCGAATGTACGGATGTATGCGATAATTATTGTGATAATGGTGGAACATGCGTTAAAGATTTGAAAGGAACACCCTCATGTAAGGATTATTACATTTTTATTGGCTATTAATCAATTAACAATGAAACTTGATTAAAAAATATATTTCACATTTTAGGTCGTTGCTCTGGTTCATTTACCGGTCCGAATTGTTTAGAACGATCTGAATTTGCATATATTGCTGGGGGAATAGCAGGAATTGTTATATTCATCGTAATTATTGTATTATTGATTTGGATGATTTGTGTACGTTCAACAAAGAAGAAAGACCCTAAGAAAATGCTTACGCCTGCCATAGATCAGACTGGATCACAAGTTAACTTCTATTATGGAGCACATGCACCATATGCGGAAAGCATAGCTCCTTCACATCATAGCACATATGCCCACTACTATGATGATGACGAAGAAGATGGCTGGGAAATGCCAAACTTTTATAATGAAACTTACATGAAAGAAGGTATAAACACATAAAATATTCAATTGAATACTAAAAAACTTGTATCATCAATGCAATAGTCTTAAATAGTATGGCTTTGTGTTTCAGCTAAATATAGTCATTGAAATGTTACACATCTCCAAAGGAAATAATCTAATGGTTTTCTTTTTTCTTTCTTAGGGCTGCATGGAAACAAGGAGGATTTATATGATAGACTCAAAAGACACGCGTATCCTGGCAAGAAAGGTATGAATGCTTCCAACTGTAATTTTATAATAATCTGATACACATATATATTAAATTTCTCTTTATCTTCTCAATCCATAGAAAAAAGCGACAGTGACAGCGAAATAGGACACTAAATTTAGACAAAATAACAAAGCAAAGAATGAAATTTATCATGAACAAATCGTTAGTTTCATTGTAGTTTAATTAGTTGATGTATTAGGATAAAAAAAAAACTGAATTATTTACAAAAAAAAGTCATTTTGTATAAAATTGTTTTTAATTTAGAGATTTATTATAAAAGGTTTATGAAAGAAACCAATCAATACCGAGGAGAGAATTAAAAAAATAATGAAAATTAATGGATTATAACATGAAATTACTATGAAAGTGTTGAATTTTGATCGATTCACCGCTTAATCAATACTCTATATCAAATAATTTCTCTCGCCATTTAAATTTACTTATAATTGAATGTACTCTACGTTTTTTCACAATTTTACCTTTTCATCAAACAAAATAACAAATGTTTTGTCACAAAAAATACTCTCGTAATAGTCGACAGTAAAGTAGGACAATTTGTAATGCTGAAAACAAAATTTCTCCTAAGCAATGTGTGCTTTTATAACAAATATATAAGTCTGTAAAAATGAAATAATTGAGAAAAAGAAACATACATAAATTAAAAACAAAATATTATTTTATTCGTGTTTTCCTTTCATTGGTCTAGTCGAATTTAAATTTCTATTCATTAATATAAAGTCGAAAATTGCTTTTTGTAAAACCGACTCCAAGGGACTATATAAAGAAAGTGAACGAATTCTCGCACGGCTCATTTCAGTTTCCTGTGAAGAATATGTAAGTATTATATGTATATGTATGCATTCAACTTATTTTAAAATATTATACTTTGAGAATGTATGTATTTCTGTTTTTAATCCATTGAAGAGAATGAAGATGAGATCTTTCTCGTTTGCTAGTATTGATGCAATATTCCTCTTTTTCTAAATGTGTATCGTTTTTTAAGCTGGAGCATGTGTTTTTTTAGACAAAGTTGCGTTGAATATCAAGACGATGAGAAATTGTGTCAAATTGAATTTTTCTTAAATTAATGTAACTTACATCATTTGTAATTTACAATTAAGGAAGTCTTCTTCATCTTTATATTTTTTCATCACTTCTTTTAAGCTCATTTTTGTACTTGTATGATATGATATGCTGCAGCCAGTGATTGTTTTGACGTTCAGGTCGAACACGTTGCTACTGGTAACATACCGACAACATATACAATTTTTGGTAACGTCAATCAATATGAATGGAATCGAAAAAAGCGGAAAAAAGTAAACAAAACACCTATTGATGATGATTAAAGTTTTTTTTTTGTTTCAATATAATTTTTATTCATTTTTCAATCCTCTCTTTCATTTTGGTCACGGAACATTAATGTTTCTCACTCCAAACTTTACTTGTGAATCTTAATTGTAAGTTATTGATTCAGCTGTCTTGGTAATAGGTCATGAGGTCAAAAACTATCAATACTTCATTTTTTTATCTAATAGATGTGTTTTTCTTTTTTTTATTTGATATCTTTAAAACAATTTTGATGTGACGCATAACCTTAAATTTACAATGCCGCTTTTCTTTTAATGTTGTATTTTCTTATCTAACGATCTAGCTATTGATGCCAATCCGTTCAGAAATCTCTTGTTTGGTTTTTGGTCCCCATCTTGAAACCAACTTCATTGGGCTATCTTGTAGATGTGTCATGTTGACGCTGTCGTTTTTATTTGGGTGTGATTTGGTTTCATTTGCGCGTTCGCTACGAACTATTTCATATTCCTTTAAATCGCTCAGCTTCAATGTGAAGCTTTGAATTTCTCGTCTCCGCATAATCTAAAACTTAAAAGTATAGAATAAATAAGTAAATAAAATATTTTAATACTATTCTACTACTGTTATTACTATATTAATATAATTAAAAAATTTCTATGGTACTACTTTCTTTACTATCATATTAAAATTTTGTTCAATTCAACAATTTGAATGTAGGTTGACGTTTTTAAGCGTTTAAGTAAAATTTCTTCATATTTCATGTATTTTAATTTTGAGAATTGAGTACACAAAGAAGTTTATTGACACAATTGGTTCGGTTTGTTTCATATACTGCAGTTATTTACATATATTCATTTTTCGTTTACGACACATCTATGCGTTAGTATGACAATTTTGTATTCGGCAAACAAACCGTTGAAAGGCTATAATATGTTATACCAGCCGATTTAAATGAGTTTCATAGGAATAATTTGTTCGATAAAAATTTTATAAATGCCTTTTAATATTGGGCAATGATCTTTCGTAAATATTAAAATCTATGAAAAATATATTTTAATTATTTATTTGTAGCATTTATTTAAAAAAGATACAATTCTTTTGTAAGCAGGTAAAAAATTGAAAATTGTTACTATTTCAGTGCAGAGAAATGTCTTCAAAATTGAAATGCCCACTATTTATTTCATATGAAATTTTCCACGCAAAAATATTTTCATATCTAAAATGTAGCCTAATATACATTTATTTATATTTCAAATTTAAAATGTATTGCACAAATACCAACAAATGTCAACGGAAAACTTGTGTGTGGGTGAAATGAATTTAAGCTATGAAAAACAGACACATATTTTATTTTAGATGATAAGACAATATTCAGTGCATGTACTATGTACATACATACAAACGAGTATATGAAACGTGTGCGATATCACACGTATTATAGCAGCATGCGGCACGGTAATTATATACAGAACAACAAATTAGTTACCGAACGGTAACAAAAGCAATCGGAAGGTGAAATACAAAAAATAACGTATTGAAGCAAACAAGTGTTATGAAATGTGTTAAAGTTTACCGGGTGTCAATCAGTTATTTACACACTTTTTTCGTAGATGAACTCAATGTCTATATATCTTATGTAGTGAAATGTGTATTTGCAGTGCATATATTTTGTGCGTGTTGATATATACTATAGAGTGGTTCATATCCATTTACAAGTGTATATTCAGAAACAAACATCCCCATCATTCAACACACTGAACTTCAATCAAGCTAGATGAGTATTTTTCGTATATTTTAATTTGACTTAAAAAAAAAACGAATAAAAGTTAAAGATTCTATCAAAAGTTCGATCATTACTATCTTGGTTCGCATCAGAAGAGGATGAATTACTTAATCCAAATGAATTGAAACTGAGTAAAATTGAAACAGTTTGTTCGTTTGGCTTGAGTTATGCATCTGTCTTTTTACACGTCGACTTCACAAAATCATTTGAAAACACATAAGTTGTAACGTGTCACTACTGCATGTTCTTCTGTTTAAGTGAAAACCTAACCTGGAAATTCAAAAATTTAAATTTAAGTGCTTAAAATATGGAATTCAATTGAGTAAAAAATAATAATAATTGTGATGACAACATTTATAGACTTTATAGTTTGTTTCTCAAATAAATTTTTTATAAAATATAATTGATGTCAACTGCCACGAAACTTGTTCAGTCTTTTGAGATGAAAAGTAAGAATATAATATTGTTTTGAAAATGTACACAACTCAAATAATTTTCGATATGAAGCTAAATTTTCGCGGTAAAGAAAGCTTTAAAAATGCGATAAGTTGAATTTTTCAATAGCCAAACAGTATGCAACCCAATTTTCTTCAATTTAAGTATTTTGCAATCTTAAAGCCAATAGAATCAATTGGTTTATGAGCATGATTCTTTCTTCTATTGGAAAACCATTTTTATATCTTAAGGAAATTAAAACTAATTTTTAATGAAATATTTCTTTAATGTAACATTGAGGTCATGTTAGTACTCAAGTTCACTTCTTCCGAATGATCCGGAAAAAATCTAGTTTTCTGTTTCAAATGTAATTTCTTTTTCGAACGGACACTTCAATGTCAATCGAATCAGAATATTTGTCTGTTCAGACTGCTTTCGCACCTTCGCTTTTGTTATACATTCTATTTGTACACGTTACATAAAGCTTGTCTTATTATCGTCCCAGCTTCTGATACGTGTTATTATCATGTATATGATTTTAAGGGCCTATGTGTGAGCAAAGTCGTCGCTGTTAAGAATAATAATAAATTGTTTCATTGCGTCGCAACGAATCAGTTAATCAGAGATATTGATTGTGAGAAGTTTTATTCTGTACAGTTACTTGCAAATTTATATATATATATAAAAATTGCCTGAAAATTTAACAAAATGGTATTAATAGTGACTAAAAACAATGACTTGCGAAAAATACTTCCGAGCATGTCGAAAACGGGCGAATATTATAATTTAAATTTTTCATTGCATCTGACTTTAAATTCCTCCCTTACACGTTAAAATTTCAAATTATAGCTTTGAACAAAAAAAAGCCCATATAAAAATTTATAGGTCATACTTTTGGTTGAATTTATTTGCATAAACAAAATATATGAGTGTATATTTTGAGATCTTCAAATAAATAAAAAAAAAATTCTATGATAGTCCAAATTAATTAGAATTTTATGTGATCCAAAACAGTATTACTGAAGATCATGAAAAATCGAAAAAACTTTAAATTGCAATCGAAAAATAGAAAACATTTTCATTTGGGAGTTCAGTTATTCTAATCATAGTCATTGCATTTTTGGCACGTTAGACTGGTTTCTGATCACATGTGAAACATATACATTATACAATGTTTAAATATTGGTAGATTGTTATTTTTAAATGATGTGATCACATCATAAATAATTGTAAGCAAGCATCATTTCTGTGAAATATATCACGTTGATAAATATAAAGAACAAATTTATAAAAATGACCTAGTTTTCTCTTATCGGTTTATATTAACACGTAAAAAAAAGTTTTGTACAGATAGATAGAAGAAAACTGGTTGATTCTTAAAAATAGCAAATATATAAAAAATATTTAAACAATTTTACAGAAACTACCTATATTACTTATAATTATTCATTTATCTTCATTGGCATGTACATTTAAAATATTGTACTTAGTGCCTTTTCCTGCACCATCACATTGGTATTGGCTCAAAAACTTCTCTGAAGAACTTTTGAAGCGGGGTCATTATGTAAGGATATTTGTTGTTAATTTTTTTTAAATATTTTGGGTGGAAAATGTTAACAATATCATATAAAATGTAATAGGTTACAGCAGTTACTAGCTATAGACGTCCGCAACCGCATCCCAACTATACGGAGATCATTATCCATCCACCATATAACTTTTCTGACTGTAAGTTGAATTGACACATTAAAGTAAGCGGCATTTTTTGATATTTTTACAAGCCGCCATTCTTTCGCAGATTAATAAACACTTTTATTCATCTTTTTTATGTGTATATGAAATTGTATTCGATTGTTAAGTGGAGTGATAATATGATCAATGATCATTATGAAATGTATTTGTATTTTCATAAACAAACCATCGAAAAAAGAAACGCATTAATTTGTATATTATCTGCTAAAGACATAAATAATGCGTTTTTTTAGTAGATAAAAAGAATACATAGAGAGATTCACTAAACTTGCTATGATGAAGTATTTATATTTAACTTTTTTTATGTTAGTTCCAGCATCAGACTTTTTTTCAATGAAATTCAATACTGTGGTAAATAATTTATTTCTAACATGGGTAAGTCCTTTATATTTTTCAATAAAAATTGGTGTATAGATTGAATTGTTTTCTAGGACGTTGGGCTTTCAAGCACTGAGCACGCTTTCAAAGACAAAAATGTAGCAGAATTTATAAATAAAACCGATTTAGCTTTCGACGTCGTTATTTTGGAACAATTTTTCCATGACAGTTGGTTGCCATTTGCTAAAAAATTCGACGCACCATTATTAACAATAGCAACCCTTGGGCATGCCGATTATTTGGACAATGCTATGGGACTTATTACCCCTAGTTATGTGCCACACCATGTTCTCACTTTCACCGATAATATGTCATTTTATGAGCGTTGTATCAATCTTTTTTGGCGTCTAACTGATGCTTTCCTACGAAAATACTACTATATGGCTAAAATGCAAGAAATGGCAGACAAATACTTTCGAAATGCATTTAATGGTAAATCCAAATAAACCTTAATCTGTTAAAATGTGTATAAAGTCAATTTATTCAAATAGGATCGGTGCCTTCAATTTTGGAAATTGAAAAAAATATATCGTTCCGTATAATCAATTCTCATCATTCCCTGTCTTTTGCTAGGCCGCGAATGCCAGCACTAACATACATAGCTGGAATTCATATTAAACCAGTGCAAGTGCTTCCAGCTGATGTTCAGGTAACTTATATTATTATTCATCCTCCTTAGATACAACTGTATTTGTAACAATATTTCATATTTATATTCATAGGATTTTCTCGACAGTGGATCAGAATTTGGTGTAATTTATTTTAGTTTTGGGAGTTGCATACGATCTGTCGACCTTCCCGAAGAAAAATTGCTTGCATTTATAGAAACGTTTCGTTTATTGAAACAAAAAGTCTTATGGAAATTTGAGAATGACACCTTACCGAATTTACCACCTAACGTTTTCATCCGAAAATGGTTACCTCAAAATGACGTTCTGGCTCATCCGAATGTCAAACTATTTTTAACGCATGGAGGTATTTTATTTACATTGAAATGTAACTTATTCAAAAAAGATATAATGTATAATGTATATTAAAATTATACAGGAATATTTGGCACTCAAGAGAGCATATATTGGTCAGTTCCAATGCTCTTTATACCAATTTATTCGGATCAGTTTCGAAATGCAAAACGATGCGTCGACGCTGGATTTGCTGAAATAATCAGTTTTCAAGAATTATCAGTTCAAAACCTTCATGAAAAACTAAATATGATTCTAGATCAAAACAGTTATAGCAATCGAATAAACTTGGTATCGCAGCAATTCCGCGATAATTTAGTTGATCCTATGGAAGAATCAATGTACTGGATAGAGTTTTTGGCACGTCATAAACACCATTATCCTATCTTTAAACCTCATTCAACGCACGTACCGTGGTACACATATTTTTATCTAGACATTATTTTTTTCGCTATAATCACATTATATATCACATTTGCATTGACAAAATATGGTTTAAAAAAGATTTGGCAAAGTTTTGATACCGAAAAGAACATAAAACAAAAATTCAATTAAAATTCGTATTGTAAAATTGATGATCAATTCTTTGTTTCTAGTATAATTCTAATAAAAAAATATAATTTTTATGTTTTATTATAGTGTTATATCCATAAGTTTTTATTCTTATGTATGACATATTATGCATATGCGGAAAAATAATTTAATTAATCATAACGATTAAAAAACTACACTCTTAATTCTATCTTTTTGCAACAACTCAAGCAGTATTTGGAGTTTCAACAGATTAAAAAAATGAATACATACCGTATATTTGAATTTAAATTTCCTTTCTTTTTGATTACTTTTTATAAAGATTTTCAAAGCCAGATTTATTCCAAACAAAATATTTTTACATCGGCATGAATGACAACTATTTGACAGAAATATCAATCACAAAATATCAATTGGAAAAAGGTTACGTTCGCCTTGCGATTTATTCTCCAAATATGTAACATTTGTAAGGTTTCAACATTCTGTATTTAAAAGTTTAATATATTGATATTATTTTATTAAAGAAAGTCCAATAAAGAAAATAAATATAAATACAACATTTATTTATTCATTATTTGCTAGATAGATCATTTTATAAGTTTATTTTCAAAGTCTGGATTGCATCACGTGTTTTGATGACTTGAAGAAAGTAGTATTAATTTGTTTACACATTCTTGCATGATCAAAACGTGACAAAAAAGCTGATTCAATAGTATATGTAAAGTATAAACATCAAATTTCATGGCTTTTATCAGAAAATGTGATGACAGAAGCTGTGAGTATAGAGTTCATACTTGCAATTTAAAAAAAAATAATTAATTGGCAAAACTTTTCATCTCTATTAAATAGCCTTTTATCAAATTTAAATGTCCTGCAATCTCATACAATGTAAATTCATCATTGACCCTCAATGCACTGATAATTATGTCTAGCGCCTAGTTCAAAATACACATCATTCACGAAAACAAACCTATTTTCAATGGTGTTGTGGACTTTCGAAACGATCAAAAGTACACAAGCTGACACATTATTACCTATCTGTACTTCGATGTAATATATGAACTATGAAGTAACTTTTCCATGAAATACTTTTCAATTGTAAATTTGATACATAATATTAGTATGTTATCAATCGGCCGGTATACGTGCTCCGTCTCTGTACGAACATTCACCGATCAAATGTCATATTTTAATCAAACATTGTCTTATCACATCCAGACACAAAAAATGTCTACATCTTGTTGTTGTAATAATATAAAATAGTCGTGTATTCGATTGACACAATCATTTTGATTTTAGTTCTGGCGCTAACAAGCTCTACTGCTCGCATTTTTAGAACGTTTTAAAACTTGACTAATTTGACAAAAGTCTGTTTATATTTCATAAAATAATATAATATTTTTAAGTAATATCTAAATTGTTTGAAGATGGAAACATTAAAGAATGTACAAGATAATATTCAGGTAATCGAAAAATATTTAATATTTTCAAAACATAAATTATAATCAATTTATTTTTAACAGAAATCATTGGAAACTGCATCAGGTGGCGTTGTATATGTTGCACTTGGAAATACCCTTTCTCGTCAAATTCAAATTGAACTGATTGAAACATTTCGTTATATGAAGCAAATATTTTTATTTCAACACGTACCAATAGAATATAATGAGTTGCCATCAAATGTGATTATTTATGAGAATCTACCTAGCAAAGTTATTTTATCACATAAAAACACAACTCTGTTTATAACGAGAGATGAAAATTTACCAATAAGACGAGCTCTACATTACGGAGTCCCGATGCTTATTATACCGTTTCAAAATAATGAGGTAAAAAGAAATCAAATAAAAAAAGTCAAAATTGTGTTTAAATTACTTTTTACATTCACAGATTCATCGAATCGTTAAGACTACAGCTTTGGAAAATGTGTGTACTGTAAGCATCGAAGAAATAAATAGAGAGACATTGGGACAAAAACTAAGAACGCTCCTGAACAATAAGAATCTGAAGGTACACGCAAAGGAAATTGCTAACCTCCTTCATCATAACTCCGTTAATTTTGTCATGGAACCAATTAAGCAGAATACGCAAACATCACGACAGTTATCAACAACTCATTTACATTTGGATGCTTTGGGAGCATTGTTTTTCATTATTTTTGTTATAGTTAAATTATCATTGAAATTTTGCCGCTTTTACAATAATTGGGAGTGGAAAACAAATGCTACATCAAAGAAAACGAAATGAACACATTTTTATACAATTCACATTTAGAGATATAAGTTATGAATTTATAAATATCTGTTATATTAACTTATTAAATGAAAAGTATTTTTACTCATCAATCTATTGAGAGCTGAAGTTTTACAACAGTCGAGTTCTCCAGTTTTTGCTCACGAAAGAGAAATTCATTGAGCGCATGCGCATCCTTTTCCTCGCACATTGTTATACAGTCTGTTAAGTTAGTAACACTTTGAGTTCAATTCACAGTTTTTGAATGCCATATCTGAAGTTTTTTTATGTTGTGAACATACAAAACTTTACGCATACTTCTTTGACGTAGACACAAATACAACGAAATTTTCAAAATCGATATTTTGTTTGGTCACATACGAGCTGTTGCAAAGAATCCACCATTTTGAGTGGTAGATTGTGAGAAAACTGATTTTATTTTCTTAGATAAATAGAAAATTGGTTGAAGATATATTTTTTTTGCTTTTACTTTTAAGCAGTAAGCTATTCAAAGAATTCCACAAGTGATTTTAATAAACACAAAACATAAACAGGCTTATATCTAGATTATTTACAAAAGCTAGTATACTGATACGAAGAAATGTCCTAGTTCTGACGTTCATTTAATCAACCAATAATTCATTGAATATTTCTTTCGAAGAAGATTTATTCTTGACACAAAAGTCACTTATTCAATCGACAGATTGTGAAAATAAAAAAGTTTTACATTTTGTAGTGAAAAAAAGGTAATAAATAATCTAAAAATAATTTAAAACAAAAGCTTTATTAATAAACATTTTTAATACGTATACAACAAAACAGATTATTTTCCATAATTCAATCAGTTCTGATTAAAACTGCCCTTTATGAATGTCATAATTAAAAAATATGCGTATACATCTTCTATTGTTATGTAAAAACATTTAAAAGCTTAAAAAGAAAGTTGAAGTGACATACATACGAATATTGCTTTCTTGGAAACTTACTAGTGATGATTAAAGCATATTCGAGAAAAATTCCTCGAAAATATATTATTTCTTAATAAAAAAAAATAAAAAATAAATAAAAAAATCTTAAAATAATTGTGATTTCTTATCTTTGATTGACACTTAGAATTGAAGCACAATATTTTTTTAAATAATTTAGTTCAGAACCAGAGTCAAGTTTTAAACTCAATTATGGCGTATAGTCGAAGAGTGTTCAAGAGAGAGGTAGATGAAATTGAAAAAGAGACTAGTTCAACACTAGGAACAAGAATCTTTAATCATCATCACCTCATAACTACCGCAAGTGCACCACGTACGTATAGTTATTCCAAGTACAGTTATTTAAATCATGACATTCAATTACCACAACTATTATTATGATTACAAGCAGCAGAGGAATCAGTAAAACTGACTACCGATGTTCCGACGACTAAACAATCTATAATTACGAAGCTCGATCATATTGCTGACAAAAGTGTTGAAAATGCATCTCACCTGATGCATCTACCAAGATGGGGAGTGGTGGCGATCTTCATAGGTATTACAATCCTAATATTGGGACTACTGTTCCTATGCATTCGACGATTTTTCCGGAAACGACGCGGAAAGGACGGCAAGAAGGGCATGAAAGGAGTGGATCTTAAATCGGTACAGTTACTTGGCTCAGCGTATAAAGAAAAGGTAAAGTAATTGGATCAGTTAAACAATTATAACAAATTCTTTTTGCGATGTTTCAGGTCCAACCTGACATGGAAGAATTAACAGAAAACGCTGAAGAGCCAGACGAAGGTGAAAGTAAACATAGTGAACAAAAATTGGGCAAATTACAATACAAGGTTTTTATTGGAATTCATTTCATAATAATTGTGTGTGACGTGTTCCCTAGTAAAATTGTTGCTGTAATAGGGTTGATAGCTATATTTTCTCAAAGAATCTCTCTTAGATCTATTAGTCGATTCTGCTATCTATATTTGGTTCATTCCATGAAAAAAAAAACTTGAAAAAAGTTCCCTTTCTATTAAATTTGTGCTTTATTCTATTCTTGCGTAAGTATGTTGCTCAACAGTGGACCGATAAATGATTGATGTCGAAAGATGTATCATTTACATTTGGAAGTTGGTTAATGTTCTCCATTTTTCTCTTTCTTTCCCTTTCTCTCTCTTTTCATTAATTCATCAAATTGCTTTAATATGCATGCATTCTATAGTTGGAGTATGACTTTAATTCCAACAGCCTTAATGTAACTGTTCTACAAGCTGAAGAGTTACCTGCACTGGATATGGGTGGCACTTCAGATCCCTACGTTAAAGTCTACCTTCTGCCGGATAAAAAGAAGAAGTTTGAAACCAAAGTTCATCGAAAGACGCTTAATCCCGTTTTCAACGAATCATTTGTTTTTAAGGTTTGTCATTTCATGATAAATAAAAACGTCAAACTGAACGTTTCTTTAAAACTAATATAAATTAATCGGCAAAATTATCTTCTTGCAGAATCTTCCTTATGCTGAAGCAATGAACAAAACGCTCGTTTTTGCTATTTTTGACTTTGATAGGTTCTCAAAACACGATCAAATTGGTGAAGTTAAGGTTCCATTGTGTCAAATCGATTTGGCACAAACGATCGAAGAATGGCGTGAATTGCAGTCTGTTGAAGGCGAAGGTGGTCAGGTAGGTTTTAATATGGCAATATTCAAGAAAACTTTTACTTATTTATTGTTGGCAACGTTATAATCGTAAATGAAAAAAAATCTCTATTGCTTTTACTATATATATATTTGAAACTGTTTGAGCTGCGTTAAAGTTTAATTTATCAATAAAAGGCCGTGAAGTAAGAAAACCAGACATATCAAAAACACCCAGTTCAAAATGCTAAAGAACAATCACATGACACATTAAACCTATGGAATTCGAGCAGCAGCAAAACAAAATAATAATTTGTTTTCAAAAAAACCATAGCTTTTTTTTATTCAAACACACAAACCACCACAATGCATACACACATACACAAAGTTTCTTTACTTTTTTTGTCCATACATTATTTATCCGAATACACTAATTAATTTATTCGACTTAATTAAACTACACTCAATAGGGCAAATATTACATCTCAATTGTAATTCCAACGAAATGACATATTGTTAAAATATTGTTTAATAACAATTCTATGTTGCTTTTCATATTCGCCATTATATTCATTTTCAATGTATTTTGTATACATAAGCAAGCCAAAATATTATAAGTTAAGTGTAAAGTTGATTTTGGCAAATTTACTTTTGTATGAAAATCTTCAAATCTGAAATCAAAAAAAAAATCAAACAAATTTCTCTATGTCTGGATATATTATGAATCTGTTCATATACACTTGTTCTTCCGATTGAATAATTGAAAGCAACATGGAGTTTTTTAGTTTGAATGTTATATGGGCTTGACTTTATTTATTTCTATTTTAAATTATCTGGAATGCACTTATATTTTAAATACATTTTCAGATATCAAGTTTACATTTTTTTGACTATTAAAATTTAACACAAAAATAAATTTTACCTATCACTGTGGAAAAAAATGTTTTTAAATTGAAGAATTATATCTTCCACTTAATATGAAACATTTTTTTACCCTTTAATGATATTTTTGAACTTTAATTATTTTCTTATTAATCTTCATTAGTAAAAAATTGGATTATATAACTTTTACATTTTTATTGATGACGACATTTTTTTCTCTTTTTCCTGATATTTGCTGTGCTTACGCTCGTGAATGGTTGTGTCCTCGACTAAAAAAAACATAAAAATTTGAAAAATCATTTAAAAAAAATTAATGATAAAATTTGCATGCTTCGCTTCAAAAACCAAACAAATATAAATTACAAACAAAACGCTCATTCACGTAAGTATATTTGTATAAAAAGAGAACATTATTATGACATTTCTGAATAAACTTTTCAAAAGTGATTCAAGACTATTTTGTTGAAAAGTTTGTTACGAATATCAGATTATTTATCAAATCATTTTTTGTTTTAATATAAAATTTACCAAAATACTTTTACTTAATTTTTATTTGGAAAATAATTCGGTTTTAAACTAGAATATGGATTACAAAAGAGTTTATCAATATTTTTAATTTTCAGAAACAAATTATATGTTTCAATGTATCACAATTTTCTTTTTTTTTGTCAAATCAAATATTGATAAATTAATTGGTCACGTTTGCATGACATTGCTTTGAATGAATCAAATTCGTTTAAGGTAAAATTGGTAATCACCGTGCAATGCGACTACATTTTCTTTCGTCTTAAACTTTCATGATATTCGCTTTAACAGTCATTGATGCAAAATAAAATTTTGACATCTACATTTTTAGTTACATATAATAACAATCTAAACTTTTTTATTACTCACAAGATATATAGTTTATTATCAAATTTTTTAAGAATAAGATCACATGAACTCTCATAGCATAATGTCGTAAAACATGGTTTTATGCGGTAAAGTGACACGCTTCATTTACGCCTATTCACATTGTTCCAAATATTTTCTAGATTTTTTCAACAGCACATAAATTTCCATTTCTTCGTCAGAGGTATCGTAAAATGTTTCAGCAGTCAGTTACAGGTTATAACATTTGCGTATATTATATAATATATGTGTATTTCCATCATCAAATGCTCTGATGGCAGAAAACTGAAATTGGCACGTATGTGCTCTGTAATATACACCCTGCAAATCATTATAATTGGTTCACATTTTTGCTGTCAAGCACTTTCTGAAGCAAATGTTCTTCGCTTTTAAGCTGTAACTCTTTGATTTGAACTTTTGTTAATGATGCAAAATTCATTCCAACCAATTTTAATTAAATATATGAACAATTTAAAAGTTGGACATTGCCGCAAATTACATTCGACATCATTCTTACTTAATTTTTTTATACCATTGGATATCCGAAATTGCCAATAAACTTTTACTCCTCATTGTATATATATTATTAAAATTATTAATACAGAAATGTTTCTCAATACACCGAATTTTTTTTGCAAAGGAGGTTTATTTAAATCATTTAATCAAAATAATGGTAATTCATTTCACCACCACAATCTATAACTTTGTATTATTGCAGACAAAACGTTCATATGCTATAAACAACCTCGATTCACAGTCAAAATCGAAATATTTATTTTTGCGTGTGCATCAATGGTATTGTTTATGTTTGACTATTTAATTTGACCGATTTTATATTGATATTCTTCTATTGAGAATTTTTTCTGTATTAATTTCATTTAATACCATAAAGAGAACAAAATATCTTATCGTTGCAAAATTTTTGATTTTGTTCTTGATCTAACAATTTCAGATATTTTAAGCAATACTAAAACGGTTTCTTATAAGGAAGTAAAACCAAAAAATATAATATACGCAAAGTGCATGATCGAAACGTAATTAGACAGCAGATATTTTAATACACCCTGCTGTATATCTTTAAAATTATTGAGTATGCATATTCTCTCTTGTTTGATTTTATTTTTCAAAACTCAAGTCTACACTATTTTCATGAAATCTTTGATTTTTACTGCAAAAAAAAAACAATGATCAAAATTGTTGGAAAAATTCTCACTCAAGCACTGCTTTCTTTTATATTTGTTTAAATATCACCGAAACCGATCCACACAATTATGTTTACAATACATTATAGTGAATCGAGATCAAAAACAGAGGGTTTGGAATTTGTGGATGCTTATCATGGCCTATCTCTAAGAATTAAGTCAAATCATTTTCTTTCTGATTTGGATATTTATTCTAATAGTTACGTTTTCGATTCATCATTGAAAATCATATTGTTACCATTGGAACAAAGAATTTTTTTTCATTAAAATTATAAACATATCACCAAAAACATTCACTTTGACATGAAAAGGTTATGGCAAAAATTAAAACTACTCAAAAATAAATTGTTCCAATTGAGCTGGGTGTTATGAAGTCCCATAAAATGCTTAAAAATAGAAATACTGAAAATATACACTTCTTCATAACACAATTTACAACAGAAATATATTTCAACTTTTTGGAAATTCTAGAGTGCAAAGAATTTCAAACATTTTCAAACTTCATTATTGTATACAATAACAACAAATGAATATAGAAATAGAAATATGACAAGATCTAAAAAAATCAAATTCAAAATTACTAGATCGTCAATATTCATTTGTTTTATGCATAACTGCAAAATTATTTAAAAGGGATTTTCCAACCGCCAAATGCAACATATTTAGTACGAATATTGCTCACACATGTATGTTTTCGGGGTAAATTAAATATGAAATTAATGTATTGACATTAATATAATTTAATTTCAACCAGCGATTCAATGTGAATTAACACATAGACCAAATTTAAAGTTCTTAAAATAATTTCGATGTCCCACTTTATTTTTATGACCTAAAGAGATGTACTAGTACTAAGCTTAATTTGTTTATTTATTCAATTTCATTTTTATTTTTCAATTTTCAAAAACAGGAACAGTTGGGCGACATATGCTTCTCACTTCGTTATGTACCCACAGCTGGAAAACTTACAGTTGTGATTTTGGAAGCAAAGAACCTCAAAAAAATGGATGTTGGTGGATTATCTGGTAACAAACATCTGGGACAATTTGACATGTTTAATATTATTTTTTTCTTCATAACTTTAATCCAATTTTTTCAATTTCTAAACATTATGTACAATGCAGACATATTCTGCTTAATTTTTTTCCGTATATAATGTTTATAATTTTGTTTTATTAAAATAACTGAAAAGGCAATTTATCACAAACGAATCCGTAATTAATGAATGTAATAGGAAAGATACCATTAGATAGTATCAAATTGCCCTTTCAATTAATTGTATGTGCTTTTCCGACTATACTAGATTGATGATTTGATTTCTCGTTGTTATAAATGGGAAGTCAACGTTTCACAAATATATTAAAAATTGGCTAATTATATAATTCTAATTGTAAATCGTTAATGAATATATTTTTGAACGAATCAATCATATCAACTTTTCACAGATCCTTATGTCAAGATAGCATTGATGCAAAATGGTAAACGCTTGAAGAAAAAGAAGACAAGTATCAAAAAATGCACCCTGAATCCATACTACAATGAATCGTTCTCATTCGAAGTTCCATTTGAACAAATACAAGTATGCGAGAATGTATTGTACTATCCTAAAATATAAGAAAAACATCCACTGCGTAATGCGTTAGAGTTTATGTTCTATTTTTTGTTGTTCTGTGTTTTCTGTTTGCGATTAAATTTATGTGAGATAAGCCCACTAGTAGTGTATATGATGAACCTGCCAAAATATACACATACTTTTGTTTTTAAACCATCACTTATAATTTACATGACCTTTGCCAGTTCTTGCAAAGCGTGTATAAAAGTCCAAGTTTATTGATTTTGTTGTATTGCACATTCCTTTGGAATGTATTTTTCATAGCAAAAGACAATGTATATACAAAGTGTTGCCACGGACTATGTCTTCTGTGATCTCATTCAAAAAAAAATGAATGATATAAACTTTTTGACATAGTCAAAAATGCTTTAAATGTTAGTTGTAAAATGGTTTGATTGTCACAACTCGATCTGGAATTTTTTCAAAACCACAATTTCTAGAAGTTGTGGCCAACTTCAAATAATTCATGGCCATTTCAAATCGATGGTCGTGTCTTTTATGACAATTGAGTAGTTGCAATTTTCCAGAAGCCTTTGTATTACATATTTAATAAATATTTTTTTTAGTTCCCAATGATAGATGTTATGTAGATAAAGTGTATCGTTTAAAATATGTAAGCGTTAAAAAACACTTTAAAAAATGAACAAAGAAGGAGCTTATTTTATATTATCTCATTGTCAAGAAATGGCACATTTTTTCACTATGTATTACAATCAATTGTGAAAATGTTCACAAATTAATTTTTCTGAACCATTTTCAAACGGAAATATTTCTTTTTAAATAAGTAACAGGATGAACGATAGAATATAATGTGAATACGACAAAATGGGAAGTAAGAAGAGAAGGGATTGAATATACTACATTTTCGTTTACTAGTATTTAATAAAGCGGTCCACCTCTCAAACAATTTTCGAAATTTTTCTCCGCTCCGATAATAATTTCAAAATTGACAAATATTTATTTTATAAATATATATAATATATTGGGGTTTTTTTTGGGTCATTTTTCGGAATTTGTTGAGCCAATAGTTTTTTTTTGCGTCTATTAGACGTCAGAAATAACATACCGGTGTAATTTTATATTTTCGTATTACCAGTAGGTAACGCCAGAGCTATATCGATTCAATGATGGGTCCGTTAGGATCTTAGTCCGAAATGAAGAGCAATCATCATTTGACAGGATGAGAGTAAAAAGCAAATAAGTGGGGTTAGAATGCTGTGCAAATTTGAACTTTATTGTGTATAACAATAAGATTCATATTTGCGTAGCATTCTAACCTCAATAATTCATTTTTTACTCTCATCCTCTCATTTATTACCAGAATTAATAAACTTCATGAAGCGATTTGGATGAAAATAAAACAGTTTTTACTCAACATTTTCGATTTTTCCTGTCAAAAATCGAAGAATGTAAAAGAAAAAGAATTTATAAGTTATATTTAAGTTATAAGTTCTATTAATAAGATATATTTAAAAAAAAACCAAAACTGGCATTACATTGCTTTGAAATCATTACACTGTGTGTCACTCAAAATCTGACAGAAACGAGACCAGTCGGTTTTACATAATTCTGGGGCGTTGATTCCAATGGCATCATTCGTTTTCCCCCATCACGTCAGGATTTTCCAAAATTTTCCTCGGAAATTTCCCGGAAAACCCAAATTGGCTGTTTATACTCTAGTAACATTTTGAATTCATGCAATATCCCAGAGGGTTGACCTATCAGGCGTTGTAGTACGGTTCAAGTATAGTTAAGCCACACAATTCGTTTTAGAAAAAATTGAGTCATTTGGAAAAAAATGATTTGGTTATTCCCCTCTGAAGTCCACATTTTGAAGTAAAATTGGTATCCATTCAAACGCTCTGAAAATGAGTATTTGGAGGTTTTTGGCATGAAAAGACCGAATATGACGCTTTTTCTGCTATAAAATTAGATTGGAATACACTTACCACAATTTGACATTTTTGGTTATTTTCGACCATTTTGGATACTTTTTGTATAGTAAGTGTATTGTCTAACATTTTTTCAATGTAGAAATGCCTACGCATTTGAGCTATGATTGGCGCAAAATTTAATTTTTCAAGAGATCCATCATGGAATCGAGATAGCTCTTGCGCTATCTACTGATAATATGAAAATACAAAATTACACAGGTATGTGGTTCCTGACGTCTAATAATCGCAAGAAAACTATTTGCCCAACAAATTCCGAAAAAAACCCAAAAAACATACTATATATATGTATGTATATATGTATACAGTGCCGACAGAAAGGGGGCACCTATGTAATTTTCATACAAAATGTCGTTTTTTAGGTTTCATTGACAGATAAAAATGACAAATTTTTGTTTAGCTATCATTGGACTCAATGACTTGCCATTTCAAAACCAGTGAATATTTTTAGCTAAATATCTATTATTTTGTCCTTCATTAGTTATTGAAACAACGTGCCAAAAATTATTGATTTCTGAGAAAAAAAAAGTTTTATTTTTGAAACCTCAAAAACGGCATTTCACAGCATTTTTTATGAAATATACATAGATGTACCCTTACTTTCTGTCGGTAGTGTATATATTTATATATATTATGGCTGATTTTCAATTATTATTTTCATCAGTAAATAACATTTTTGAAAATATACTCATACCTGAACCTGATTAAAGTCTCAAAGAGAGAAGGTAGCAAAATCTTACATACAATTGAGTATTATATAAAAACGGTTCTCTAAAAATTTTCTTCGCTTACAACCAAAACTATAGTTTTGACTATAGTCAATTATTAAATATTATCCTTATTGAAAGCCTCTAGCAAGGCAAATTTCAGAAATGCGTATATTTTCAACCATATTCTCATTTAAAATGTCATTTTTAATATATATTTTTATTATCTTTTTGATCATCTTTGATCACCAATTTTTATATCAAAATTTCATCATGAACCGCCATACACATAAAACGCTTCGTTTCAATATTGTGGTTTTGAGGATAAATATTAAAATTCATAGTCATTTCTCGACAATCAATCGATATGGTACAATTTCAAGGCTCTTTCCTTGATACTTTCTGGTGTTGAAGTTGTTTCATTTTGGTTTATAAACCGAATTTTAATACATTTGTTCTGAAGACTACATGAACGCTCTTAGAAATATACAAAGATCACTATTACATCACTATATATACAATATTTTGAATATTAATAAATCAATATCCGCATATTATACAAACTTAGAATTATGCTTATATTTGTTCTTAAATTATGCCTTGTTAAAAATTATATTTAATTTAAAAACCAACATTATTTGCCATTTGATTATTTATTCATTAAATAAATCGCTTGACTTATCGTGTGTAAAAAATAGACTTCTCGCTATCATATTTTTTTATTTATTTTCGACAAAAAAGATATGAAAAGAATGTTGTTTTAGTAGTTTTATTTTTTAGTAGTATTATGTATCAGTTTATGCAATATATGTTTGTCTACGACTTGTTTTTACGATATTTTTTCGCTGTTTATGTCCGTTCGAGAACTTGTACTGTATTTACGATCAGAAATATCGAAAAAAATATCGTACGAACGAAAGATTCATTTTTGTCAAACATTTAAGACACTTCGAATGACTTGATAACACATTACCTATAGCATTATTTTGATTTATCAATTTCACTTCAATTATTTTTCTTTTTCAAAAGTCTTTTTTTGGTAACATAAAAACAGTATAGTTTTTAATTTTAACTATCATGAAGTTAGTTGTATGTGTTGAATAGATCGTAGCTTCGTTAATATTATAATCCCCATAAAAATATCAAACTAGACTTTGAGTTGAGAAAACATTTCTATTAACTCCAGAGGCTTGAAAAAAGTCCATAAACACAACCAGCGAACAACGATAAGTCTGAAAAACAGTTTTTAGTGGGAACGTGTTTTTGGACTTTTTCTATTTTGATTGAGCTGAGAAATCTAAAGTAGAAATATTCTCTCAAATGATAAACCCCATATTACCGATATTATTGTAGTTTTCGTTAAACTCATGACGAAACCTTTACTATTGGTGATATTTTACTTTAAAACTTATTTCGTGATTGAATTACCGACAATTTGTAATGTTTTATGCTTTCTTTAATTTACGATTATTCAGAAAGTACAGCTTGTAGTTACTGTTGTTGACTATGATCGCATTGGCACATCTGAACCCATCGGAAAAGTAGTTTTGGGATATAGTGCTCAAGGTACAGAATTACGCCATTGGTCCGATATGTTGGCATCCCCACGTCGTCCAATTGCACAATGGCATACCCTCAAGGATCCGGAGGACGGCGAGAAAAAAGATTAAATGGTTCATTGAGAATTTATTACTTAAATGAACATCCAAGCCATGCAACGTGAGTATTTTTCAAATTATTATGTCATTTTATTTAAATTTGTGATATATTTTGGTACTAAAATGAAGTAATTAAAACTTTCCATTGATAAAAACGTCAACAATGTTAAAACGATTATAAAATGTATAGAGGAGAACGGGGCGAATCGCAGCAATTTTTTGGAGTCAAATATCTCGGCAGATATAACTCATAATGACAAATGTCTGGTATCGTTTGAAAGGTGGGGTTTCATTACGCAACTTTTGTAGAAGAAACTTTTTTGTTTTGCTGATACCACTTCAACATATGACATTGCGCGTAAAATTAGAAATCATGGGGTGATCCGCCTATAGCGGGGTGAATCGCCGCACCTTCAAATTTTCAATTCTTATCACTCTCTCATCTCACATATGAGTAATAAAACATAATCATTTCTATTTCTAATTAATAAGAAACTGTGAAAAACATTGAGCCCCCAAAAAGTGACTTCCAAAAAAAAAAACGAAAATTTGTCTGATTTGCTAGAGAAATTTTTGGTTTCGAATAGGGTGCGCTGTTTACAAAATGGTGGACATATTCTCCGTGCTCGGTTAAGACCCCCTGGGGGTAGGGGAGTTGAATGGCAGAATGGTAATCAAAAAATTCTTTCATCATTCTGAACAACTTTGTAGTAAATCATTTTTTGATCCGACGAAGTATTACAAAGTGAAGTGCTCTGTCCTCAATACCCCGATTGGCAACCCCATATTTTTACAAACTCCTTGTTTCCGCACATCCAATCGATCTGTATAGGTGAAATTAGAAAAAAAATCTGATACTTTGTGCATTTTCCTGGTAAAAACGCAATATGAGTGCGGCGATTCGCCCCGATGACGAAATTTCACGCCAAACCCGATATCACACAAAAAACCAAAAACATTCCGAAAATGTTTATATACGCTAGAAAGTACTTTACTTAAGCTATAAATAACACTTACTAAATGTTAAAAATGGAAAAACACGTTTATGCTTCTAAAAAATTACTGACGAAATGAATCGCTTATAATAAAAGTAGTGAATGAGAAAAAGTGAAAATAAAAGTCGAACATAAAGTTTTTTTTATATAGACAAAATCCATACAAAAAAAACTTTATGTTCGACTTTTATTTTCACTTTTTCTCATTCACTACTTTTATTCTAAGCGGTTCAAATGAAAGTCCAATATGGACGACATAAAGACACTTATAATGATATATGACAGTTGGATATTCTGGATCTCATTCTCGAGATAATTCGACTTCGGCGATTCGCCCCTACGTCTTTTCTAATACAGGATGAAAGATATCCAGTAAATATGTTCATTGAGTGTGTGTGAAAAAGAGATTTATCCAATAAAATGTCATTTTTGTCTACTGACCAATAAACGTACCTATTGTGGGCACCAAATTTTCGAATTAGGTGTGACAATATTTGAATGGATTAGAATAAAGAGTCAACTTGTTTCATAACCCCAAAAGTGATCCGTTGAATTCAAATATTTCATAGAATGCTCAAAGATTAAAATGAGACACAAAAAAAAAAGAAATCTACACATACAAATTGGTGTTCCACTTTAACAGACTCTTTTTCTCAATTTCGATTTTATAAACTCGCTTTCTTGTATCAAGTCGAGTTTTTATTATAATCCACTTATTTCTCCTCCCCAAAAATGTTTACTGGTGAAGTTATCACATAACAGTATATCAAAATAATCAATATAAGTTTTTTATTCGTTTTTCAGTCAACATTTGCACACATTTTCAACAGCGATTTTAAGAAAAAAACCATCATTATTATATAGACCCCGAGCAGTTTCATTTGCCCAAATATTCCATATTTTAATCGTGAGTCCACTGAAAGTAATACTGTTTTATTTGAGTAACAATGGAATCGACTGCAAACTTCATATAATCATAGTTAAGCTAAAACTATTGAATACCAAAGTCTACTCCTCCTCTTCAAAAATAAACTATACATAATTGTCATTATTTAAATATTGAAGTTATTTTGAATTCAAAAATTTACAAAAGAAAAACGGTAGAGGACTACCAATGTGACAAAAGAATCATTCATTTGACAAAAGAAAACAGAAATATGTGTGCATCTAATGTATATAATAATAATATTTTGCAATCTGTAATAAAATTTAACCATTACATAACAGCAATACAATATTAACCCTAAAACCGTCCATCGGGCAAAACTAAATTTAAACCATTTTTTTTTCATCAAACATCACTAAACCCCGATTTTTTTTGTGTTGTCGGTCTCTGTTTCTACTCAAAAATATAAAATATGCATCTATTCACGCCACGGTTTTCGAAAAAATGGCCGGCAAAAAAAAAGATGGTCATTTCGTCTTTGGGGCACTCAGTGCCCGACGTATATTTTCATATATTTTGTTTGGGAAAATTGCTGAATTGTAAAAAATGTTTGTGCACATATATTACCTTGTTTGGTGTTCCGTGTGACATTCAAATAAGAATAATAATTTATTATAAACAAATGATGCCGAAAGTGTGTTTGGCATTGAATTGCTTCGACAACATTGCTTTTACATATTCACAACAAAATGTATCGTGTTCAATTCATTTTTTATTCATTTATATGTGAATTTCCATACTCAGATAAATTTAACAGAGAAAACTTAAAGGCATACAGTGTAAAATGCCATTTTGAAAATGAAACTGGTCGAATTCATAGGCACCTCAAAAATTTGTTCAGCCAATATTTTTTTTATTTTGTCAGCACAGAATACAAAACGTAGCTGCCGACCTGATGCGCACATTCATGTCTTTAGTTTACGACTAGACACAAGATTTCTCGAAATATCGAAAAAAATTCCACAAAAAAATCAATATTTTTAATTTTTTCAAACAAAATACACTTCGGGCACTGAGTGTCCCCAAAGACGGGATTAAGATGGATTGCAGAAGGACGGTTTTAGGGTTGAAATTCCTCACATCAAGAGGCTCAGAAATTTCAAATCTAATTTAAAAAAAACGACTTAAAAAAGAATGTCAAAAATACCAGTTTCTTAATTCAATTCATAACTTAAAAGAATATTTAATTTTAAAGCTTTTTTCTCAGCGAAACTACTAAACAAACGTTCAATGATTTTAATTATAGCTCTAAACATTTCCTTTGATTTTAACTGCATTTGAAAACGAATAATGTTTAGATTTTGGTACCGCACCACTTTCTTTTGATATCTACAGAAATCTGTAATCATCAGGACCAAAGGTTTCCTTTGCTGGGGAGAGCATATTTATGAAATGTGTACTTTTTCACTTGCTAAAAGTGATATGCCAACAAATAAACATCAATGATATATTAATAACATAAGTACATCGACTTATTGTTCAATGTCGAAAATATGTGTTTCTAAATAGAAAAGAAGAGACAAAGCATGTTTTTGTTTAACATTCAAAAAAGAAACTTGCAACTTAGTACATCACAAAAAATAAAATAAAATGGTTCTGCAAATCTGTGAAAATATTATTGATGAGTAGTAATGGCAAAAAAATATTCAACGATGAGATCGATATGTATTTATGTTAACTTACAAAAGATTTTGAAAAACGTGTAGCACGATTGCAAATAATTGGTAAAATTTACACCTAATACACAGAGAAGTGAGATTAAAACATTTAATTTGCTAAGAATGTAACGTAGTTCTGTTGAAGACTGCTTTTTTCATTCAAAAAAGAAAACTTCAGTAGTATTTCGTTACTGCATTTTGCTATCCATTAAACATATTAACTGTTTGAAATCATCAACCAACGATTTGTGAACAAAACAAAATATATGAACAATAAATAGTAATTAAAATAATAAAAAAAAAATTAGGCACACAATCAAGTATATAAGAATTTTGAATGAAATTTGAAAAACATCTCGTTCAGAATGATAGACGAACTTTAAACTAAACATATGATAAATAAATATAAATTGATGTTCAGAAACAGAGTATTGATACAGTCCAAAGTGAATATTCATAAAAGTATAGAAACTAGCCAAGCAGTAATTCAGTGTCAATGTTTGTAAAAAGCACTCACAATAAATCCATTGTCGAAATTCATCGAATGAAAAATATCAGTGATTATGGCTGGTTCTGAGGAAATCAGTTTAATACATGGTTAATTTACGCACATGGTCAACAGTGTGTTATTAAGAATGACATTATCTATTAATGTTCGTTCAGACAACGATCTCATGAAAAATCACATCGTAGTCATAGAACAACATTCAATTGTATACAAAATACAAAGTCACGATGAGGGGTTGCTTCTGTCATTGCATTTTAAAACTTCTTATTGTAACATATTCGATTTAAAAAGCCCGGAACAATTTTGATATTTTATTCAACCAATATTGAAAATATTACCTCTTACGATTTGAACGTCTTAATAATGACATTTACAACTGATATTAGTGTAAACATCAGCGGATGAATGAAATGGATTTAAATGTACACATCAATGTGAGAGACACTCAATATTTATGCATTATATTTTTACTTTTCAAATAAATTGAAATAGTTAAAACGATTATCACTCTCATACATACACAGAGGGAAAAATAAAAATCATCAAAATTATAGTATTTGGAATTCATGTTTATTTTGGGATTATGATGCATTCTTTCGTGTCTTCCTTACAAATGCATTTGAAATATAGTACATTTATCCCAAACATTTTAATTGAATTATAGTTCAAGTAAAAAATATCAGGATAACTAGCGTTCATTTCATTAGTTGACTGAATATGACTATCCGCTTAGATTGAAAATGGAAAATATCGATAATGCTCAGTACTTGTTTACAATTCAATACAAATTTCAAAACAATTTTTTTTTGAAAAGGCTGTCACAAATATGATTATGTAAATGAATTATTAACATTTCGATATCCCATTGCAATAAGAGAGCACTTCAATGAACTGAACAGTTGAAATATAGCAAAACACATCATTTAGATACACACACAGACACACATATGTAAATTTATATTGCGATTGATGTAAGCCATACTTGAAAATTGTTAGTTGAAAAGGGCAACTATATATACATTACACACAATATAAGGTTTGAATTCCATGGATGTAAGCTACGGTTTGTATTATACAAATACTCTAAAAATATGGACATAGTGATGATAGCTTAATTGTGCACATTTTTCTTAATTTGTTTTATTAATATTATTATTATTATCGCGAGCTGGCTGGTTACTCAATATAACAATCATTCCAGATGAATCATACGTCTTGTTTTATTAGTTAGGTTACATGAAGATGCTTTTATGCAATTTTATTCGTTCTCAAAATAATTTCATTTGCAAAATCAACCAAAAATCGAACAATTCAAAAAGATCCTACCAAAAAAAATCTGCTTATAAACTATTTATAGAATCTAAACAGTTAAACCAAGTGGATATAATCATACGATCATTTTCGAAAACTTGATTTCATTTGAAAGTCTCTGAAACTTTGCTTAGTAAATATTATAATTGCGGTGGCCCATATTGAAAAAACATTATAAAAAAATATACTCATTTCCACTCTATTCGAATAATATATACGTTTAAAATGAAGCAATAAAGAAAACCAGAACAATAAAAGAATCAAGCACAAAGCTTCTACTAAAACTCTACTTATTACATTATTTTAATTTCATCCAAGACCGTTTTGGATCGGAAAAGGGTATTTATGTAGAGTACCGGGCCTAAATTTTGCAAAACCAAAGATGAAAATAGACCGCTGTCCAAAGTGAACATTTTTGAATCATTTTTCTACTGCTCAAGAAACCGTTCTAATAAAGTTTCTGTTAAGAACCAATAAAACTAACAGAATTTTCGATAAAATGGCAAACCAGTCAAAACAGAATGAATATTGAAGTTTAATTATGTTTTCTGGATTCAGTTTGTTTCCATAACTCCAGGGCATCCATTTCATGCTATCAGATTGTAATTGCTCTCAGATTGTAATTTCCAATATTTCATATAGCTGATGACTCAGTCGAGCAAAATCTTCACAATCATCAAAAACAACACATCAATCTATATAATAACCACCTTTGGTTCCCAAATAATATTTAACAAAGGCGAGAATATTAACAAATAGGTGAATAGATATATTTTAAATGAATTGTATTTCACAAATTGTTAAAAACATAGTATGAGAGAAAGGTGAAAACAATAAAAGTTTTATTTAAAAATGTTTATAAAAAGATTATCGTAATATAATATAAATTATTATTAATTTGTTAAATTGTCTTAGATTGTTTATCTAAATCTGTGTAAAATATAAATTCAAGCGATTGAACACAAAAAATTTAAAGAAAGAAACTCAACTATGACTAACACAAAAACGTTTCTCTTTCTCAAATAAACACACTCATATATATACATATATCTCGATAATTGGTGCGTTCGTTAAATATTGCTATAAAAATGAGAGGAGATAAAAATCCAAAGTTAATATCTCTCGCAGTATGCAAAGGAATCTACGAGTAAAAGAACACAAATAAATGAATATAACAAATACATGTTAAATGTAAGTGTGAATCCTTTTCCTACTGCGCGAGTATTAATTCTTGGCTATTGCTATATTATATATGAATAAATATTCACTTTATATAAAAGGTGTTTCTCATACCTGAAAAATGTGACTAACATCAATTTAAATTTGAAACAATTCTTTGTTAATTGGTGGAATTAATACAACTCAATATGAATCGATGCTTTGTAGGAATTCTGTCAATTGACAAAGAATTTTTAGAACTTCAAAGTGAAAAAAAGTACAATGAGAAACATCCATATATACATATATTATATTCTGTAGAATAAATTTTTGAAAAATTCAAAACAGAACAAATAAAAAAATACTTATAGTGAACCATAAATTTATTAAAACCTATGTATTAGAAAAATAAATCAATAAGTGTATTTTTATTCATTTTTTATTGATTATAATTTGTAATGCAAATTCACCCATTACCAGGTACAAATTCACGGTCAAATTTGGACCCGGATTTGTGTGTAGTTTCAATCATTTTCACGGTTGTCATAGCATAACATTCAGGTGTGGATACATAGAAAAGAGGAACGACAATCATTAGTATCAATTGTATATGAAATATCTTTTTTTTAATTAAAAAATTACTCACCTACGGGCCCCTTCCCTCCGTACTACCGTTTTCTACTGTTCATATGAACGCACAACAAGGCCACAAATTTTGTCAAACTTCACTAACAACATACATTCACAAACAATGAAAATGAACTTAAAAAGAGTGCAAATCACAATACAAATCAGTCACTATGGCTGTATGAAAATCGAGTCAGATTATTTTCAAGGGGCATTAGAATTGCTTATTGGATCAAAATGAATCGAATTGATGAGTAGTTAGAACAGTTTGAAAAGTGGTTTTTCTTTAAATGACTGCACCGTACAGCGTTTCTTCGCCTGGTGGTTTATTTTAAGAAATAAATAAATTTTATATACAATTTTGAATTTCATTTAGTACTTGAGAATATGATTTAAATTTAAAATTATCATATAAGCCATTTATGTTATACATTTTTGGCAATTTCCCAATTATTCTCTATTTTGTTTTAAATAATTTTCAATTTTTAGCTTGATTGTATTAAGATTTACATTCAAATCAAGTCCTGTTTACTTTGAGACGCAACTTGTATAACTAATTTTATCCGAACATTTCATTTGGGCCATTGACCGTCCCCTCCCATCACCCCCAAGAGGGGTCCCCCTACAAAATTCACGAAAATTTCGAAAAATATCCCGAAATTGGGTCCATACCCCAAAATTATTTACATATTCGGATTCCTCGTGAAAAATTACTTATAGGCTTCATACATTGTCAATCTCTCTTGACCTCCAGGCACTAGTACGCCAAACATCCGACAAACTCCTGTGTAATTTGAAGCAAAAACATTAAACAATGAATAGACTCTATTTTCAATTGATTCATACCTTTGAGCATAATTCATTTTGCAGCAACAATATCGCGTGTGCCAAACAACTGTCTATAGTGCAGCATCATCATCCTGAACATTTAATGGCCAATTTTTGTAGGTAATTTTAACCTTTCCATGTCGAATTACGTGGTAATGGTGGACCGAAAGGGTATGACTTCAGATGATTCTTTTCTTCAATATGAATTTCTTTCTTTCGCCTCTTTTTCTCTTCGTTTTTGCTGAGTATCCCAGTGGAATTGCGTGTTTATTATCGTGATGTTTTCCTTCAAAATTCAAATTGATAAAAAATAATGAGTTTCGATTCAAAAACATTTCAAATTAGATTACAAAATATCTCACCTGGCATTTTTGGCGTCGCCATCCAATTGCGATTACATCATCCAATAAAATGTTGGCATTTCTACTATTTCCACATTACCATTTGTAAGGTTGGTGAATCGATATGCAAACTCTTTGACATTTCCCAACTTTTCGTTGCTCAGCCATTGGAACTGTTCATTACTGAAGTTTTCGACCATAAACCTAAACTCTGGCGGTCTTTGATAAATGGTATTATTATCGTAAACGTTTTTGGTCAATACCGCATTGAAGTATTCTTTGAAGAAGTTTCAACGATCCCATCACAAAAAGAACTGATGATTTTCATTATCGAGTGCTTCATTCACCTAAAATAAAATCAAAAGTGAGGCCAATGAGGCAATTTCCATCATTTGAAGACTCGCTCAAACAATATTTGAGTCACAACTGCTGCATGCTCTGGTCGAAGTATTGTTTGCAAGCCACATTTTATTTAAACGAAGTTATTTTCTCTTTCTTCTTCGTCATCGTTTAACAACGACTCGTTGTTATCCCTTTTTCTTTTCATTCTTCAAGAACTGATACAAATAAAAAATAAATAAAACAAAAATAAAAAAATTTACAAATTTGGAAAAAATGCATCAAATACAGCTTAGATCAAAAACACAATAAGATAAAAAGACTTTTATCAAAAATCAAATGAAACAGTAATGAAGAACCCATTAGAAACGTCACGTCTTACCTTAATAAATCGACTCTGTATTCTAATTCGAATGTTGTTGAAATTGCCGATTGTTGGAACATCCACAGTGAATTTTATCAACACTCTGTTATTCCGAAATTAAAACCAAGACACTCACAAAAGTAACTGTGAATATGACCATTCCACAGCGAACAGTGTTCTTCTGCAGAGTTTTAAATCAAACTACTCGAATCTCTTTCCGAATAATTTGTTTATTTTTTTACTTGAGCGTAAATGAACAAATGAATCGTTAGATTTTCAATTTAAAACTTAATGTATTGGTCAGTTATTTTGTAAAATTTATTTATAGAATATTTTCGAGAAACATAGATCAAATTATGCCTATTCAACGTAATAGCGTTTCTTCATCGCACGATATTTGCGCAAAGAATACAAAGCCTCTAACTCCTTAACAATAAATTTTCCATGTTCGATCATTGATTTAATTTTATTTGGATCGGTTTCTGTGCTATTTCGAAGAAATATATCATGGCACTTTTTCCGAAATTTTTCTGGCCCACCAGGATATTCTCGGCCCAAATATTGAAGCTGAAAGATGAATAAACAAGATAAGATTAAACATGTACATATTTCGATAATTTAATTTACTGTTTTATAAAGCTGTACAACTTGTGAACGAGTCATTTGAATGATGTGAATCCGGTACTACAATTTTATGCTTCGAATTTGGACTTTTATAAATTATCTTTATTATAAAACCCAATGATCTTTTATTATAATAAGGACAATGAAGAAACGTCACTCGTTATTGATTGGAGAAAGATTTTTGACATATTTATATAACAAAATTACACACAACTGCTTGTACTTAACAGACATTTACTTAAAATACTCAAAAAATGCACTATTTGAATATTTATTTATTAATATTTTAAATCATCCAAAGTGATTGTGTAATTTTGGCTCAATTTCTCAAAATTGGGAATATTATCTTTGATTAATTTTTCCACATTGATTTTGTTCATTTCGTCTTGAATTTTAGTTTTGGCAGGATTTTCCAAAGCATCCATTATTTGATAACGAAGTAAATTTGGCAATATATTGATTACAAATTCAATGACATAATCACTTAATCCGGCTCCATCACTGCGAACCTACAATAAACAAGTTGGACGATTTAATAAGAAATCTAGCATTTTATGTTAGATCAAATTTCCTTACTTGAATATTTCCCATTTCAAGTTGCAAATCTTTGATTTGGGGTTGATTTCTTGTGTCCAACATTTGGCTTAACACAATTTTTGCTTGTATATATTGTATGGAGAATTTTATGTGACCGGTTCGAGTGATAATTCCTTTACTTACAGTAACTTCCCAGTCAGTTGACCCGATAATTTCTTGAGTTCCGAGATTCAATTCTTAAAAAAGTAAAAAAAAGTTAAACTATGCTGGATAAATAGCGGCTAAGTGAATGCGCGTTTGCGGTATGTATTTATTATGGTGCTGTTTATTTATTGTTGATGTACCAGTGGGGAGGGACAGTGCAAAGGGGAGGGACAGTGATTGACTGGGACTTGGACCAGTAATGTGCAAAGGGGAGGGGAGAGGGGGGTTTACCCCCTTTTTTTGACTTCAAAATTCTTCCGCACTGGAAAATTTTGCTCGCACATTGCTGACTAAGACACATCCACTTATCCGATAGTCTATTAAGTTCTATTTATTGATTATCATACCAATTGTAACAACATTATTGTCCAAACTGAGTCCAAAATCACCAACACGATAAAATCCACTAACACCGCTCATCCATGAATTTTTTAATTGAATTGAAAATAAACCAACTGAATGGTTATAATCCTTGATAATAAATGGGTCGAAGTTCATTTCACGAACTTTTCTTCGTGCTTCTCCTATCGCCATATCCAAAGGTGAAATAGAATTCGGAAGTTTATAATCCGTCATTAACTCGTTAACTTTTGAATCAATTTCAGTGCGCAATTTTGTATATGCTTCGTTCAGCATAAAGGGTTTCATCGTGTCGAACACGAGACTGGGTGCCGTGTTAATAAGTGATTGAAAAATGCTTCCCATGAATCCTAAACGAAACAAAATAATGAAGAAATATGTGAAATATATTATTCAATTAGACATCTCTTGAGACATCTTGTTCCAGATTCAAAACTTTAGAATAAAATTTACCCAAATTTTTAAAGTCTGTCGTTAACCCAGCGAAATTCATATCCATAACGATATCTTGGGTCCGTATTTTTCCATCACGCTCAACGGCGACAGACGCATTCGATTTGGCTGTTACATTGGTTAGGGTTACGTTGAATGGTCCACTTGTTGATGAAAATAGCGACGACAATGTATAGTTACCTATTATATACATTACATCTAGTTGTATTTCAGCTTTTACCTAAGGATGATCAGAAGAAAAGAAAGAAAATGGAAATGAGTCAATAGTTATTGGAACAAAATGGTAAAAGAATCGAAGCCTTCGATTCGAAGGAATGGATCAAGAATTGTAGAGTAATGGAATGTAAGAATTTGCATATAAATATTTTTACCATTAATCGATTGACATCAATACCCATTTTTCTTATACGGAACTTTGATAATCCATGTGCAAGTGTATCCTTCATTATGAGTGTTCCCATGCCAAGCGATTGCTTGCTATATGGAACCTAATAATAATTAATATTTAGTACAATATAAACTTTATTCTATGTCTTTAGTAATTACTGAAAATGGATCCGGTACAGGTGCCCCTACAAAAGTTTCAAACGTAAATAAATTAAATCACAAGCGCTTCAAGTGGAATCTACATACCTGGTATGCCACATGGATCATTTTGTTTGTAATGTTCCAATAAAGCTATGATTTGTGCGGATAATTGGCTTTCTGCAACTTTTCTATTATGTGGATTAGTTACGAATTTTCCTAGACAACAAATATTTTAATTGAATAATTGAAAAAAAAAAGAATTTCAACGTATACCTATGCAAGTCGAATTGCATTCACAATTTATTACGGCTACCAAACTAAGGAGCAATATCGTTGGCGTTATCCATTTGATCGTCATTATATCTGAATGATATAAAAATGGAAACACATAGAACATGAAATGAAATATTTAATAATTTTTTATAAAAACTATACAAACCTCTAACTTTTCTTTAGTTTTGCGTGTACAAAAACTCAAAGGTCAATCCTTATCACACAGCTTGCTTCCGACCTATTGGAATTTATGCGTCATTTATAATTTGAAATGTTTAATATGATTTATTTTCACTTGATAATAACAAAAAATCACAATATTAAATTTGTACAGTTATATTAGTTTGACTTAAATAAATTGATTGAACTTGGTGTGACACCAATAACTACTGAATATTTCTAAATAAAAAAGTTGTATTTTTTAACAATATACACAATAGCATGTAGATGTAAAGTTTTTTCTTCATCCAACAGCATTTAACAACTGATAAGGGTCTCTCGATTTACACTGTGGCAATATTAAGCAGAAAGTAAGTTACTTTGAACGAAAAATCATTTTCGATTGTTAAAAATTTGTACATAGTTAATTCAAAAAGAATCGGGAAATATTTTTATATTAAAAAAAGATACAAAAAACCATAAATTTCTTGAAATTTTTGAAAGCAAATATGAGTATATCAGCGCCCTCTTCATTATTTTTGATAACTTATTTTCATATACAAATGTCAAACAATGGATTCTATGACATTGCTTTCGCTTACAGCTGGAAAAAAAAAACATGAGTAAGCATTCCAGTTTTCAGAGTCATCGTTTGATTTGAGTAATTTCAATTAGCAGAAAGGAAATTAGTTATTTTCTCATAATCGATAAAAATAAATATTTATGTAAAAAAAAAAAACGTGAGCTTGAGATAAAATTTTGTGTTATCATCATGGAGTTTCCACATTTAGGAAGACATTGCTCGGAAAAATCTTGCAACAAATTGGGTATGTTATTGTAATTCAATGATTAAAACCAAATGGATTTATAAATACAATTTTAAAATAAAAAAAAAACCACGACGGAAACAAACATACATGTAATAACTACTTTATACGTGAAAAAACATACAGAACATGAAAATAAATTATGAACATGTTATTGATTTTCACTCACCTAATTGTCTCAGTTTGAAAGGACAAATATAATATATTTATGATACTAATTGAAAACAGTCGTTGCTTATAGTAAAATTTAATGGCCAAGAAACTCAAGACATATTTAAATGATAAAGTGTCAATATTTTTGTTCCCTCAGATTTCCTTCCAATGAGTTGTGATGCATGCTTATTGATATTTTGGTAAGTATACATACATAATCAATTCCATACACAATATGTCAATGTATGGTAATAACCTTTAAGATTTCAAGGCCAAAATTATATTGTATACAAACACTAAATAGAAAAATTTAATTTCAATATTGCAGTTCGGACCACTTCAGCTATCAAAAACATAAATGTACATCAGCTCACAAAAAAGACGTTCAAGTGCCAGTGTGTCCATTATGCTCACTTCCAGTTCCTACACCACGAGGAATTCTTCCCGATATCTCAATTTCACAGCACATTGACCAGTATTGCAAATCAGACAAGACAAAAATTTTCAACAATAAATGCTCTTTCAGAGGTTGTAAGAAAAAAGAATTGATACCCGTTCAATGTGGTCAATGCAAATTGAATTTTTGCCTACGACATCGTCACACAACGGACCATGAATGCAATCCGAAATCGGCAAGATCAAATTTGCTAGCGTAAGTTTGTATACTAATTATCATGAGATCAAAACCATGTTGATGACCATTTTGAATATTTTCATTACATATACAGGAATGCTGCCATGAATCGTCAAAGTGCAAATCAATCAAACCATTTGCAATCGGTACAGGGTGGAATGACTGAAGATGAAGCTCTTGCACACGCGTTGGCACGTAGTATACAAGAATTGGATGAATCACACGATCGAAACAGACGCAATCAACAACAGACAGTGCCTTGCGGAGTTAGTAATGCCAATGCAAACAAGGATAAATGTTTACTCTCTTAGATGCGTTCAAAAAAAAGATTAGTTACATGAGTCAATCAATTTATATATTTATTTCATGAAGTAATATCAAAACTATTAGATTATTAGACTTGCAAAATCAATACTATGATGAAAAGTGACGCAATCTATAAAAGATTTTTTTCGGCAGAAATTTAAATTCAGTTAATACTAAGATAATTTTATTATAATCAATTTTCATTTGTTTTTTTTTTTTTTGTTTTTTAGAAAATAAAAGTGTTAAGAAATTATACATAGCATGCACATAACAGCGCAAAATAGTTCTATATTCCTAGAATAGAACGTTTATAGTGTTGAAAAATGCTTTTATATAAATTTTGTGAAAAATAAAAATAAAAAATTAAGTCTCCTATAAATGCGTCGACTAGCTTAAAATGTAGGGAAATGCTATGATTTCGTTTTTTATCTATTTTTAAATGAACTACACAAGTTTATATATTTCTGTAATGAATCATGCTTCCGCAAAATTATAATTTTAATAAACTAGATCTTAGAACTTGTTTAAAAGCAACAACAAAAAGTTTCATTTCTTTAACAGGAAGAATGGATGTAATGATTATATTTGTTTTGTTGGGTGCAGTGACAGTGCTGTGAACGGACCCCAATTGAGTCATAATAAAAAGAGATAGATACAGATATACAAATTATAACACCATAAAAGAAAAAAAATCTAAGTAAATTTTATTAAATTAATAAATAATTTCCATTCCTGAAAATTCAAATAAAATGCTTACACGTATTTAAATTTAAATCGATAAAAATGCAACTCAATTCGTTCAATAAAAAAAAAACAAGAATGAGACACTAACCTCTGTATGTGTATGTGTGCGATGATGACGCTACACCAGATTCTCTCTTTTTTATTATGCTTAGCAAGCTACACCGGTCATCAAGCAAAGTAGTGAATGGTTGACAACTTAAAAGTTAATACATAGTTACTTTGCGTACATTTTTATTTTGTTATTTGTTCGCGTCTTAATTTTGTTTAACGTCCAAAATTTATTTATTTCCCAAATAATTCATTACATTTATGTTATACATAAAAATATAATACTGGTTGATTTTTTATTACGATTTGGTTGATATGTTTAGTTCTTTCTATTGTACACAAGTTGAGTGTAAACTGTATACAAATTTGGTGTGTTACTTAGAAGTTACTTCAAAAAGTAAGTAAAAGTGTTGATGTGTGTTTGCTGTTTAAGTGTTATTGATTGAATTCATCGGACGGTCACTTACCCAAATTAATTTTAATTTTATAAACATTAAAATAATCCATTGTTGGAAAAAATGAACAATTCTAATAACTCCTTCATGTAGAAATTCATACGTTAAAATGTACAAGATTATTCTAGATTCCTATTTCTTTAATATGGAATTCTGCCTCAAAAAATTATATATATATAATAATATATATTGTCAAAAACTTTATGCATATATAAAACTGTATATAAATATATACATATTATTCAATCAACATTGAATTGGATTTCATCATTAGGTGTATAAGTCACACCGTTTGTGTGTTTATATAGTGGTAACTATGTGTAAAATGCTTAAAATGAATATGCAAATGTGTGAGTAATTTCGGCTCTTTTTTCGCTCATTCATACAATCTATATTGAACAGACGCTCATTTCACTCATTGTTTTTTGAACTCTTAATAAATGTTGTCCGTTCATTTTTTTATATCTATTGTAATTCTTCTGTACATTTTTATTTCCATTATATTACATATAATGCAAAAGAACTATAACAACATTAAAAAACTGTACATTTTTAAAGTTTTGCTTGAATTGTAATAGAGCAATAGCTGTTTTGTTTATTCCAAACTAATGGGTGCGGTTATTTGTAAAACAAGAAAATTGAACTGAATTGAATGAATCAACGGACATAAAATTATAATTAAAAATTATTCCAAAGATTGAATTTGAAATCGCAGTCTTGGCAGTTATTGTTTTTTTGTTTTTCGAATCAATTTTAAATGATCTATCTATTCTTATAATTATCTTATAATTCAAAGATACTTTTACTCTAGTAGTATTGAATTTATCCAAAATTGTGTGTCGTGCATTTATATTCTTATTATTAAATGAGTATTTCATTAACTACCCGCGAAATATTGAGCAAAGTTCATATAAAAGATACATAGCAAAAACTTGTTTGACGACATTCTGTAGGTCAAAGTGGAATAATTTCAAGTCTAAAAATTATAATTCATAATTGATAAAAGTTCAAATAAAGTTTCAAAAAATGAACTTTCCCAAAACAAAATTTAAGTTATATCAAAAATATTCTTCAAAATATGAAATGGTACAATAAAATATGTAATGATTTTTTTCAAAGTTTCCAATTAGTTGAATCGACAAAAGGGAAGCAAAGATGTGGAAGTTCATCCGCGGAAAAGGTCAACAACCCTTAGCTGAACGACAGAAATTACAGAAGGAACTTTTTGCTTACAAAAAGGTAATTAGATATTTTTCTTTGTTTTTGGAATGTGATGGTAAAATAAATTGATTTAACATGTCATATTGAGATGGAAACTGAATTGCTGATGGAAAATGAATATGTAAGTGAATAAGATTGTGGGAGACAGTCTTGAATCAATTTGCTGCAGAGCCATATATTTCCAACCATTGAAGTTTATACATGAAAGTATTTGCCTTCAATTTTTTTTTTGCGAAACAATCGCCCCTTTCAAATTATGTTTAAATAGTTCGCAATCTTTTGTTTGTAATCAAATTTTATATTTGCGATTTTAATACAATCGAAGAGCATAAATAAAAAAAATACATAGATTGGTAATCTTATACGCAATACCTCACTCGTATTCAACTGTACAAAATAGATTTTATCATTTTCAAACAGTTCTTTCGACATCTTAATAAAAAAATAACCATGTTCATGAGTAAGGAACATAAATGTCCGATAAGATATGAATATAGCCTCTACCGATCTTATCATCACGGCTTATTTACTCAAAAAAAAAAGTTTTGAGATACTGTTGCTCAATTCGTAATATTTCTTCATTTAGATAAAAGTAAATTGTCAACGCGAATACTACGCAATATGTATTGATAATCTGATCATAAGAGAATCATCCAAAATAAATTGCCTTTCGTACATGTATATTCAAATTATCAACGTAAACAATGGGCGTGGTTTTTTGTTTACAAAATATTTATTCATTACAATTAGGTTGATATAAGGCTGATAAAGATAACAAAAGCTATATTAAACACAAAAAAATATTCTTACCTGAGAACTTTGAAGTAAAACATAAAATACTTTTCATACTCTTGATAGAATGTCACAAATATTTAATGAAGAAATATTCAAATCTTTTTATAGACAGTACAACATGGATTTCCACACAAACCATCTGCAATGGCCTACGATCCTTTGCGAAAACTATTCGCAATCGGAACACATTCGGGGGCAATAAAAGTCTTTGGACGTCCTGGTGTAGAGTTTTATGGGCAACATTTAACACAGTCAAACACTTCAGCTGACTGTATTATACAATTACTAGAATGGATTCCAGATACAGGTCGTATTTTGTCCCTGACAACATCAAATCAATTGATCCTATGGGAACCAGCTGGAGCGATGTTGGTCCCAATCAAAAGCCTATCGTTCGACACCAAGAAAAAGATATCATCATTATGCTGCTCTCTCGAAAAAGACTTGATATGGATTGGGACCGAACAGGGAAACATTTATTTTTTGAATTTAAAGACTTTTCTAATCAAAGAACCAATCATTTTTCTGGACAACGTTCTAGATAAGTAAGTTGGCTTTATTTTTTTAATATATAAATATATTTTTTTCTAATTTTTCACTTTTGTCTTCAAAATAGAGTTCCAGAGTACACATTCAGCTCAGCACATAATGCAGTTGAATCAATTAAACAGCTCTCAAACAATCACAATCAAATCCTCATTGCCTATAATCGAAAACTTTGCGTGCTTTGGGATTTGGAAGAAAACACAGTTGTTCGTTCTTTTATAGCATCGGGGCATATTGTTGGGCTATATGTTAATGCGGATAGCCAGGATTTTACTTGCTATCACGAGGATGGTTCATATGCAACTTGGTCAATTGATGATCCAAGCGCACCAAAGGACCATGCATTCGTACCATACGGACCTGATCCATGCAAATTGATCAATAAATTGGTCAAAGGGAAACGCAATGAAAATGATATTGTTATATTTTCGGGTGGAATGCCTCGATCTTTATACGGTGATCGACAATGTGTCTCTATTCATTGCGCAGATGATTCAAAGATTTGCTTGGATTTTACATCAAAAGTTATCGACTTTTTCGTATCATTTGATGACGAATGCACAAGTCAAGTCCAAGCATTAGTTGTACTTCTGGAAGAGGAGCTATGTGCCTATGATCTAACTGATCCAACATTGAAACCAATTAAGTTACCATATTTGCACTCAGTGCACACATCAGCTGTAACTTGCAATCATTTAGTATCTCAAGTGAGTGGACAAATATATCAAAAAATAGCTGAAGCGGGAAAGAGAAATGAAATCGAATACAGTGAATTAGAATGGCCAGTTACTGGTGGAACTTTATTTGAAAAAGGCGAAGATTTGGCTACAAAAGAATACGAAATATTATTAACCGGTCACGAAGATGGTTCGGTAAAATTTTGGGATTGTACTGGTGTTGTTCTTGTGCCGTTACTACATTTCAAAACAGCAACTCTCTTTGGAAATGACGATGATGACTTCGAAGATCTTCATGATAATCAAGAAAAACTAGATGACTCCGAACCACCATTCCGCAAATCTGGATTATTCGATCCATATTCTGATGATCCTCGACTAGCTGTCAAAAGGATAGCATTTTGTCAGAAATCTGGACAACTCATAGTTGCCGGAACAGCAGGAAATATTGTAAGAATTATAATAAAAACTAATTACAAAAAATAATTTCAAAAAAAATATTTTTCATTTATAAATTAGGTTTGCGCTAATTTAAACTGTAAAACTCAAGAAGGCCCGTTGAGAGTTACAACAATGAATTTGGTTAGCGACCGTGATGGTTTCATTTGGAAAGGACATGATCAACTGAAAATAAAACCACATTTGCTTAATGAGCCAATAACACCAATTGAAGATGGTCTTCAAGTTACTGGAATCTTACAAGTTCTACCACCCGCTGCCATAACTTGTGTGGCTCTACAGTCGAATTGGAATTTAGTTGCTGCCGGAACCGGACATGGATTAGGTATGTAAATAGCTCTTTAATTTAAAGCATTACAAATATCAGTGAAGCAATTTTATCTGTTATTTAGCATACGTACGCATTAAGCAATTAGAATTTTTAAAAAAACCATTGTTAATACAATATATTTTCTTCGTGATTTGTATATTTTTTCATGGATTAGTTTTGTTCGATTACTTCAACCATTTTCCCGTCTTACACCGATGTACTTTGAATCCAAACGATTTAACTGGAGCTGGAGAAGCACTTTCGCGCAGAAAATCATTTAAAAAAACTCTACGTGAATCATTCCGTCGATTACGAAAAGGAAGATCAACCAGAAACAATCCAGGTGCAACACAAACACCAATCGCTGAAACACGTCCAATCGAACGTCAAATTGAAGCACGACCGGTAGATGATGCAATGAATTCATTGGTTCGGTGTCTGACATTTTCTCAAACTTTTATCGCAAACAGTAAGTAAATATGATTTCAATAGTTTATTCATATTTTCATTAACATTTTGCTTTTAATTATTTTAGTCCATACAACCACTCCCACACTATGGTCAGCAACAAACTCAAGCTGTGTGTCAGTATTCGTTCTTAACATTCCACCCAAATCTGTAAATGACATACCATCCGAACAACGAAAAATGATAACAGCCCAATTGGCCAAATCGATTCAGCTTAAACATCGTGCACCGGTCGTTAACATATCAATTTTTGATAATTCTGGCGTTCCACTTGAACTTTCACATGGCCCTGGTACTGCCCCGCATCGTGTGCTTATAGCATCGGTAAGTTGCTTATCGCGTCCATTTATAATATCTACTCATTAATATTCATTGTTTGTTTCATTCTCTAATCTAGGAAGAACAATTCAAGGTATTTTCATTACCGCAACTTAAACCGGTGACCAAATATAAATTAACAGCACACGAAGGTGCACGTGTTCGCAAAATGGCATTTGCCACATTTTCATGCATTGTACCACCAAATTTGATTCACTCACACAGTCCCACGAAAACTCCTTCCAAAGGAGATTCTACGAATGATCATAATATAATCAGTGATAATACACATAACACTTCAATCGATGCAAATGTAGCAATGCACACAGAAGTTGGTCTACTATGCTTGACAAATCTTGGCGATTGTTTAGTATTATCCATTCCGGAATTGAAGCGACAAATTAATGCAGCAGCTGTACGTCGAGAGGATATAAGGTATTTTTTGACGTTTTGTTTAAAAATAGTAATAAATTTCTTCATTCGTTTCAAAATATTATTCAATTTAAATTCATTTAAATTCATTAAATCATCATTAAATTAATAATAATTTGATGAATTTGAATTGAAAAATTGTAATTTTATTTAATAAATATAGTGGGATTACATCGCTGTGCTTCACTAACTACGGAGAAGCCCTCTATATGATGTCTTCTTCAGAATTACAACGTATTTCATTATCAGCTACGAAAAGCGTTCGTGCGGAAGGTGTTATTGAAGTTGAGCCACACGATTCTATATTGAATGAAGACGAAGACGATGACGATGACGAAGATGATGACAGAAAGTCAGAAACAAAATCAATATCAACGATTGGAACAAAAGATGAACAAACAAAACTGGGAGAATATCTAACAAATGGTGTAGATGTTTCACCCGCAAATGTAACCATCACCAGTTCAATTGGTGATATTACTGTTGATTCAGTTCGAGATCATTTGAATTCTACTGTGACAACACTTCATGCAACAACAACTGAAGAAATTGTGGGTATGTTGATATGATATAATCCTTTTATCTCAGTTTGTGCAATTTTTAAGAGAAAAGTCGACTTTTGCATCAAAAATATTACATACAAACGCATTTGACCCTCCAAATATTGAATTATATAAATATAAAATAATAAGACAACGTTTATTTAAAAAAGTCAATAACCTACTGCTTTGAGAAAACAATAAAAAAAATATTGGGTCTAAATGCCATTTACGACTGAGCTTAGTCTAATAAATAAACTCGAAAAAAGTTTTTGGAAAATAAATTCAAAACAATACGATTTAAGTATTTGAAATTGAAAAATTGATAAGTATGGTCTATTTTTGAGATTGTGGGGTTAATTTACTATTATACATGTTTTTTCATGTGTTTTGACAAAATTCTTATAATAATTTTGAGTAAGGTATTAGCTTGTTTCACGTCGTCATATTTTTATAAAATTCTATTTCTGGGTCCCAAATGTATTTATATGTAAAATTACCGTTATTTGTCGACTTTTCTTTTTAAAAATGGTTATGATTTTAAACTTTCTGATGGGAGTGTAAACTATTTTAATGTTTAATCGTTCAATTCTGAAGGTCGTTTGTCCGTTTTAAGCACTCAAGCAAACAACACACTTTCGTCAATTCAAATGAAGGATGTGCCAGACATAAATATATCGAATTTAAAAGATTTAGCTCCGATTGGGTAAATTAAACGATTTTAACTATTTAAAAATAAGAAACATGGGTAACTTTGCATTGATATTTTTTAGTGAAACAACCGAAACTAGCTCAAACACAATTGTCATTAAATCCATTATTACTACGATTTCAAATGGACAAGAAAATGGAGAAACTGAAAAAATAACTACTACAACAACAACACGAAAGGAATCACAATTGTGAGCCAGAGTTGTAACACATGTGTTACAAGATGCATCTTCACATGGTGGTATAATTATAATTAGTGTCGTATTTAATGAACGAGACTACAAAACTCTAAATCGAATATTATATTTTTTTATTGGTAATGTGAAAATGTCTATGAACAAACAAATGAATCGTATAATGTGCACAAAATACTTAAATGGCCTTGAAAACTAACAATCACGAAACTGATTTGAATAAAAGGAATGGAAGTTCAATTCAAATTAGAAACTATTTCTTAATGCAATTTTAGTTTTAAATAAATACATTTTAAGAGCCACTAGAAACATATACAACACCACATACACCATATCAAATTAGCATTCACTAATTTAGAAAATATTTTTTTTTATTTTTGCATACACATAAAAGATAATATTAATATGCAATTTTATTCACATATTATTTCATTTCCAAAACATATTTCAAATAAAAAATAGATTTGGATGAATAATGACAAAAATATCAATTCATATTACATATTATTGTTTGTACTTTTTTTATTAAAAATTTCAATTAAAATATATTAAATTCGTTGAATAAAGCAATTAAGTTGTTTCAGTTTGAGATATATATTTATGCAAAAAATTTGAACAGCCCTGCATATGACAGCAAAGTGCATTTGACATATACGGTGGATGCATTTCTATTTAGCATCAGGTATACTTCAGTGTTTATTATATGTAATTTATACGCCGATCGATTAAATTTATTAATAAGAATTTGAAATCTTTTGAACTTTGGATTACCATTTTTTTGGTGTGAAGCAGAATAGGAATGAAAATAGGTAAAAGCTTCAAAATATTTTTAATTTTGTTCAAATAAAATATTTGCAAAATGATATTTGCAAACGTAATAAAAATAATGTGATTTACAAAACACAGCACTGGTGTAACGTGATAGAATATCGATTAAATTAGAAAAGATTTAAACACTATTGCAAACTTTCTCCAGATGTGATAAACAATATTTTATAAGCTTATCGTCGAAATTCCCAGACAAGAAATGTATTTTATCTTTGCAGAAATCGTATCGAATATCAATCTTTCTACTTCTTCAGAACGTTAAAAAAATGTATAATTATATTACGAAGCGTTTAATGCATTTGTTTGTTAGAATTCGTCCAATTTCCGGCCGATCATTGTTATTTATGTTGATACTGGGATTATTTGGATTCATAATCATATATACATTTTTTATATCAGACACAAGCAAAGCAAAACAATGTTTTAAATTGAAATCGACATCTGTCGGTGCTGATATTTCTTCGATTAATTTCTTTGAAGTAAGTCAGAAAATCGCATATTTCAAATAATTTTATGATATTATCAACCAATCCTCATTAAATATATATATATATATATTTTAATTTGAGGACGTGATGAAATCAGGCAAGCATCCAACACTGGGAAAAACCATATTTTTTCATGAAACATCATGTTCAACTAATAACTTGGTGCATTTAAACGCAAGGTAAAAATCACTGGAAGCTTATACTTTAACATGCTAAAATAAAAAGCTGAAACATTTATCAAAGGCAAGCGTGTGCAATTGAATCGGCTGCATTACTAAATCCAAACTGGGATGTATTTGTGATGTTTGCATCGCCCGTAGGTTGTAAATATATTGTTATCATCTGTTTTTCTTTTGATTGTAATTTTATTTCCGGTTCCCATAGGTGTTTTAAATGAAACAACTGCAAGGCCCCCAATTATATCCGCTTTAGAATCATATGCGAACATAAATTTTCGCAACATAAATTTATGGACTTACGCAGCGAACACACCGTTGGAACATTGGTTTTTAAGTGACAAATTATTTTTTTCTGAATATTTAAACTCGCATGTCTCCGATTTTCTAAGGTATGTTTCATTATATAAATTCGGAGGCTTATATCTCGATCTCGACGTAATTGTTCAAAAAACAATTGAAAACATGAACGCAAATTATGCGGGCGCTGAATCTGAGAATTTTGTTGCGGCTGGCGTGATTAACTTTGAGGTATTATATAAAAAATAATTTATATTTTATTTTTCTTAATTCTGATCAATTAGAGGTATTATAATGAATTTTTATAAGATACTTTATAAAATGGCATTTCTTTACTTTTAGCATGATGGAATAGGACATGAAATCGCTGATATGTGTGTGAGGTATTCAATATATATACTATTTAATAAATAGTATTTATTATATAAATGATTGTCAACAGGATTTTTGAATATCATTTTGTTTTACTCATTGAAAAAAAAACTTGGAAAAAATATATTCAATTACACATTTACTCAAGTATACCTATATTCAACCCCGTAGCATCCATTCAAACATATAAGCTCCCTAGAAATTTTACACAACATCTTTGAAAAGCTTGCATTATATATTTATCTTTTTTTTTTTTTTTTTTATAGAGAATTTTATGAAAATTTTCGCTACAATGATTGGGGGTAATTAAAAAAGTTTTTTAAAAATCTAATTTTAATTAACTAATAATTAATGAATTAATTTAAAAAAAAGATTTAATGGCCCTGGAGTAATTACCAGAACGCTTAAGAAAATTTGCCACGTTGATGAACCACTTAAAATGAGCCCTCAAAAATGTCTAGGATTTAAAGTCTACGCCCCTAATACTTTCTATGCTGTAAGTGGGAATAGATAAATACTTCCTAGTAATATACTACTATTTTGTAGCATTTAAGCAAAATATGCCACTCAATGTTGGCCTGGTAATTTTGTTTTGTAGGTACCTTGGCCAAAATGGGATTTATTTTTCGACGTTGATAAATTGAACCAAACCATTGAAATGACAAAAAATTCAATTGCGATTCATGTGTGGAACAAGCACTCAAGCAAACGAAGGCTCAAAGTTGGCACAAAGGCTGCATACGGCTTAATAGCAGGTACGATTAAGGGTCTCCATTATTCTGTTTTTCATTTATCGAATAAGTCGTTTTTCTGATGAATGTCGGAACATTTCCCGAACATACGTATTTAAAAGTATACTTTTTCCCAAACGCACGTTTTCCCGAAAATCGGAATTCTTATTCTATAGAAATTAATAATAATATTCTTAAATTCTTATATTCTGATTCAGAGTTCTATTGTTTATTCGCAGAGAAAAATTGCCCAAAGGTGTACGTGTCGTCGGGGGAATATTTTTAAATCAATAAAATCTATGTGATCTGTATTATTATTAACATGAATGTCAGATTGATGCATTGTTTAATGCCAAAAATATCACCATATCAAAACGATTTTTTTCATAAATATTATACAATAAAAAGTATTGGACTGTATGAATGTTACTATTTACTAAGTGAAAACACAAAAGCACAGATATGAAACTATTCGATTTTATTACAAATTAGATGGGATAATGTCAAGTAAAATTAAATCGGACAATGAAATACAAAGGTTATTCATTTTTCTTTTTTATGTCTTGAGTCTTATTCTGTTTTTAATTCAAATACAAATGTGATGGAATTTACTTGTAATTTCAGCTGTTTCTGCTATTGGCCATCGTTTTCTCATAAGTCAATTTCAACATCGCTTTGATTATCAGACGACTCTTCATCGGAAAATGAATGCTTTATCAAATCTTCACCAATCAGAGAATATGAATCAGAAGGCAGCGTGTGTAAGGCCAAGTCTGTTGTCGGCGCTGAATTATTCAGAATAGAAGGTTCATCCTGCATTATAATAGTTGGCAAAGTTGTACTAATATCGGGCATATGTGTAGTAGTATAAACATTTACAACTGAAATTGTGAAAATTACATTTATTGAAAAGATTCATCAAAAGAAAAGACAATTTTTCGTAATAGTTACCCTGAATGTTATCATCTAGATCATTGGAAATATACTCGATGGTTTCATTTGTTCGAGAAAGTTGTGGATTTACGGTCGCTGACATTATTTGACGACTACTTCCGGGAATAACATTTGGAATTGACAATATTTCTTGCTTTATTTTGGGTACTGTTGGTGTACATGCAGTACTTATCGGAACATCTATGTGGCTCTTCTCGAAAGGTTGATTCTTCATTTGTACTAAACAGGTTAGTTGCGGAAGTTGTGGTCTCACCTGCGTAAATAAAAATTATATTAAATAAAATAAATATAAATAAATGTAAGTTTTTGTAATGCAATGTACCTTGAGTCCATCGATACGATGAGGATTTCTGCAGCCGCGACACTTACAATCAATGCAGCTTTTAGATTCTACATAGCACGGACATCGTTGGCCACAGCAAGTCAATTTGCCTAGATTGATTATTTATTTTTACATTAACTGTCATTATTAATAAGATAAATGTTCATTTCAAACCTGGGTTCACTGTTGCATTTCCACAACGACATCCTTTACGTTTTTGGAGTGTTTTATTTGTTTTCAAGGTAATTGCTGGTCTTTTAAAATGAGGTTGCGCTTGAATTATTTGTTGCATTGGTTTAACTTGCTTTTGAGTCTGAAGCTGTTGGATTTGTGAATGCTGTGTGATTTTAGTTGGATTTCTACTCAACATGTTTAACACATCTTTCGTACTTATTGTGTTTCGTGCGGTTGTAAATATATTGTTATCATCTGTTTTTCTTTTGATTGTAATTTTATTTCCGGTTCCCGTATATAGAACTGAGTAAAGTGCAGTTCCATTCGACATTGTTTTAATGGGTGTAGTTTTTGCAAGACTGGTATTAACCATCATGGCAACGCCATCATTTGTTTTAGACGATGATGATGCCATTGTTAAAGATGAGGATGCAGACGTTGAACAATTCAATTGGTTTGATGTTGTAGTATGAATAAAAGGAGCATTGACCGCTGTTGATGAATGAAACGTTGTTTTGTTGGTTAGTGCATTGGTGGTAATGCCAACGCTGCAGCTACTGCTCCCGCCACTATTATGACTAGATGACACTGACGAAGTTGTGGTGAAAATACATGGCAATATCGAAATCTTTGCTTTGGCCAAACCCGAATTACCTAGAGTTGATCACATAGAAAAGAATGGCAAAATGGAAATTAATCAATAAGTAATGGAACATAATTGAAAATTAAATGAATGAGTAATGGATAGAAAACCGAATTACTTTTATAATCATCGTGAAACTGCGCGCCCTCATCAATCAATTCAGCCAAATTTTGAGCTTCATTATTTCCATTGGAGAAGGCATCAACATGAACATAATTATGCATAGAATTGTACACACTGGGTGTTGCCAGAATATAATTACATAGTTGATTGTAGCACTGAAGCAAAATACGTAATTGAGTATTGGCTTGATAATTATGATAGTTTTTACATGTTAAACATGTAGGTTTCAGGTTTTTTCTTCCCCCTATACATCTCTTACACACATGATGCTGGCAAATGGAATTTTCTGCTGTATATGGTTCAATTAGTAAATTTGCACATACCGTGCAAGATAATGATTGGCGCAAATATGGTATCAACCGATACAAATCGGAGTAGTTCGGATTATCTGTATCCGACTGATTAAACAGCAATCGAGATGCCGAAACATAAAGACTAATCGCATTCATTTGAATAGTACAACTTTTAATGTATTTTAAGTAAATCACCAACAATAGAGAAGAGACAAAGACTTTAACTACTTTGTTATCACACAGTGAATTTTATTTGAATTCACAAGAGAAAAAAAACATTTAACCAAGTTGTAAATAAATCAACAATGAATTTGAGGTAGCTAGCTTGTCCAAATGACAGTTCAATAGGTTTTTTTATCCCTTCCGATAAACAGTCTGTTTTGCGTGACGCCATCTATTGAGCAAAATTGGGTTTATAACTGATTTTCAAAAAGAAAATTATATGTTAATTTGTATCTTAATGATCACAACATTTTATTGAATCTTAATATAGGAACTAATCTAAGTTTTGTAGTATTGTTAACCCTGGTTATGATTAAAATAAAAACCAGTTCATTTCATTCTCTACTGCAAAAGAATGAAGTCTTTTTTTGATGATAATATTGTGTATTATATATGTGTGTGTGAACATTAGAAAAATGTTGGAGGCAAACAGTCTATTTGTGGTTGTTGTTTCGGAATTTGGCAATAAGGAGTAGGCTTTGTCCCACCTACATTTAAGGTTTCCATTTGCAAACGAAGTGCTATACTCATATCCCCATCATTGGATTTTACATCAGTTTGACTAGAGCATGGAGCAATTTGGGATGAAGTCCATAAGTTGGTCTAGAGTTCAATCAGAAAATAAGAAAATGGAATAATGCAATTATAATGCAATTAATTACCCCTCGATTAGTTCCCATTTCGTTATTATATTTGTGTATGTTATTTTTCGTTGGATCATCCACATCAACGAGCCACTTTGATGATTGATTTACATTTTCACTGCTCCACCCCCCCGGGCTGTAAATACTTTCACGTACTTTGTTCAGTTTTTCCAGTTGTTCTGTTAAACTACTGTTATTTTCTAGCTTAGTCCACTCATTGCCATACATAGTATCCCTGAATCCAGCACTCAGACTATTTTGTTCATTCATTTTCTTGGGATATTAAATATATTTTCACAAAATATATCACCCAAAATTAGCATTTGGGAGTAGAATTTCTAAAAAGAGAAAAATACAGTTAATATCAGTTTAATAAAATTACAATTTTCATGAATGAAACACATCACGGTGCAAATAAGACACCCAACAGATTGATGAATCAAAATACACGAAATAATTCAAGGAACGTTAAATGTAAATATATACATTCAAATATTACAGGTGGCATGGGAAAACTGTAAATGTAGTCACATAAAAATGTATGCTGTTCTAGTTTAATAAATGAAGATCACCATATGCGCTTTAAACATTCAACTTGAACGTTAAAATCAACAAGTTTAGCGGTGTCATTAGCCTACACATTCTCTTCTCCAATCATTTTTATATGCCGGTTCGATTGATGTCACGCAAATAAATCAATAATATACTATGCATTTCCTTAAAAATATTTTGATGGAATAATTTTTGTAAATATATTTCGTTCATAACAAATAATTTTATAATTTACAGCTGAATAGAAAGATCAAAACAATCTTCGAAACACATACGGATATTATTTTTTAAGATAGAGAAAAAAGGTGTTTACCTTTGGTAGACAAAAATGATTCTTTTAAAGTTGTTTGATTCGTTCAACTTTTCATGCTCGTCGGATTGTTAGTCTTTGTTAACTAAGCAAAAATAGCCGGTCGAACGGAATCTTAAAATAGAAAAATGTTTAACGATCGGCGCGTTACGAACGAAAAGTATAAACTTACAAATACAGTTGAAATAGGGAAATTAAGAGTTTTCATAGAATTGAATTGGGATCCATTTCAGTTTGCTTTGCATCGCCGTCGTGTAATCAGTTCTCTATGTTTTTTAAGTAAGAGAAAAATTCGAGAAAAAAACTACGAAAGTTAATTTAATTTAAATTTAAACAAATAGGTGAGAGAATCTCCTTAATTTTGGAACATTATTTTATGGTTTTTGGTAGTACACTACTTTTTATTGGATTTATTAAAAATCAATAAATATCAATTTCCGGTAAAATTGTAAAAAAATTGTCTGGTTAATATCGAGATTACATAATATTATCTAGCACATTGAAATGCAATTCACTTAGTAACGAGGTCTTTGTTCGTGATTCATTTGATTCAACTATTTTTTAATATTACAATGTGCAACACTGAGTACTGCATAAATTCTCAATATCAAGAGAAATTCAACTATAAATTACAAAAATAATATTGGGAAGAATTGATCTTAAAACATGTGAATGTCTCAAAAAAGTGTGAAAATTAATGCGGTTTTGAGTAAATTATTGATTATAATAGACGAATTTTTCTATCTTTGTATAAATATATACATATATATATGTGAATATTGTGAATTACTTGTTTCGGAAAATGTATCATAGGCTTTTACGCTGTATGCTGTGGTGCAAAAAACACGCTTCGCACAAAAATAGATTCAGATGTGATTTATTTGTGCTTCATGGAGATACATATTCATTTCATTCTTTTGTATTTCATCTAGAATTAAGTCAACATTATAGGCGACTTATTGGTCCGAGACTTTGAAAAATTTCTTGAATTTCCTATCTCGGTTTTATTTTTCTTATAAAGTTAAAAAAGATGAAACAAATTGCAAATTTGAATCACATCATTCGAATGTCTGGCATGTGTGGCCAACGGCCTGTTTAATGCAGTTGATCTCATCTTTAAATATAAACCCAAGCTCATATTTGCCTCAAGATGTTTAAAAATAGAACTGGAGCATTACATTATGGCTCTATATTTTCTTCTTGTCGTGAAAATAAACGATTTTCAGTCTAATTGCGCACCGAATGTTCGCCAATATTTCACATATATTACATTATACAATCACATTGAATAGAATAACCATGTTATTTCATTTTTTTTTAAATGCTGTTGCCAACTACAGTCTATGCTCATCGATGAATAATTATATATATTTAAATCATGCACATTGGACACGAATTTGCCAGAAAAATCATATTCCTTGATTTCACCAAAAAGTTAATCATAAATATAAATAAATTCAGTGATTTGTTTTTCATTTTTCGTCATGTGCTTATATTTATACTGAAAAATGGCCGAAGTTTCGAATATTTTTTTCAGATTTTAGTAATATATTATATTATAAACTTCATCATTAATGAAAAAAAACTTTTAGTGTCTCCAAAATCTGTAAAAGATTAGAAATGAGTGACCAAACGATTACGATTATAGCATAAAAATAATAAACAAGGGAATGTGGAAAAAGATTCACGAAACAATGTCCGAGAATCAAAATAACCACTATAAAGATCGCAATCAACCATCTCCAATATATTATCAACCGCCAGCGCCATGGTCAAGCAACGAAAAAAATAATCCACATCGGTATGATTTCTTTGATTATAATTTACTCTTTTTGTTCTATTAATATTTCTATTTAGTATCAAAATACGTTTGTGATTTGGTTTGATTTTTTATACAGTTCATCGGCAAATGTAAATCGAAACACTATGGGACCACCCAATAGGTTTGTAAATAATTCGCCAGTATTCGGTGTAAATTTGAGAGGAACTAGAGGTGCATATTTACAACATTCAAGATCACCAACACCAATATCCACAGCACAACCACAACACTGTTACCGACCCATTCAATCACCACTAACAGTGGGATTTTCTGGTCCAAGACCATATCGGGCACCATCCTTTAGTCCAGTTTCAAACACAAATAATCAACCAGAATATGTCTATAGCTCAGTGAGACCATTGCAGCCACCATCACCATTTGAGTTAGCACCTCCACCATATGAATATATATGCGTTCCATTGGAACATCCACATCATAGTCAATATGTTATTTATGATGATGGAGATGAAAATACACTTTCAACAGCCGAAATTATTCAAAGACAATCACAAGATTACGTTGACGAACAACTGGCACAATTTGAGATGATGACAATTGCAAAATTGCAAGGTGAGAGGATTTTGGAAATTTTATATCACTTATTAGTTATTATTAAAATATTCCAAAAAATTTATATTTTACGACAAAATATTTAAATCCTTTGAATTATGCTAACGCGTGAACTAAAAGTACTTCGATTTGTCCCTTGAATTTATTCGTTGCGAGTTCAATATGAATGAAATGTCTTCAAAAGTATTTTAAAATGGGTTCTTTATACGCAAAAATAACACTAACGTGAAAAGCACGCAGTTGCTTTAGAATGGTCTTCACCAAGCCACATACATATGTTTTCAAATTTTCAAGATATATATAATAGCTGGGAACACAACAATTCAATTATTATTTTTAACAACAAATTTCACCTAATAATTTCCAATTCCCTTGTTTCATTCAACAACCACAACCAAATATATTTTCACTGTAAATTTAGTAGCTACACAAAATTGTAGGAATCTTTTTATTGAAGAATTACCATAAAACTTCAATGCTATTTTGAGAAATACACGTGTATTAGTGATTGACTCAAAACTTTCATCTGTCCACTTACCTGAAATGAGTTTCAGTCGAATCAACTTGGTATCAAATTCTTTTTAAAATCAGCAACTATTGTTTTTACTGTGAGACCGTTTTGACTGTCAAAACTATTGCGCATTTTCTCGTTTACTTCAAGCACTAGAACACGCTCACATACGACTGTTGTATATATATAGAGTTCTACACCTTTTATTTACTTTCATTGAACCTTTCATCGTTACAAGAATGACGTAATTATTACGTTGTATTGTGTATATAGTATACTATATACTATAACACACACAAACACTAGTATGTGAGTGCTGATAATTTAAATTAAACATTACAAATACGTTTGAACATACTGTAATAACTTATACGTTGGTTTTTTCTATCTTATATTGAGTCGAATCAAAAATTGCGTTTGCCCCATTTATTTGAACTATCAAAATAACAACAAAAACACACATAGATGTTCGCCATTCGTTGAAAATGAATTATATTGAAATATATTGTTCCCCAGCATTCTCCAGTTTAGTGAAATGCTTGCTCGGTTTGGCCTTGGCTTATGAGTTTGCGTGTTTCAATGAACACTAACACGCCAATACGCTCAAATTTGGAGAGGGGCTTTATATGTATTGTATATCTACACGTGATGAACAATGTTTTGGTTTATTTAGCACAATACAAATGCAACATTTTGTGGATATAAAATGTTTTGTGTGTATCACATGTGTTTTAGTTCCAGTAATGATGACTAAAAAAGATGTGGCTATTCACATATTACGATATTTATTTTTGAGGTAGTTTCGAATCGACCGGCTTGAATGCCTGTTAAACATAGTAAAATTTTGATGGCTTCATTCGTATATTTTTTTAACAACGCAAAAATAAAACGCGAATAAATCACTTGATGTCACGCATTCTGCGTGCTTCATTCAATTGTTGCTGTTAATATCATTGTATTTCAAATTTATAAAATGAAAATCGAATAATCGAACTTGTGATAATAATGAGTTGTAGTTTTCCATATTGTACTTTTTCATTGGTGGTTTTTTATTTGTTGAATCGATATAAGTGATGAATTATAAATTCAATATCCTAGCATATGATTATATTTTGGAAGAAAAAACATAAACTCGAACACGAATACAAATACGTATATTAAAACATGGAATCAAATAAAGATTCACACACTGAAGATATTGGTAAGATAAGATGGGCCAGCGATTCAGAACCTTCCACATCTACACAATCTAATCAAGAAAAATGTCAAAGCCGAATAACAATTTATGGCGAAGTTCGTAATCCGTCCATTAGGCAAGAATATCATGGAAAAATTGATCGTGGATCATTTTCAATGAATGTAAATGCATTCGAAAAAAGTTTACAGGAAAAACGTGATCGCCAATCACTTGAACAAAGTCCAAAAATTGAATTTCATCTAAAAGAAACTCAAAAAGATCACTCGCCTTCATTATCTAAAATTAATGTTCTTCATATTGAAAGAGAAAGTGGTTCCAATCAAAGCCTTGGAGATATTTCTGCACAAAGAACTTCCATTGATAGTGTCGACAATATATATCCAGCACCAAGGAAAATCAAGAGAGTTATAACTTATGAAAAAGTGTTAAAAACTAAATCAATTCGTGAAATAAGTTTCCCTGGCACAAGTGATAATGTGCATTCACCACAAGTGCAACGAACCTCGGATTGTTTAGTAGATAAAAGTTCATCAACCGAACAAATTACACCAACCGAGGATTCAGCCTACCATTCACATCGAATACGGCTCATAAATAGTGGAACGCCAACCACGATATCGTCGTCAAGTGATTCGATCCAACAAAATGTGTTTTTGTCTGATGAAAATGTTTATACGCCATCGCGTGAAAGAATTTTCTTTGAATGTGCTGGCAGTGAACCCCGCAAAAATCGAAGTTCAGTAGATTCTGCAAAAATAGTTTACATCGATGACGCGGCTATGGTGAAACATGAACGACAAATTGTTAGTCCTGTTACCGGTAGCAACGAAAACAACGAAAATATTCATCGGCATTTTGAATCTCATAGGACTTTATCAGAAAACGATGGTATCAGTTCAGACTGGTACAACGAATATCAGACACAAACAGTTCAGGTGGATCGTCCAAATAAAATGGACTTCAAGCGAAGTAATTCACAATACGATAACCATATCAGACAGATACGAGGTATTAATTAAGAACGAATTTCTACTATACACCAAAATAATTCAAATTCTATCAAAATATCTGAAAGACGGTTAAAAACATAAATTGTATTATTACATAGTTGAAAAAACAAAACTTTTTCATACTAGCTATCATTGATATATATATACTTGTATATATAATAGGGTGGTTTCAATTGCAAAACAGATTTACATATTTACTTTGAAAGATCTAAAATTGAAAACATACTACCACATTGATCATTGTCGATGATGAGCTCACATGTCCATAAATATTGCCTTGATATTTTTGACTGGAATGAACTTGAAAACCGGTTTTTATATTTTAATTTTCTAACGAATGAGGGTCAGCAAAATTTTAAATATATATTCACCATTCCTGAGAATCTTTTTCTTTTTTGTAGCATCATGAGCATAAATTTTAAATTGAAAATGACGTAATTTGTGAATTGTGTACTTTTATTCATATAGAGCTTTTATCTAGTGCATCACATTTATTATTTTATTAAAATGTTATCTATTTCCATTTATTAATATCATCCAAAAGTTTGGGTTTTTCTCAACAATAAAATCAGCCATCTGTATCGATTTTCCAAACATTTTCATAACAAACAAAACTGTGGTCAGCTGTTCGAGAATTTGGTTAAATTACGCATTACACTTTACACTGTGCTCGAAGACGCACAAATATATATATGTGTGCGTATACGTTAATGTGTGTTTATGTGTATATGTATTGTATTTATGCCAAATTTATAGCGCATTCATTCATTTGTCTACTAAATGTATAAGTGTGATGTCATTTCTGCCAAATCTAGCACGTACGGAACCAATGAATATGTGTGAATGGCTAGATTTTTATTTGAATTAATTTCACCTTGACAAACTTCAATTCACTATTTTTAACGCAAATTTCCATATCATATAGAAGAAATTTTTTCAATCTGAAAAAGATAGCATGTGTCAGCAGTCATCACACATAAAAACACAAGCATAAAAACATTCCCATGGGAATCTAAACAATTTATTGAAATAAATATCTTGAAAAGGTATATTATATCATCCAGTTGTTCATTGAATTGTATTAAGTTGTGTTCACAATTTGCTAACAGTAAAATAACTATCCATATTTCACTTATTTGCATACTAGACTGCTTGTTGCAAAGCATCTCCTTTCGTACCAATATACCGGAATCACAATACTATTTAGTACACTTATATTTCTATAAATATGCGTATTCATAACGTATTAGAAAATTGGGGTGACTGAATTTCTAATATAGACGAAAGACTTTTACGAACTATTTTCCATACCCATACTACGAGTTGATTGTATGTTAATAAACAAACATTCTGTTTAAGGCAAAATTCTTTTTTTTTTTTTAATTTATTGAACAAACTGCAAAATAAATCGATTTAGTTGAGGATTTCTATTGATAAATGCATTAAAAAATACACTTTATGTTTAATACTTCATGAACATTTAAAACTTGAGTCAACTTTGAAATTTTTTCAAAAGAGAAACGTTTTGTAGTCTTTATAGTTTTTCATCCATATCTTTTTCTCACAAAAGCACTCATTCGTCTATGCATTTTCAGTACCGTACTTTTGACCCATACATATTTTTGCAGTTATTTTACGTAGTTTCATAAAATCAATTAAATCATGGACAATTTTTTTTAGTTTTATTGTTTTGTTTATAAAAGTCATGGAAACCATCATTTCCAAAGTTTATAGATCTACTTTCAAAGTCTTCAACGTGAAGTTCACGAAACCTCAAATGAATATTGATATAATAAAAACATTAGAATATCTACGAAAAGCTGCATTTAAGAATATTTACTGTATAAACTTCTAATATACAAAGTTACTGAGGACTCTAAATCTGAAAAATACCCTCTTGCGTAATTTGTAAAAACTTATTCTAACCTATAGGAAAAAATGATGTCATTAGAATGATACAATAAATAATCATGTGTTAGAATTTATTATTATTGTTGGCTGGCTAACGGTCATATCTACACTATTTAGAGTATAATTCTAATTTTTCTTATTGATCTAATTAGGTCATAAAATCCTGGGTGTAATGATGTTTTTAACCTTGAAACAAAACTTTTATTGCCATTAATTACGATTGTCGGGAAGAATTTGTTTAAAAAATCGTATTTTTCATGAATAATGGCAAAGTTTTGAGCAAAGTCAATCATTATATTGAAATTATTTTCGTTACAGAGGAGCAAGAACGAGTGCAAAAGAAGACTTTTGTAAACTGGATCAATTCTCATTTATCCAAACGAATACCACCACTTCGAATCGATGATTTGATCCACGATTTGCGTGATGGAACTAAGTTGTTGGCATTATTAGAAGTTTTGTCCGGCGAAAAACTGGTAATTGAATTTATTTGTCAAATGCCATTTTTACCCAAATTAAATGTGTGAAATTGTCCAATTTTTTTTTGTTTCTCATCAAAACAAAAATTCTATACCAAAAATTTGAAAATAATATTTTTTTTTTTTTTTTTTTTTCATAGCCTGTGGAGAAGGGCAGAGTATTACGCCGACCACATTTTCTTAGTAATGCAAATACAGCTTTACAGTTTTTAGCTAGTAAACGAATAAAACTAGTCAACATCAATCCAGCAGATTTGGTGGATGGGAGACCCCCAGTTGTGTTGGGATTGATTTGGACTATTATTCTTTACTTCCAAGTAAGTTGAATTGCATGTTGTTATGACATTTAATAATTGAAAAGTATATATAACAATCCAACTATATTATAGCTATTTAAATTTCACCAAGTAACACATTACTTCTATAATCCATTATAATTATTTTATGTTTAATATTTTATTCTTAATGCAAAGTAAATAGTTTCGAATGATGGAACGAATTCAGTTTTGGACTCCAAAAAATTATTCCATTATGTTTTATTGTATGCCGAAATATTCATTGAAAACATTGTTTCTCAGAAATATTTTTGGCGTCTCCATTGGTTTGAAATAAAATGTGAAAAAATAAAAAAATTACTGCAATTCATTGGGAATAAAAACTCTACATGCGGAGCAGAATAAAACTCCTCTTAGTAAATTCAGTGAACATTTCTATTTACGAATTTGAAATCAACACTTTAAAAATTTCACTTTTGTAGAGTGAAGAACACCTTCTCTTCGAAAAAAGACAAATTATCCTAATTTTGGAAAGTCAATACTTCAATAATTATACCCCCATGTTATCTAATATATTTATTGGATATTTATTCAGCACTTTTTGTATGACCTTTCAATAAAATTTTAGGAGAATTCAGTCTGCTTTCACTTTAAGGTCTATACATTTCAGAAAGAGAAGTTTTGTAGTATTTCTTACTTGTCATTTTACACGTTTTTCGCATTGCTGGTAGGAGATAAAAAATTGGAATTTTCATTAAATTTCAATGCTTTCAAATAAGTTAAATTGGACACAGTTCGACAGTACTTTACCAAAACAACGAATTCAGTAAAATTACTATCTCAATAAAAAAGACATGCTTATATTTATTTATCGTAAAAGCCATTAAAACTAAAAATACTTTATTTGCACGGTATACTTATTTATAACAATAACACAATTAACAAATTTGACTTGTGATCCTTATTTTAACCACTTTTAACCAGCTTCATAGGCAACATATTACTGTAGATTTGGAGAAATGGTGGTGTTGGGTGAGTTAGCTAATTGTTTGCTATATTCACAGTGTTCAGTTAGATTTAATTAATATTGTTTTAATTATTAACACGATAAAATTATTAAAAAAAATCATAAATCTATTTTTTTAATTTGCATATTTTATATATTGCTTTCTTTTTTATTTATTGTATAAGTAGTCAAAAGCACATTAAATTATTTAAAATAAAATACAATTGCACCCGTGTGGAAGAAAAGTGACTGACTGACTAGCTGAAACCAACTAAAAATGAATTTTGTTAGCTAAAACCGACTATCTAGTCGACTTTAGTTGTCTATTTAACCAGACAACTTATTTGGGACGTTAGACGACTATACAATCAAATATGATTAAAGTCGATTTTAGTTATACTTTGCTATATTAATATAGTCAAATAAAGTCAAATAAATCAACTTTAAATGACTTCGATCTTAGTCGACTTAATCTGAAAACGTCCCAAATTAGACGACTGACTAGCCAGTCAGTAATTTTCCACAAAAGCAGATATTTATGGATTTTTTTACCAAAAAACTATTTACAAAAGGTCTAATTTGAAGCCTCTTATCTAAATGCTGTTGTAAAATTAGTATCGTCAAAGATATAATTAATTTGAATCGTATATACAATCGCATTATTTTGTGCAACACTGATTTATTTTGTATTGTTGAGAACATATGAAAAAAAGAGAGTCTTTCTGTGTTTTCGGATTTTTCCCTGTACCTCCAGATTTGTTTTAACTGACATTTTCTGAAAATCGAGAATTTCGACCATCATCTCTACAACGCGGCACCAACCAATTAAATCGTTGACCTGGTGGAAAATTTGTGTTCCCACGAATTTAAGAATTTTTAATTTTTATCATCTTGTGAGATATGGTGTCTTGATCAGAGCATATACCGAGCATAGATATATATCCGGGATATTTTGTGAGTATCCGATATTTATCGCAGCCACCCATTATAATGGAGTGAAAACAATAGAAGTGAATGTTATAGGTCTAAGTATAAAACCATTTACATTACTACAATCACTATAACAATAACTTCTATTGTTTTTACTCTATTTCAAAGTCTGGCTCCAATGAATATCGGATACTGACAAAATATCCAGGATATATATCTATGCTTAGTATATGCTCTGGTCTTGATTGATTAAAAGTTGAAATATGCAGCATGTTATTAAAAGATGATTAGTCAAAATGTATGCAGAGGCGAGATCTTCTACGGAGAATCTGAAAATTTTACTAGTTTGGGGTCAAAGGAGATTTAGACCTGTATTTCCATGCTTTTTGGATTTTTTCATTTCGACCCCAGTACAGGTGGGGTTATGGGGTGTCACAACAACTCCCCAGAGAGTGGGAGTAATTTTTCTTGAGGAATCCAAATATTTAACTTGGTTTGAAACTAAAAAGAGTTGTACCCATTTTTGGCGGATTATTGTAATTTCTAAATAAATATGTCAGTAAATACTACCTTATTAGGTGCAACATTTAAGATAAGGGATTTGAACTGCATTAACCTTCCGAAGGGCAAGATTTTACTTTCCAATCCAAATTTAAAGTACTAGAGCGCGAAATATGAAGTCGCTATGTATGACCACTATGAGTAATTTTTCACGAGGATTCCGAATATGTACCGAGTTTTGGGGTGAGATGGGCTTAGACCTTATTCTGGGCCTGTTTTCAGGATTTTTCCACTATTTGTTTTTGCCCCCGCCCTGAACCACAGAGGCAATTTTTTTCCTTAGAAATTATATGGAATATGAATGTTAAATCTTGAGTTCTAGTTCTACGAATCGTAGACTACGATTCTGTTTAAAAATCCTTACTTTTTAGCTCTAGAGATGTTCTTTCCAAAAAGGCCTTGTAAAGAGTTCAAGTATTTCACTTATTTTCATGCATTTTTTTACGAAAGTCGATTTGTCTCGAGTTCAAATCATACGAATATGAATGGTTAGTTTTCTGTTGCGGACCCCTGTGGGTTAGATATGAGCATTACTTCCATTGACAGAGTATTTAGATTGCCATGAACACACATATCAAATTTTAATTTTAATTATTTGTTTATAAATTATTATTTTGATATTTTAATTTTTTCACGAGCAGAGTCATTGTAAATATGTAATTTTCGGTTGTTTTGAATTTTAAGGCGTAACACTTCCTTATTTTAATGAAAATTACTCAATGAATTAAAACAATGATAAATAACAGTATTTAGTATCATATACCAAAATAATATGTTAAGTTGATATTGATTATAATCAATTATAAAATAGTCTGGAATTAGTATTAAACTTTATCATTTGAATAAAAACTACATTTGTTTTTCATAGATTGAAGAAAATAGCAGAGCTTTGGAATACTTGGGACATGGCATTAGTGGCTCTGTTAGCTCTTTGGATAGTGCAGCAGCCATTAGTTCACCAACGGTTCTATCAAGCGATGTTAAAGCTGAAAAATGGAAACAAGGAGCCAGAAAAACCTTACTTAATTGGGTATCGAATGCATTACCAAAGTAAGTGAAATAATTTCATTTCAAATGCAAATACTGAATTATTAAAACCAGAGCTTTCGTTCGTTTGTAGCACTTTTTATTCTTTTTTGTAACGGTTCGAATGTTCGGAATATGTTCGTATCTTTAAAAAATGGTAATTCAAAACAGTGTTTGTTTGAAATTTAAATGAAAAAATATAATGTGCAAATATGAGTTTTTTACAATTTTGTTCGCGTTTTTTTCTACATTGAGTTAAGATGAATAGAATGATGTGAAAATTCGATCGAACATCAAGCGTTCAGGATCGCATACATTTATGCGATAGATTGAATGATGCATGCATCATTTCATGCGCATCAAATAACGCTAACGCTGTCGTTGTACGTGCGGATCTAGTAGCACACGACGGTCTTGCTTTATTGAACATTCACATCATTACGTGTATCATATAAGCACGTGGTGCGCTGTCAGGACCGTACTCATAGCGACATCGTTAGCGTTGTGTTTGCGTTATTTGATTCGCATCAAACGATGCATGCATCATTCAATGTATCGCATAAATATATGCGATCCTGAACGCTTGTCGAACATACGAACGAACATGGCGAACATTTTATTTTCTACGGATGAACGAACGGTCACAAAAAAGAAAAAAAATGCTATGAACGAACCGTCCATTCGTTTGTTTATGTTTGTTGACAGCATTGATCAAAACATTGAAATTTTCATTATAATTTAGGGATATCGGTGTCGAAGTGCGCGATTTTGGTCCAAGTTGGAGAGATGGAGTGGCTTTCTTGGCATTAATCGATTCAATAAAAACAAATTTGATAAATCTAGCAGAGATGCGAAAATCATCGACCACAAATAAACAGCGATTGAATACTGCTTTCGATGTAGCTGAAAATAAATTGGGAATTGCACGTCTATTAGACGCAGATGATGTGGATGTTCCCAAACCCGAACAGAAAAGTATCATGACTTACGTTGCTCAGTTCTTGCATAAATATCCTGAACCAAAGGTAAGTAGCGGAATGTTAACATGGTTGATATAAGATATGTACAGTAGGGTGCATCGATTTTTTTTGTTTTGAAAATTTCAAAAACCCTTAGAGCGGCTTTTATAGACCTGGTCGAGAGTAACAACTATTGTTGTGTTACTTTGGCCCATTTTTACCGCGGTCGACTTGAAGTTCGCAATTTTTCTTATTTTTTCAATAAATTTGTATGAAAGTAAATTACTCTTATGGTTGTTAGTATTGGTGTAGAAAGTAAATTTATCATTATTGATTTAGAAGTAAATTTATCAATAGTAAGACTGAGAATTGAAAAATATTTAAAACAAAACAGATGAAATTGAAAACATAAATAAAGTTATTAGTTAAAATAACTGAATTAATAACTATTTACATTTAGAAAAAATACATAAATTTAATAATTATTATTTATCTCTTTCAAATCTGCTTGATGAAAAATATTTAATTATCATACACGAAAGACCGCTGAAATGACCAATACAAAATATGTACGGATATACGACGGTGTCATTTCAGCGGTTTTCCGTGTTTTTCATGCAAGACGCCCATGTAAATGATGAAAAAGTCGCGAAAAATGAAAAAAATAATTAATTTTTTTTCTTCGACTTTCAAATACCTACTCAATTTTCTGTATCACCTGGTGAAATCAGAATGAAAAAAATCGCATTCCTTATCATCCAAATCACGATCTGGACTTTTTTCACTGTTTGAGTGCTCTAAACCGAGCCTTCGAGAGATTCACATAAACTTGCATTGTGACACCTATTGAATGGTGAGAAAATTGGCATTTCGGGCAACCAATTGAAGTTCGAAATTAGTGAGCAACAGTGAAACATTTCATAACAAACTGCATCATAACTTATGTTGCAGTTTGTTTCTTATTATTTTATTGTTGTTCTCTAATTCTCAACTCTTAAATTTCTAATTCTTACATTTGATTTACATCCCAGTTTAAGTTGAAGATTTTTTCTCAACTTTTCTGAAGGTATCTTTGTTTCTCAACGGTTCATATGTTTTTCTCTTTCCTTCTCATGAGAAATTGTATTTGAATTTGACAGTTAGTATGACATTTGCCACAGGTTCTTTGTCTGTACGCAAAGGTTTTGTTGAAATACATGGTGCATTAGTAAATTGGGCATGTGGAATTCAAAAATACATTGAGCAAAAATATTCACGAGAGCATATGTTTTGGATGACCTTAAAAGGGAAATGGGCGAAAGAAAATGTTGATGCAATTTTTTTTTCTGAAAATATAGTGCTCTTCTAATATTGTCTGCACCAATATTAAGACTAATATAATTCACTTTCACACAAATTTATACAAAAGTTCTCGACCAGGTCTACAAAAGCCGCACTAAGGGTATTTAAAATGTTCAAAAACAAAAAATCGATGACTAAATATCGAAATACGGTTCTATAGGGTATTTCACGCGGAGGAGCATCAACTTTACAAGAAGAATACGACGAATTCGTACATTGGTTGCAATCACGGACATCACATTTCGAACATCTTATTCAAAGTCAATCACTGTCGATTGATTTTGCCGATTATCTAGTTGCAAAAGCAGATGTTGATGCGCGTTCGAACCTTTTCAATAAATTAAAAAATTTAGTAACAACTCATCATAACATTGCTGCTTTGACACAAGCTTCTTGGGAAAATATTAATAAGCTATGGAACCAGCACGAATTTCAATTACAGTATTGGCTTTGGTTGCTTGATTCAAACTTGCCAGGTGATTTTGCCCTAGTAGGAAAATGGTTGGCTGAAGCAGAAAAATTACTATTCTATGATGAAATACCAACAACTATGAATGAAGAAACTGCTGCAATTATCAGTAAAAAACTTGAAGAACATAAAAAATTCTTTGGCAATTATGACCAGATAAAAGAGTTATTTTTCCGAGTGAAACAATCCTCTTCATTGACCACTAAAATACCATTTGAACAACTAAAAAATATTGAACAACGCCTATGTGAAGTTGGACCTAAAGCACATCAGCGACGCCTCAATTTGAAATTTTTGGAACATAAATGTTGCATTATTGCCTTTTTGAATTTAATTGAAAATAAACTTCGATTATGGAGTGGTAAATTTGGACGTGAAGATAGATCAAAGCAAATGCTTCAACAATATAATGATTTCATACATAAGAATATGGTATTTGAGGAATTTGAAAAGGCTTTTGTTGATATGAAGCATGTTGTTGAAGAATGTAGACGTGATGGTAATTTAACACGACAAGATAATTACGATATCGAAAAATTTATGCATGATACTGAAGATCGGTGGAAGAGAGTATCACGTGATCTAAAATGCTGTCAAAATATATTGGGAGAAGTTGTAGCAAACTGGCATAGATGGAATTCTTGCTCAGATGAATTCGAAGGATGGCTGTGTTTAGCGGAAGATAAAATACGTGCCTCCGAAGATGAAAGATTAGAGTTTTTCCAAGATATTAGCCTATGGAAGAATAAATATCAAGAAATGCACGACATAGTTAATTTTCTCATTGCAATTTGTGAACCAGAAATTGTCAATGAGCTACGTGATAAATTTCAACAATTAACTCTTCGTTTCGATAAAATATATGCAAGCACAAAACAATATGTGCATTCAAGCGATATTTTACGTAATAAACAAGAATATCGACAATCATCCGAAAAACTCGCCGCATGGTTGAACAAAGCAGAGTCACTATTGTCAAAGCAAATTCCATGCACAACAAAATCGATTGCAGATCACAGTACTCAAATCCAATCTTTAGCCACTGAAATCGATGATGTTGAGGAACTATTCAAACAAATAAGTAAAATGATACAGTCACTTTTACCTGATATGTCTCGTTCTGAAGTGGAAAATATGATGAGTTCTCTGAAACAACAAAAAGAACAATTGGTTCGAGTTCGAGCACAAATTCCCAATAAATTACATCTTTTCCACCAATTGTATACGCAACAAGAGTCACTTGAACAAGGACAAAAAGATGTGCATAACTGGTTAAATGAAGCTGAAAAATTACTTCAATCATATTCACTTACGGCTAATCGTGAGAAGCTACAAGAACAGTTGGACAAACATCGTGAATTTTTTTCACGAATACTTTATTATCGATCAATGGTTGATACCAAAAATAATGTTTTGCAAAATCTATTAAAATTTGACTCAACCGAAAAGTTATTGGATGCATCAGAAATTCAACAGCAAATGGGCCAGCTGAACGACCGTTTCAATTATGTGATTCAAAATGCACAGCAATGGGAACAACGTTTACAAGACGCTGATAATTGTTGGGAACATTTCCGTGAAGATGAACGCATTGTCGCTGATTGGATTTACAAAGCTGAAGTCTATCTCACAGAAAGACATATTCAATCTGCAAAAATAATTGAAGAGCGAAAAACATTCTTTGAAAATGTAAACACCGTTTGGATGAAGAATTTGCTGACAAGTGGACAGAATTTACTTAAAACATTACCCATGGAAGAACAACAGAAAGTGGTCGAAAATGTTGAAGGCTTACAGCAACGATGGGAAAATGTGCTTACGAGTGCACCACAGCATCTTATTCATTCGAAATTCAATTTGAACGAAGAAAATCTCAACCAAACAATAAAGGAAATTGAGCGAGAAGTTCAATTGGAGCAACAAGCACTCAATAAAAATGAAGATATTGGACTGATATCGCAACGTTATAATGATTTTATTACAAACAAAGGTCTAACCGGACAAGCACAAAATTACATTGAGAACATGAAACAACTGTGTACAAAATATAATGAACTGAATCCGAATGATACAAGTTTGGAAAACACTATGCAAAATGCTAGTATTAAATGGTTGAATACAACAAGGCGTCTTGATGAATTGCAAAAGCTATTATGCCAGGTTCCAATTCAGTGGCAGAACTATCGTTCGAAATTTGACACAATGACTACTTGGATGAACACCGTGGATAGTGCTTTAAAATCAATTGTACAGGAAGTTAGCACATCAGAAGAATTCGAAAAGGAACGACTAGTTTTTCAAGTGAGTACAGTATAATTTGATTTTTTTTATTGATTTATTATCATTTTTATTATAATACGTAAGATGTACGTATGTTTAACGTAATAATCAATGCATATTACTATTTGCATGCAGCTGAAGGAATTAGCGGTAAATTATAAGTTTTAGTAGAATAGGAAAGTGCGCTTTAAATACACTAAACTATTTTTGGATTATATCAAGTTTTACTATTTTAGTTTCAAGAATTATATAGTATGTCGAATATTCGGGAAGAATGTTCAGGCAATCTTTTAAAATATCAAAGTTAATACACACATATTTATTTAAACTTGAACCGAGTCAATATATTATTTTTCGATTATTAATCGAAACAAAATAGCGAATGATTACGTACGTGTCATTAACAATTTTTTATTCCCGCTACTTGCAGCGCACTTTTCTACACGTTATCTGGTGATGAGTTTTTGTTAAAATAAATTTTAAATGTCATTTATAGAAAATATGTCAAGATGCTGACGCTAAGCGTGAAGATATGAAGTGGCTGGTGTCAACGCTCGATTCACTACAACCATATGTTAGTGAAATGGAAGCAAAAGAAGAACAACAAAAATTAGAAAATTTAATAGGGCGCTACAAAACGCTGATTCCAACAATTGAAATAACTATGGTGAAGACAGAAGTATTTTCTAAGTGCTATACATATCGAAAAGAAGTGCACGAAGTGGTTTGTTTATTGGAGAAAGTAAAAGATCAAACAATAACAGCACCACAGCCAGAGAGTTTGGAAAATTTACGTCAAATGATACAAGAGCAACAGTTTGCAATCAATCAATTGGATCATCAAAGAACGCATATAATGTCAATGTTACAAAGAGGACGTGACTTAAGCAAAGATGTTCATGCGCCAAAGTTCATGCCAAACGAGATTAAAAATTTAGAAAATGGTTGGAATGATGCGTATAATGAAACGGTTGACAAACTAAGGGAGCTAAAGAGCACCGAATCAATATGGAATGAGTTCCAGGAGGAAAAACATCGTATAATAAACTTACTTGGAAATGCTGAGACAGAACTGAGATCAATCACACCACTTCAAACTGATCCGAAAAATGTGAGTTCAGATTTGAAAACTAAACGTGAGTTGAATGCGACATTACAACAAGCATCACGACAAATGATTGCTAATTTACAAGATCGTTGCAAAGAGCTTACACCATTGACAGATCAAACAAAGAAACCATTAATTGAAAAAGAAGTAACTGAATTGGAGAAACAGTTCTTTAATACAATGGAACATGTGAAGGATCGTGTGAATTATTTGGAAGACTACAGTTTTCGATGGAACAATTATAAAACACGTGTGGCAGAGTTACAAAATTGGGCATTAAATTCAGCACCACAACTAATTGAAGCTGTTCAATCACAAGAAATTTCGCCTGAGGAACGTGTTTTGAAAACAGAGGCCCTTCAGTCAATTATCTCTGAAAAAATGCGATCATTGGATATTTTATCTAGTGATGCTTGTGAATTGGCACCCAAGGAAGGAAACTTCTCTGAAGCAAAGCGATTAAAAAGCGAAGTATCTAAACTTCAAGAAATGTTGAGCGTAATCAATCGCAATGTAAACCATCAATCCATGACCACAAAAGAGGATCTTGTTAATTGGCAAAAGTATCAAGCTGGAATTCAAGAAATAAAACCATGGATTGAGCGGTCGGAATCGAGGTTTAGTCTTATAACAGAAAAACCAGTTTCACTACAAGAAGCATACACACTGCAACAACAAGGTAAAAATGTTTTATAATAAAATATTATTTGTTATTATACACTTTTGTCTTCGGTATACCGAACTATAGTTCTTATGTTAAAAAAATACTTATATTTCTAATACTTGTTTTTCCTTTATTTTGTAATGAATAACAGCAAGACAATTTGCTAGCCAATGTGAACTTCAAAAAGAAAAACTCAACGCAGTTGCATCATTTAATAACTTAATGTCTTGCAAGACAAATGCACCAGACGAATTGGATGCCGTTAATTCGCGATGGCATTCAGTTCAGGATAATGCCAAACAATTGGCAAACAGATACGATCGATTAGTTTCAAACTGGCAAACATTTGATAATGATGCATCAAAACTAGAAGATTGGGTTGTTCGAAGTGAGCAGGCTCTATTGACACGTCCACTACTGGCAAACAGTCCTCATGTTGATAAACTAGAAAAAGAATTAATTCACTTGAAGACATTCAATAACGACATATCGGAGCAGTTGGCTAAAATTGTATCTTTGACACAGAGTTCAGAGACCTTAGTACCAAATCTAGGACCACAGGGTTTAAATGCAACAAAAGAGCGTATCAACGCATTGCGAGGAAAAGTTGGAAAGTTATCGGAAGCGAATCGTGAACGCATCAATGTTATCTCAGATGCAATAATTTCAAGACAAGATTTCAATGCAAAATTAGCCAATTTTGCTACGCTAATGGAACGATTGCGTAATCAAGCTGCACAAGTTGAAGACTTGGCCGTCGAACGTGTTGAGCCACATTTGCAAATTGTTCACAATTTATTGCAAGAACATTCGGATATGAAAAACTTATTTAACTCAATATACGAAGAAGTTAAAAATATGACATTGAATGCTAGTCCCGAAGATAGTGGAATTATTAATGATTCGTATACAGCACTAGTACTAAACTATCAAAATATTGAAGACGATTTGCAACAGAAAAAACAAGCGTTACAAAAATGGTCCGATTTCTTAGGTTGGAAAAATGACATTGAATCGAATGCTAATCATATTAAACAACAATTGGAAAAAGCAACTGATAAAAGCAATAATATTGAGAATCTCAAACAAATTATAGAAGAAATTACTACTAATACCGTTTCAGTAGCAGCAAAGAAGGCTGATGCAAATGTAATCGATAACATTCCGGTTGTTTACTTAAGAGATACAAACACTGGAAAACCGATTACCGCACAGCAAATCACAAATGATTTGGAGAATAAATTTCATAATTTAGAATTGAAAGCACAAAACCAAGTGGCTACGCTCAGCAAAATTGAAGCTCAAAAAGGTGGCTTTATTAAAATTGAAAATAGTTTGGGCAAATGCTTATTGGATATCAAATCAAATTTAGACAATATTATTACACGTTCACCAACTGACAATATTGAACAAAATATTTCTGATCTTAATGCACTTTGCGTCAATTTACAAACCAAAATTCCGCTAAAAGAGCAAATGCACAATGAAGGCACACAATTGATGCAAGAAGATATTTCAAGTATACCCGCAATTCAGGAGTCCATGCTATTATTAAATAAACGTTGGGATGATATTCAAGGCGAAATTGATAATCAACTGCAAAAATGTGCTCAACTTAACCACGCTGTTCAAGAATATTCAAATTTAAAGAAACGTTTTAACACCGAAATGGTAAAAGCAGAAAAAATTTACAGTACCATTGAACCAGAACCGAAAGGAGAACAGCAGCTTATTGAAACATCTGTTAAATCGAAACAGGCATTGGACCAAATTAAAAAATCTAAAGTTGCTCTAGACGATATGGAGCGAAGAGGAACTCTGTTGATTAAATTGCTACAGTGCACTCAACCTAATAATATTGACGACGAAATAAAAGAATCAGAAACAAAATGGCAGCAACTCCAAGTGCAAATAGCACAAAACGCTCATCTCTTCGAAACAGAAGCAATTATTTGGAATCAAATCGAAGAATTTAAATCAGAATTGGTTTTATGGCTTGATGATATTATAGCTGCTTTAAATGATGCTGCCAACAACACCTTAGAAATTGAATACAGTCCAATTCGATTGAATAAATATAAAACTGAGCTCCCAACATACTCAAACATTTATTCTGATTTAAAGGAAAAAGTGTCGGAACTCGTGAAAATGAATAAAGGAGTCGAAATACCAGCTTTAACTGATTTAACGAATGCACTCGATAACAAATTTTCGGAAGCCGAAACAAATGCTCTCAAGCTTACAGAAATTTCATCGAATTTTGAAGACCAAGAGAAAGAATTACGATGCTCAGTGAAAAATTGTGGTGATGCGATCAACAAAATCCGAGAACAACTTATCACCACTGACGATATGTCAGGTGATAACAGTAAAATTGTCGAACGATTGCAGCTTTGTCAAGCATTGAAAGTACAACTAAGTGATCAAGAAAGTGAATTAGACAACCTTCGTATGCGTATTGATGAAATGAAATTTACGTATCCAACTTTTGCCGAATCAATTATTCCGAAGGAATTGAATAATGTTCAGAAACGTATGGATGTTATTTTAACGCATGCCAATAAAATTGAATCATCACTTTCGCACTTTTTGAAAAAATTCCATATGGACAAAATTGGAATGCTTGGACGAATGATTAACGCTCAAAAAGAGAAAATTATCTGGTGTATACCTGAACCCAGTAGCGACAAATTTAATTTGGAAGTAAAAAAATCATCTCTTGCTGATGTACAAGGAAGCATCGATGATTGTTTGATACGAAATGCGGAGATATCTGATTCAATTGATCTCTTGAATAATATTGAGTCTCCTGAGAATGTAGAAATGATTAAGAATGAAATTGTTCGATACAATGTTGAGTTAGCTGATATTCAACAGAGATGTGAAAAAACAAAAGCTGATTTGGATGATAACATTGCTCTATGGAACGAATATGAGCAACACTTCGAGGCTGTAACAAATTGGTTCAAAGAAATCGAAACAAATGTTAAAAATGAGTCAATTGCCCTTATCAATGTGAATAATATTGATAATAAAATATCAGAGCTTAATGCAATTCACGAAGACATTAAAAATAAAAATCCAGATATTAACAAACTTGAAGAGATTGCCGAAAAGATAATGCAAAATAATTCTGAGGCCAGAGTTGGTCAAACTGTTAACCATATGGTCTCACGATATAAATCTGTTGGCAAGAGTATAGCTTCTTTACTCGAACGTACAAAAACAGCGAAACAAGCTTATATTGACTTCGGTAAAAATGAGGCTACATGTGCAGATTGGACTAAAAATGCTCGTATGCATCTCAATGAATTATTTAGAATGGGTTCACCTGGCTCAGGGCCGACACGGCAACAGCTCAATTTAGTAAAAGCATTTGTCAGCAACTTACCGAGAGGCCAAGCACATGTAAACGATTTGTTCAATTCGGCTGAAGCACTCTATCCTCTTGTAACTTCGGAGGATCGCGAAAATATTCGAAATAGAAGACAACAGCCCCGGGACGATTTTGATAACATTCAAGATGAAGCAAATTCCTTGCTCTCTCAAGTTGAGTCATTGTTGATACATAAAACATCAATTGAAGAGAGTTTTGCGCAAGTGAAACAGTGGTTAGACGATGCAAAAACCAAGCTAGGAACGCAAAGTGAATTGTATCCAAGTTTAATTGAGAAAAAACAGGCTCTTCAAATACTGCGATCTCAATTGCAAGACAATATCTTACATAAAAATGCTTTGAAACAACTACAGGACAAAGCTCAATCGATGGCTGACATTGAAGCTATAGAGAAAGTTGGCGAAACAATGAAAGAATATGATAATTTACATCAACATTTAAGCTGTCGAGTTGCCGATTGTGAAAGAAGCGTTACGAATCATGAATCATATGATCAAATAACAGAACGTGCACAAGAGTTTTTGAAGAAATTAGGTGATCAAACTGCTGAAATTTTCCGAAATGATTGTCCCTTTGAAAAAGATATCACCGAACAAAACCTTGAAGTGTTAAGTAGCGTGATTGGTGAAAGAAATCAAGGCAATAAAATTATATTGGCCTGTAAAAATCAACTTGAAAAAGTGTTGCTGGAAACGCACCCTTCTGGGCATCCGGTTCTCATCAATTCATTTGAAAATATTAAACGCGAATGGGATATATACATCGCACAATGTGAAGATACACAAAATAAACTTAAAGAGTTGTATGAAAAATGGGCAGCAGCCGATTTAACTATCGAACAAATTGAAAATTGGCTTAAAAAAGTAGAAAGTGTTCCAAAAGATCAGAGCATGAAGAGTACGTATGAAACGAAACAAGCATATTTGAACAAACTACAAAAGTTAAACGAAGAAATAATTTCAAAAGAAGCCGAATTTGCATCATTGTCACATATTTGTAAAGATATTAACGGCGAAAGTGCAATAAACTCGCGTGCATCTAAACTTGTTACTCGCTATCAAGCACTTAAAAATCTATATAGAGAACATATTGACAAATATGAGCAATATGCGAAGAACCATCATTCGTTCAATGAAGATTATGATCAATTTAGAAAACATTTACAAGAAGTAATTGATAATTTGAAAGAAAACAGTGGAATTACTGGCGATTTGCCTATTTTGCAAGGCCGACAAACTGCGCTACGAAATATCGCCGATCAACGTTCAAATGATGCCATCCCATTTGAAGATATTATTGATCGCGGAGAAAAATTGTATGTTAATACAAATCCAGAAGGTAGAGAACTTATTCGGCAACAATTGCGAAGCCTAAGAGCTGAATGGGATAAGTTCAGCGACGATTTGAATGCTTCTACTCAAAAAATTGAAAATTGTTTACTTCAATTCACTGATTTTGCCCAAGGACAAGAACAACTTACTAGATGGCTTAAAGATGTGGAACAAGCAATGCAAAATCATACCGAACTCAAGACAACTTTACAAGAGAAACGTGCTCAACTTCAAAATCACAAACTAATGAATGAAGACATTCAAAACCATTGTTCGTTAGTTGATGCAGTTTGTGAACGAGCACAATCGCTTGTGAATGAAACTCAAGATGAATCTCTAAATATGTATTTAAATTCCATAAAACAATTGTTTGATAATATTGTTGAGAAATCACAAGAACTTATGACTAATTTAGATGGTTGTGTTCAATCGCATCAAAATTACAATGCCCAATTGGCTCATTTAAAAGATTGGTTGAGTGCAGAAAAGCAGAAATTAGTAGAATGCGAAGATACTTATGGTGAAAAAAATGATTTGAAACGTAAAATCAACATATTGGAACAATTAAAATCAAACCAAAATTCTGGACACCGACTAGTGAATGATTTGCTGGAGCAAAGCATAACTGTAAAGAAGTGTACTTCACCGCGAGGAATTGATTTGATTGACTCCGAATTGAAGGAACTTCAAACTGAAATCAATAATCATATAGAAAATGTCAATCAAAATGAAATTAAGCTCAGCTCTATTTTACAATCATGGGATGACTTTGAAATGCAATTGGACGAGTTGACTAAGTGGTGCCGAGCCACTGAAACTATATTCCGAGATCAACAACTTCAATCTACTCATGATGATAAAACCAAACATTTAATGGCATTCAGAGTTAAGAAAGAGCAAATCATAAATAAACAAAAGTCAGTTGATTTATTTACGGACAAAGCACATGATATCCTTAAAAATACAGGAGCAGAGCGGCTGCAGTTGCTAACATCACAATTATCCAACCGTTATCAATTATTAACTGCGCTCAGCAAAGAAGTTGTTAACAGATGGCAAACAATCGTCGACGATCATCGAAAATATAACGAAAAATTAGCAGAAGTAAATAATTGGATAACACCTTTGGAGGTTGAACTCAATTCAATCGTATCGAAAGCAACTGATGACACCACATGTGTCCAAGTACTGGAACACTTGGTCAATGAGAGTAGTAACGCTGATACATTGATGTCATCATTGGATGCTATCGGCGAAAAAGCCCTACAAGAAACATCAACTACGGGTAGAGAGAAAATTCGTACAGACATACGTGACATGCACGATCGTTGGGACAAGCTATGCGATGAAATTCACAAACTTCAAAAGAAACAAGAAACCCAATCACATCAACTCTCTTCTTATCAAGATCTTTTGCAACAAATATTGGCTTGGCTCAAAATAAACGAAGATACAATTACACATGAAAATATCAGTGGATGGACATCAATTCAAGAGATTCGTTCGAGACTTTTAAAATACAAGACAATGAACCAAGATATTTTATCGCATAAGCGAATAATAGAAACGCTCAATGACAAAGCAAACGTTGTGATGAATGACGAAATTAATAATACCATAAACAAAGTCAACGAACGATATGACAATTTGAATCAAGAATGTAATAACCTTGTATCACGCCTTGAGGAGGCCTTAGATATCTTTCAAACCTTTAATGATAACCAAAAACAACAAATGGATTATCAAAAGATTTTATGGGATCGATTAAATAATTACACAGATTATTCGGGAAATAAGAATGCGATTGAAGAGCGAATGGCAAAAATCGAGGAAATTGAAAGATCACTCGATGAAGGAAATCAGAAATTAGATGACCTTAGCAAACATGTTGCACAAATTAAAATGGATGCAATATCACCACGATGCAAAGAACTTATGGCACGCGATTTGAGTGGCCTTAAAATAGATTTTGATAAATTCAAAGATACACTGCAGGAGGTTAAATTCAATTTGAAAAATCGACATCAACAATGGACAGAATATGAAAGCAATTTGGATATTTTAACTGATTGGCTGACTCAAGCGGAGAGTGATTTGAAAAATTTTGGACTAAAAAATACATTCAATGAGAAACAAGATCAATTATCCAAATTTCAAAACTTGTTCGCAAATCTTAATGACAAAGAAAGTGAATTCGATAAAATAGCGGATGACTCGTCTGACTTAATACAAAATACTAAAGAATCACGTATTTCAATTGATGCACAACAAATATCTCTACGTTTTCAATCAATGAAAAATGCAACCAAAGAAATTTGTAAGAATTGCACAAATGCTGTATCGGATCACCAACAATTCAATGATAAATACAAAAAATGTTCCGAATTTTTGATATCCGCCGAGGCCAAATACGGCACATTTTTTAATGTGCCACAAAATTGTTCACGAGATGATCTTCTAAATCAACAGAACGCAATTCAACAAGTTCTTCACCAACAAAATACAGCAACACTCTTATTAAATAATGTAATTGAACTTGGAGAAAAACTATATCCAACAACGGCATTTGAAGGACGTGAAGCAATTAGAGAACAAACTCAGGAACTTTCACAGCTGATGGAAAAACTGTTTGATAAGATTAATATTATCAATCGCACAATCCAGAATAAACTATCTAAATGGACGGGTTTCGAAGAATGTGCTGAACTCCTTGAGGATTGGTTGAATACTTTGAACATTGATGAAAACATTATTTTAAGAGATACTTTGGATGAAAAGCGTAGCCAATTACATCTCTATCGCGATCAATTGAACGATATTCTACTTCATAAATCAGATGTGCTTAATTTGAAAGATATAGTCGCCAATATGCCCGACAAAAATGAATTTGTTGTTAGTAAATATGATCAAATTGTGAGAAAATATGATCATATGCATGAAATTTTGCAAGGTTTTGTTGAGCAATATGAAGTATTTGTCAGTGATCACAATTTATATAGTAAAGCAGTGTTGGATACTCTAGACTATATTGAAGCCACACAAAATACTGTTGATTTGTGGGGTGACCTTGAATTGGAGCGTGTCCTTTTACGAACAAATTTGAATCGATTGAAAAACCAGAGAGCCAATTTGAGTGATGAGAAAGTGCGTATTGAACAAATTCGGGGGCTCGGTGAAAAAGTTATTCCAAATACACTTGAGCCGGGACAAAAATTGATACAAAATCAAATTGATTCGTCACAACAAGAATGGGAGGGAATACTTTCGCAAATTCAATCCACAATCGATGCCATTGAAAGTAAACTGCAGCAGTGGGATGAGTTTGAAAAATTAAAAGATGACTGCATTAACTGGATCAGAATTACAGACAATAAGCTTCATGCAATCGATTTGAAACCAACTCTTGCAGAGAAAAAATGCCAAATAGATGAATTAAAAGTTCTTCAAGGGGAAATTCGGGCTAAAGAACTTGAAATCGATAATGTTAGTGAAAAAGCACAGCTTTTACATCGTGGAGCAACCACTGCTAAATATTCACAAATTACTGATTTAATTCCGAAGTATCAACAAGTAGTACATAAAGTAAAAGAATTGAATACACGATGGTCACAGTTCGTATCAACTCATAGTGAGTTTGAAAATCAACTATGTGAATGTACTGAATGGCTTCAAGACATCAATTCAAAATTGGATTATTGTGCAGATGTGAGTACGGCATCTCAGAAGGATCTTCAGGGAAAATTAGATGCAGTTCAAGATATGATAATGCTAAAAGACGAAGGATTTGCAAAGGTAAAAATTTCTTATAATAAAATATTATTTGTTGTTATACACTTTTGTCTTCGGTTGTATTATGTTTTAAAAATTTTTTTTATTTTTTTTTATTTCTAATACTTGTTTTTCCTTTATTTTTTAATGCATTACAAAAGGTTCAAGGTATTGTTGAAATGGCACAACCAGTTTTGCTAACAACTGCACCTCTTGGACATGAGCCAATAAATAAAAGTTTAGCTCAACTTCAAAACGATTGGTCGGCCCTGGCCGTCAAAATGGTTGAAATTAAATCCATGCTTGATCAATCCATCAATCAATATTCTGGTTTTGTAGATCAAATTAAAAATATCCTTAAATCAATTGATTGGATTGAAAAGTCGATGGTGGACTTATCCGAATTTCAAACAACAATGCCGGAAAAACGATCTCAACTTGAAAATATAAAATCCATGGAAGAAAAAGTAAGAGTGGAAAAAATTGATGCGGACGCTTTAAAAGCTCAAGTCACAGAAATGCTATCATCAAAGCAGCCAAATCAAACTGCATATCAAGCGTTACAAACATTAGAAAAATTTGATACATTGGCTGAATCAGCAAAGAAACTGCTTAGAGAACGCGAATCTCAATATCGTGATCATCGGCTGTTTATTGAAGCCAAGAATGACTTATTTGGGTGGATAAATAGAGCACGTGATAAGTTGCCGGCAATGAAACCACAATCTCTTGCAGATAAACTGTCTATAGAAAATTCGGTCGCTCCACTGGATGCATTGCTTAATAAAAAAGCACAAGGTGAATTGTTGGTTGAACATCTTATACATACTGGCGAAGTTTGCATGGCAAGCACATCTCAACAAGGCAACGAATTGATTCGAAATGACATAAAAACATTGCGCGAGTCATTTGAAGTATTATTTAAGGACATTTTAAATCAACGAAACAAATTAGAAGTAACAATGACACAATGGCGCGAATTCAAAGAAGAATTTGATCGAATTTCAGAATGGTTGCAACAAATTGATATTCTTGTAAAAAATCATAAAATTGCTCTACAATCGAACCGAAATGAGAAACAAAAACAAGTAGACGACATGCGTAATATTTTAAGTCGTTTAGAAAAGGGTCAATCTGATATTGAGAAATTAAAAACATCATCCGCTCCATTATTATCATCACACCTAGACACTTATATTAATAATCAGTTGTCGACACTTAACTCAAAGTTTTCAATTGTGTTCAATTTAGCCAAAGACACTCTGAAAAAAGTCGAGAATAACTTTGAATTACACAAAGAATACGATCAATATCATGAAAATGCAAAAGATTGGATTGAAAAAGCTTGGGTAACGATTAGAAGTTGTAGTGAACCATCGAATAGTAAAGAAACTCTACAGCATCGATTAAATCAAATTCAAGATTTATTAGCTAAACGCGAAGAGGGTCAATCATTAATTCATTCGACAGTGAATACCGGAGAAAAGGTCATAAGAGGCACACGATCAGATGGACGTGATGACATCAACAATCAAATAAAAGAAATCCAAAGTGAATGGGAACGTTTGGTGAAAAAGATGTCAACTGCAAAAGTTAATTTGGAAACAAACTTGTTGCAATGGGCCGATTATAATTCAAGTTATTCACATCTTCAGGAGTGGATAACCGAACGAGAAGCAAAATTGCTTCAAGTATGTGAACAGAAAGTTCCCAAGACAAGAAGAGGCCAAGCAAATTTAAGCTGTGGATTGAATGAACGGCGTGCCAATTTACGGCAAACAAATAATATAGTGCAAGATATTGTTTCATTTGAACCAATGATACAGTCAGTTACATCCAAGGCGTCTGATTTAATGCAAGGGACACCAGCATCAGACATTTCAAATAAATACGAAACCCTGACCAAACAAGCGAAAGACTTATATGAAAAACAAAAAGAAGAAATTGATAAGCATCAGGCATTGATTGATGCAGAAAATGAATTTTCTCAGTGGCTTCGTAATGCCAAAGATAGTTTAACAAAGTATGCTGAACCAACTGGTGATAAGGAAACATTGTCTAGTAAACTCAATCAAATCATTGTATTAGAAAATGAAATTCCTTACGGAAAAAATAAGTTAGATAAAATCTTTGAACAATGCGAGATAGCATGTAAAATTTCGGAACCGGAAGACAAAGAGATTATAGATGAAGCAATGACATTTTTGCAAGAGGAATTCGATAACTATGTGTAAGTCCTAACCGTTCATGAATCGTTTATTTTATTCAATATAAATGAGTTAATTTCATTTTTCAACTTCCTTTCTGTCAACATAGGAATTGTGTAAGCCAAGGAAAAGATTGTATAAATGTGGCACTCGTAAAATGGAGTGAATATCAAGATCAGTACAAAGAAGCTTTCAACTGGCTGACAAAAACTGAAGACCTCATACAGTCCTTTAATCGATTACAGGATAGTCTTGAGGGCAAGAAAATTGTTTTGGAAGAATTCCAAGGCCAATTACAGGTAATTTTTTTCATACAAAATTCTTCTTAATGATACTTTACTGCATTTTTAACAATTCGTACTATATTTATACAATTTTTTTATTCATAGGTTTTATTTGATTGGCAAAAGGAGTTAGATCGATTAAATTTGCTAGCCCAAAAATTGTTGGAAACATGTTCTGATGCACGAGTCAGCAATCCAGTAACTCAGCTTACAACGAAATACAATGCCCTGCTATCTCTAGCAAAAGAAATAATGAGACGCTTAGAACTTTTCTACCAAGAACATCATCAACATCATACATTGTACGAAGAGTGTCAATATTGGATTGAAAAGACACGTGAAAAACTCAACGATTGCCAGGATATACCCAACACTTTGACCGAAATTCAAATCAAGTTGAATACAGTGAAATCACTACGTCAAGGTTTCGAGCAAGGTCAGAATAAGCTACGGTATGTGTTGGAATTGAAAGAAAAAGTGGTTCTGAATACAGAAGCAAATGGTGCTTCCAAAATTCAAGAAGATACAGAAAGTTTGAAGGACGATTTTGAAAAACTATTGATTGATATTAATAATGTGCGACAGCAGCTTATGGCTAGGGCTGCAAAACTTGAAGAACTTGCTCAGTTGTACAAGGTTATTGTTGATTGGTTGGATGAAATTGAGCCAATTATTGCCATCGACAGTAATGATTTTGTTGACAAGCGGTCAGCCTTAGATAAATTTCGTAGCCTGCAACGTGATTTGAATGGATACAATGAAATTATTGGAAAAATTCAAAACAAAATTAACGAAGACGGTAACCTGAATCAATCAGATTTTGAAAAAGTATTGGAACGATTTGAAAACGTACAAGATCGAATTAATTCAATGATTGAAACATTGGAAAATCATGTATGTATATGTGCATTTGTGTGTATAAAATATATACCAGTTTTAACCTATTTTTTATCCTTGTTTTAATCCTGTTTCAACATAGGTTAACAATCATGAGAAAAGTAAACAGGCATTTGCTGAAATTTATGATTGGATTCGCAAGGAGCGTTTGGAAATTCAACAATGTTTTGACGCACATGGTGATCATACTGAGATACTGCAAAAATTGGAGCAACTAGAACGAGTAGATCTTTCCATGCCTGAAGGCAAAATTCTTATGGAAACCGCAATAGAATTGAGCCAAAATGTTAAACCATTGACAGATGAAGAAGGACAAGATGCAATCAATCGAGATATTAAGCAATTGGGATGTGATTGGAATGAGCTAACAACAATGTTAGCAAATGCTCACTCAAATTTAAACCATTGTATTACGGCATGGGATAAAGTTAACAGTAAAATTGATACAGTTACCAAATGGATCGATGCAACTACAGATCGTGTTAAAGCTGAAAATGAAGCCGAAAACAAAACGTCTGATGATCTTGCACGTTGCAAGGTAAGCTCATTATTGTCTATAAAATGCGTTATCTTGTCCATACACAATCGCTGTAACTAACTAAACTCATCAACTCCTTGCTAATTTACCTTGTATGTATTATATAGAATATCCTCGCTGAAATTTCGGCATATGGTGATTCAATTGAGGAACTTAACGATATTTGCGAAAATCTCGTAGAAATTAGTGCTTTTTCGAAAATTCGTGATCAAACTGTTGAACCACAAATGAAGTATTCCAAACTTTTGACCGATGCTCAAGGTAATTCCTTAAATCATTTTGTCATTACAAGTTTTCTAAGCTTAATGATTAGAATGGTATGTACTATTTGAATTGAGAACACATTAAGTTCAGATTGCATATTATTTATTTCATTTCTGTAGGTCTTGTAGCAAAGATTGAAAAAGGTATAACCGACCATACAGATTTTCTGAACTATAAAAAAGAGATGGATATATGGTTGGCAAATGCAAATGAAACACTCGAAGAATGTGCAGGTATTGGAGATGAAAACGAAACCAGACAAAAACTACTTGCAATCACTGTACGTAATATTCGAGTCTTTTTTTACATGCATCAAGCATAACTGACAGCCTAATAGTAAAACGAAGACTTAATTTTTTTGGAGTAAAACAATACCACATACCATAATCGAGAGCAAAAATTCGACACACAAAGTTGAGAGCAAAACCACGACATGCCCAACATCCGAGCAAAAGTAAATAGGCGATATATCATGTTTTTGCTCTCAAGTTTGTCTATAGTTCTTTTGCTCGCAACAATCGGAATTTTGTTTTTACGCCGACAAATTGGATTTTTTTATGAGCGAGGCGGACCATATACCTACGATCATGTAGATAAAAAAATCGCATTCCTTATCATCCAAATCGCGATCTGGATTTTTTTCATTGTTTGAGTGCTCTATACCGAGTCTCCGAGAGTTTCATATAAACTTGCCATGTGATACCTATTAGTAAGTGAATACCAAACGTGATTGAATCAATAGGTGTAATTTGGCTATTGCAAGGCAAGTTTATATGAAACTCTCGGGGACTCGGTATAGTGCACTCAAAGAGTAAAAAACAACAGATTTTTTTCTCAATTCTTATACAGTATTCACAACTAAATGCTCTATTTTATTTGGTGTGATCAGAATGTAGAAATTTGCTATCTCTATCACCCAAATCGTTGTCTAATGCTATCTCGCTCGCATTGCATGTATAATTGTGTACAGCCAACACAACTCATATTCATATTCTGCTGCGCAATAAAAATAGTTGTGTATAAGAATTGAGAAAAAAATCTGTTGTTTTTTACTCTTTGAGTGCACTATACCGAGTCTCCGAGAGTTACATATAAACTCGCCTTGCAATAGCCAAATGACACCTATTGATTCAATCACGATTGGTATTCACTCACTAATCAATAGGTATCACATGGCAAGTTTATATGAAACTCTCGGAGACTCGGTATAGAGCACTCAAACAGTGAAAAAAATCCGGATCGTGATTTGTATGATAAGAAACGCGATTTTTTTATTCTGATTTCACCAGGTGATACAGAAAGTTGAGTAGTATTTGAGAATTGAAGAAAAAAAAATTATTTGTTTTCATTTTTCACGATTTTTTACCATTTACATGGGAGGCTTGTATGAAACACACGGAAGACCGCTGGAATGACACTATCGTATCACACGCGTATAAAAAAATCAATTTTTTCGGCGTAAAAACAAAATCCCGATTGTTGCAAGGAAAAAAAACTATAGACAAACTTGAGAGCAAAAGCTCAGTTTTTTACAAACTCCTTTTGTTCTAAAATTCGAAAGTTCTCTATATACGCTGAAGAATTTGCATCATGTTTTTACGCTCAAGTTCTTCCATTTCGATTTTACTATTAGGCTGTCAATTATGATTATAAAAATGACTAAGTAATAATTGTTAACTGTTAATTTTAGAATTTGTCAAGCCGTTTGCCTGAAGGTAAACAACTACTTAATATAGTTCAGGAAGCTTTCACAAAAGCAATGAATTTAACTCCAGAAGATAAACAAGATGTACTTCAATCGCATATGGGTGATTTAAAGAGCCATTACTTAAACTTCACCGAAAATATAAAAAATACTATAGATCTGCTAAAATCTGCGCTCAATAAATGGGAAGACCATAAAGAACAAGTGAGCAATTTTGAGAAATGGTTAATTAATATTGAAAATCAACTGCAAATTGAAGCTGATGCCCATGGTGAATTGAGTGAAATGAAAACTATACTTGACAGTTTGAAAAACATTTCAAAAGAGATCAAACAAAAGGGCAGTGATGACCTACATATTCTTAGAGATGCCAATGATGTGAATCGCGCATGGACAAAAACTTCTAGTAAAGTTGACGAAGTGAACAGCTTACAATATCGCTGGGAAAAAGTGAACACGGAATGCGATGATCGTATACAAAGGCTTATTGCTGAAATAAATGATTACAATGCATACTACCAGAAGTTACAAGATGCTGAGAAATGGCTTTTACAAATCTCCTTCCAACTAATGGCTCACAATTCTTTGTATATTACGAACCGTCTTCAAACTCAAGAACAAATAGATCAACATGAAATATTGATGATTGAAATTCAAAAATATCAGTCAAATATTGATGATTTAAAGGCCAAAGGCTATAATCAAATTGAACGGTATGAAAAAAGTTCACCAAAAATCAGATCAGTTATTTCTACCCAATTGAAAAATGTACAAGACAGTTACGACTCATTATTAAGTACATCTGTTCAAATTCGAAATCGTCTTCAAGAATCACTTGCTAAATTCGAAGAATATGAAAATATTCTGGATAGCATTCAAAAGAATCTAGAAGAGTATGAATCTACATTTGAAGATTTGGATGAACCAGCTATAACTTTGGATATGGCCAAAGATCAACTAAAATCTGCACAAATATTGCACAATAAATTACAAGCAGAGAAATCCCGTCTAGCACTTGCGGTAAAAGCTTGTGAAACAGCAACAGCTAGCATTAGTAGGCCGAGTAGCCCTGTGGAGTCAAATATTCCAATGATCCCCGAAAAAGAGTTGATTATACGTGGAAAATTAGAAGACTTGATCGATCAGGTAATTTAGTACTTTAAACGCCATTGGCTTTTAAAATCAATATTATATAATGTATGTACATCAATTAGATTCAATCTATCGTGAGCGGACTTCAATCAACCGTTGACGAATTGGATCAACTTCAGAAGCAACGGAATGAACTTCAAGACTGGATAAAGAAACAAGAGCAGAACATTGCTGATTGGGTATCAAAACCGCTTAAACTTCGACCAGAAGCTTCAAAGCAAGAAATTATTGCAATGAATGACTTATTAAACGCAATTGGTGACAAACGAGCTCAGTTGATGACTGAAATGACTGGATCCTGTAAGTTATATTGTAGCAATTATTTATATATAAAAAGTTATTATTTAACTCCCAACTATATATAAATAAGTCCGCTTTAGAGCGGGGCCTAGCAAAAAGAGTTAACACCATCTATAGATGTTCATTAGGGTGCATCGATTTTTTGTTTTTGAAAATCAAAAAGACGGCTAGTGCGGCTTTTGTAGACCTGGTCGAATGTAACAATTTTTATTCTGGTACTTTGGCCGACACTCTCCTCATTTTCACCCCGCTCAACTTGAAGTTCGAAATTTTTCAATGAAAGCACTAGCCGTCTTTTTAATTTTCAAAAACAGAAAATCGATGCATCAAAAATATTTCAATGTATATGAATGAGCTAGAATGAGCTGAGAACAATTTCATGCAATCTTGAGCAAAGGAGTTGCCGAAAATAAGCATTTTTTTAGTACACACGATGTAAAATGCCATATGATTTTGTGCTAATTCGTACTAAATACGCAACTCCTTTCACACCAGAAAAGCGAAAAAAGTAAATTTTTATTTGACAATCTTTTGATGAATTGTATGTTCTGGTTTCATTTTATTTTCGTCAAAAACTTTGGACTCAACATATTTTTTAAAATTGTTAACTATTACACTGATGTTATTTTCAATGTTATATTCTTTGTGGTGTAGTTGCTGATGATGATAATTCTGATATTGAACAACAACTCGACAAATTAGAAAATGATTTAATGGATGCAATTGCTTTAAAAACATCAGGTCAAAATATAATTGAAACTTACCGTCAATGTGCTAGCGATTTGAATACATATTTTGATAGTATAATCAAGAAAATAGATGCCATTGATATTGGAAGTGGTTTGAACTGCGTACAAAAACTTGATGCAATTGCTTTGATCCAAAACGAATGTGAAATTGATGGGTTGCAGAAGTTGGACGACCTTAAACAAAATGCGCAGAAAGTGTCGGAGGTTATAAACAATTTAGACGAACAACAAGTAAGTCACATACATCATCATGTTTATTTAATCGTATCGTACAATGATGATAAAGATTTGATTTAACTACATATAAAATTTGATTTCTCTGCTGCGCCAATTTTGATATCCAACTTAAATTTAATATTCTTCTGCTTCTTTAGATTGAAGAAAAACTAAAGTCTACGGATCGCAAATACAATGATATCATAAAAAGAGTCGCTCGAAAAGCACAAATGATTGCTGCAACCAACAAAGGAATTCAATCTATACAATCTGAAATTGATCAGCTTAATAGTTGGATATCTCAACAACTCGATAAACTACAAGAACCACAAACTGTTAGTTCCGACCAAAATCTGTTGACTGCATACTTGCATAAACTTAAAGCAGTTTCCAAAGATGCCGATGTCAAACAAGTACTTGCCGATACACTCAAAAGACGAGTGACAAACATTCAAAGTGACTTAGAATCATTGGAAAAGTCTCAATTAGATAACGAATTACGTGACATATGCAGTAAGCACAAGAAACTAACCGACGTTATTGTATCCGAAATGGATGTGACTAGTGCTGCTATTCAACGTTTGAAATCATTTGAGACTGATGTGGAGAAATTTAAAACATGGCTGCGAACAAAGTTGGTGGAAACCAGAAAACAGCCTAACACAGTTCCGTTTCATTCAAAAGCCGTTGAAGATGATATCCAAATTGCCAAGGTCAACGAATGTGAAATTTTGAAATCTGGAACCGATCAAATGAATGAAATTAACAAGCAAGTACAAAATATCTTGAAACACTGTCCCAATAAAGAACCACTTGAAATCATACTCGAAGGATTGGTCAAAGACTATACTGATTTAAAAAATGAGGTAGCTACGACAATAAAACAATTATCAGTTGCAATGGAAGAACGGAAACTTCTGGAAGATGATGTATCTAAATTGGAAGACTGGCTAAACGAAATTCAAGTTTGCACACAAAACGATGTTCAAATGCGAAGTTTACCTATGTTGGAGGAAAAATTGTCGGAATTCGAAAAATTGAAAAAGCAAAGGGAAAGTATGCGATCAATTTTGAACGGTTTGAATGAACGTGGAAAAACTATTTTACCAGAATTGAACAATGTTGATAAAATGAAATTAAATGAGCAATTGAAAGCGATAAAGGATAAATTTAACAAGCCAATAATAACCGATCGTATTAAATCAATTGAAGAACTAATTAAAAAATACAAAAGTTCAGCCGAAAAATTAGCTTGTTGTATTGATACTTTAAATAAAATTCAACAAGAGATATGTGAATTAAAGAAACCAATCGGAATCCACACAGAAGACGTGAAAGCACTGAATAATACTGCAGAACGTATTTTACGTGATCTAATTGACAACAAAAACAAAGTGAGTTCCATTCAAATAGAAGATTTACCAGAATTGTCGAGTACATTAGCAAGACATGATGAAGCTATTCCGGTAGTTGAGAGACAAATAGCAAACTTAAGACAGGCACATGCTCTTCGTGAACAATACTTTGCGCTTATTGATCAAATTGATGCATCAATTGGAAAATACGCCATTCAAATAACTGATATAGAAAAGTCCAAAAAACCTATTGAAGATAAACTCAATCAATATGATGAAATGGTCGAAAAAATACAAGAATGCGAAGGAGTTTTGGCTTCTGTACAAGATAAAGGTAAAAAAATTGCTGCTGAAGGAACAATTGCTGATGGTAATAAAATAACCGAAAATAACCAAATCATAAAGCATAAATTACAAAATCTTTATCAACAAGTAAAAAATCAACGTCAAAAGTATGAAAATACATTGGCTGAACATAACAAAGTTTCATCTGATTTATCTGCATTACTTCTTTGGTTACACAATAATGAATCTATTTGTAAGTCTCGGCCATTATTGGAACGTGACCCCGAATCAGTAGTACCAGAAATGAACAAACATGACAATTTTGCCAAAGAAGTCCAAGAATATTTAAACCAACTTCAAACCATTGATGAAAAAATTGATGCTGACAGTGGTATTCCAGTTTGTATAATGGATATGCTTTCGGAGGGAAGATCTTTGATTGTTAATTTACCGAAAGAACTCTCAGATCGAAGAAAATATTTAACAGATAGCAAAGAATACCGCAGCACTTATATTCAGTATGTAAAAGAATTCAATAATTGGATTCATCAAGCGGAAGGACATTTTGAGAATTGCAAGCACGGCATCGATTTCAAGAACATAATTTCGGACATAGATAAGTTTAATTCATTTTTTGAAAATGATCGCCCAGTTAGGGATCTTATTACACAAACAGTACAATCCACTGTGGATAAGATATGGCCAACACTTCAAACTGTTGAGCAAAATGAACTTTCAGAAGAGGTTCGACAATATAAAAAATTACTTGATAAAACATTAAATTCAGCAAAGCATCAACGTTCACAATTCGAGAAACATCAAAATGACTGGGAAACGTATCGCGACACGTTAAGTGCAATACGAAATATTTTGGATGGCATACAAATGAGACTTGACCCTGCTGATAGTTTGTCAAACATTCAAAACAATTTGAGAAATATTTCAAATATTCTCCTTGATCTTAAGGCAAGTATAATTTTTCTTAACTAATTACAAACAATATATTCATTTTTTCATATATATAAAATTTATATTATAAATATTACCCAATTAATGAGAATTAGCCATTATGATTATTGTCGAAAATTAAGTTCGACTGTGTATTTTATTACTTCGTTGTCCTCGTTCAAGTGATGTCATGATTTAGTTTGCGAATGACTAGTTTTTTTCAAACCGACATTCCAAAAAAAAACAACAAAAAAACTTATGTTAAGATGGACACAACGAAAGCACGAATGAAAATATACGAATGTTTGTACATATACGAATGTTTGTATAGATATCGATTTGCCTGAAAACACATGCATATACAGAATATTGCGTAGTTTCGATGGAGAATGAATTTTGTATGCATGTAGTTGGTTGTTTAAAGTGACGACATCGATACAGACATTGATATATATACAATTTTATATGGAAATCGGCATTTCTCACGTCTTTGTATATTTTTCGCTGGCTTTTGATGTGTTTTACAAGCCGGTAATGGCAGTCTAGTAAATAATAAACACAGTCGCATTATAAACTTCAAACCGATAGTTAGGCGTATTTAGACAATATTTTTTTTTAATATTTTAGAAGAATAAAATTGATAATAATCAAAGTGAATATAAAAAATTTCTATATATTTGTAATTTGGATGTATAATGATTCAATAATATTGTTATAATTCTATTAAAAACAGTCGAAACAAAACAAATTAGAAACAGCGAACCAACGCGCCCAAGATTTAATGAGATTGGCAGATTCTTTGAATCATACTCAAATTTACGACGAAATTACCGATTTGAACAGTGATTGGGATAAAAAGTTAAACGAATTGGAAAATAGTATTGAAACACTAACTGTCCTGAGCAATCATTGGCAAGATTTTGAGAAACGCATCGAATTGTTCCAGAGCCAACTAAATCGCATCGAAGAAAAAATCAGCAATATCGATTTTGTTGTGAAATCGAGACAACATTTGCTCGACACGAAGGACATTTATCAGGTATACATATATTATTTGATATAATAAGAGGTTTGGAAATATCGTTCGTAAGCATGTATTTTTTTTTTTTTTTTCATTTTCAATTCAAAACGAATTTCATATTAAAAGATTTCTCTTATGTTTTTCGTTGCTTTCGAAGGGGAGTATGATTATAAATGAGTTGCACTGACACTGAAAAATTACATCATCGTCTAAATTTTAACTTCACACATTTCATTTACAAGCTCAAGATATATTCATCAACATTGTATTCGTGAATATCAAGAAATAAATGGCACAAGCCAGAATAAAAGAAATAGATACGAAGAAAACGAGAGAATCGACGATACTAATGCGATTACACATTGTTTCTGTTATTTTCGCTTTCGACATTGATTCATATAGACGCACAGTCCCATTCGTATGTTGAATACACAAAAACTCATATTTTATCATATGTGCCTTATATACGTATCAGTGAATTTCTATAGAATATATAATATGACCTCCGCGAATGTTGAACGAAATAGTTTCCGCCAAACAAATGTCTACGCACTAAAATTGACTCAACATACATACATAATAAAAAAAATTGACAGTTTAAGTCGAATAATGAATTTACTTCGTTGGACTTTAACTATTTATTTTCAAATTGACCCACATCACGCTTTTTATTGATTATTCAAAATAAAGCAATTTAATGGCAGGTTTTGTTTTTATTAATTTTCGAAATATTGATTAATATTGATTAAAAGCTGATAATTTCAACTACACTTTATATAAAATAAGTATTTTTTGCATACCTACAGTTGAAATAGTACTTAGTTCGAAGATATGAAGATTTTCTCTGTTTACACGTTTCAGGGATTATTGGCGGAAATTTCAGAGCTTGAGACACCATACAAGGAAATCGTATCGGCCTCACAATACGTTTTATCGTATTTCAATGGAACGCTACAAAAATCAGAATCTCAAGAAATAGAGCAGAAACTCGACAATTTGAATAATCAGTACACAACGTAAGTAAATAAGTAATTTACTATAGCATATTTTAGTGATTAAATCCAGACATATTGTCCTAGGTCAAAGAAATATAAACATAAATTCTTATTATTTGGCAAGATTATTTCTTACGACGTAAGTTGTAAAATAGATTAAATTGATCGGTGTGAATAACCTAATCGTATATACACTATAACAAATTATTATGATTCGTTCGAACATTCTAAATATAAATGCTATACGTCACATTGGATGAACTCGAATAGTTTAATACAGAGAAACAATGAAAGTGAAAACCTGAAGAATAACACACAAAAGTAAAAAGAACTCTCTATATTTACATTTTATAAATCATGCAAAGAACGAAATATTATATAGCAGGTGTACGTATGTATTTTCATTGAATTCAAATCACTCCAATACTTTAAGCTTCCTGAATGTGCAACACTTGGTTTGAAATGGAAATAGACCGATGATGTAAGCATTTTGGTAATGTGATGTCACACCGAATTTATTTAAGTATAATCGTGAAAGGCTTGAGTTGATCGAAATTTCTATCAACACATTCATTTAAGAAACGAATCGACACTCGAAACGTAGTCCTAATGACTACAAATTTATTTATTTTTTTTACTTCCTCCATTTTTGAGAAGTGTTCATCGATAGCCATTAATATTATTTGCAATTAAATTTTTAATATTTTTAGAAGCAAAGTTATCCATGATTTCACTTTTTCAATCCAGAAAGTGAAAATCACTTGGAAACTTGATTCGAACGATTTTAGTTAACTGAACTAACTCAAGTTAATTTTCAACAAACCCCAAGGTAATTTCTCTGTATAAAGTATATAACAAACCATTTAAATAGGTTCTTCAAGGTTATTTTACAAAAAAAAAACACATTCTAGGAATTGAGATTTTTCGTCAAAGACGCAATTTTTGCCACGTGTTTATTTTTTGACTTTATAAATTTCGTCTCTTTAAAGAAAACCATCGAATTTATTTTTAGAACAAAAAACGCAAGTGTAACCAAACCGACGTTGTGAAATGTAGAACACTTCGCTTTAGCAAATATTTAGTTGAGTTTTAGCATACTTAGCAGTTGAAAGTATTTCACTTTTGTTCAAAAAAATGATTCGAAAATTAATTTTCAAGCGCTATAATACAGAGAAAAAAAATATTTTGATCTTAATAGAAAAACTGAGAAATCAACTGGTATTTTCTTAATTTAATTTTTGTTTGAATATTTTCTATTCATTTTTATTTGTTATTATTTAGTTTGAAAACCGCAATATCAGAAAACAACGGACAAGTAGATAAGGAATTGCAACATTTCGACGAATTACTGGAAACCATATCAAATTTGAATAGCCAAGTCATAGATTTGATAGAAAAGATTACGGATCTTTATGTTTATGGTGACAATCAAGACAAAATTCAGACGGAACTTGAAAAACTTCAGCTGAGTGTAAATAAAATTATTGACGAAAACCATAATCTTATACAACAAACACAAGATTCCTATAGCAAACAACAAGGATTTGTTCCAGTAGATATAAGCGAGGAACTAAAAACATTGGAATTAACTGCCGAAAATTTGACAGAAACAATGGCTGATAAGGAAAGAGAATTTAAGCGAGCAAGAACAGTTCGAAGTGAATATCTTAATGGTGTTGATTATATTCAAGCGTGGTTACAACAAGCCGAACTGCGCATTCAAGATCGTACTTTGGAACCATCACAATTAAAGGAGATCTTAAATGATATTCAAAAGGAATTAGCGTCAGTTACCGATAAATTGGAGACTATAAAGCAATGTGCATTAATAATTACAGACAACAGTCAAAGTGATAGAGAAAAGAAACTTATACAATGCACAATTGATCAACTTGAAAAGCAAATTGAACAAATTCGTACAGATTTAGAGGCGAAAAAACATCAACTTCATGACTCTTTAGATGCATATACCCGATTTATGAAATTATATCAAAATGTTATGAAATGGTCCTCCGAAAAAAAGGAATTTATTGATATTTCATTGAATGTCACTACACTATCCGAGGCTAGACAAAAGATGAATGAATATATGGTAAATAGACCATTGCAAATGTTGTTAAATCGATTAATTTTTTTATTACACATTACACATATTTTATATTTAGAATGGCGTTCAAAGCATTAAACCAATTGGAAAGACTCTTAGCGAAATGGGAAAAGAATTAGAAACAATTGCACTGGTGACGTCAAGTGGAGATCTACAAAACAAATTGGTCGAAGCAGAAAATGTGAAAGTTGAAATAGAAGCAATTTTATTGAAACGCGTAAGTTCAAGAGATACAATACAGAAATGCTGATGATTAGTAATCTATTTTTGTTCAAAACAGAACACTTTACTACAAGAAACATATGAAGAATGGGAACAGTGTGATCGTAAACTAAAGGATATTCGTGTATGGATCGACAAAATAAGTGAAACAATCGAATCTACTCAATTTAAGAGAAAACCATTACGCGATCAACACGGATTATGTGAGAAATATCTCTCTGAAATTAACGGTCAAAAAACCAAGATTACCCTTTCTGTTGAAAAACTACAAGTAATTGTTCCGTTCAAAACCTATAAGCAAACAAAATACCATGAAAATCACTTAATATACTAATTGTTGAAATATTTCATTAGGTACACTTCCGGTCCGGCATAGGTGGCGATTCTAAAATTACAACTACGGCCTATGGTATTATTGCTGATTTGGAAAGACTTGAAGAAATTGTCAAAGATAAAGCACAAAATCTGGAAACATCATTATCGCAAATAGACGAGTATCAAAAACACATCCAAGAACTACGTAGACGAATCCTTCAAGAGGAACAACAGCTTCGACTCGTCATGGCACCCACTTATCTACCAAATGATCGGGAAAAGGCAGTTTCTGATCAACAGGTAAGAGTTTTTTTGAATCATTTATTTAGTGTGATATTATAATCATTATTTATTAGAAAGGTTGAGTTCTTAGTTATCATATTGTCATAGATTAAAATTAGAATCTTTTATGTAGTACGAGAAGAGAATCTTAACTCACTTTGGTAGAAAGTACATCCAAATTGGTAAAAACTGGCCACTTATTAAATACTTTTTTTAGTAAATTCTAATAAATCATTGGTGGCTGCGTTGGGCAACTGCGTCTTAAGTATTTTCTAAATTTCATTTTGCTCATTTAAAAAAGTGAATATTTTCAAAATTGAAAAAAGCAAAGACAAAAAGAAAGTAAGAGAGAGATAAATTAGAAATTCAATCTTAAAGAGAATTCAATTTAATTATTACTATTATTTATCTCATTTACATTGCTATTTGTTCATGGTCAATTCCTTCTTTCATTAATTTTTCTTTTCATATTCACCTACACACACATACATCTGACGCATCGTTTAAATGGTGAAATGAACTCGCACAACACGTACACATGTTTATGTCAATTATAATGGTTTTGGTTGCACATTTTTTTTGTTGAATATTTTACTTCACAATCACTAATCCAACTAATTTTACTATCGCAATGTGATATGCTTGTCTAAACCAACTTTTGTCTGGTGTTTGGGTATTTTACTGTCTGATTGGCGTTTTTGTATATCATGACCAATGTATAAAATCAAAATTGGGCTACCCCATGTTCTACGTATTTTATTATTTGCGCAATGTTACGTTCAACAGATGTATCATGAGCGCATTAAACTACTCAAGGCAAAATCAACTGCAAGAATCGAACGTATTGCATTAATCGTGCAGAGAGGCACACCTGATGCTGAACCTATTCAAAATACTTGAAAAAAGAAAATAAATGCTATTGCCAAAAAGGCTCAAATAAAATATTATATCGTAATATATCATTGTAATTATACCGTTCGTGCCATATTAAATAAACGTAGAACAAAAAGCGCAATTTTAATAAAAATAAGGAATGGTGTCTTTTATTTTCGGGGTTTTCGCAGTCACCAAATAATTTTCTCTATTTTATTTTAGTTTCATTCTACTTTGGTAATAAAGTGTTAGGTTTTATTCAATTGGCGTTCTTCATGTTCTATAAACATTTAGGGAAAACTTCTTTAATTTCTTACCACATATATAATATCATAAGTTGCTTCAAAGAACTATTTATTGAGGGACAACTAAAATTCGTTTATAAATTTACTCAAAATTTGTACATACAATTGCAATGAATACACATTGACCGTATTCCCTATATGGTAAACAATTAGGCTCTTCGAACTTCAGTCGACCGAAACCTGAATAAGCTCTCAGCTGTTACATCACTGGCATTTCAAGCTGATCCATATGGCATGAGTGCGGCATCTACCGAATCGAGAATGCTGCAGAATAATGCATTGAACCAAACCTATGCTGATGTATTGTCGAGACATTCAAGTCCTGTATCTTATGCTAGTAATATGGATATATTAAAACCAAATCTCGAATATCAATCAACAGATATTTTGAGTACAACAAATATAGACGCTCAATCTATTGCTGAACATGTAAATAATAAACTGAAAATACTCACATATCACGAAGGTAATATTCAACGGTACGATATACCAAATACCGATAAACAAATGTATCCTCAACTGCATGATTTATCAAATTTAAAGAAAACTACTACACATAGCGTGAATATTTCAGAATTAAATCGCGATAACGAGGAAAATAATTTATATTTTAAGAAATCAGAACACATTTCTCGTCCGAAGACAGTTGGTCATCGCAAAGGCAAAAATATAAAAATGTACTCAGTAGTAGGTAGGACCAATTTAAGACCGACCAACAATGTTGAAATATCACAACCAATGTCACATTCTCGAATCACAGTACCAGTTAATTATCAAGCTCGGTCAAAAAGCCCTTTATGGGAGCCTGGTTCGACAACATATTCAGAAGTTTTAAGAGGACTTGAAGTTCAACATGCTTCGATCGTGCAATTCGAAAAACCACCGATTAGTGTTGCATCTTTGAGTAAATGTGAAGAACAAAAATCTCTACAAACTAGTAGTGACATAGATAGTGTATATCAAAAACATCCCTTCGATAATACCATCAATATTCCGTTATACGATGAAAATATACAAAAAACCACAAGTACATCAAAAATTTCACATTATCCAAGTCAACAAGCGTTGAGTGATGAACTATCTCACGAAAATGTTATGGGACTTGAAAAGGAAATGTTGAATGATCAAGAAAATCCATCATTTGAAACCACCAATGTAAATTATGTTCCATCTCTGAAGCAATATGAAAATGATGCGCAGCCATTTTTAAATGTACCGAGGATTTTTTCGGAATCAATACAGCATTTAACTGAACCAGATTTGAGCCAACATAGCTACTTCGCTTCCGATAAATATTTGACACCATCAAATGCTCAAAATCTAAGCACGTCAACTATTATTTATGAGCAATCTATGCGGCGACCACAGTCGCCACACTATTATCAAGAACGCGAACGTGTTTTGCCACATGCTGTTTATGAAGATGATAATTTTGAATTACAGTTTGGTAGTGTTGATATGATTGAAGAATTTGCAACGCCAATTACTACAGATAGTTCAAGAGAAGTTGCTGAAAACATTGTTGAAAATATAGACGTATGCAGCCAAGCAAGTGATCATGTAATCACCAAATCCCCACTAGAGTCAGCATTAAAAGATGAATACCTACCGACTTCTGAAAATTCAAAGAAAACGATGGCAAAAGAAGAAACTTTTTCTAGTTTATTGACACAAACAGAGCCATTTTCTTGGGCTCAAATTTTAACAAAAGGATTGGACACAAAGAAATCAAGTCAAAAATTCATAGATATAATGGAAAATCCTCGTCAAAAACCTGATTCATCAATTCAAACTAAGAATCAGAAAGACCAACCGAAACATATGATTCGCTCATTAAAACGGAAAATTCTTATAGAGAAAAGTGATCACAAATTCAATAAAAATAAAACGCATAAGTTGACAAGTGAAGTTTTTGACAATAAACCTACTACCTCAACGCAAACAAATTACAAATCCAGTGAAAATTTAATAAAAGATTCATATAATGATAGTAAATTTATACTTTCTAGTGATAAAAAATTTAACATGCAAAAAGAAGATAAAAGCGAAAGCTGTATTGTTGTAGCAAATATTTGTGAGAAAAATGCTTTGGAAAATCTTTCAAAACCAAGTATCACTAAAGAAAGCATAATTGGAATTACCACATCCGATCAAAAACACATCGATCCTTCGGAAATATCTAAAAAATTCAGATCGAAAAAGAAAAAGAAAACTAAGAGAAAAACAGTGACATTTACTTTAAAACCTAGTTCTGGAAATCAAGATCCTGAAAATGAATGTGACAATGTTTTTGCAGAAGCATTTAAAGATGTTGATGTTGTCACTATTAATAAATATGATACTACAAGCAACACACTGACACAAAATCGTAAAATACGTAATAATGATATTAGCACAATTAAAATAAACGAAGATATTTATAAAAATACAAATGAACATTCAAAACACACACGAAAAATCGTTCTTATAGAACACGAAGAAAAGCTCCATCAACCTATTGTACAAATGAAATTAGATCTTCCAGTCGTAAGTGCTCAAATCACAAGAACAATAAAGCAAGAAAAAAGTATACATCTCGAGCAAGAACCAAATATGTTCGATAAAGATGATATGAAAAAAGAATTTTCCGACAAAACTTACATTGGAAAAGTAAGAAACAATGAGTGCCTACAATTTGGGGAATGTGGGCTATCAGATCAGCAAATTTCAAGGTCAACTGATTTTATTGAAAATAGAGTAGAAACTGATATAATCGAAAACAAAAAACAATATGCAGGTTTAGTTATTGATCAGTCGATTGATTTGCGGATGCTTGAAGATGAAGAGCCTATACTTGCACCGGATAATGAATATTCTTCAACCAAAGTTAATGTGTGTCCGATATTTGAAGAAGATGTAAGCAAATGTGAAGAAATTCCAAAGTTATCGTATCATACTGTTCCATTTGAACAAGTCGACTTGAATGTTTCTATTGAAGAACCCATTGATTTTAAAACAGATAAAATACCCAAAAAAGACAATAAATTTACATGGGAATATGAAATTATGCATTCTGACTATGTAAAAGTTCGAGATGCAGAGCGCCAATTTTTTGAAATTGAAGCACATAGATCAAAGAAAACACAATCAATGTATAATAGCACAGTTAAAAACAATGCTTATAACAAAGAGTCTTATAAACTAACTCATTTAAAAGAAACTAACAGTCAAATTGTAGACAAACCATTGTTAGATGTTTGTACGTATGATAAAATCCATCTAAATGAAGCAGAACGAAATTATCAAATATATTTGCAATTGGTGAAAGACACACTTGTAAATACTAAGGCGATGGATATTTTGAAATTGGAATGTGATTTAAATCTTGAGGTAAAAAATGTCCATGAGGTTGCAAATTCCACTAACAAAGATATAATAAGCACTCACGTTTCAACAGTATCAACAGATAATAATAAAATTAGAACACAAGAAAAATCGAAGAAAGAAGAAAGTTTGTCAATAACAAATGCACAACAAAATATTTGGGTAAGTGAACGACCTCTACTAGATTATGGCCTCATCAAAGATGCAGAACGCGAGTATTTCAGAACACGAATAGACATAGAAAGCAAAGAAAATGTAGCTCAAGCAGTGAAAAACGTCGAATATCAAAAACTAACCTACAAGTATGATGATAATTTGGTTAATTTCTCCACAACGAATAAAACCATAATAGCATACTCCAACTCAATGAAATACTATTACGATACATATGCATTAACTAATGCTGAAAGAATTCATCAAGTGTGTATACAGTTCGAACATCAAAAGAACAAATTACAAAAATTGAATAACGAAAAG